TGAGATACTTGGTGAATTCGATAGCTATCAATAAAATGGATGCCTGCACAGCGCAAAAGCCAGCCGGTGTCCAGCCTTTTTATACCCAAGAGTCAAGTAGCGAACCATGTATAGCATCGACCAGGTATGTAATGTTACTGGAAAATAAATAAACCACCTGGTTGATTGATGTATTGATTCCCTTTCGGTCGTGTATGAGGAATGGCTCGTTGGAATTGAGCCAATAGCACCATATTAAAATCAGAAGAAATAAATCAATCGTTTCAACTTGAGGCGTCCAATCCTTTCATCGGCCATTGGCTAATTCACAAGCATGCGGATGCAATATGTACGAGTCTGGTGTTTTGTTTGCTGGCGAAAGCAGAGCACAGGTACATAGTGACAAGTACCCAGTAGTTAACGCAATGCGGCGTCAGAGCAACATGAAGGCCCAACGAACAACAAAATATCTGCTGTGTTCAATTCTGATTGAAAGAATCTCGAGCGAGGAGACCCGCGAAATCGGTCGGAATGATCCAATGGGATCATTTCATCAATGCCGAGCTTCTACCATGAGCTCACTATGCCTTTGAAGTGGCTTCACATCCTTTTCACCTCGATGCTGTCCAATCCTACCTCTTGAATCATCGTCTTGGGATGCCATGTGATGCTATGTTACGCTATGTATACGGTCGTCAATCGTTTGCTGAAACATCTTGAGTCGGTCTTCAAAACATCCTGAATATGCCCTGGCTAGCTTTAGAATGTTCATCGATATCCACTTTGTTCGAAATTCTTTCCAAGAGAAGGTCCCAATTCCCAGCGATCGTTCCTAACCTTGTACAAACCTAGACAATATTCAGGGCAGAAACGAGGGTCCATGTCAGCCTGCCATCGAACATTCTAATCTATCATGGGTGCCAGGGAAATACAGTCAAGTAATAATTCCTTGAGTGATTTCGACGACCAACAGCCTCAAAACTTTGGCTCGAGAAATTGTGCGAGGTAATACAGTGGCATAGGGGCAGCGGATGTGTAGCTCGAAATGAGAGCTGGGGGATTGACCTTGGGTTCGGAAGCACAACTAGAACACTATGTAATTCCATGGCTTTTTCTTGACAATCTTACTCCACGACGTAGAATACTACCATCGAGCGACTCGTGGAGATAGGTTCAGCTCCGATTCGGGGATTTAATTGAAAGGCTGCAACTAAAAATTCCAGAAAGTCTCGCTCGGAATAACTAAGTTTGGCCTGTCTAATACTCACGCACAAGCACACACGCATACACATTTACATATCAGAATCCTTATGCTGCATCGCAACTATGCTTCCCCCGCTGCAGTACAACAAGTACGTATATGTATGGTCCCAATGAACCTTGGGAGAGCACATAAAAATGTTGTAACTTTTGTGCTGTGGTCGGTAAAAAGCAGGGGCATTCAAAGGGTATTCAAGGATATGGCCATGCTTTTTTCCGGTTATGAAGGGGGTCATAGAACACGAAGTTATTTTAACTTATCTACGTATTCTTCCAGAAACATGCATGGAATTCCCGTAACAATTGACAAATGGATGATCCTGAATGCCCGCAAAAAGTTACTTTCTTTCTTTTTCTGATTTTCCGTCCATCTTACTGCTTTGTTTTTTCTCCGTACCACGCCAATGCTAGAAGAGGCAATGCTACTTTCCAACTTGACATCTTTTTTTGGTTCACTCAACTCTCATCTAACCTGTTACTCAACTTACTTTACTTGCTTTGATCTTAACCTAGACATATCCGGCATACCAAGGTGGAGGGCTCCCCGAACCCCAGCTGGTGTAGGTTCAGAAAGTATGTAAGTATGTATCATAAGCGAACAGGAAGTACATACTATCCTACACTGTAACTAATAAGTAATAATAATAATCGGAAACATAGTAATCATAATTTCATAAATTTGAGTTTCCATTTCCCAAAGGAAGGGATGCGTCTTGCTCATTTCGATTTGTCTTTTTTCTTCCGCCTTCCCCTGGTCCATAGTCCCGCAGCCCGTCAAGCATCTTTTTGAGCCAGGGCGGAGCCCGAAGAAGATAGAAGATCTACTCCCTGTCTCTCTGGCATGCAATCACTTTGATCATATAAGACAAATTGAAGCCCCCTTTGCACAAAAAAAAATAAATATTAATATTGAAATATCCTGTGAATTCCTTCATCATCATCATCCTCCTCCTCCTCAAGTATCTCATCCTTTCATCTTGCGACTTAGGTTTATAATTCATCGTCCTTTCCACTTTTGGCAGTGTACACTCTACCGACTATACAAACAAACTACCTCCTACTATTCTCAAACCGACTTCTTACAACCATTGGCATTACTCCCATCGGCGTCAAAAGGTTGATATCCGGCGGCAGCAGTTCACGCAGCATCCCTATCGGTTAGGTACTTTCACACGAACCCTGTGCATTAAAGTCACAGCTATCCGGTTCAACGCTCCAGCGTCTGACCTGCTCGCACCGTCGCAGACTTTGTCGCAAAGTTCTCAGATAGTCAAAGCAACACGAAATCCCAAATAGAAACATCGCCAGAACATTTTACAATAATACCAGGCGATTCGCCCATCTTCACTTCAGTCAATCATTCAATCCAATTCAGTTCCTCAAACTTTCATTCAATCAGATCATTTCAGGTCATCTGTGGAAAACCGAAAAGTCTATTTACGATACGACAATTAGCCATTAGGCCTGCCATCCACATCGATTCATCCTCGGCGATTTACCCCTGGAAATAGCTTGTAGCTAATAGCTTACCAAAGAAGCTCTTCCACACCCACCATTTAACCTCCCCTTCCCGTTAAAGGAGGCAACCTTGTGAACGCAAGCCAAAAAAGCAACGTGAGTCAGATAATATCCATCCATGTTCATTCTCATACCTTACAAAACTATATTTACCAAAAATATAATTTATTTCTGGCTGGCCAATGGTGGCCATGCCATGATGCTTTGGGATTTTGCAATCTTATTTTTCTGTTCATCTTTTATATCAAGAGAGCCATTGTACTGATTCGAAATGTTTCTTCCTCTAGTCTTCAAATACATCCACAGTCACCATGATTTTCAAGGAGAACGCATCTTCCAACATGGGCCGTGGCGCATATGACACTACTGGATTACCTCCACCAAACTGCCCAGCACCAAACCATCCTGCCCCAAAGTCCAGATAATGGCCTTTACGAACCGAACCTCACTCACGATCATCCACAAACCTCATGGAGACGCAACGTCTAGGCCCGGCAGAGGATACATCACATCACATCACCATCCCTTGCACCTCCTAGATTTAAGCATCGTCTATCTCGAACCTCACGATTTCCGAAACAACTTCCACACATCTTCTACTACTCTGGTTATCATTCTCAAAGACAACTATTTTTTGAAAAAATCTCGCTTTAATACCCATCAGCAGTATCCTTCTGTACCATAATCTTTCCTACGATTCGCGACGAATTTCCTTTTATCGCGCTGCGTGCGACTTTTACCCAATTCTCCATACGATTTAATCTACATTCCAGACAAGTTCGATAATCTTATCCGATTCCGAGACATCTTAATCGCACTCCTTGCATTAAAAGTTCTTTCAAAAGTATGGCGGTCTCGATCCACAGTACACACTGCCTATCAAAAGTCTATCTTCGGTTCTGATTTCTCCGTCGCGGATTTTCTGGAATTACATGCAAACACACAAAATTGGGGAGAACGGGGAAGGCGTTGCATCTTAGACTTGGGCCCGTTGTTCATTCAACACATTACATTTCACTTTTTCTCGTTTGGTTTTCGGTGTTTTTAGACTTGCGCTGTATTTTTATTCTTTCAACTGGTTCGGACATAAAATTGGGATTTGCTGGGGATATCAAAAACGTTTGGTTGGCTAGGAAAACCCCTGTGTTTTATCTTTGGTTTTTTTTTTGCGAAGGGTGCATATAGACTTGGTTGTACTATTTTTGTTTCTTTGGGATGTTATGGTGCGTCACTTGTTTTTGGAAAGAAAGAAATGGCTGTTGCTATCTTCCTCGCGGAATGGGCACGCCTCGGGGTTTTTGTACACGATGGGATTTTGGATTCTGATGAACCGGTGGGACTTGTATGCTTGTATCTTGGAAGAAAGACTTACTATTACCTTGTATTCTATACTACTCTTTCAAAGTTTTTGCACATCTATTGCTTGTACTGCGCTGCGAATTGTTTTGTTTGCAAAGAAGACACATTGGGCTCGCTCTGTCTACTTTCATGGACTGGATCCTGATTCAACGAGCAAGTGATGTGAAGGTGGAAGCTATACACCTAATCTAGACAGAAATCCCTCCGCAAGGAGTTCAGAAGAGGCGTAGAGCGAACTTGGACTTTAGAGTCCTCGATAATTACATAATAAGAATATCACTTTAATACCTTGAAGTCACAGTAGTCTCAATTGACATGACGGTGACATGGGCATCTTCATTTGAAGATGTACTTGCATGAACGAGAAGAAGCATAACTAAAACAAGTGGATTCGATCTAGAGTCTAGAGCGCTACTCTTGGCCAAATTTACAACATATCACATTTTGATCGGGAAAGGTTCATGAAACTCAGACAAGCAAACTTCCCGTATCCGAGTCAGCTCTTCCGAATCATGTTTGTCCTCGAAAAAGCAAGTGAGTACAAAACTTAAAATTCGAAAAGCAATTATCCTCATGCAAACAAGTCCAATTTGATATTGATGAGTTCCAAAAATATACGTACTTTTTTTTTTCAGGAAGTGGTCCGGAAATGAAGTGATGGGATCTTTATGAGATGATGATTCTAATGTGATTAGTTCCGCAGCGAATAAATGGGACAAATAGACGAACACGATTCTAGAATATGCAGAGAAAGATGAAGGGGGTAAGAGTGCGGTAGAGGTTTGAAAGGTTAAACGTATAATGTGAGCGTTGTGTTTAAGGTTACCGTAGAACAGCTGTGCTACAGCGAGGCTTGGGGAAGCTTACCGCGTATCAATGATAACATAACATATTGAAGTACCTAGACAAGCACAACATTAAATCACTTCAACAATCCAGACTCAGGATCCTGAGAGAGGAAAAGTAATAAAAGTCATCTGTACATTATCTTGAACTTACAAAAGCATTCCTGGCGAGATTGACGCTCCTCAAACGCCAATAGATATCGATATAGCACACCTTTCACATCCTATCTACGAAACAACCCTTCTAAGATGTCTATTATCCAACAAGTTTCCAATGCTACCTTAAACGACAACTGGCGTACGATCAATATCGACGCCCTGGATCCCGATTCCTCTACAAACTTCGACGTCTCTACCCTCGTCGCGCAATTTCCTCCTGTCTCCGACACCGACATTCGAACTCTTGCTCAACAAGTGCGACAATTACTCCGCGGAGGTGATGCCGAAGGTGCCTTGAGGGGTGCTCTGGAAAATGCACCTTATGGAAGTAGTGAAGCAGTCAAGGAACTTCATGTAGCTACTGTGATGGAGGTATTACAGAGTATCAAAGCGAGCGAAATGACACCATTGTTGAAGAAGGTTATGGAGAGTGAGGGTGGTGTTGATATTGTGGATTGCTTGATGAAATATTTGTGGGTGCTTTTTCTTGATTTTTGTAGCTTTTTTGCTTTTCTATTTGTTGGGAATTATTACTAATGAATGATGCGTTGGTGGTAGATATAAGGGCATGGAATCTAAAACTACAAATGCGAACACGAGCAAGCTTACGCCGCAAAGTACCGGGTTCTCGCAGATTGGTGGTGGGAGACCGGGAGCGCAGAATGAAAGTAGTGGGTCGTCTATGAGTGTACTGCTTAGTTGGCATGAGAAGGTCGTCGAGGTTGCGGGCCTGGGCTGTGTAGGAAGATGTATGACTGACTGGAGAAAAGTATAAATTGGAAGATAATATTGGTAAATTATGGTGATAAAGAATGAAGGGAGACTGTAGCCTAGAGATGTCTAGGTCGTATGGTTGGAATTATGTGATACTACATGGTTGAGGGATGAGAGATTCAAGTACTGAATCGAAGAAAGGCAAAGATGATATCTTTAGGTATCCGAGAATGGATGACATCAAGAATCACAGGTCTAGGATATTTCCTGGCCGAAGATGCTCAAATAGTCCAGGCTCCATCAGACTACTTTTGTTAGTAGTCTTCTCTCCATTTGGTGGTGAAATCTACCTTGCTAGGTGTTGTTTGTTCTGCCCAGAACAAATACCATATCACAATTGGGGCCATTTGCACCGATGGCTGATCTCCATGATGTTTCTTTCCAACTTACAAAGCAGATGATTTCTCATGAATGCTGTAATGTCAACTGTTTTTTTTCCCATCACTTTCCTCTCGTCCATTGTGGTTTTCATTTGCAAAATTCAATATTCCCAATTCCGGGGGATGCATATCAATTATTGAGCACATCAAACTCTTACTGAGACTTTGAAAAAGCTTTCAATCTCCTCTATTGATGCCACAAGACAATGAGCAATGAAGCAAAATAGACTTCACTCTTCTGTAGGCCCTCAATCAAGCCTCTTCAAACCATCATCTTCTAAAGATCGTTAGCCACAGCCACATGGATAGGGATATAAATCTTATTATTACACCTCCACCATTTGATTCTTCTCTTGGATATATATCCTGGGATACTATGATTTTCTTTCTCACATAGGTTAGGAAGGAAATGTGATGTGATCTGATGTATTGTTTGATATTTGATATATTCAAGTACGATGGTTAACAGACCATAAAAATCTTCAATAAGGACAATTAGCCCCCTAGTCTCGAGGTCAAGAGTCATGGATGGATGCCAAAGAATGGGAAAATTGAAAAATTTTGTATTTTACATATTTGTATAAACTGTTGATAACCGAGAACTTGTAGCTGCATTTCCTGCAAGCTATGTTCATGCAAATGGTACTCAGCTGGGCGGGAGGATCTCTGGAATTTTAAATCTTTGTCTTTATGATTAGGGAATTTAATTGTTTGTTTTCTGTGCGTGTGTTTTTTTTTTCTTGTTTGGAAGTGCGGATTCATTCGGTTGGGTTGGGTTGAGTTGGGTTGAGTTTTAATGATAGATTCTTGATCGACGCTGTTTATGTCTCGGATGGTCTCTGGTGTTTGGCTGGATACTAACTAGTCTAGGTAGTATGGTTATTGTTTTCCTTGATGATTGTGCATGGAGGGATATTTGGGATGGGTGGTGAGGTATGGCTTATGTATGGTTGTTCGTATAGTTGCTGCTTTGTCATAGACATAGACCGTATGAGACTTGATATCCTGTGCTTGGGAGTGTATATGTTTGTGCTTGGATGTGTTGAGTATCAAGCTTGGGTGTATAGCTGTTCTGTCGTTGGTGATTGAGTGTGGTATCTGCTAGGTGTTCCGTGGGAAGGAGATATCATTGTTGTTGTGGGATTTATACATGTAATCGCTTCGAGAGCCTTGTTTAATTCTTACATTTATTTATTAATTCATACTCTTTACTTAGGTTTGTGATATATTAAGTGAGATTTGAGTTGGGATTGCGTGCGGTGTTGGAGCTGGTATATTATTAGCTATTTAATGTAATTTAGGCTCTATGTGCATACTCCACTCCATTATGTAGTAGGATTTTCAGGAGTAAGAGAATTTCGGATGCTTCTTGAAATATTTCGTATTTTATATCCTCATAACTTCGCAGTGTTTTCCAACATCACTAGGTATTTAACCGTACCATGAATACTCTTCCCATGACCTCCTAATCACAGTTCTTCTTCCCATAATCTTCCAATTCATTAACACCATTAACCTCCCCATCTCATACATGCATACACACATACAATACAATCTCATCATCAAGCAAATAGAATTCATAAAACCATCAACCCCCCTAAAATCTCCAGAGGCCGTATTTCCTAACTCCAGCATTGCATTGCATTGCATTGCATCTTATCCGTACTTATTCTCGTGAGAACTGAAAAGAGTGAAGTACACTCAGATTCGCAAATGTGTTTCTTATTCTTTATTCGTGCTGGTAAGAATCTAAGATACCTACCTAGTAGTTATTTGGAGGATATTCCCTCCGTACAGGTGGTGAATCGAGTAGGAATTGGAGAGGATGATTGGGGGTTTGTTTTGTGGTTGTTTAATAGGGGTATATGTATAGAGACAAATATTAACAAAACACCTCCTATCTATACTACAAAGACAGGACGCTTTGAGAATAGTTCTTATTCATGCGATGGTCTGTTAAGTGTGCTAGTATACTGTACTAGATGTTTTCTGCCGGAGCAAAGAGTTTGGATCTTTTAGGTGTTGGGTTTCTTTGATTTTTTTATTACTAGTTTGGCTCGTTTACCTTTTCCTTTTCGTGTTTACTTTCTGCTAATGAGAAATTTTGTGGATTTCTGTATTTTGGGTTTTGGTTTTGATGAGAGAAAGGGAGGTGGGGCTGAACTTATTGGTTTATTGGTTTGTTGGCTTGCTTATGTTTTATAGTGTAATATGGGTGAGAGAAAGAGGAAAGGAGGAAAGGAAGGATAAAAGGAAGGATGAAAGTAATAGGTGAAGTTGAAATATCTTTTTAATATAGATGAATAGATAGATAAATAGATGGGTATATATATATATATTCTTAAACTAGATTTCGGAAAACCACAGCTTCTGAACAGAAAACTCCTCGTCTACTATACTTGTCACTATACTATCACTGATTATATAATTATTAGTATCTAATTCTTATATACTTCTATATAAATCCAGTCGTTACTTTCTATATTTGTTGTTACTTTGGCTTCTCCTGGGTCTTTTGTCCAACTCTTTTTTCCCTCCCTTTATTTATTTTTTGGACAATATATCACTTTAAAATATTTTTATAATCAAATTTCTTCTCGATTTAATTATTTATTCTTATATATTTTTTTAACTATAATTTTATTCTTTTATTAATAAATTGAAGAGTATAACATTCTTAAGAATTTTGATATTAATATGATGCGTAATTTTGATTGCATGGGCGCGGTAGTACTTAAGGACAATCAAGACTTTTTACCACCTAGATCATCTCCGATCACTAAGAGAATACAGTACTATTCATCATATTTGATTCATGCCGTTTGGCATAGGTCTATTGATTTCTTGTAGTCCCTGCTCTGTGACAGCATCTGTCCTGACTCAGCACTCCTAATTCTGAACCAGCAGTACTGCTAGGAAACTCACGAGAATTTCCTTCCACAGCAACCAATTTGCAGTGATTCACATATATGATACCTTATATTCTGTTTTTTGATTAATCTTGTCTAATTCATTTAAGCTATGGCTGTGAGGTGGAATTACATACACAGTAGCCGAAGCTCTAGTTAGCTTCAGCACAGTCTATATACTTAGTCATGAATCCTATTCCGACAATGATATTTCATAGGATAGGTGCCCGTACCGAACATGAACAAGACAACGTCAATCTATTGCTATATAGCTTATTGGAGGAGTGCAATTCAGTCATTTTCAGTTGACAACTCGACACATCAGGATATTCCAAAGGCTTCAATAGAGAAGACAAGATGATTGATGATCAAATTGACCGGTTAGAGATTGAATTCGTACGATATGTAGTTGAGCAGAAGTTCCCTTGAATCAATTTCAATCGGATTCAGCGCTTGCTACTTAAATAGCCCACAGCTACCCCCAGCCATCTCTCCAACACCTGCTGTGGCTCAAAAAGATATTCCATGATGCATTGTTGATAGCATCTATGAGCTGTCCAGTCGAGTCATGTTGATCGACCTCTCCCATGACTAAGACTGTGCCTCCCCTCCCCGACTAGCCAAGTGTGGCCAGAATAGCAGTAACAGAGACAACAAAATCGTGCATGTTGTCATGAGTACTGGGTTTGTCCAGAACAACATTGTCTCCCACCTTAACGCTAATGTACTTTGTGTGTCCTTCAATTGTTTTTGACTTTGACGCAAAATTCATGCTAAAGCGGGAATCAAGCTTATGGATGGCATCGCCTAACTGGATCGTGTTGTCGTTGCAAGATCTTTCCCAAATCTTTTTACCCTGGAACTAGAGGGTGCCAGCGTAAATGTGGCCTTCCACGGAATGATTCTTCTCGTCAAGCCAGACACTGGAGGACATGATTATTGTTTTGTTCTATAATTTAAGTTAGCATATTGTAGAGGCTCTTGTGTTGAGTAGCTTCTTGTACCTACCTGTGTACTTCGGTTATAAAGTAAAGATGTCTACTAGCTAGAAGGTTCGTGCGAGAGGTAAAGAAAAGTGATGGGGCTGATTTTTTCTGACAGTCCGGGAATGTGATTCCCTTTATATGTATTCGATATCCTTCCTCTAGGGCTTCAATAGCGCGCCCAAGTCGCCTAGATCAGCATGGGGACGGAAGCACGGCAGCAGAGCTGGCTGACTATTGCAAATTCAAATGCAAGGAGTACGAACAGGAAGAGATCTACGACGATGATCTATTAGAAGTGTCCATATTCAGCTTCTCACTCTTCCAAGCACGCCACCTCGAGCTACGGCAGATACAAAACCTACGTGGCATGAACGGAAAAGAGAACCAAGGAACTCAAGGAGACAAATCGTCCACATTCAAATCTGGTAGAATATTCTAGCAAAGCAAAAACGAGTTCGAAGAGGAACATGGCAAGAGTACTGGATGAACCAAAGCAAGCTGAATCACAACCCCCAATGTACTTTTTGACCCGTATATGATGTCTAGAATTAGGAGATCATATACGTTTTCGTTGATACACAAATACTTTTATATGGCTGCTCAAATGACCGAAAGCTTTGCAAAATTGAACTCCTAAGATCATACGGGAGGTTGTAATACACGGCAAAAGTGAGTAGGGCTTGGGCTGAAGCTGAATCAAAAGGTGAAGCTATCCGCACCTAGTTACTTCACTAATTAATTTACCGCGCGACGATGAGGAAGCTGAAAACAAGGGCTAAAAAGGTGCTAATTCGATCAAAACGAACTAGAAGGAAAACTAAGAAAATCTCAATTCGGATATCATGTACGGGTCGAGATTCGGAATGCCCTTATAAAAACGAAACTTCATAAACATCCACAATATAACCTTACGGATGATGCAAACATACATTATGTCAAAACCATCAAATGCGGTCCGACAAGTACCTTACTTATGGAACCAAACGCAAACAAAGCCGGTCGACAATGACTGATGCAAAATAACCTCAACAAACTCCGGGGGCGTAACCAGACGTCGAATCAACCCCACATCCCCGCATCCTCTCCATCAGCCCGGCTACCCCACCCCCCTTGATCCCCAGCTTCAATACGTCCGTACCCTCACTCCCTTATCCCACATCCATTATTATGCATCTGTTGATATGTATATATCAAGAATCCTTACTTGTACATATGCTACCTTCAAAGAGTAAGAAACGCGAGATGTCCCCGAACAACGCATGCAAAGTTCAAGGTCCATCATCCTACCTTGAACCCAACTCAGCCAGCGATACATCTGAACATACGAATACCCCACCACAACGAGCCATTATCCGAAGAGATCTAACCAATCTGTCCAAGACATGCACCGAAGACCGTAACTTTGGCTACTCCATACAAGCTCATCATCTTCCAAGAATTCTTCCAGCGCGCAGACATTCGAATCCAATCATTAGCGATAACATTTCCAATCATGTTGAAAGACCTCTCCCTAGAATTTTACTACTCAAACGCCGAGAAACTACATCATTTTACACAGGTTGTTAGATTACATAACATCGAAACAACAACGATTCAAATCGTTTTCAATCAAGATACTATCGAGACAGAGTGAACGGAAAGAAACAATGTTTGATTTGACAAAAGGAAGATTTAATCAACAAAACAGTCAAAGGGGGAATAAGAAGAGCAAAAGAAAAGTATAGAAGTGATTCAACAAACTACTCCGGCAATTTGTTGAAGAGTATGAAGGCAATATTTGAGAATAACTCTGATTGTAACGATAACGATAACGGTAATGAAATTATAGAGGGTAGTGTTATAGGAACATAGTATCTGAGAGAACCGATAGACGTCAAATCCAAGAGGAAACAATAGCTATCTGTCAGTATTTGCGGTTAATATACAGTCGTGCAACAGTACCGCGTATTGACGTTTTAGTATGATAAATCATACGTATTGAGTGGAGATCACACCACGCCGGCAGGTATTAATTAAAAATAATAGTTATAAGAATATACTATATCAAAAAACAAATGTAATATCAATACAAAATATAAAAAAATCTACTAAAAAATACACTCAAAATATATTAATTCTTTTAAAAATTAAAAAACATTAAACAAACTCTAATTTAATATATCTATTTATTCAATTAAATTATCGAATTTAATATCATCGTTCTCTATTTAATTACAAATTTAAATCAAACTAAGTTTTCAAATATTCATTTGAAGAAAAGATATAATTTATAAAAGATTATAATTATTCTTCCTATTAATAATATCTAATTATATATATCATTTCGTTATATTATATATTAATTAGTATAATATTAATATTCGCACTCGATCTTCAAATATAATATCAAGACAATGTGAAATTTTCTAATTTTAAAGTTCTAAAAGACGACTAATGTAATTTTCAATCCTAGCGAAGTCATCTGAAAAAATTTCCCAAGTCAAAGTTTATATAAATCAAATAAATAAAAGAAGATCTTATATTAAAACGTTAACGATATAATATAACTAAAGAGAGAAACATTAAGAATATTTCTTATAGTTCAAGATTCATTTCAAACATTGCTCTTGGAACCTGAGTATTATCTAGTATCTTTTCTAAGGGTTTTAGCCTCCAAGTTTCCATTTCATATTTAAACACTATAAGTCCTCGGACTTCTATTTCTTCCCCATAATAAATTAAATAGCCCATACAGCAAACAACCCATTCGATTTCTTCATCCAGAAAAATATCTTCCCTAACTAAACAGGGGACGTGCAACCAAAACTAGTCGCGGCACTAGCACCGCTAAAAGCACTGATCAGACCAAGACAACTACTATAGATACCCAAAGCCGCCGTGGTCAAGGCTCCGAGGAAGTATATAAAGTTGAAGATGTTGAAAAGCCAGTTAACCTTGAATCCTCTGATCCATCTTTTAATACCTCTATCCACATAACTGTAAGTTCCAGTTCGGGGGTCAAATGACTCTTCTCCTGGAAGCATGGCGTCTTTTTGAATTTGATATCCAACACCAAGAATGGCGGGGAAGGTGTATGTGAACTGTAAAATACAAATTGCTCCAACCAATCCCGATATGTAAGAAAATTGAGGGATAGCGGCGCAGATGACAAATGCGATTGCCCAGTACAAAGGCACCATGGCAATCCAAAGAATTTTACCGGGTCTGGTGGTCAAAGGTGGTGCCTTGAGGATACCTTGGAAGACATCAATGTATGCAACTTTGATGCCAATGTTTCCGTATAGTACAGCGGCAATAAGACCAGTGATTAAATTCATGATGTTTGCTGCGGTTTGCCAGTTGTACGGCGAAAGACCTTGAATGACGGGGTTGTATGCATATTGTCCTTGGTAGGAGTAGACAAAGATACCAAAAAACATGTAGACAACGTATATGAATAGATCGGCGCAAATGAGGCCCTTCCAGAAATCCATAGGATGACGCATTTCAGCCAGGAAAGCAACAAAGAGCATAGCACCACCGTACGAGTATACGGCTTGGTTTAGACCATTCAGAGATCCGACAAATCCATCTCCACCAGTCGCTTTGCCAGCAGGAGGGGTGCCAGCATATCTGTGGACTGGACCAGGACCGAAGTCATCACCATAAGAAGCTTGGATTGTAGCATAGTTGGGTGGTGAGTTGGCAACAACACCCATACAGATGAATATGATGAGGACGTTGATCCAGACGGCGAAATTTGCTAACCAACCAAACCTTTGGAGTGTACGAATCTGTCCAAAGACCATACCAGCGGCCATGAAAATTATCAGACAGACAATGAAGCAAAGGTTCCCTTTGGATATTTGTGCAATAGATTGCCCATTGGAGAGAATGAGGATAGATACGGTGAGCAGTAGTTGAACACTTTGAGCGACGTTGATCGCATGACGTGCCCAGGTTCCAAAAACACGGAAGAAGAGGTCACCATACGATTTTGCTGGGTATTTATCCGAGTCGAGTGCAAGGAAGATAGCGAAGAGTTGCCAGCCAGAATATAAAGCAAAACCGCCGAATACAGTATAGAGAGCAATTCCCGGTCCATCTGCAGCTCCGTGTTAGTACTGCTGTTGAACTTTAGATATTTACATTTACTTACAGCCCATTTGCCCGAAGGCCCAAGGAACACTGAAAGGTCCAAGGATATCAGTTGTGATGAGGTAGAAGACACCCGACCAGCCAGCTGTACGCACAGCACGACTCGCCGTCTTCCACTCAGCCTCCGAAACAGCCGATTGACGTGGTCCATCGAGGACAACAGACTTTTCGTCTATAGCATCCTTTGAACCTGAAGTTGTTGCGGGTGGAGTGTCATATGTCCCAGGGGGAGCTTTTCCGCGAGAGAACCGATTCGTAAATATGCTCTTCCAGTTTCTTGGTCCTTGAGCTGCAAGAAACTTTTCATTGGCAACTTTCTCCTCAGCACGAGTGATTTCAGCCCAGTAGACGTATTCTTCGAATGTGATGCTGGGATCATGTAAAGTGTTTAACATGGCCAATTCTACCGCCTTGGCGTCGCCCACCATTGGATGATGAGGATCTCGTGGATCACCACCCTCCAAAGCGAGATTTGCGACCTGCGTAGTCATATTGGGCTAGATATGAGGAGAGCAAATCAAGAGGATAGGCCTACAGGACTTGCTCTTGGTCAAAAATAATGAATAAAACTGGAAAAGCCTTTCGTGATATGAATGGAGGAAGTACAGAAATCTTAAATACCTCTAACAAAGTTATGTATGGGAGGGGTAGGCACCCCCTTCAAGTAGTTGACAGGATGATCATGTAGATAAGCATCAGGCTAGAACACTAGTGTAACATGGGCAGATAGGAAGCATTCCAACAACGGAAATAAGAATAATAGGCAAGGATTCGAGGCAATAACAACAGTTATAATGTAAAAGTTGACATAATTCGTAAATAAAGTTTTGTATCACGGAAAACTATCCAGTAGTCCATTGTGCCGGTAAAACCTACCTTGGTCAGGAGATGGCGGCATACACACCTTCCTATTCAAGACGGTGATGTTGCTAAGATAAATTCCCCGAAGCGAACATTGATTTGAATGACCAGGTGAACGGGCTTTCGATGTGATGAGGGCGGAGAGGAGGGCTAAAATCCCTTGAGCATGGTCATATTACGTTCCGCTCTCCTCTCTTCCTGCAGCGCCAGCCAAAAAGTTATCTATGACTTGTAGAAAATGCTTGGAAAAGCTTGTTCTAACTTCTGACCATCACTTGTATGGTCTTGGCCGTCCGATAACAACAACTTTGCCATCAATGCCATGAGTCCATGACAAATTGTGGGTACAACATTTGCATGCAGTATCGGAGTAAAAAACCATGGAGGGCACTAAAATCTGACTGTACCTGTTTTGGATTTTGATAGCGGTACCGTCCCTAATAAGGATATTGAAGGTAACGACTGATGCCTGCATGTTGGTGATTTCGCGGCTGGTGATATCTCCATGATGTGATTAGCAGATAGTGATTAGACTAAATGAACGAATGAAAATGAAGGATATAATCAGTGACTCGCCCGTAATATTGATTTCTACCTAACCAGAAACTTCTCCGGTGGCACAAGAGCGGGCGACGAGTACAGACAGGCATATTTTATGTTTAAACGCCGAAAATTGATGAATGACGGGTGTGTCCATGAATGGTGTTGTTTTCATGGGGATTCTAGATTCAAAATTGATGGATGGGTGGGTTACTCAGCATATCTTTCTCTCACACGTGACCAAAATCTGTGAATCCATAGCGTTCTCGGTCGTGCTCCGTAAGCATTTCCGCATCAGATATCATGCATGAGCTTTGAGCTGGTTGAGTTACACCAAATCACATATTCTCGCCTCTACCCAACCAATCGGTCTCTCCACCGCTTAGATATGTTTTAGTTATCATGTGTTTATCAAGGATTAAGCCTCAGTAAAACCCTCGGTCCTTCACCAAAATCCTGGGGTAATCCCACATGAATTCCAGTTCTTTTGGAAGGATCCATCCATTTAGCATTCATGTAATCTGTCACGACTCACGACTCATGATACTATCTATCCAAACAAGAATTCGACTCCCAATTCGATGTATAGATGTTAGATATGCACTGATAGCCATAATCACAGTCGTAAAGTCTATCGACCGGGGTTTGAAGGAAACTTTCCCGTCGAAGTTCTCGGGCTGAAATTCAAGATGTTGAGCAAGGGAAGCATGTTGAGATGCGAGATTTAAAGCCACCAAACCGCATCGTTGAGACATTTTTGTTTGGAAATTCAAGATCTTCAAAAGACAAAATTGAGTAGAAATTTCGGTTGATAGATTATCTCAGATCTAAAGCTGTCTGGACAATCAAAAATTACTTGCATCCACCATACTTTAGGCTTCCGAATAAATTGTGCGTTAGATATTTTGCAATTCTTGCATGAATCTATCCGTCAGAGAATTATGACTCCTCTACACGATTCGGAATTTGATAAGAACCCGAGTTCATCGTCGGATTATCCTCGTGGAGCTCTTATCTTGAGATAATTTAGAATCTAGATAAACGAAAAACCCTTTCCTGGCATAGTCATGGTACCGCAGAAGCGGCTCGAAAAGCTGCTAAGTCACCTGTCACCTCGAGACTCTACTGCCTAGGTATTGTACGTCTTTAGGGTGGAGAGAAGTTCATTAATAAGTGATAATGAAAGAGTCAAATGACATGGAAGCCAGGCAGTCTACATAAGGGTCTCGGCTAACTAATCTAATTAGTTAGGGGATGGATATGGATCATATATTCAATATCTACTAATTAGGTGGTGGGTGGAGCGACTAGAGTACGTAGGGGATGTCTACGAAGGATTCTATTCATTAAAGGAGGCTAGATTTGTTATGGATATCTAGAATCCATCAATAGAAAATAGTGCTTACTAGAAGGTTTCAATATTCCGTCACGGGATTGGAAATTATAACAAGTGAAGTGAAGAGTTATTGACTACACTTTTAGATGTGCCTCGATTTTATTTTTTCGGTGTGTAAGTCTTACCATTCTCCTTGTTTGTTCTGGTTTCTACTTTATTTCAAGTCTTTCCATGTTAACGTTACAAGTTGTATTCTAGATATCTTTGAGCAAATTCAAAACAAGGTGGCGGAAGTCAGATCTATGTTTTAGTAGATAGATAACCATCCATAACTCATTTTGACACAGAACTAAATAATTCTCAATATCCAGCAAAGATTCCCAAGCTTTTGTTTTAGAGTACATAAACTCCATATCTTCCATAATAGAAACTATCACTCTAACCACTAGTAATACCATTAAGTAGGTATCATCCCCACTATAACGAATAAACCAAGAACCAAGAACCAAAAACACCACCCCAATAACCACACGCACCAGACATGGAATTCGAATAGTGCATCAAAACCACGAGGATACAAGTTCTGATACAGAACTAAAACTATCTACCTCGCAATATCACATTTGTACCCCATATATTAAAACTAGTCGAATGTTTTAAGCTTAAATAATTCCATGCATCTATTTCCTCCACATGGGTTTTCTCGATATGCATATATAAACCCCCATACATAGGCTGCGCAAAAATAACCCGCGGATTGCAGATATCTGCAAATAATCCGCCTTGCAAGCTACCTAATAGATCTATAATTTACTTCACAAGTTACCTATTGGGATTTTAAAATAATTTACAAATAATCTATTAATTTATAATTAGATATAATTTATGTTAGATTCACACTGCAAAGAATCGATTATATTCGAAATAGGCCAATAGGAACTCAAGGAGATCCAACAGAGATACAAAACTTTTCATTGCCTTTCTAAAACCATTCAAGAGCTCCTTTATATAGGTGAAAACTCCTCCATTAGCGTGAAACCTCTGGAACCACCGGCCCCCCTTTCGGCTAGCCGAGGTTTTGCCTTCGGAGATTGTAACAATTTATATAAAATAAATATAAAAATTAATATGAAAAATGTAAAAATAATTTCAAAAATTTAAACAAACATTATTTGCAAATAATTTATCTATTTATAAATTTATAAATATCTATAAATAAATCACAAATTATTTACAATTTATTTATTTAAATTCTTCAATTATTTATTTTGCAAATAGATCATCTATAGGCTACCCTCCGAAGGCAATAATCCGCTCTGCGAAGCCCCGTTGCGCAGCCTACCCATACATCCCTCGCCCTTCTTCCTCAATCCTTAATCCTCAATCCTCATCCTCCATAAGTATTTAAATATCATCAAGCTCCGCGCCCATGAGATGAAACGATATTGTATCTTTCAATGCATACACCAATCAACATATTGAAGTTCTAGAGTTTTGCTCGAGGGAGCCTTGGAGGCGGTACGTTTACGTTACGGAAGAAGAAATTCAGAAGAAAGAAGAGCTGAGCGTGAAATTGGGGAATCTGGATATATACGAGCACCATTGTGTGAATGATCAAGAGGATTTATTGCTGTACATGTTATTGTTGCGGTGTGATTGAGTATGACAATGTCGATCGATACTAGTAGTACTACCACTACGATACAAAAAGTACGGCTTATATCGCCTGCGGGGTTGCGTCCCCATGGTAGGAGGAGAGCGGGAGCGACTCTCATGGCCCCTGTGCGCCGTGCAATGCGAGCACCGATGGTGAACACGATTGTTACTGTCAGTGTTTTTAGATAGTGAAGACAGCTTGGGCAGTGAGTGTAAGTTGAGCTATAAAATCAGGACGATTAATTATATATCACTAGCAAGAGGTGTTCTTTAACACGGAGCCAAGCAGTTTACTTAAATTTATTGAATGGATAGCGAGATGGGAGTGAAGTGCTTTTACATTCTAGTGGATTTGCATACCTTATTACGATTTGGAAACATGTCTCATCGTACTTCTTGTGTACAATTCGTGATTTCCGGTATACAAAGTCAGAGATGCTCGATTGACTACTGGTCTTTCGGGGTTCGGGTATGGGGGGCGGTACCTGTCGTGTCGTGGAGAAATGGTCATTGTTTGAGGAACATCTACAGCAGCGTGTTATGTTTTATGGGCTAAGTCGATGTCGGGCACCAGCGGAATTCACTCAGCATGTATTGACTACCACCAAACCTTGCCTACGATGCTGCATAGAGTATTTGTTGTAGGTTCCTCACTTCATTGGTAGTCGATAAATATAGATAAATATTTCGAAGCAGCTTAGCAGCAGGTGGGATAGATCTTTCGCCCATTACATTTAGGGAGTTGAGGGCATGTTTTAAGTAGAAGTTGCTCTATTGAATGACTGGTGACTGAATTCTTTAGCTGCTGAGTATTAGTAGCAGTACTCTACTACATATGAAGTGCCAAATATTAACCCGTAGAATTTCCTCGCTGACATCCATACTGGTCTTTTGGGGATTGGTGGACGCTGGTCACAGGTTTAGAATAGTCTGGACTACAGCCTGATGGATAATGAGGCTCTTACTATTTTCAGTTCGTTTTAACTTGAAGCTTTCAGAGTGTTTGAAACATGTGGAACATTCTAATAAAGAAAGACTTTTCAAAGGTGTATCATCTTCCAAATATTAAAAGGTTCCATCTCTAGTTAGGGAGTCTGGTTCATTTAAAACACTGGCCGATTTTTTCTCTTCGCCGAACTTCAGATGAACAGTGCGTATAGTATTGGCTAAGAGTTATTCATCTGAAAAGAAAAACATATGGCTGCTTATAGACTACAGGATAATATGTTGGCAGAAGCTGTTCATGGAAAAGTTCTATGAAGCCGTTTCTTTAGGACCGCGAGATGAGTCGAATTAACATGACAGCATAGCGTAGCCTCTCAGGAATTCACCGTCCTCCGCTGCTTCTCTCCGCTTCAACATGGTGCTGTAGAAGGCCAAACGAGCACGCTATTCTGCCAATAGGGCAAATTTACCACCTCAGAAGCAAAGATGCTTGGTCCATTGTCCCATAACGGCAAATCGCCAAGCACATGGCCTAATCCTGCTATATGAAGGTGAAATGTTGAAGATAGATCACAAAACTTCCTCAATCTGGTATGCCACCTGGCAATTATCGTCTTCTCCGAGCTTTAGACATTTCATGGTATTAATGAAGTGACTTAAACGGCCTCGTATAATCACTTTGGGAACGAAACGCTGGATAGAGTTAAGAGCTGGAACGATTGAGGAGACAATGCATATAATTCAAGTACTTCATGTACTTCGTACCCTTAGTACTACTCATGGACACATCAGTTCCGAAGCTTCGGAAAGTAACTATAATAGACCCGCCGACTTCAGGCTAAGCGCCGGTAAGGGGGTAAAATACAGAAGAAGAAACTGTGTTACAGTTGCTGGTGATAATTGACAAATTCCCTTAGATGTGCCAGATGAAAATGGTGACCCCTTTGTCATGACAGCCGTGCTGGGTACTGAAACTTGTGCAAAAATGAAGAGATTTTTGCAAAGATGTGTCTGTACCGTTGAAGGTTTACCAATGATTCTCTAATGGCTAATAGACCCGTCAAGTTTTAATATATTGACTTGACATGGTTGCATGTCGAGCATATGTAGTACGCAGGTTGTTGTAGATACAGACATGTACTGTTCCGGGCCGGGGAGTGAGAACGTTTTTATTACAAGCATGATTTTAAGCTAATTTAAGGGATACGACACCGGCACTTCTAAACTCCCTTGTTAAAACTTAAATGTTCATGTTTTTGGCGTATATATATCATCGTCACTTGAGAGACCGTTGCAGAGATTTCGCTTTGTACAAAGTGCGGAGGGACTGCCTCCGCATCCTCTTCCGGGTAACCGAAGAGCCCGGGTACTTTCCCAAAACAGATCAACTATTCGATATAGTCATGTTTAAACGACTATTGCGAGAATTGAAATGTAACAAAAAGTATTGGAAAGCGCATAAGCGTCCATGGACTTCGAGGTGGTTGTGGAGTTGCAGGATACAACGTACCCACGTCAGGATCCAAAAAACAAAGCGGGTAAGTAAGATGGATGGCTTGTCAACGCTTTTAGGCAAAGAATGTTCTGAGGCTTTCATGTCATCTGCTCTTGGTATTTGTACTATCTCCAATCGGCATTAGACGTTTAAAGGCTCTCTCGAAACCCTTCGGCCTTGTTTCTGCAGGAACGGTGTCCTGGGATAACAGCCCTGAAAAGCCTTGAAAGGATGGTTATACGACAAGTCTCCCTTCAAAATCGAAAACCTATCGTCAACCTCTACTATGTAATATGTCATATGATGGAATCCTCGACTATACATAATGTGTATGATCAAACAAGGAACATTAATTGAGGAGGATATTGATATTGATACACTGGAGTACTTGTTACTATACTAGGAAAATGAGTTGCTTTGCGCCTTCCGAGAACATGTCCCGAAGATTCGCCGACGAACATCACCCAACTCCAAATCTATTTGACTGTATCTATCACACACAAGGTTACATATATATCGGCTTTCCAGTTTTATGAAAGTATTACCAAATCCATGAAGAGCCAGTCATACCGCCTGGTAGTAACCTGCAACTTCTAACATCCCTTCCTTCTTATCCTAGAAGCCAAGTAAAATTCCCAATTTTTGTCAAACCACGGGAGGAGGACCCCGCATGTAGTAAACCCATTTTGGAGCCTCCGAGGCCTCACAAATGGGATCCATGACACCTATAGGACTTGCTACTGGTCATTAACTCACGGGATTAACTAGGTCAAGACATAGGAAGGAGCTTGTTCATTTCATCTCACATGCCACACGTTGATTTCTCTATAAAGTACTCATATACCTCCTCCATCGATGCGAACGGAGCAACTCTTCTCAACCAGCCATCCACATCAGAGAAAATCTACGTTAAACTCACCCAAGATGTCTCAGCATACCATAATCCCAATTGATAATAATTGGACCTTCAAACAAGCGGACAATGAAGATTCCAAATTCCTGCCTGTCGCACAATTTCCTACGAATGTTCATTTAGACCTCATTGCCAATGGCATCATACAAGACCCTTTCATGGGAAAAAATGAGAACGACGTACAATGGATTGGTGAATCTGTCTGGATATACAGAACAACGTTTTCATCGCCCGCCATACTATCAGACGATAAAGCTAGCGTCAAGGCAGTCCTGGCATTTGATGGATTAGATACATATGCCACTGTCCTGTTAAATGGAAAAGAGATCCTGAAGACGAACAATATGTTTATACCAGAACGGATTGACGTTACTTCTTACCTGAAAAATGAGGGAGAGAATGAGCTGAAAATCACATTTGAGAGCGCATATCTCAAAGGTTGTGCCATAGTGGAGAAATACCCGGATCATCATTGGGGCTGCTGGAATGGGGATACTTCCAGACTTGCTGTTCGAAAAGCACAATATCACTGGGTATGTAGAAAGCAACTGCTATATGGAATTGCAACATAGATCATTAACTTTGACTTCGTCCAGGGATGGGATTGGGGCCCAACACTCATGACTTGCGGGCCTTGGCGACCAATCAATCTTGAACTTTTCACCTCCCGCATTTCAGATGTCTACTTCACAAGCAACGTGGATAAATCCCTGAAAACCGCAGAGCTCGTCGCAAAGGCGGATGTTCAAGGCGAGAGCTCGCAAGTTAGGTTCGATGTCACTCTGAACGGCGACCTTATTGCAACTCAAACGGTCAACGCTGTTGAAGGCCATGCTACTCATGCCTTTAAAATAGAGAATCCGACACTCTGGTTTCCAATCAGATATGGCAAACAGCCACTTTATGAGCTTACCGCAACTCTACTTAATAACAATACAAGTATATCGACGCAGACCAAGAGATTTGGCTTGCGCCGAGCAGAGCTAGTGCAAGATTCTTTGACGGGCCAGCCAGGAACATCATTTTTCTTCAGGATCAACAACGTTCCTATCTTTTGTGGTGGTAGCGACTGGATTCCTGCTGATAACTTCATTCCTCGGATTAGCAAAGAGAAGTATTATGACTGGGTTAAGCTGGTGGCAGACGGAAATCAGTTTATGATCCGAGTCTGGGGTGGTGGAATATTTGAAGAGCAAGCATTTTATGATGCCTGTGACGAGTTGGGTATTCTGGTATGGCAGGATTTCATGTTCGGGTGTGGAAATTATCCTGCTTTCCCAGAATTCCTTACTTCTGTGAAGAAGGAAGCCGAGGAGAACGTCAAACTTCTCCGACACCATCCTTCCATCGTTATCTGGGCTGGTAATAATGAGGATTACCAATATCAAGAATCGGAAGGTCTCACATACGACTTTGAAAATAAAGACAGCGAGAGCTGGTTAAAGACCAACTTTCCAGCAAGATACATATATGAGAAAATCTTGGTGGATGCTTGTGCTGAATTAATTCCAGATACATACTATCACTATGGTAGTCCTTGGGGTGGAAAGAAAACTACGGATCCTACCGTCGGTGATTTGCATCAATGGAATGTTTGGCATGGCTCTCAAGAGAAATATCAAAATTTCGACAAGCTCGTTGGACGATTCGTCTCGGAATTCGGCATGGAAGCATTTCCCAATATCAAAACCATAGAGGCATTTCTCCCGCTAGGAAAAGATGATCCCGACCGTTTCGCGCAGTCCTCTACTGTCGATTTCCACAATAAAGCAGAGGGACATGAACGTCGTATAGCCCTTTATTTAGTTGAAAACTTTCGCTACGCGCCAGATCCTCTCGAACAGTTTATCTATTCCACACAACTCATGCAAGCCGAGTGTTTAGCTAGTGCCTATCGTTTATGGAAACGCCAATGGAAAGGTCCAGGAAAAGAATATTGTGGAGGTGCCCTGGTCTGGCAGATCAACGATTGCTGGCCCGTAACATCCTGGGCAATCGTCGACTACTATCTCCGACCAAAACACGCCTACTACACCGTCAAGCGCGAAATGGCCCCCATATCCCTCGGCATCACACGCAAAGAACATATCGTCCCAAAAGACAAATACACGCGCGCACATCTCAGTAAAACCACACAAATTGAAATCTGGGGCTCAAACCTAGGCCTCGAAGATATCACCGCCGACGTAGTAGTCAAAGCTTTCGACGTGATAACGGGCCAAGAGACATACTCCAAGACCATAGCATCTGCGCTCCTCCTTCCCGAAAACCGCTCTACCGAAATCATCGCCATGGACGTGCCCGTGCAAAAACCAAACGCAGACCAGGAATCCCGCACCGTCGTCGCAGCCTACCTCATCCAAGCCGGTGTCCAAATCGCCCGCTACATCAACTGGCCTGAACCTCTCAAATATGTACACTTACAAAAACCGCAAAATCTCCAAGCTACGCTATCGAAAGATGGAAAGACCGTAGAAATCAGCAGCGAGGTACCCATCAAGGGTCTAGCCCTTGAATGCGATGATGAAAATGTGAGGTTTGAGGATAATTTGGTGGATATTGTTCCTGGAGAGGTGGTTAAGCTGGCTGTTGGTGGTGCGAGCGAGGGGACGAAGATTGGGGTTCGCTATTTGGGCATGCTTTAGATGGGTTGGAGCTGTGGTTAGGTTGTTGTAGCTGTAGCTGTGGGTGTAGATGTAGATGTTTTCGTTTTTATTTCGGATTCGGATTTGGATTGGGATTGGGATTCGGATTCTCGATTATATCATATGATGGTTTTATGATGCATGCTAAGATTATTGTGATGATAGCTAACTATGGTGACTTTTTTTTTATCGAAATGTAAGGAGATCGATCTTTTTACCTTTGCATGTTCATTATAATTTCGGAAAAAAGAGGCAGGGAATGACACAACAACTTCTGGAGCGTCGAAGCTAGGTTTGATGGATAATTTAACCTGATCCTTTCTCGGTAGGGGGCCGAACACCACTCAACACAGTCTAGTGAAGAATGCATCGAGGACAGACGACAGAGTACATACATTGATTCAATCGATTACTTAGATACAATAATACACTTGCTAAAAGTCAGGAGGACCGTATGTTTCATCATTTCTGGCACATTCAGATCGGGTATCTTTGAATCCCCGTACCTCCCCACCCACCATCATTGCCCCTTCATCACCCAAAAACACCGACTCCTGCTCCATGCATTACAACGTTCATAATATTCACTTTTCATTTGGACCCTTGATCAAGACCTTGATGCCCTTTCCTTCTTTCACACTCTTGAAAGCCTCCTCTGCATCCTCAAACTGGACTACTCCAGTAATCAACCTTTTCACATCCACCTTTCCACTGCTCACCAGTTCCACTGCAAGAGCGTAATCTCCACTTCCGTATCTGAAACTTCCTTTGGCTGTAATTTCCTTGGTACACAACTCCATAATTGGGAAATTGATGTCTGGTTTGCCCATTCCACCTTGGACATATGTTCCTCCGCGGCGTACGACATTTATAGACGTTTGAATGGATGGTTCTGCTCCTGACGCACTGTAAGATCGAAGAGTTAGTAATGCCAGCCAAGAATGGTTTTGGAGGAAAATAAGGATGTAGAAGAGTAAAATCATGTTGGAAAGTAAAAGTGGTGTATGTGGAATCACAAAGTTGTAGTTGACAATGAGGATTAAATTAGGTAGTTAGGAAAAGATTTTGGAGATTGGATTAAGCTTACTCAATTACAACGTCGGCACCCTCTGGCAGTCCAACCTCTGATTTCAGATTTGATGCATTTTCTGCGGCAGAAACTCGCTGAGGGGTGAAGGTATGAGTGGCAGCGAAGGATTTCGCAAATTCGAGACGAGTGGGTTGGATATCAGCTGCGACAATGGTGGATGCTCCGTATGCGCGAGCTACTGCCATACATAGCAGGCCGACAGGGCCTGCTCCCATTACCACAACAGATTGGCCTGGAGTGATAATAGCCTGTTTGCAGATGTGAACTGCTACGGCAAGAGGTTCCATTAAAGCACCTTCTTGGAGTGAGACGTGCTCGGGAAGTTTATAGCAGAAGTCTGCTGGAGATGAGTAAAATCCAGCAAGAGTTCCGTCGATTGGAGGAGTGGCCGCAAAGTGCATTTCGGGACAGAGGTTGTAGTGACCGGAAAGACAGGCAGGACAACGGCGACATGGATAACCGGGCTCAAGGGCTATACGATCGCCAACCTGGAGAGTTTTGACGGCTGAGCCCACGCTGACGATTGTACCTGCGGATTCATGGCCTAATACCATGGGATCTTTCACAACAAAAGGACCAATGGCTCCCTCAACCCAGTAATGAACATCTGATCCACAGATACCGGTATAGTTTATGGCAATGAGGACATCGTGTTCAGATTCGAGCTTGGGAACTGGGCGTTCTTCGAATTTCACGGAAAAAGGCTTTTCGAGAACGAAAGACTTGTTCTATGAAGGACAACAAATTAGAAAGATCCTCAGAATAAGAGCTGGATATGCTTAGTATTTCTTACACTTTTTCCTGATATATCCGCCATGGTGCTTGAGGATTATTGCAGTCGAAAATTTTTCAAGTCTAATCCTTTTATTTTGTGAATGAAGATTTAAATTGAAGGATTGATGAGACGTATACGGAGTAGTTAGTTGTCGAGCTGTGCTTCGTTCATCACCCCACTCTGCCAGCAACCCCGCGATGACTTTATCCATGTTTATCCGCACCAATCAGAGAACATGTCATCGTGGAAGAAACTTTTCCGATTATTCCGAAATCTCGGTGGTAAAGTACGACGAGAGGTTCAAATATCGTGAAATGCTATGGGAAGATGAATGTATACGCGCTCCTTGTTACTGCTTTGGTTGTCTGGTTGATGGTTGGTGGTTGATGGTTGGTGGTTGGTGGTTGATGGTTGATATCAAGTTGACTTTCATCTGAATTTGTTGTTTCCGTTTGGCTGACGTCATTGATAATAATAATATATGAAATCGTTCACTGACTTCACTCTGAGATTCAAGCTGTTATGGCTGTCATTTATCGATGGAGGACTTTGTAGCTGAAGAAGAGTATCCAACCCAGACCAGTTACCCCAGATAGACTGGATGGCCCCAATTGCAGCGTCTCTTTCAGGGCATTGCTCGTCTGAGAACTTGTACTCACACTACGAGTAACTGTAGTAGTTATCGCAGTGCTACTGAATTCCGTGACTGTCGATACATAATTGAAGGGTGTTTCTTGAGGTGATGCAGTTGTAATCTCAGTAGAAGTGATGGTGATAGCTAATGTTGAGGACGGGTTCGTGGTAGCAGTCAGAGATCTATTATATGAGCATGTTGCCGGAGTAAAGGTTGTCCAGGAATTAAGAGCTGAAATGTAGGTTGACACGACAGAATCGGTGCACAGCATAGTATATCCAGTGTTGTAACTATCCGTGGTTACATTACCAAATGGAAGATGGGACGAATATGAAGTAGGAGGAGATGAGGAAGACATGATCCAAAAGACGATATGTAAGGAAGGTAGTGAAACTAAACATGGAAGAGGAAGAGGAAGAGGAAGAGGAAGGAGAAGGAGAAGAAGAAGAAGGAGAAGAAGAAGAGGAAATTTAAATAAGACTTACAACTTTGTTCAAGGTGAGATGACTTAACTCGAGGTCCTCAAAAACAAGAAATCAAGAGAATGAATAAAATATTGTTGCTCCAAATCTCGAACATCTTCCAATCAGAAGGCGGTGAATTGGTCATTGCGGCAGAATATTTTCAATGACGCTCATGATAATAATTAATTGATCATTCCAGATCAGAACAAAGCGGCAGCGGCCGAATAAGTACTACCAGAGCTAAATCAGCTCCAAACTTTTCACGTTACTTGTTACTTCAATTCTTGTGGCCAATTGATTTAGTTATGAGGTTCCAAATCTTATAACCTCAATTGAAACCACCAGCTTATTTATATCCTCTCAATCTTGTCCCTCTTACTCCGCAACATTTCAATTACTCTACCATCATCTCAAAATGTCGACCCCAATGAGAGGCATGCTCCGCACACTCCGCCCAACACCCACCACTCGTTCATTTTGCCCCTCAGCCCAACGCACTTTCATAACTCTACCCGGCACCGAACCGCAGATTCTGACCGAAAAGCGAATATTACCCTACAAATCCTCATCCCTCTACAGCCTAATCGCCGACGTCGACAGCTACTCCACCTTCGTCCCCTACTGCACCTCCTCCCGCATAACAAAGTGGTCAGCGCCCGATTCCAACGGTAAAAAATGGCCTGCCGAAGCAAGTCTTACCGTAGGCTGGGCCGGCGTTGAAGAAAGATTCACATCCAAGCTCCTCTGCGTCCCGGGCACGATTGTGGAAGCTCTCAGCGGCGACGCCGTCACATCGATTCCGGAATCCAAAGTCGTACATCACTCGGAAACCTATCATAGCCCCGCCGCTGCGAACGGGATTTTCCAAAGCCTCAACACACGTTGGTCTCTCAAACCCTTCCACTACCAACCACCAAGCGGCCAGCCACAAATAGATAAAACCGAACATGAACCGAGGGATCAAACAGAGGTGCATTTAATCATTGAGTTTCAATTTGCGAATCCATTATATACTGCGTTGAGTATAGCGGTTGCGCCCCAGGTAGCGCCAAAGATGATTGAGGCCTTTGAGTTGAGAGCTAGAAAGTTGTTGGATGGGCCTGGCGCGGGTACTACTGATAACAAGACATCATTAGGTCATGCAGTCAGTGCGGCGAAGAAACTTGGTGCTTAAAAAGGGGTTACATTCATCTGGCGAAACCTAAAAACATCATCTCTGATAATATAAGAATTCTGAAATATATCTACCGTGCACGATTTTATTCGTGATAGAATTCCCACAGAGGGTTATATTTTCCTGTATACAAGTTATTATTGAGTGACTTTTTAAATACAATATTAAATTTCAAATGTATAAGATTTTCTCTATAAAGTTAATATATAAATTTATTATTTTAAAATTCTCATTATATAAAAAGACATTTTTATAAAGACGAAATATATAATTTTATTAAAATTATTAATTGGATTATAATAAGATCTTATATTATATATTTTATATTATAATAAATAAAAGAAAGTCGTTGATTAAATAATTAAACTTATTTCAACTAACTGATATTATTAATTAATAGTTTCAAAAGCTAGGTTTTTATCAATCTTTGAATTTAAAGATTAAATATTGAAAATGTTAAATTTATAAATCAAAAGATAGAGTGAGTAGGTGAAACTGAGTTATAATATAAAATCCATTCTAATAGAGCTAAAAAAAAAAAAAGTACAAATAATAAGTGTGTCAACTTTGAGTAGTGATAACCATGATTAAAATACGACCAAAATCTTAAACCATGATAGATACGATCCCATCGCTAGATCCCAGATGAATTCATGTCATAGTGATTGAAGCTGGCCAATCGATCACGAATGGCGATGTCAATATTCCTTCTAGAAGGGTACATTGCATCCTCTCTAAGCCTTAGCCTCATGCAACCTAATCTTTACCCCATTTCCACTACACATGGTTCCCGTCATCTTAAAGGTGACCTTGTCCTTATCCACACTCTCAATTTGATCAAACTTCTGCAACATTCTAATCATAAAGACACCTGCTTCCGTAAGTGCATATTGTTGTCCAAGACAAATACGCGGTCCTCCGTTGAACTGTGTTGCCATGTCAGTGTGAGTTCGTTCGTAATCATGATATACGGTCCCAACACTCCTTCATGGACATCTCAATCGATGAACCGATAATAATTGGATAGATCATTTAAACAGGGAAAGATGGAATCAATTATTCCTCCAGAGTATTTCAACGTCTCAACTAATCCTGAACTGTAAAAGACCAGTTGAACAGAAAAGAGGAAAGAAAGCGAAAAAGAACAGTGATATATCATAAGCAAGGAAAAGGATTCAGTGAACATACCGGCAAGAATTCCCATCCCACCTTCTTCCCTTCCCATCTCTCCGGTTTGAATTCTGCCGCATCCTTGCCCCATATATCCTCTCGCCTATGCAAAGCGTAGGGATGATACTCAACCCCCTCACCCTTTCTCACAAAAATCTTACTCTTTCCATCCTTTCCTCCGCCACGCGGTAACGTAGTATCTTTATTCGCTATTCTGAGGTTCAATGGCACTACAGGATACACTCTCAGTGATTCTTTTAAGACCCATTGAAGATATGCACAAGACTTGATATTCATGAACGTGATATTTTTTGGGTCATTGAAAGTTCCAAATTCGTTCACGATAACCTCTCGCAATTTTTTGTATCGCTCAGGATCTCGGGCAAGTGATAGAAGGGTAAATCCAATGAGTGACGAAGTTGTATCGCGGCCCGCAAGCAAGATGTTTAATACCTGTGTGCGTAGTTCTATCGGATCTTGTGTTTGCTCTGCCAAGGATTTGAAGAAGACGTAGCGGTCCGAATTTTTTACTTTTTGTGGATTCTTAATCTCCTTTAAATGTTCGGCAACGATCCGATCAATGGCTCTATGGCAAACTGAGATAGCCTTCGCGAATCCTTTTGGCCATATCAGCCACTATGATATGGGATAGTTAGCAATGGCCATGTTAGGGCAGGATATTTAGTAGTTCGGATCAGCAGACCAAAACGCGAGCTATAAAAGAATTGAAATGATTTCGAAGATTGGATTCCTTCCAACCTGAATCTCTCAAACGGATTCAAAACCCTCTCATTGTTGAACTGCAGTGCGTACTTTTGGCCATCCTGTCGCAGGGGAATTTCAAAAAGAGGAGACAGATGACTTGAGCTGTAGTAGTGGGGGAAGATAGTACAGAAAATGAGGCATTCAGAGCGCCTTGAAGATTGAGGAATGTGAAGCCAAAAGCGAATCATACATACACTATACGGATTAAATCTTGCTCTTTGCGCCACGGCCTTGTTAGCAGTATCGAATTCCTTCCCAAAATCTTCTACAGTGTCGTCAGGAGCAGTTCCCATTCCTAAAAGCTGGCTGTTGACACTCTGGCCCAACAGAAAATCCGATGCCGCGTCCAAGGTGAATCGAAACAGTAATGGTTGGATATCCACTTCGCTTGACCAACCATCTTGTCCTATTTTAGGTAAAGCCTGCAACAAAACCTGGAAATGTCGCTCTTCCATCTCTAGATCACTAAGATTATCCCTCGCGAATTGTGGTCTCAAGAGTCCTCTCGAATGTTCCCAATGTTTCCCATCTTGTGCGAATATACCAAAGCCTAGGAATGGCCTCAAGTTGTCGCGTCTTTCTGCGCCCAAATCAAAATCTTGAAATTGTGTTCCAAGTACGGCTTTGATGTTATCTTCGTCGATGGTGGAGAAGCCTTTCTTGCCAAGTATTGAAGTGCTATAGGTGAGAGCATTGAGTTCTTTGTGGTTATTTTGACAGTGAACAGGGAAGGAATTCGTCGCGAGAGCGTTAAGAGATCGATTCACGTGGTCAATGCCGAAAGGAAGTCTGTTCTTCAAGGCGGGAGGGTCCAAACATTGGAGCTTCTTAGCTTTAACACGACGACGATGTGATTGTATTATGCCGCCGACAATGAGATACGCGACATAAGAAGCTAAGATAGTTACAACTAGTGAGCTGGTAGAATGACCCAAGGCTATGCCCGTGGAGAATTCCATGTCGAAGAGAAAGGTACAAGAATCTTGAGGATCTGGGTTGGGTGTGAGAGCAATTGAGGAGCGACGCAGCGAGCTTTTTGTAACCTCTACTACATGAGTGAGCGCACATATTATATTGTCCGGCCTCCGTGGCCGTAAATCCAATTGAAGAAAATGGCTTTCCCCTGATACGTGGTATTACAATAATAGTTGAGACTCAAGCCAAGACACCCCGTCTGAGTATGTAGATCCATCATAGTGCAGAAATGAACTGATGGAAATGAAAGGTACCAGTGAAAGACCTTGAATCTTCAACGATCAATGTTTAGTAAAATGCCTCGCTAAACAGGTGGAGTAAGTTCCCCGGACCTGTAAGTCCTTTCCTTGGTGGTCATGTTTTATGACCTTATTTACTGAGACATTTTGTTCAACGGTCAGTGTTTTTTCCAATGGTATCTCGCGATGTTCTAGTTTACCTGATAAGCACATGTATGCTTAATGCCGGCACATGAAAAGAGTCATGCGTTGATGTGGCAAATAAGAGGGGGTTGCCGTCAACCGAAGGTAAAATGTAACATCGAGGAAGTAATCAGATCTAGTTTTTTCCTGAATCTGCTGTATGAAGAAAATCATTAATGCAACGGTTGAGAGGGTGATTTCGTCAATCAATGGTAAAATGTAAAACGTAATAGCAACAAAGCAACCAGATCAAGTTATTCCCTGAATCTGCTATCTGGAAAAATTCAATAGTGTAACAATTAAGAGGGGCCTTATCGTCAACCAAAGGTAAAATGTAACAATTAAGAGGGGTTCGTCGTCAACCAAAGGTAAAATGTAACAGTGAGAAAGCAAGCATATCAAGTTATTCCGTCCATCCGCCCTCCGGGCCTGCCGGAAACCTGTTCTACAACATAAAATTGCGATACCACAGGAAAATCGGGGTTTGTTTTCGTTCCGCCCACATGCTATTGCCGTACACGACTCTCGTGTGGGGCGGATAATGTGACACACGTCCGAGCAGATGCATCATCTCCTGCGGTCTTTATAATCATCCTTGTCCCTCCTATATGACCTATTATGATCACGTTCTTTGTCCCTTTCCCTTTCTCTGTCTCGACCCTCGTCTCTATCTCTACGATAGCTTCTTTCATCTCTCTCCCTAGCGTAATCACCCATTTTCTTCTTATCCCTATCACTCCCTCTACGTGAATAAGACGACCCTCCAGGTCGTAATCTTTTAGCATCAGTCTTCTGCACCCAAGCCCCTAGTTCTTCTGCATCTTTTAGTTCTTTTGCTCCTAGGCCTAGTAAATTCTGTCTCCTCTTTACCTCCTTTCCACCACCCTTTCTCTCTTCACCATCCCAGCCCATCCCTCGTAATAGCGCCGCTCCGAATTCTTCCACCGGTACAGCCTTGTAATCCTCTAATGTTGAAACATCAGGTGCTGATGCAATAGCTTTCCTATACGCATCTTCTCCCATAGCCAGTTCATTGCCACCTTCATTTCCAATTACGGAAGGGATAATCAAATCCAAGCCGGTCAAAGAATCCAAGCCGGTCTTCTGTTTTCCTTTTTCTTTTCCACTTTCCACTTTCTGCTGCTTTGTCATCTTCATCATTTGATCTCCATCTTGGTCTTCACAGTTATCCCATTTGATCTCCACGTCATTCCCATCCAGTCCTTTTTCCCAGCTTCTCCTCCGGATTCCTTCCGCTCCTGCCTTCTTCCTTTCCTTCCCCTATCCCTATTCTCTTGTTTCGGAATAACCAGGACCTCTCTCTTCCCCTCTTTAATTACATCCCCATCCACAAAGCCAGTAACGGCCTCATGTTTTCCTCTTCTCGTACTTGTGCCATATTCCGAATCCTCTGAATCTTCATCATCGTGCGCAAAAGAGTTTCTAGGTCGCTTTCCTAAACTAGATTTAGGAGGTGCCCCAGTTTTGGACGTTGCGCCCAAGGAGAAACCCTTCATGGAAATTTTGGGTGCATCGCTCGATGGCGACATTCTCGGTCGTAAGATCTATGATCAGGTAGTATGCGCGTATCGAAGGTATAATCCTGAGATAAATGGATATATGTTGCGTGAGGCTGTCTCAGAATCGATTCAAGGGTTTTTAAAACCTGCAGATGCCGCATTGCGGCTACGTTGCTGCGCGGGAAAGTTGCCGTTGCATTAGTTTCACAGTCACGTGGATCAAGCTATGGCCACCAAGATACGAAGCACTGTAAACTCAAGAACTTCCCCATAAATTGAATCTTTTGAGAAGAGGATCGACAGCGGGCTCCAAATATTGATTAATAATCTATGACTCCCGGAATATCAAACTATCCGATGCAAAATGTGAAAAGCATCGGGAATTTGAAGCTTCCGAACCCGGGCGGTCCTCTTATTAAAAGGGTGTAAAAAGGTAGCGCGAAGTTGTTGAGTTTATATGTAGTATTTATCAATTTATTCAAATATGAATAAAATTGGATAAAAAAGAGTAAGATAAAATTGTTATTAAATAGATTTATTAGTGATCGAAAGATGACCCTTGGGAATGCTTTTATTCTTATAATCTAATATTTAATATAGCAATTTCAGATACGATTCGAGTAGAGATAGAGAACATATTAAGTCTTTGATTCACAATGGATGTGTTTAATAAGTACAAGGTTCACTATAGACATATAATCATTGATACATTTCAATTCAACAAGCCATCCGCCAGCATTGCTAGCAGAAGTACTTTTTGCACGCCAGCAAAATCGGCTACGTAGCCGCATGCGATTAGACTCCTGTAAGAGCCTAGCAAGATCTATTTATACTTCTACCACCATCCTTTTAAAGCCTCCTGATAGGGTAAACCAAATACATACAACGTTTACTTCGTTGCAATTGATAAATCCACGCTTCATTTCCCTCCATTTTGTTGCGCCCCGTGTCCTTGATTTTGGCTCCCTGTAGCTTGTGAGGACGGCTGCTGCTGCTGCTGGCTATTCTGTAATCTCTGCTGGTGATGGTTGCTCAACATTTGGGCATACATCTGCGGACTAGCGTTCTCAATGCCAATTGGTGGCCGCTGTCCTCCTTGACCATTCATTCCCAAATTGTTGTTGCCAGCCGCTGCATTCATAGCGCTTGCTGCTATGCCGCTTGGAGGCTGGACTAAACCTCGTTGTTGCAAGTGTTTGTTGTTGTTAAATGCAGCTATGTTTTCACCCATCAATTTATGGATTTCGCTCGCTGATGCGTGTGGGTTAGTTCTCCTGACATTCCGTTCTATTTCCAGATACGGAATGTTTGGAGCCAGGCCGCCATTAGGAATTCCCGAAGGAGGTAAGCCTACCCGAGGAGAGCTTGCTTGAGCAGGAGAAGGCGCTGATATACCTGGAGAACCAGCCATACCGTTGATGTTGTTGTTATTGTAGGATGTCATATTATTGGGCATAAATCCAGGCTGCGTAGGCATGCCATTCATTCGTGAAGGGGAGTTTTGAGCCTGTCCTGGATGTGGGCTACCCTGTTGCTGCGTCATATTCTGCATCTGTTGTTGTCTCTGCTGTAAGGATACGCGACGAGCACCATCTGCAAGTTCAGGGGTAAGAGCAGGATTTAACGGTAAACCTCCCTGCATTTGAGCTTGTGGAACACCGTTGGACATTGCTTGTGGAATGCGGAGGTTGTTAGGCATCGGCCCCTGTACACCCATATGTGGTGGAAGAGGCCGGGGTCTATTCTGTCCTGGAACAGTGAGATGACCGTTCCCATTTGGCTGGCCGATTGGAGGAACGAGGCCGTTTGGAAGACCAGGTACACGTTGTTGTGGCAAGCCACTAGGATGAGCCTGTTGCTGAGCTGCATTTCTTTGGCGAGCTTGCGCTTCCTGATTTGATGTTAGTATGTCTCGCATAGTCTTTGGCTAATATCTTGTAGCAACTTACCCTTCTGACTTGTTCCTGTCGTTGTTGGAACGCAGCCATGCTTTTCTTCAATTGCTCATCTCGGTCATGTTTCAAACGGCTAAACTCTTGGGGAGTTTTGATAGGTGTCCACGTTTGTGGTTGCTCGGCTGGCTTCCTTGCTGCGGCCTGTGCGGCGGATAATTGCTGTTTCTGAGCGGAGTTCTCGCGCTTCTTTGCCAATTTTCTCATCGCATCAACTAATGCTAAATGTTTTTGATTTCTCCGTTTCTCCACGCGCTGGCTCGTGGTAGTCCGCCTTCGAGGTGCGGCTGGTTGACCATTCGCAGTGGGCTGCTGGGGAACTTGAGTCGCCATGACCTGTAGATTTCGTTGAGCTGCCTCCAATCTATTGTTGTAGGCTTTAAAGTATGCTGTCTTTTGCATGTCTGCGGGTAAACCTTCTAAAGCTATCCATCGTTCAAAGCATTCCCAAGGCGTACGTCTCTCGGCACCTGATGACTGTAGCGATCGGCTTGATAACATATTGGAAATAAGTGACCAATTATAAGCATACTCTCGCACAAGTCTCTTCAACTCGTCGTCCTCAGAAAATGTCCATAGGGAACATTGACGGCATTCGAAGAAACTTTGTGTTGGCATTGGAAATTCTGAAGGTGGTCGGAATTGATGTCCGGCATGAATGCGGTCGCGAATATGCTTGTTGGCGGGGTCGAATAAACCTATATTGGTCTGCTCGGGTGGTAAAATTGATCTCTCATGCCTAGATGGGTCTATTGCTACATCTTCATCGTCACTGTCCTCTTCGTACTCAAATCTGCTCTTTTTGCGCGGAGGTCCTTGAAATTTTAGTTCCATCCTGCCCTCTACGTACTTACTGATACCGACCGCCGGTCGTCTCCAGAAGCGATCAGGATCAACTTCAGAGGTAGGTAAGTCATTACAAGGAACACTCAGTGGGGCACCATATAAAGGCAATTCCTCTAAAAGTTTATCGGTCGCTGGGGACCTACTCAGTCCAAAAACAACATCATCATCCTGGAGACCAAAGATCGCAGTTGGGCTGACAGTACCCGTAATAGTGAGGCGAAGTTCTTCATCAACGTCGTCCATTGGCGAATCGGCTTCTGCAGAGGGAATCAGCTCGGGAGTTGAACGGGGGAGAAGCTGACTCGTCCCATCACCCATTTCAACATCTCCAGAGGTTTCAACCAAGGATATCGGTGGGCGAACAGCGTTCACTTGTAGAATCTTTCGTTCCTCGAGGCTGGCTTCAACCCACTCTGCACAAGCATATGCCAGGTTCTTGGCCACCGCCATTTTCCACTTCCGTTCTTCTCGAAAATCTGTCCGCATCCATTTGGCTTCTTGAAGAAGGACATCCCAATGTGTAGTTGGTCGGACGGGTTCCTCGGATCGCTTGGGCTGGCGTAAAGACCATTTGTGATTGTTCTGAAGTCCATATATGCGCTTTAAAATTCTTGTCGTTTGATTTTCAGTAATGGGCACAAAAGCATTCGAGGTCGTGATGGTTTTATGGGCGGTCTGTAGTAGGCCATCCAAAGGGGGATAGCCTGTTTTTTGTGTATTATGGCTATTAAGATACAAACACGCAAAATAATCATCTTGGGGATGTGCTTGCTGTTGATGCGCGCCTCGGCTTGTCATAGCAGCATCATTAGCTCTAGGACCAAAAGGCTTTTTTGCAAACACTACGGTTGAAAGACGACTTTGGTTCTTTTCTTTGACTTTCTGTAGAAGGCTACGAGTAGATCCTGGGGTACTCCCTCTTGAAGGTGAGTCGGCGGCCGATCCAGTATCCGGCTTGCTAGTAGGGCTTCTAATCGAAGCTGGGGAGGTGTTTGGTGCAGGCGTTTCACCTAGAATCTCGGAAACTGACTTATGTCTTATCGCCCCGGAGGCGACCCTTGTTGTCATACGCTCAATTGGTACTTGAACAGATGCGGGTGTAGATGACGTTTTGCGTGTTGTGGGAGCTGGTGTTGATGGTGGCGATTTAGTATTTGATGATGGCTGCGTTGAAGCCTCTCCAGCGGGAGCTGATGCTTTTGTATTTGGGATAGCACCACTGTCCAGGGTGGTATGACTTTCGAACGAATCCTTCACAGTTGCCACGTCCAAATCCATGGCGTCTTGTGGTGTCTGTCCATCGCCCTCAGAGTCCGGTACTTCCTCCGTCTGAGGAGTTGCACGAGAGTTCTCACTTTGATTTTTATCCCGTCGCAGGACGTCTGCGCTGACATCGATTTTATCCTTAGTGGATTCCTTCTGGACATTGCTAACCTCAGATGCCAGTGATTTAGGTTCCTCTACGTCCTGTGAACTCGAGGCTTGTGAATCTGCTATTTCAGCAACCACAGGAACAATAGAGCCAGATGCGGCTTGGTCTTCCATACGTAGTTGAGCATCAGCTGATATGGAACTACTACCAAGTACTTCAGCACGAGAGACCTCATTTTGAGCTTTCTGCTTTCTGTCGTGTTCATCCTTCTGGACAACGTTTTCGCGAATGGACTTCGACTCTGTTGAGATCTTGCCATCGATCTCATCGTCTGGACGTTCAAGATATCCGGACCGAGAACTGTCATTCTCCGGACTTGTCCCGGCAGAGGCATCATGTCGCGCAGGGGTAGTGGTCGAATGGGCATCTATTGTTGAACTTGGGGAAGAAGCTAGATCTACGGAAGCCCTGAGAGGATCTGCGATTGATTGCCTTCGCCTTTGCCCCTTATGATCGCGTGCCTTCTCAATCTCTTCTAGTCGAGCTTCCTGAACCTCCTTCGGTGGTAAATGGGCAGTCGCAGCATGATGATTCTCGTCATTCGCGCCAAATAGAACTGGTTCTTGCAGATTTGCAACATCCTCGGGAGATGGCGGCACTGCTTTCCTTGGATCCACCCCAGGACTTTCAGGAGGACTTTCAACAACTCTCTTAATACGGTCGATTTCAAAATCCTTGTTCGACAAAGCAGGCTGTGCCTCTTGTGCTGCTGTCGCTGGTCGACTAGCACTTTTAAATGCTTCCTCCGCTGTTACATTTAGTTCGGCAGAAGTCTCCGTTGGTAAACCTATCTGCGAGCTCTTCGAAGACGGTCTCCGCATGGATACTGTAGCCGCTCCTGGTGTTGCTCCAATGCCATTCCCATTTTTCTCGATGTTTCGTCCTTCATTACTGTTCTCGATTGGAGTATTCCCATGGTTCTTCCGAGGTAGTATTCCATCGCGCTTGAAGTAATGTTCTATTTTATGAGGTCCATCACTTTCTGAGAGATCTTTACCCGCTTGGCGAGTTGGTGATATTTGTTTTAGGGAATCGAATTTAAGCTGTCGCCGGATGGGTAGATTTGATTCATTGAAGGGCCGGTCCCTATAAATGATATTAGTTTAAAAAGTAATTGAGCGGTACAGTAATTGCAGTAAGTCTAAAATTCGTGGCTTCTGGAATTACAGTACGTACTGTAAGATATCGCAAGCCTCAAGAAATTGTGCTTCTGCGGAGGTGGTCGGTGGAGCATTGGGGTCTATCCTAGAAATTTTAGGTATAGGGCCTTCATTGTCGCAAACCGCGAATAACTCGAGAAGCTTCCTCTTTCTCGATGCATCAATTCGACTACCACGGTTAGTATTATAAAAATAATATCAAAAGGTGCACAAAATGATGCGACATAAACTGGGATAAATTAAATTAATTAAACTACCTTGCTTCATCGCGTTTCAATCGTAAAAGAGGTATGCGATAGGATGCTCCAACCTCACTCATAATATCGCGACCGCGACATCCGTTTTTCAAAAAAACGGATATAGTCCCGATCTTAATGAAAGATTCTGAGATGCTTCGAAGAATTAATTAAATGAAAACTCGTGGTTGTGAATTGATAGTAGATGGGTGTTCAAACTGCTCTATCACCGTGTTCAAAAATTGCATGGGAAGGACAATCAAGCATAGGCAATCCGAGAGTTTAGGCACTTTAAGCGATCCCCCGGGAGGAGCGTCATAACCTTTAACACATATTTTCTTTCTCAAGATAAAGTTTACAAGTTCCCGTTTGAGTTTGGAGATACTTTCAAGTCTTTTTGACCCAGATATCATGGGGAAAGCTGTTAAGTTTTCAGGTATTTTATCCAGGTGTTGACCGAAATGTTTCGTGGATATCTTTGTGTTGCATCATAACCGATAACGCTAGAGGGGAAAAAAGATGAGGGTCTTGCGAGGGGAGAGGGGGAAGAGGGAAGAGTTGCGTGAAAAATACCACACCCCGTGTGAATATTGAAGGGGTTTTTTTAGTAAGGGAAGAACAGGTAATGTAATGATAACAACATGTTACATACGCAGGTAAATCTCCGTGTTATTTATCGAGACAACGGTTGAGACGAAAAAGAGAGTTTGAATGGCACCTCTAAAAGATGTAGGTGGAATGTATTAAAATCGTTCAAACGAAATGCCTAAAGTCCCGAGTTATTTATCAAATAATACAGGAATCCTGTACTGAGTAGTAAGAATAAATAAATGAGACTGAAGCAAATACCTATCAAGATAGTCAAATGAAACTATCATTGGGATAGAAATGATTTAATGTTGCTATATACATATTTGGAGATGTATTTCTTCCTTACATGCATTATCTTCATGTCGTCCTTTCCATTCCTGAAAAATTCTGAGTATCAGCTACCGTATATCTTCCCTTCTGCTTCGAGATTCAAATGTTGGATTAAGCTGAATATCATCGCTTGTTCCATGTCATAATATCTGGCCGTGCCTTTGGATCAAATTAGATATCAGGGCTTTCCCCGTCCATAATGGATGGATCGCAATAATTTTAGCGGCGGCGGCTTCATGCAGATTAGTCTGCAGCTGCATTCTGCGTTCTGATTTCAAGTTACCAATGCCTAACCAATAACAAAAGTGACAACCTCTGATCGAGATTTCTTGTGCATATGCAATAAATAATCCCTCTTCTCTCACAGAACGCGCTGTGTAAGAAAAGAAAAAAAGAAAAAAAGATTCAAAATTTCTCTCTATAACACTTGCAGCTTTTCCTCAATCTTAATGTATCCAGGTACCGAGCAAGGAAGACATTGGCTTACATTCTATTGTGCCTGTCTTGCTGCTTGCACACGACCCATCGACTTTCTTCTCGGTTGCTCGCTAATAAACGAGGTCTTCCTCATGTCGCTATTCAGCGCTAGCCTTCGCCCTATGTTCCCAAAACAAACACAGCTGCAAAAAAGAACACTGGAAATCCATATCCCAGCCTCAAGATTACCCCTAGTCACCAAATTCTCGGATCCAGCCTCCGAATAATCAATTGGATGGTGAGATACGGTGCTGTTCTTCACTGCAGCAGCCGGGCTCGGCATTAAATCTGAGTTCGACGCAAGGAGAATTGCGCTGCCTGTAGCACCAATAGCGGCTGAAAACGCTAGTCCAGGCTTGGAACGGTCAATGATATACCACAACACTGGATTCACGAGGGCGAGGGTTAAGGATGCTTGCATATCAGAAGCCCAGGGGAGTTTGCGCTTAAGGAAATGTTAATGAAGTTCAGTAATGCATCGAAAAGGGACGTACAATGGCAAAAGCTATTCCTACAAAAGCGCCCACGCTCCTTACTGCCAGTATCCAGTCTTCCCCAAGAACAATTTGTGAGTCGCTGGCATCAATTGCTTCTTCTGATGGAGTACTTGTGGAGTTTCCAGGTGATCGAATCTTTTCGTCCCACAGTTTGTCGACCAATGGTAGCAAGCTTCCCAATCCAACACCTGCAATGCCCCAAAATACAAGATATCTCCAATCATGACTGGGTTTTATAATGGACTCCACTTGGAGTGGCGCAAGATGTCGGTCGTCGTGTAGATGTTTTACAAGTAGACCATATAGCACCCCTAAACCAAATAACAGAATGGAGCGAAAGATCCGAGAAGCTATAGTTGCGGACCTTGAAGGCCGGGCTCCAGCCAAAGAATGTCTTCTTTGGATTGTAGAGCTACGCTTCCGTTGGAGGCTCTCATCTCCTGTTTCCCATGGAGTGGTAGGTGTCTCTGGCTCAAAATCATCATGACCGTTGGCCTCGTATATACCTCCCAAGGTGGAGGATGTCAAGTTGAGGACGGAATGAGTGCGGCTTGGTGTTTCGAGGAACTCGTATGAAGGAGTAAGCGAAGGACTTGGAGGTTGTTGGAGGGCAAGAGAATGTGCTTCAAAAGGCCGACGTGGCTTTGGGCGATATATGTGCGGGGTAGCCATTTCGACCTTAATCTTGTAATAATGCTGACGATGACAGATGGAGATACTTTCTTCCCAAGATTTACAAAGGGGCAATGAACCGCGGAATCTATAAATGATCTGTTCTCAGTCAACAAAATGTAACATGCATATCACAACAAGTGATCCAAGGTCTATGTCCATGTACAAATTGACCAATTGATGTGTTTGTGAAGATGAGAAGGACTACTGCTGAGTCTGGGGAGGTACCTCTGAATGTGTTTACTTTACTTCAAACTCAAATATGCATTTCTTATTGGGTATACCACAATTAAGCTGCTCAGGAATGAAGTGACAAAGTAGAGGTGAAGAATAGATGGGATGTATAAAAGGGACTCTCGAGGTAAGTAATAGGAGTGGGAAAAATAGGTATGTTTTTTTCGTATTGAAGAGATCAGGAGAGACGGGAGTCATGCACCCAAGGTGTTTCTAGGTCGAGGCTTCGTTTAGCTTTCACATGTCTAAGATGTGAATGCTTGCCAAGAAAACGTCGGAGGGTCGGAGGCACGGGACTTAAATTGGGACGATCTACTCGTCTAAACTTTATCTGGGGTAAATTCCTTGCATTGAAGTTTTATCCTCTCGGAGTCGAAGCACAAACATGAACCCAAGTGATTCGGTTCGTATTAATAATTTATGATTTTGATAGGCTCGAGTCTCCATGTGTTGAACAACTGCCGTCGCTTCGGAGGACTGTGGTGGAGGACAGCGAACAGAGCAGTGAGAGCAGTGCCGTAAACCTCATCTTCAACATTAATGATGTTAGATGATGTCGAGGATGTAAGCTATGGGTGGGAGCAGGTGGCTGACTATCTTTCGTGTCGCCCCGCGGATTCTTCAGTTAGAAGGGTCGAGCTCATGTAATAGAGGGTCATTGATTCAAAGCTGTGTCAGAGCGGACGGCGTAGGATGGCTGTGATTAGGTTGAAAGTTGTGATTAGATGGGATATCGAAGATTAGGTGGTTTTAGCGTCAACTGATGTGTATCAGACAACAGTTTTGCTGATTACCTATTCTTCCCCATTCGTTACATTTGGCTATAATAGTCGGGTATCCCGGTACATACAGTAGGAATAACATGTAAATAATTTGATCAGTTTTCCAATACTATACTACTAAATAAGATCTTTACATAATTGACTTCAGTTTGAAAATTCATAATTTTATACCAAAGCTAAGATTTTAAGTAATGATATGATTGTGGACTGATATATTTATATAAAAATCAAATCGGTGAAGGGACAATCCCCTTTCCGGTGACACCACAGACTCGTTAGTCATAGCCCCTCATCACACCTCCGTAGACTGAGTACTCCATATAATGTGAGGGAAATAAAATCTCGAGGATCCATTCCTAACGGTATACATAAGACAAGTACCGAAAGGCAAAGGATGATTACCTAGTAGCGTCCTGAAAAACGATATAGTTTTGATGCAAGATGCTAGCTTTATGCTAGCCTTAATGCTAGCCTTATATCTGGGCCAAGTGGAAACATAGATTTTGAATAGAATGGTTTTAAATACTAGATAATACTATTTCTATTTACTATTGGTTGGTACATGACTGACACCAGTAACCTTCAGCAACATCTTATGAAGTTAATTTGTAAGTCGAGGATGAGAAGAAGTTCTGTGATCAAAAAAATGACCAAGGAAAAGTTGCCGTGTTAGTTAAAGCGGCGCACACTATTTCTCAAGGCGGCCTGCCACATGCAAAACTCATGTAAGTAACCCTGTAATAATTTTTTAGCACCTCAAAAGTTCCTGGGAGCCTTTTTTTCTCAAAGGCTGATTTCTCACCTAGTCACCCAATCAATCACGCAGTGAAAACCCATCACAAAACACGACATGGCAAAAAGAAAGAGAAATACGGCTGCGGAATCAGTGCCTGCAGTGCCAGCGTCATCTTTACCATCGAAGAAATTGAAGCAGTCTACCACGCCCAAATCCAATTCCTCCAAGCCTACTACCATTCAAATCATAACGGGATCTTACGACAGAGTCCTTCATGGTATCACTACGACGATACGCTCCGACGATGATGTCCAATTCGCAGATACTTTCCTCTTCAACGCCCATACCTCTGCCATTCGAACTTTAGCACTCTCTCCTCCCTCTGCGCCAGTTCCTAGACAATCACAAAAAATAATCCTTGCCACTGGTAGTACTGACGAGCGCATAAACCTCTACCACATATCCGCACACCCTCCATCTAAGATATCTATCCCTGCAATTCCTTCTCTCACGGCCAAGGCCGTTGTAGAGAATCCTCAAAATCGCGAGCTTGGTTCTTTACTGCACCATGCCTCTTCAATCACCGCCCTCTATTTTCCAACTCGGAGCAAGCTGATGAGCTCTGCAGAAGATTCGACTATTGCAGTTACGCGAACAAGGGATTGGAGCTTACTGAGTACTATCAAGGCACCTATACCGAAAGCGGTGGGCCGGCCCAGTGGTGATACTGCCCCGCTTGGGGGACAACCTAGTGGAGTGAATGACTTCGCGGTTCATCCGAGTATGAAACTTATGCTTAGTGTGGGAAAGGGAGAGAAGTCTATGAGATTGTGGAATTTAGTTACGGGAAAAAAGGCGGGCGTGCTAAATTTTGAGAGAGAAATGTTAGGCGAGGTAGGAGAAGGAAGATTTAGCAGTGGAGAGGGAAGGAGAGTCACCTGGGGCAATACTAAAGATGGCGGGGAGGAGTTTTGTGTAGGATTTGAAAAGGGACTGCTCGTTTTCGGGATGGACTGCAAAGTTAGGTGCAAGGTGGTTCCTACACCAAGGACCAAGATCCATCAGCTTTCTTACGTTCAGGTGGGAGATGATGAGGATACACAGGTCTTGGCTGTGTCGACGGAAGATGGAAGAATATTGTTTTATTCCACAGATCCCAAAGATTTGGAAACTACAAAGGCAGCAGAAGGCAAAACACAGCCAATAGCAGCTGCCAAACTCTTCGCGCAACTTGGTGGGAAAGATAATGGGGTATCCGGACGTATCAAGGACTTTGCCGTTTTGAATATTGGTGAGGGTGCTGCAAGATACATCATCATTGTGGCAGCAAGTAGTGACGGTACAGTCAGACTCTACAAATTATCTGCAGCCAAGGATTTGGCCCAAATTGGAGAGAATGTAAACCAGGTCGGAAAATTAATTGGCGCATACGAGACCGGAAATCGTATTACATGTTTAAAGGCATTTGTAATGTTACCGGCTCCTGAAGGAGTAGAGGATGAAGAAATTGAGATAAACGAGGATGATGAGGAGAGCGCAGACAGTAGCAGTGATGATAGCGAATAAGATACCCTCCGAGGAAGGATTTCCATAAATATTGAGCTTCGCTCCATTCTCTTTATCTTATTTGCGGTTTTCGTCGTATGAGAAACCTAAAGAGTGTTGAAGTGGTGCCCTTATCATACTCAATCAATCCTTTGCGTGTATCATCATGAATCATCCTATTTCAAGTAGCACAAGCCGGTCCCAAACATGAGGCGGGACAGAAGCAATTAAAAGAAAGAAAAAAAGAAGAAGAATACAGCTATTAAGGAGATGTACTCGATATTATTTCGAGTATTCAACGTCCAGTATGCACAGTCTAATTTGCTTCCACTTTCTGGGTTACTCTATTTCATTCATTTATCCAAGCTACTGTATCGTTTCACATTACTTCGTATCTTGGATTTTCAATGAGCAAGTTATATGCAAACGAATTGCTAGCCCAGCTCATTTTCGCCGCAAGTCAAAAAAACGATACGCATTCATGGCTATGAACTCAGAGATATACAGACTCGGCATATCAGTCGGATTCTCTATCTTCACGGTACGCGAGAGTACTTTTGAATCGTCCATTAATAGATTTATTCCAACTAATATTGTTAACTTTCCATGTTAAAAACGAAGGAAGTTGCTGATTTCTTCGTCTGATTGTTTGTGATATATTCTACCAGTAACACGAATGCTGTAGCTCTTGAACAACTGGTCAAGAATAATACCTTCTTCTGAAGTACTTACAGCTATTTATAGACACGTTGTGGAGTATTTCAGCCCTTCTCTTAATATAAGCAACTTTACCATTGTGAGAGTTATCATACTGATATAAAAGCCCATTATACAAAGCCAAGTTGATTATTATTCGATTTCAAGCTTGAGCTGGTCCTCCGGACTCACAAATAATAGACAACATTAGGTTGCAGCACAGTCCATGATTAACAGCTGTTAAGCAAAGTTTTGATCGAGCGAAATCTTGGGAGATGGCGAGCTGTTTCGATGTATTTATGTAGATAGTAAGACTAGTTGGTTGATTGAAAGTAGGATACTTCAGTGCAATTGCTTGCTGGAGGGGTTTCCAGACAGGGTTTATAGAACTTTATTCTGGTCGAACTTCATGGTATGGAGTCAAACACGCATACTTAGCTCTAAACAAAAGCTCCTATCACGGCACATTTAAAACAGAAGAGTTGGGGTGATAAATAGAGGGGTTGATTATGGCAAACGAAAATTTATTCTCCCGTATCATGTGGTTCTTTCCATTTAACAAACATCTTCAATGCGAAGAGCAATTTCCAGTAGTTCAAATTAGAAATTAGACATGAGCTAATGAATGTATTAAGAGAATCACCAGCATCAGCATATGCCTCATCGGACCACTAGAGATCCCCCGCAACAAAGAACCTGCAAAACTCTTGATGTAGCCTCAGTTCATCAAACCAGCCATCAGATGTTCCTGAGGGACAACTGCCTCTAAGTTTTTGACTGCTTGCCTCACATTGTCTCCATAATCGAGTGCAGTACCCGAGCTTCCGGCCATTACGGCCATACGACCACTTGTATCAATCACAGCCATGTCCAGCATCATGGTCCGTCCACAGACTTCCTGGAACACTTTCAATGCAGCATTTTCACCAGTTTCTGCTGCATGTGTTAGTCATAGACGAGGCATAAGAAGTTAATGGGCTACGAAGCCAAATCACGAAACTGTCTGTTGTACAATCAGGGTTCCCAATAGTTTGAGCTGTTGGATATCCCAAACACAGCACAGAACGCGTAGAGAAGAAGCGCAAGTCTTACCTCATGGTATAGGGCGAGCCTTACTAGGATTTTGAGAAGGACGTCCATTCAGAACATTATCGTATTCCTCAAGCATGGATACTCCGGTGTTTACGAAATCCCAGAGGTAGAAAAGACTTGGGGTTTTCTCGTTCCAGAGAGGATGCGCCTTTAATGCTCTAGACTTTGGTTAGAATTGAGGGATGAATGAACATCTGAGAAGAGGGGATTTACTCTAGGACTTTTTCTAAATGTGTTTTGATATCTTCTCGGAGTTGGGCTTCGATGGGTGCCTTTTTGCGATTGTGTGACGTTCCGGATGTTGGGTAGGCAAAGAGGGGAGTTTGATGGGAATATTGGGATGAAAAGGACAGGATAGGATAAGAAAAGATAGGATAGGATATGAAGAAAGGAGAGGGATGAAAACGGCTTTGTATATATGAACTCGTAAAACAATGTGATTGATATTTTCTTATTGGTTAACTTCTTCCTTGCCTTGTAGGTATGCAAAAGGTATGGTCACGTATGACACAAATGGATTTGTCCAGTTGGAACTCATGTACAGTGCAGCTATGTTCCGACTCTTATGCATCACGGTGATATTGCATATCAACTATACAGAGTAGGTAGCTGTCCGAAGTTGTAGATAGGTACCTACCTGCCCGTAGCTTCGACTTCACAAGTGTTACCTCAATTGGGTGCCCCCGAGTGCCTAAAATATGTCTCACTCATCTAGCTACCACCACAGATAACGCTTTCGAAAAACTACTCGTATCAAAAACATTCTATATATACATATTATATTGTGTTATTGTCCCCTACCCACTATGTATTAGATAGATGGATGTATGTAAGGTTAGAAAACATCGGGTAAAAGAGAAAAAGAAAAGCCCGTGTGGTCAAGCCAAAATCATCCGTGCACATTGTTGAGCTCCAATCAGTGATAAAAACTACGGAATATGGACTACGGAATACCACTAGGTAAGGTTATTGGCCCCTCCATTAGCGTCTCTCAAACTTACCAGCTAGTAACTTAGTAAATTGTTGTCACCTTTGTACCTGGTGAAACTCCATTGCAAAAAAACCATTTCTTTTCCTCTTTTCTTTTCCATACTCAAAGGAAAGTCGAAAGGAAAAAAGATGACCTCCAATCCTCAGAGTGTCAATGGCTCTGAGAGCGAATTCGAGTTTATCGAGACCCCAAAAGCCCCCACACCGACCTTTGAGAAGTTCGAGCCATGTGGTGTAAGAACAACAGCTGTAAGTAAATAAAAAATTCCCAGAATTTTCCCATTCTCCATATCTGTCAACTTCAATTTTGTCTAAACAAAAGCCAATTGAATCTAATATATCATGTCAACTAGTACCCTGCTATCAAGAACGCTCCTCTGCCTGCAGATGCTTCTGGAAATGATAGTTTCTCAAACACCCTTCTCTTCTCCCTCATCGGTGGTGTCCCTCTATACCTTTCCTGGAAGGTTGGCGGTGGATTCAAGACCACCATCTTCTTCGCTCTCATCACCACCATCCCAATTCTCCTCGCATTCTGGACAGTTTTCTCCAGCTTCTCCCCACGCAAGAATGAAAAGGCAAAATACCCAGGGCGCCCGGTCGAGCATTATCTTACCTTCAAGAATGAAGCTGATAAGCTAAAATACAGTGGAAAAAGCAAGATTCCTATGGAAACTTTCCACAACATGTACTTTGATGGAGAGGTTGACTTCAATGGCGATGCTCTCGAGGTTCTCGAATACCGACATGACTGGGCAAGCTTCAAATTCACAATTAGTCTTTTCAAATATGTCTTCTTCAACTTCGCACCAGAAGTTATCATGCACACTCGTTCTCAGGGTAAGTACCAAATCTGCCTTTAATCGAAAGCTACTAACGATGCCGCAGATGAAGAGCAAGTCCGTGATCACTACGATCGAGGTGATGACTTTTATGGCTGGTTCCTTGGTCCACGAATGATTTATACCTCCGGTGTTATCTCTGACATTAACCGCGAGGAGACATTGGAAGAATTACAGGATAACAAACTCGCGATCGTCTGTGAAAAGATTGGTCTCAAGCCCGGTGAAAAGATGTTGGATATCGGTTGCGGATGGGGAACTTTGGCCAAATTCGCCAGTGTTAACTTCGGTGCAAAGGCTACTGGTATCACTCTTGGTCGCAACCAAACTGCTTGGGGTAACAATGGACTTCGCAAAGCCGGTATTCCTGAAGAACAGAGCAAGATTTTGTGCATGGATTACCGTGACATTCCTGTCCCTGAAGGAGGTTATGACAAGATCACATGTCTCGAAATGGCTGAACACGTTGGTATCCGACACTTGACAAGCTTCCTGAAGCAATGCCACGACATGCTCGAGGATGATGGAGTCATGTTCCTTCAAGTAGCTGGTTTGAGAAAGACTTGGCAATACGAAGATCTCATCTGGGGTCTTTTCATGAACAAATACATCTTCCCTGGTGCTGACGCTTCTACTCCTCTCAACAACTACATCAACTCCCTTGAGAGCGCTGGATTCGAGGTTAAGGGTGTTGATACTATTGGTGTACACTACTCAGCAACATTGTGGAGATGGTACAGAAACTGGATGGCCAACAAGGAAAAGGTTGTCGCCAAGTATGGCAACAGATGGTTCAGAGTAAGTTTTCGTCATAATCGCACAATTATATGCACATACTGACAAACTCAGATTTGGGAATACTTCCTCGCTTCTTCCACTATCATCTCCCGCCAAGGATCTGCCACCTGTTACCAAATTACCTTGGTCAAGAATCTCAACTCCGTCCACCGCATTGAGGGAATCTCCACACAATTTGGATTGTCTGGTGCACTGGCCGCCGCCAAAGCTGATGTCCAGGCATATCGATCCAAGAAATCTGCAGGTGATGTCAAGGAAGATGTCGCCAGCGCATAAATGAATGAACGAATGAACGACTATCTTAAAAGGGGTAAAGCGGCAAGGAGAGCCTGAATAAGATACCCAAGTATCTATATACTTATCGACGGGAACACATGGAGCTAGATGTGTGACTGTATCCGTGGCTTATGCCAGAATGAGATGAAAAGCCATACCTGATGTAGAGAAAGCTTTTAAGCTTGTGGTACCGATTTAGATCATGCAGGTGCTTGTGTATCTGACTGCATGTAGCTTCAATAAACGATTTTTCTCGCACCAAAATGATTAATAGTGACTCAAACGTACGAAGGAATATTTACAGTGATTTTTAATTGGCGTTGAACAAATAATGTTGAATTAATGATACCGTACACTTTACCTCAGCCCCTTTTCCTATCCAGATGATTATCTTATCATTTTGTCGCAACGGTGAAACTTGCGCTGGAGGTATTAAACAGTCGCTAAGCCCAGCCTCTAACAGATTACCTGAGCTTCGTCATTCCCGCCCCAGGCCCGTGGCATCTTTTACCTACCTACGTCTAACTCATCCCTTCAAATAATTGTCACAAATCTACCTTCCTTGATACCTATTTTTTTTTGTCCATACTCATAATGTTTTCGGGTTCGAACTCGTACCTAGGTGGTAACAGTGGCCGGCAACCGCCACAGCAGCAACAGCAGCAACAACAGTATGGCGGTTTCCAGCCAAATCAAGGTTTCCAACCACAACAGACTGGCTTCCAGCCACAACAGACTGGTTTCCAACCTCAACCCACTGGGTATGGAAACGCCGCTCCTTTGCAACCCAATTTCACAGGTTATCCTCTTCAAGCACAACCTACAGGATATCCTCAGCCGCCTCAATCAGGGTTTCCCGGAGGCCAGCAGCAGTTTAACAATGCTCCTCAACAGCAGAGCTTCCAGACGGGAGCTCCGCCAATGCCGCAAATCCCACAGCAATTCCAGCAGCAGCCTCAGCAGATACAACAAGCACAGCCATCTCCAGCAGCCCCCGTGCAGCAACCGCAAGCCACGGGATTTGCAGCGATGGCAGATTCATTCAAATCTGCTACAGAACCATCGAAGCCAAGAGGACGAAGAGCCTCTAAGGGTGGAGCAAAGATACCGAGTATAAGACTTTCTTTCATTACAGCCCAAGATCAAGCAAAGTTTGAAACCCTTTTCAAGTCCGCAGTTGGGGATGGCCAAACATTGTCTGGCGAGAAATCGAGGGATCTCTTACTACGCTCAAAATTAGATGGGAACTCATTGTCGCAAATATGGTGAGCATAGAATTATCCAATATATACACATATATCTATATATATTATTGTACTAATGATTATGATAGGACGCTCGCAGACACTACGAGATCTGGACAATTACATTTTCCCGAGTTCGCATTGGCAATGTACCTTTGCAATCTTAAGCTCGTCGGCAAGTCACTACCCTCGGTACTTCCCGATCAGATCATGAATGAAGTTTCTAGCATGGTAGATATCATAAATTTTGGCATAGAGGATGATGGACCGGCAGGAACAAATGCGCCAAGTTTTGATAGTCGACAGAGCACCGCAACGCCTCCGACTATCCAGCAGCCACAGCCAATGCCGTCAAATTCTGCTCTACTCACTGCGCAAATGACTGGTTTCCCTGGACAGCAAAATAACTTCTCGGGTGGGTTCCAACCGCAGCCGACAGGTTTTCAGAGCTCAATGCAAACCGGCTTTCCTGGACAGCAAGGAGGATTGCAGTCTCAGCCAACCGGATTCGGTCAGAATATGTCAAACCCTCAAGCAACGGGATATACTGGACCGCGCCCGCCAATGCCTCCTATGCCATCAAACTTCAGTTCCAATCTATCTCCTGCTCAGACGGGTATGCAAGGCGGAATGATTGCTCCGTTGAATAGTCAACCTACAGGAGTCCCAGGCCAATGGGGATTGGTCAATGCGCCTGCAACTGGTTTGCCTAACATAGATCTACTACAATCTCGGATGATGCCGCAGCAAGGACGAGAACAAGGCAATTTTACTACAGCTGGTATAACAGGCAATGCCGTCATTCCATGGGCAGTTACAAAGGAAGAGAAGACTAGGTACGATTCCGTCTTCAAAGCTTGGGATGGATTTGGAAAAGGATTCATTGGTGGTGATGTTGCTATCGAGGTTTTTGGGCAGAGTGGCCTTGAAAAGCCCGACTTAGAACGCATCTGGACCTTATCGGATCATGGCAACAAGGGAAAGCTTAACATGGATGAATTTGCGGTTGCTATGCATTTGATCTATCGAAAGCTTAATGGATATCCTCTACCAGCTCAATTACCTCCTGAACTTGTACCCCCCTCCACTCGTAACTTCAATGATTCAATTGGAGCCGTCAAATCGTTGCTTCATCAAGAATCAGATTTCCGAAAGAATTCTGGGGCGACACTTTTGCCCCAAAAGACTGGAGTAAGCTATCTTAAGAGCCATTCTTTCCGTGGGGATTCAGGACCAGGTCGTACAGGCCGCAAAGATGGTACTGTTTTTAAGAATAACGATGATGATGTTGGCTATAAGTCTAGTGCTCGTCGCAGACTCGGAGCTTCTTCCCCACGACCTTCATCTCCAGGATCAACAACTTCTAATGATGATCTTTCTCTGGATCAACTAAAGAAGAAAGTCAGAGAGAAGCAAGTGTTGATAGATGCGATTGATTTCAAGGATGAAAATGCTGCGGATGAAGATGATGCCCTTGATCGTAAGGATCGTCGTGAAGCAGAAGATTTGTATCGTCGCATTCGTCGCATTCAAGAGGATATTGATGCGCACCCAGACGCTTCATTGCGCAACGTTGATTCCGGTGCCGAGCGTCGTGCCATGAAGAGACAGTTACAGACATTGACAGATAAGCTTCCTGATATTGCCTCGCGTGTTCGACGAACTGAAAAAAGCATTGCCGATGCAAAGCTTGAACTCTTTCGTCTGAAGGATGCAAAAGCTCACCCTGGAAGTGCTTCTAGCATTGTTGGAACTGGTCCAGGTGGCGCCGTTACTGAATCAGATAGACTCAAAGCAAGAGCTAAGGCCATGATGCAACAACGGTCTGCTGCTCTCACTGGCAAGAAGATTGAGATAAGTAATGATGATTTGGATGCACCAAAACGCCTCGAAGAAGAAAATCTTAAAATCAGAACGGAGAAGGAAAATAACGAGCGAATGGTTCAAGATGTCGAAGAAAGTGTCCGCGATTTTTCAAGAGGTCTGGAGGATAGTCTCAAAGATGGTGGCGAGAGTTCATCTAGCGAGCATGAAAAAAGGCGCTGGGAGGATGGGCTTGGTGTTGAAGATGAAGTCAAAGACTTCATCTTTGATTTGCAGAGGAGCAGCAGAAGTGCAAAAGTTAGAACCGATGATCGCAGTAGGGATGCTCCTGCTGAGACGTCTCGTGTTAGCTCCGCTCCGGCAGCTCGTAGTGAAACTCCATCGTCGCAGCCTTCATCTACACCAACCCCTTCTGCAGGTACATATTCACAATATAAGACACCAGAAGATAGAGCAGCGTACATCAAGCAACAGGCAGAGCAGCGCATGGCTGAGCGTCTAGCTGCTCTTGGCATTAGGGCACCTTCTAAACCTGGAGAGACAACACAACAGAGATTGGAGCGTGAGAAGAACGAGCGTGCCGCCAAACTCAAGCAAGCTGAAGAGGAAGATGCTAGACGTGAAGCCGAAAGGCAAGCTAGAATTGCTGAAGAGCAGGGGGTGGCCCCACCTACACCGGATCAACCAAAGGAAATTACGAAAAAGCCACCTCCACCGCCTTCAAGGAAGGCTGCAAGAAGTGACGCTAGTGAACGAAAATTCGAAGAGGAGAGGATCCTCAAGGAGCAAAAGGCACAAATTATTGCCACAAATGAGCTAGAGTAGGCGATTCCTTCACCTGATTAACTTTCACACTGCTAACATCCATAGGGACGATGCTCAACGACAAGAAAATGAACTTGCGAAAGAGCGCGAGGCGGCTCAAGCTCGTGTGAAGGCTTTGGAAGAACAAATGAAGGCTGGGAAATTGAAGAAAGAAGAGGAGAAAAAGAAGAAGAAGGCTCTACAGGCTGAGACAAAACAGCAAGAAGCTCGTCTTGCAGCTCAACGTGCAGAGATCGAAGCTGCCCAAGCACGTGAGAGAGAATTGCAACGTCAACTGGAAGCTATTAATGATTCAGACTCATCGGATGATGATGAAGGTCCAGAGCAAGTTACCCCTCAAGCATCAACACCAACTCAGGGAAGTCAAGAGTTTGAGCGCAGAGAAGCCTCTCCACCCCCTCCTCCTCCCTCAGTCCCAGTCATTGTATCGCCAGTTCCTGCTGCAGCAACAACAACCAGCCTTCCTCCACCAACCCCACAAGTTACTAGCCCTGTTGTGAGTCCCCAAGCTGAAACGGAGACCCGCAATCCTTTCCTGAAGAAGATGGCTCAATCTGGTGATGCTTCTGCCGCATCTACTGCATCCAACAACCCATTCCATCGTCTTCCTTCCCAAGAACTTCCCGCTCCTGCACCAATTCAAGTTCAGCCAACAGGTAACAGACCATCTCGTGTGCGTCCGGAAGAAGACGATTGGGACGTTGTTGGATCTGATAAAGAAGATGATTCCTCTGACGATGAAGGACCCGGTGCAGGCGGCGCGCGTCACTTGGCATCAATTCTTTTTGGAACCATGGGACCTCCTCGTCCTTTGTCGGCTATGGGCAACGAAGCTACATCCGCACCTCATTCCCCTGCTGCGGCATCTCCACCAGTGGCGTCTCCACCGCCCCCACCACCCATGCCATCAGCTGGTGCACCAGGTGGTCCTCCTCCACCACCTCCTCCTCCGCCACCAGGAATGGGTGCTCCACCTCCACCACCAATGCCTCCCATGGGAGGGGCTCCTGCGGCTCCACCTGCAGGTGGACGACCATCTGGATTCTTGGGTGAAATCCAGATGGGGAAAGCTCTGAAGAAGACACAAACTAAGGACAAGAGTGTAGCTGCTACGGCTGGGAGAGTTTTGGATTAAGTATTTAATTAAGTGGGTAAGGCGAGATGAAATTGAGGTTGGTGGTTAGTGGGAAGGACGTGAGGGGATAAATTGTATTATACAATACTTTGGGTTTATAATTTCAGGGGGACAAACATACGGGGTGATAGTTAGGAGAGATGAGCATAATTCTTAGATGAAGAAGTACCAATTTGATAATATCCGTTCGTTTCTATAACTATTTGATGCTTCCTTGACTCGTTTGAGGCCTGTGACCTTGCAATAAAAAAACGTTTCCACTAAGCTTCTTGGTCATTTTCTTGACATTTTCAATGACTCACACCTGCCTCACTATCACAGCAATACGTTTTATCAGACTTTAAAATCCTTTCCTTGATTTATTTGTACATGGAATATGGTGCATTGATTGATGCACTGGATGAAATTGTGAATATTTAGACGAGACTGATGTTAAAGTTTAGATATAATTATAGATAGCTATATTGGCTATTGAGATTACGAGGATAGATATTTAGACAAAGGGATATTCAGATATGCGAAAGAGTTAGAAATTCCAAAGGGTTATGAAGATGTAGATACAGAGGAAGGAGTTCTGAAGAACTGGCTAGATTCCAATGCGGAAAGGATCAGGAAGCAAATTTGAAATGGGGGATGTGTCGTCTTTTGCGGGAATTCGTGTGTCGGGAGTTGGGTGTCCTGTATTACAATTGTTAACAATTGTGTGATTTGCCTTTGATATATAATAAGATCTTACATGTTAATAGGTTACATGTTAGTAGGTTGGAGTTTTGGGTCAGCATTGTTTGTGGATAATTAGTCTTTAATATTTTTAATGTTTTTAATCAGGAAGTTAGGTTAGTAGGGTTCATAGATCTTGGGAATTTATTCTTGAGATTCCTTTCTAGGGTGGGTTAAAGTTCATCGTAAGAGCATTCGCCAGGGGATTTTTGTGCTTCAGATAGATTCCCTGTCGTTGAGATATATACTTCTGAGTACTGTATTACACTTAGAGGAGGAATTCGAAGTGAAGATCTAGCTTGGGAAGACTATGATAGTGCTAAATTGCTTTTTTGATTAATAAGAGATGTGCGGCAATAAATCTCGGTGTAAATATACGAAGATAGTTAGCGAGCAGTCTGGATGGTTTACATTGATCCTTATCCCTGCTAGCTGGAATGATCACGATGATTGATAATCATGAGTATACCACCAGTGTACGTAGTGAGTGGGAGTAAAAGATATTAGATGTATTCTTATGGGCCAAATCTTGTCATGGATGAGCGAGGGATGATCGAATTGGTACACTTCAGGCGATGAAGGGACTTCAAATAGAAGGCAGGGGATTAGTCTAGTTTTCATGTTGATGATCGGTCTTCTTTAAAAGTTTTTGTACTCTTTCGGTTGAATTATATCCTGTTTTAAGCGAACTTTTTTTAAAGATCTAATCGGCTAATTTGTAAATAATACATTTTTTTAATCGCCATCACTAGGAGAATTGATTGATGCAAGCTTGAATTTTATGATACAAGGAATGGCTCAAGATTCTAGAACTCGCATAGGGATATAATAGGTAATCGCTTAACGCAAGTAGAAGAAGTATTGATGGGTTGCAATGAGAGCTTATCCGAACTGTACAAGAGGCGGGTGGAGCGCTGAGAAAGTTGTAATGCACGAATAATTTAATCGATGATTTTCGGTTTATAAGGTTTATATCAAGATATGAAGTTAAGGATAGGTTCAGAAAGCAATAGCGTGCTGGAAATACCAAGGTAGATCGAGGTATAGGACAGCCTTCTGTGATCATGGACCGAAAACGATTCTATAATACTATCTTTTCCGTCTGATTTGTTGAATCATGACGTCAGTTACACTTAAATTTAATGAGGACGATATTTCAAGCTAAGCTTAGAGGAAAAAGTAGCTATTGTTCCCCGTGGGGATGACAAGTCCATGTCAATTAGATGAACAAAACTATTCTTAATTACTATGTTTTAACAGGAGGATCTTGAAAGTTTCAAGGCTATGATCTCGATACCTTAGATGAAACGAAGACCTGTTTGCTGAAACTCGAGAGTTATTATGACTAGATGATAAATGAACGGAGCTTGAAGAAGTGATTGCAAGTTTAAATTTGAGAGAGTCCTAGTTTAGTGCTGAGAAGTTCCAAGTTGACTTCATTCCAACAGGTTCTTAGAGACACTGTAGGGAGCGTACAAATAAAGACTAGAAGAACATAGAGTAGTGAAGTTACTTGTGCAAGTCGATTCTTTTGCTATATATTCATCATTTCTTTTTGAGATGTGCGATTTATTCAGAGATAGATCTTCTTACTATATTGATTTTTTTTTGATTACGTATCACATGGATTCAGAAAGAGGTATTGGCTTTAGACTGTGCGTCAGACTCCTGCTATGCTAGGCAAATAAGCGCGTTTTACATAAGACATTACCTCCGAATTCCAACAAGGGGTTTAACCCTGACAGAAACAGACAAGACTCAGAAGGAAAGAAAAGGCTTCTCGGTGGCTACTCCAAGATTAGGCATAACTACTGAGCCATTTATTTCTCAAGGAGATGGAAGAAAGCCCTTTGAAGACATGAAAGATCATTAGCTAAATTGAAGTACTTTACAAGCCATGAAATACTAGCCCTTGTAAAATTACCTACCTACATATGAGAGTGCTCGTGGGCTGCAATCTTAAAACTCAAGGTAATAATTTAACACTAGTCGCACTAGCTTGCGTAATGGCAATGACACTTTAAAAATTAACATCGAAGATCGATCTTCGATTCTAATATCCGTATCCAAGGCAGGCATTACCCTTGATTCACCCGCGCTACTCACCAAACAGCCCAGTCTTCAGTTCATCTGAGCTTTGACAGCATCGAGTGCATTAATAATGCTTTGCGAATTGATAACTTCTAGCTCCAGTAGCGTAACGTTGAGAGGAACTCTGAGATGTGACACCTTGGAGAACTTACGAGCCATAGCGAAAACATGCAAACCACGGTTTTGGAAACCCTTGTCAAGAGCTGATCCACAACCTCGATCACTGCAGCCGGTTAATAGCATCATTTTTGCAGTTTCTATTTTTGGGATACTTACGCATGCAGGAGCCAGTTCGACAGGAGTGTCAAGTGGGCATGAAATGAAAGACCAATATAGGCTTTGAGCAGTAAATGTCTTTGATCCAAGCGGCACGTATTAAGTTATGAAGATGCAGCGTCCTACATTAACTGTGAGATTGGGCTAGTAGGGCCTCGCGTAAGAATCATGTAAGTGGTTCTTCCATAATGAGGATTGTCTAGATGATAACGTTCCACTTCAAGCGAGCCGAGACATCTAGATTCCAAACAAGTACCGGCTGAACATCTTTATTACTCAATAATCCAAGTACTCGTGGGCATATCAGATTCGATAGAAATTGATGGCCTTGAACATTGTTGTTTCCATTGTTATATTTTATTATTTGGGACCTGGCCTCTGTTATTTTACAGTCGCATTGTTGGATTATGTTTTCTGGGGAATCTGTAGTTTCGTGTTTAACAAAGGCCACGCTGTGGATAGAGGTATGTTGACTTCGGTTGTAGACCGGCGATTTTTCCAAGCGAGGCATCGTTTTTCTCGTATCAGAGGTATAAAAGAACCGGGTAAGGTTGGGAGTATCGTGCTCATGTCTTCTAGATGCACTGGAGGGGCGGATGGCGCCATCGCGGGTGTATTTTGATGTAACCCATATGAAGATGATTGGTTTGAAGTTGGTGGCCCCATGCGCTATCAATTCCTCATTCTCTCAAACGCATCATCAAATACTCCAAGATGATTACACCCTGACACTATCAATATCCGAATCCAATATCTTTCTAAACCTCAAAACCCTCACAAAAGCTCATAGTTGTCGGGAATCTCTTACAGATTTTGATTAACTTTCCATTACTTTAGAACTCCAGAACAGTCGTGTACTTGGATACCTGGCATTTATGGGTAAGGATGCGCAGTGTAAGAGTGCATTGAGAAGACGCGAGGCTGCAATAATCTTAAATGCAAGAGAAAATAAGAGAAGAAAAAACTCCTCGTTGTTTATCAAGAATTGTGACAATACATTGATGTAAAATGATAGATCTCGAAAAGTAAGATCTTGGATTTTAGGTTATTCGGATCTTGATATATTGATACCAGCAACAGCAAGCTCCTAGATGAATCTATGTGGTATCTAGGTGGAAATGCAGAAGCAGGAAGGCAGGTGATTTTCATCCCCTTTGACTTTTTGTTTGTTCATGGTTGTGAGTCGCTCGAATTCGGCAACTCTCAAAGCATCGAAAGACTATTTGATTATTTCTCTTGGAAAGCATCGATCCCGATAATTATACCCAATATTTCGGCATACCGTACGTAGTATTCGGCAAAGTACCCACGGCACCACATTCTAGCCTTTGCATATCACAGTACATACAACTGATATGGTCGTGACACAGCATCAAACTAGTAATCTTACTTCCTTGCATACATAAAACATGGGACGTTTTAGCTGCACAAGTGCCCAAGTAGCACGTACGGAGTACATACCTATGATGCGTTCTAGATCTAATTGCAAGTTCGTCTATTCTATCGCGGTGGTAGTGGATTGTGCTAGGAGCTTGGGATGGATAAATTCGAAGCGCGGGGAAGAGCTGCTTGACTGTAGGGCTGGAGAGTAAGAGTATGTTCTCACGACAGAGCAATAAGATTCGAAGAATCGGAGCTTTTACTCCGCGTAGAATAGCTTGTAGCATCATAGCATAAATCTAGAAAACCGTCAAAGGAAAGGATAAATGATAAATTCTCGAAATATAATGTAAAATGATACACATAGTACGTACGTAGGTACATTATGTCTAGATCAATGTTCGCGTAAATATTTCGATAGCGTTACGGAGTGTGGCTTGTCAGCTGCTCATAGCGGGGCTATGTGACCAATCAGCAGAAAGTGATGAGCTAGGATAAAATAAATGGTGTTGTGCATAGGTAAGACCTTGCTATTTGGAGATTTTGGAGAGCGAACATCGATTCTTGGTTGGTGATGAGATTTAGTATGGATATGTTTGCTTTTTACTAGTTTGAGTTTGTAGTTAGCAGTTAGCAGTTAGCAGTTAGCAGTTAGTAGGTTGTTAGATGACAAGTTATTTCGTACCTAATATTTAAATGAAGTGACTTTGGGACGGGAAAGTGGTCAATTGGAAGGATCGCGGGGAAGTTGGGGGTAAACCTTAGCTCATACCCCGTACAATTAGTAGGATTAAACTAAATCCGTCTACAGTGATGGGTCATTCGCTGACTTCTGAGATGAGCAGCTAGGGTCGATACTCGAGTAATAATAATAATAAAACAAGAAGCATATTCTCTCTAAACTAGTTTATTTGTGTGAAACATCTCCTCTCTCCCGATAAATCAGACCCCTTCTAGATAAATCGTTGCATTTAGCCATCTTTTCCGAAGGGCGGTGCAAGTTCTCTCTCATAAATATACATATTCCTCATTTCGTGAAAGACTCTTTGCTCTATTTGGCCTCGATTGCCGTGTGCCACTTTCTTGTACTGGCGGAGCACAAATGTCGTTCCTCGAGCCTTATAACCAGGCAAAAGGAATCATTCTCTCACGATGCGACACTTAGAATTCTTTCCCTCCTTGCTCTTAGCCTCACAATATACCCTAACAATCGCTGATACTCTTTCCATCACCAACGTGCCTGCCTCACCAACAGGTAGCTCGCCGGCTACAAAACCTTTCGGCTCGAACAATATCAACTCAGCCGTCGTCATACCGGTTATCGTCGCATCAGTGAGTGTATTCGTCGCTTTCCTCTTAATCCTCTGTCTCAAAGTACCTGTTCCCAAACGATTTTTACATCCTGCGCGGGATGACGATTCAACTTTAAGGCCGGCGGAAACTTCGCACTTGCGATTTTCCTGGCTTCATCGAAGAAGAAGGTCTAGACCGACGATATGGCCTCACTCGGTATATAATGGGCAAGGCTTCGAGTCGGGAAAGTGCGGAGAGCTGGAAATGCGAGGCTTGGAAGACATGACAGGCTTTCCAGGACCACTGAGGAATGTACCGTTGTCACAAAGAGACACGCAAAAAATGTCGCAGGCGAGGATAGAGGAGGAGGCAGAAACTAGGATTAGGGAGATGTTGGAGAGGATGAGTCCGGCGGATAGAGCAAGGGCGAGTGAGCAATTGATATATGGACAGGCGGACGAATTGCGGGACAAAACTATTGGAGCTCCATTCTAAGTTATGGAAGATACGTCATAATGTGATGAATAACATTCAATGGAATGGAGGGGAAGGATGATCCTGTGAGTAATGCACATGATATGATATGGGTAGTTAAATACACCCCACTGGATAGTGTAATTTCTTTCCTTTCATCCCAAAGGCAACATATGAACAGCTTTCAGAAGGATAGTAGGCAAAGGTTAATAACCTCGTACTTTGGGAGAAGCCATATGATCGAGGTTTCTTGTCCCCAGATGTTGGGATTTGATCTGAACTTTGGAAGATAGTCCAAAGTATCCAAAAGAAGAGAGTCTTATAACGTTCAAATAGACTTAGCCATGCAGCAAAATATGAATCAACAATGGAATGCCAATGTACCGCATTTTTCTTGTGCGATTGAAAATATAACATCAAGAGTATAGAATTCAATTGGTATAACGCTAACCCAACCCATTTGTCCAACCAAGCATTGCTACAAGCTCACATGAAAGTAATGATAGCCATAGTTTTTGAGTGACATCGGATATCTCAATGTTTGGAGAAGGGTCCTTTGAATAGCCAGTCTCCTACCTGCTCCAATATTTCATCCGTCCTGAGTTTCCGCATAGCCTCTGCATCCGGCCCTTTATTGTCCATCAAGTCATGAGTGAAGCCATGTCGAACATCTCTTACCAGTGTCCACTTATAGGTATCCTTCTCAAAACCATACACCCCTTCTTTCCGTTCTTCCTCATTCAAACCGGCAAGGTCAAAAGCTGTATCCCTAGCTTCTTTAGCGAGCATGTCGTACTCTGCCCCGATTATATATATCCGTTTGGGAAGGTCGTCCCTGCGAGCAAATCTAGTGCTCAATAGTGGATCACGGAGGTTCTGTCCAGGAGGAATATGGCCCCATTCGAGGACTGGCCCAAAATCTGGTAGATCATCCAAGTCCTTTGCGTTTCGATATGGCCGCGAGGCTTTCTTCTCGTCCGGCGTGAGCGTGAAGTCCATCACCGGATACCAGGCTATTACTGCATTCAATTTTTCCCGTAAATCAGGTATTTGAGCCGCAGATAAAGCCAAGTTTCCTCCTGCACTAAAACCTCCCAATACAACACGCGACTTGTCAATGTTCAGGTCGGGATTGTTGATTGTGGCTTGCGCGATAGCAACAATGTCGTTTGTTAATGTCGGAAATCTATTCGATGGTGTCAGACTATACTCGATGCTCACAACGATAACGTTCAAACGATTCGCAATCGTCGCACAGATCTCGTCGTCGAATTCTGCAAACATCAAAGCATGTCCTCCGCCGTGAAGATCCAAGTATAATGGAAGCGGTTCATTGTCAGCTTGCTTCGATGTTGGAATAAAGATTCGCGTTGGCAGATTGGGTCGACATGGATATGCCAAGAGCTTCGTAGGTCGAGCTTCTAGAGGTACTGGTCGTAGAAAGCGCAGGATTCTGAAGGTTATCACAATAGCTATCTTCAGTCCCCATAGCTGAATGAAGTACCATGCGCGCGTGAGGATTGGAAGCTGCGGTTGGAAGAGTTCTGTGTGCTCATCAATGCCTTCACGACTATATCTATTGGAAACCATCTTGTAGCCTGTAAATACTTGTGAGGTTGAAAGGTAAATTGAAGATTGAAGGATGCGTGCTCAGCTCAAGATCCTATACCTGGCTTGGGAAGCTGATGTTATTGGAGAGGCACACAGCAATACAAGGTAGTATCCGAGGCAATTTCGCACATCAGCGAAATTTGATACAACTCAACTTACCGTACTGTTTATTTTTCACCAGTTCTGTGTATTAGAAAGATACAGGCGTTCAATGATGAGTCTGTTGATGTGAAAATACAGTATCAAGACCACGGTAAGCCAAATAAATCGCAAGCCGATTGAAGATACCTAAGTCTCATGGTATCATTACACTCTTCAATGTACCATTTAAAATTCCACAAACAAACCTCTGTGGTGCAAATGCGTACCAAAGTTTGGCAGGAGTTTTGTTCGAGGTGTGATTTATTTAGTAGCTAACTGACCGGAACAGCCCCACCAAAAGTTATGTTGGGCACGTGACATGTATGTTCACTGAGGGCTCGACGACCTTTTTGCGGCCAGAATTTTCCCCCCTGCAATGATTGAAGAGAGCTCAAGTTGAAGATCAAAATGACGGAGAAGATCCAGAATCTAGTTCAATGGGCTACAAGCTCTGGAGCCTACCTTCATCCTGATGTTGAGATTTACAAAGATGCAGTCACAGGATTATCGTTCAAGGCGCTAAAAGCGATACCTCCTCAAACAAGTATTGTACGATGCTCATACCAAATTTCTCTATCATATCTGAATGCAGTTGGCATTTATTCCCGATTTCCATCTACGGAATCATTCCCTACTGAGTTCCTGGAAACTTTAAAGCAAGATGATCCCAATATCATCGGTCACTTTTTTCTCATGCAGCAATATCTGAAGGGTGAGAAATCTCCATGGTGGCAGTATATCAGATTACTTCCCCAACCAGATGATCCCAAAGGCCTTGGGATTCCTATCTGGTGGCCAGAGGAAGATCAGAGATTTTTGGCTGGGACAAACGCAGGACCTCCGCTTCAGAAGCGAGAGCAGATGTGGAGAGATCAATGGAAGAAAGGAGTTGTGCTTCTGAGGGAATTACCAAATCATAAAGAATACAGTTATATCTTGTATCAATGGGCTGCTACTATATTTGATAGTCGAAGTTTTCGGCCATCTTTGACCATTTGTCCCGAAGCACTGAGCGAGAGCTCTATAGAGATGGATCTTAATCTAGACCATGTTCGCAATGATAGATTTTCGATCCTTTATCCGCTGGTTGATATAGGCAATCATAATGGCATTAATCAAGTAGAGTGGAAACAAGATCTCAACTCCAACTCCTTCGATTTAGTTCATTCTGCCGGCGTCTCGGAAGGAGATCAAATTTACAATTATTATGGAAACAAATCAAATAGCGAATTGCTACTTGGCTATGGTTTTATTCTTCCAGACGATCTTGTGAACCGGAATGTTGTCAATCTAAAACTGACCCCAGGCCCTGATGCTATTCAATTGCGCAGAAGTCAAAATTGTCACATCCCTCCAGATCCAAAGCAGCCCGAGGAGGAATTTATGTTTGCTGTCCAACCACCATCTACAAACAAATCACCAGATCCTCGAATTATAGAATTCCGTAGTTTCGAAGAAAGTCTGGTAGATTTGGTTTGCTGCATGGTAGTAAATGAACGAGAGCGTTCATACATGTTGAAGCACCCGGAAATATGTCCAGAAAAATGTGCACAGCCCTTCCAAAGTCCTTTGTGCCGAGCGCTATTCCATGCAATCTTCATTATTCAGTCAAAGCTCTCGTACGAAATTGAAAGGATTGAACAAACCGGTGCGACTCTAGGGTAAATCCATATCCTCATCTCTATATTTTACCAAACTAACATATGTCTCAGCGTTCCCCAGAACCCCAATCAAACCCTCGCTACGATATATCGTGCCTCCCAACTTAGTACCCTACAATGCGCCCTTCAACCTCTAAACAATCTAACCATGCAAATCCTTAGTCCATCCCCTCGAGTTCCGTCACCCTCTCCAACTGGAAAAGCAAAGATCATTCCAATCGAACAAGCCTACTTACTGCTTACCCAACATTATCCCTCTCTATCCACTACCATACACGATCTGATAGCCGAAGATCAAGAAGAAGAACTTCCACTAGATTGGTCCGTTTTATTAGAAGACTGGGCTTATACATATTGGACATTATGGATCTACATCATGATGCTCAAAATATCCGATAAGCAAAACGTAGCCGCCATTCATCCAACACTAGAACATTGGATTCGAGACGGAACATCGTAAGTTCCCCCTCCCCCCTTCCTCCCTCCCCAAGCCCTCAATCTAACCTCAACAACCCCCTCAGAATCCCCTCACCCCTCCAACCCCCACACCGCAACCCATCGACCACCTTCCACGGAGCCCATGACGAACACTCCACCCTCACAACCACCATCACCCAACTACAAAAGAAACATCCCGAACTCTTCGCATCCCCAACCGTAAACTACGAGCACCTCCTAAACCTCGCAAGCTACCTTGTTAAAGAACAGGGGTTTATGGTTCCATATGAGATGTTAGATGGTGCCGCGAAGGGAAACAAGATCAATCAGCTGGTTTTGTGTATTTGGGGCGTGGAGTTATAATGTATTAGTAGTATATTTTTATGGGACTGAGACTTAAATCGATACATTTTCACTTATATGTGTATCTTACCAGCGACGATTATGAAAGCCCTGCGTTACTCAATCCACTTGTTGTTCTTCCCAAGAAATCTACTTGTTGTTCTTTCCAAGGAATTATTCTGCTGCTCCAGTTTCACAACCCGGTGATGCAGCTTATTTGAACACTCGAACTTCTCTACTTGTATAATTGTGATCTTAGAATTCAATTGCATCGAAAGCTAAAGAAAGGCATATATCTCCAGGTCCCAAATTCATTCGATTTACGGGTTTACACATCACCCTAGCTGTATTCTCATCCATCTCTGCCAACCCTCTCACGCATCCCCAAAAACCTCCTCCTCAAATTCCTCCCCCCCACAAACCTTTCCCCATTCGATCCAAACCCTTTCACCCGTCCAAACACCGCCCCTCCCTCCTCTCAAATCCCACCATATCTCCCCATCCCCCACGACATTCTTCCAAGCCTGTTCAGCTCCAGAACTGCTGGTACATGCTTTCAAAAGTGATTTATCCCATCTCCTCCACCACATATTTCCCCATAATTCTTTTTTTAATTTTGCTCCTTCGTCTATATCTTTGCCATGGAAATTGAAATTTAGGGACGCGGGTACTGAGGTCCCCGGAAATTTTATATTTGTGCCCAATTGCACATCTCTCCAAGTTATATTTTGTTTTTTTGCATCCATCAAGGCATTTTCTATCCCAGTCTTGGTTATCTCTCCTTCTTTATGCACATCTCCATCTCCACACAACTCAAGCGGTCCTTCAATGACCTTCAACTCTGCGGGTAGTATCCCAGAGTTCTCCACTTGGCCCTTGATAACCCCCCTCATTCTCACAATCCCCTTTTCCTGCTTATCCCCATACCGAACAAACCTCAGATCATCGCTCGATTTCTGCATTGTTTGGAAAACCCTAGACGAATAATCGAGTCCAATACCAAATTCATAGTTTTCGCTTGCACCTTCTGGTTTAAACATTATATTATTCGTTGCAAGAGCATCAACACCAACACCGTACCCCATTTTTTCCTCGAGCCAGATGCGAAATTTAGAAGATGATGCTTTCCTGCTCTGACTTCGATTCCATTCCTGTTCTCCAAAGATTTGCGTCAAGACTTTTTGTACCGATGTGTCCTTCTTACTCTTATTTTGTAACCGGACCAACTCCTCGGCTTTCTTCCAAACTCTTCGGACATCTCCGGCCTTCCCTACGGCTAACGCACCCTCTATAAATCTCGGGCGATTGTATATGCCCGCTTCATACTTATCCGCTTTGCTTTTATGATTTTTTTTCGGTAATGTTGATTGCGGTATACTATTTGCGTAACAAGCTAGTTCGGCTGGACCGTCTCCAATGCTACATTTCTTTTGAGCTGCGAAGAGGACTTTTTGTGTGTATTTTTGAAGCCGGAGCTGTTTTGGGCTAGCTCTATCGAACATGCTATTATTTGTATCAACTCGTCCATACTGTTTGAGAAGTGAGGCGTTGGAATCCTGTGTATCGCGTAGGAATCTGCTGATGATTATCTCGACAGGGAGTTGGAGCCAGGTATCCTCATCTAGTATAAATACCATATCATCATCATTGACCTCCTTGCCATTGAGAAAATTCAGGGTGTCTTGTATGTATTGTGAAGATAACCTGTCGTTCCCCTCCTTTTCCTCCAGTTCAAATCCAATTAGCGTAGGAGGTGGATAATTGAGGATTGCAGCTGATACCAGAGTTTTGCAGAGATTGACTGATCTTTTTCTTGTCGGTATTATCAGATGGAACTTTGGCCTGGCAACCTCTGTGTTGGTGTCGTTGTCTGGTATAGTATTATTTAACCCACCACCTTCGATGACATCGTACGGCGGGAAAGCTCCTGTCAGTTTATTAGGAACGTAGTTACCCAAATGTGACGCTGTGCGTTCGATTTTATACTAATAAAAAGATGTTAGCAACCTACAAAAATTTGTAGTTGAACATATAGGACTTGCAGACTATCTTCTGCTTGAGTAATGAGCACTATGAAATATACTGACTGCATGCCATCTGCCAAGAAAAAGAAAAATCACAGAAGATATTAAAATGAATGAGATTAGGATACGACTGCGGAGCCGACTAGGTCTTCTTAGTTCTCTTAGTATAAGAGCCGCAAAACTCTTCATAGGTGAGCTTTTCGACGTGTGAGTTGTTGTCCAAACCTCGGTAGGAAGCTCCTCACGATTCATCATTAATCAAAGAAAGACAAAGCGACCAACTCAGTAAATCTCTCGCAAGGGTTTCCGCTTATAATAGCTCATTGGTGCATTCACATCAAATGATATGAAGTGTTCAAGGTCCATGGAAGTGTGGAGCGTTAATTGTAAATAGTAAATAACAAAGCTACTGGCAAAGGAGTATTTTCCAAGAATGGATAGAATTTGTGAAGATTGTAAATTTTGCAAGCTACCTGGCTGGAATGACATCAAGCAAGGGGTAACGCAAATGCTTCTTTCGGAAAAGCAACTAGCTGCATCCGAGCATCTGCATTTGGTACATTGGACCTAATTGTATATCGAATATTTAGCAAATGATGAGACCACCAATCTCGGGTTCATTCAAGGCTCCAGCCTATTCTGTTAGCTCATCAAAACTCAAAGACTTTGCTTCAATAATCGATAATGGTTTGAGGGGCATGGAAAAGGGAGAATAAGCAAATATTTGGGTATTAAAATCGAGGAATAACTCTATTAAGAGCCTCTTAGCCGTTGCAATTGATTGATAAATCCGTATCCACTTTGTGCCCTATTATCGCCATTACTAGAGACTGAAGTCTCTTGGTCATGCACAGCCTCTACTCTTTGAGTCAACCGGCCATCCTGTTCAGCATTTTTCAGCAGATCTCGATGTCTGTCTTCGACCATCTTTGCAAGACTTTCAACAAATTTACCCCTTGCCCGTTCTTCTGCTGTGCCTCTCCATACAAGCGCCAATTCCTTCAACTCCTGTACTCTTTTAGCTGCTGCCTCAATACCGTCAACTGGATCATCTCCAATCAATAAATCTGCAATTTCATCACGTATTCTCTTTGAAACCTCTTGCCCTTTCTCTTCAGTGCTGTGTGCTTCTGACCCTGGCTCGGGAGCGGAAACAGAAAGAAAGGATGAAGTGACCGACACTTCTGACGGCGGGAAAGTCCATGCCATTGCATCCCCAAAAGTCTTTATAACAGTATCTAATCGTGATCGCACGAGTGTAAGAGTTCGTAATTGGGTTACAAAAGGGGGGTCGATAATCTTGGCGCTATTGGTGTCTTTTAAAGTAGGTGTTTTCGGTATGGTGATTGTGGCAGATCGCGTCCTGGAGGTGCCATGTGCGTCTCCCGATCCCATTGATCTTTTTGCCAGATCATTCTCAAGTCCACCCGGAACAAATTTTGTGACATCATCATGTAGTCCCTCGGTCAATGCTTCTGATAGTCCCAGTGTCTCTCCTCGTAGTACTTCCACCTCATAAGCCAATCGGCTTCCGCTTCGCAATATTTCATCAGTGAGTTGTGTAAGAGTAGTCGTAAGTCTTGTGGTGTGGGCGCTGAGATGAGAGAGAAGAGTTTGTGTTTGTGTGGATAGTTCAGCCAAAGGTACGCTGCCTTTAGAAGATGACGATGTATTCGAAGGCTGTAGAGAGGGCAAAGCTGAATTGAGATAATCTGCGGGATCAAAAGACGGATTTAAAAACGGCTGAAGAACAGGGTCTGCAACATGGGTAGATTTCGGCAGCCTACTTGATTCTAATGTAGCGTCGCCATTTTGAGATTGAGATTGAGATTGAGATTGAGATTGAGATTGTTTGAGTCTAGAGTTATTATTTTGGGGAAGGGTGCTAGATTTCGAATCCCAGGCCATTTGAGAAATAGATATATAGATTTGTTGTTACAATAATGAATGAGGATTGTTTTCTGTATTTTGCACAAAATATCTAGTACTTGGAGACACCACCATGATCGACTTTGAGATATTGGATGGATGACTAATAAGAAGATGGGGCCCACCAGTCCCAATGGCGGGGCAATGGGGGACACTACTACTACTTCATTGTACGAAGCATGTCATTTAGACTTTACCCAGTAACCTTAATATACGAGTCCAGCGTGAGATGATAAACTTCACTTCAACTTCAACTTCAACTTCAACTTCAACTTCACCTCAATTTAATTTTGTATCAATTCGCCTTCAATTTCACTCCGAGTTCGTAGTTGCTAGCTACCGACTTGCCTGAGTGGTACTCTTAGCTTCCACGCCCGTTTTGAGGAGTTGAGGGTTTGCATCGCCGAAGCCTTATGCTTATTATTACTGTACCAGACGCTTATAATTTAAGGATGCTGGAATCTGTGTGGGAGGCAGGCCGTGGTGGTAGATGCTGTGATGGAGATTTAAGGATCTTTCGATTTATCAAGTTTTTGACTTTGACTTTGACTTGACTTTGGCGTCATTTCGAACATTCACTTATAATCAAGTTAAACCATATGAAAACATTCATTTCACCCCATGGCCAATACTTTTTTTGGCTACCAACCAGTGCTCTCCAGATTTTATACACTACCTACCTACCTACCTACCTACCTACCTAGGCAGCCGTCCCATCATCAAAAACATCGGCCAATGACGAGTTTATTTCCATTTTCAACTACTTACTAGTACGCCGAACCAGGTATCAAACAAAACCATAAACCATACAAGGCTGCCGGCGGATGGCTTACTTTATCTCTAGGTCATTTTACACGGTCATCATACGGTCCTCAGCATATTACGCTCGCTACCTGAGGTCATCTTAAGCTCAAGAACCCTTTACAGTTTAAAATCATTCAAGCTATTTCAAAAAGACCACTCTTTCTGTGTTACACGTCGTTTTCCCCTCAAATTTGGAAAATACCATCTCAAGGATTCTGTTTACCAAAGCTCAACTCTTAACTCCTTCAAGTCGGTGTTATTTCATTAATACATCCTCGACGTGCTGTCAGGTCTAACAGTACCTTCCGAGACCCGCATCGTCACAGGAATCAAAATTCTACCTATCTTACAAGTTCGTAAAATAATATCCCACGAACTTCCCACATAAAATATTTCCAATATCAAACTTGCCTCGAAAGATTTCATCTTTGCGGCAAGTCTGTGACACCTCAATCAGAGTCAACAGAATCAATCACATATCCAATAATTGCGCTGCAGGATGGCTCGCAAACGTTTCCTGGCGGATGTGATAGCTGCATCCAAAAAAGGAATCTCTCATGTTGTTTCCATCAGTCGAGGAGATGATGATGGTGATGTAAACTTCTGCTTCTTACATGATTCTGCGGAGCCCATAGAAATTGGTCTCTTAGCACTAGGTATGTCCCGCTATATTCTATTTCTCTAGCTGTCAATCTAAGATCCCTACCACATGGATTTCATCCAATGTTGTGTACACGATCACCTTTGAAGGGTTTTTCTCTAAAACAGAATATCATGTTCCAGCAGGAAAGAAAAGGCAGTTTTCGATCATACTAACTTTGTCAGATGTCTCCGAGTACCCTAGTGGGAATAGCTTCATGGTTTTCACCAAGTCGGATGGGGCTCCCAAAGCTGTTATTGAAGTACTGAATCAACTAACACCCTCTCCATACGGGGTACTTTTACCAGATTTGATTAGTAGCATTTCGCAAAAGCTACAGAAGGCACTTTCGACAGGTTCGCGAGAATCTTCTATCAGCCTTGACGATGACGATGAGGATGATGTGATTGTAGATGTGGAGGAAGGAAGTGAAGATGACTCTGGGTTCTCCGACGAGGAGGAAGAGGACTTCCCAGACGAGCCCATAAGCTTCTCGAATGGACAGACTGTGCCAACATCGACTATTAGGATCTCCCCAGAAGCCGCTGCTGAGCTGAATCGACGGATTAGGGCAGACCTGCGTACTGCTAGAATGCTCGGTCATCGGATCGGAATATTAAGTGGCATGAAAGCTGAATCTCAGGGTAGCATTCTCAGCATATCCATTCAAGCTACCAAGTTGGGCCTTTCAGAAGAGGCTATGCAAGCTTGGGACATTGAGCCAGATCAATATTTGACCTTACTTATACGCTACTCAGACGGATACAAAACTTTTGAAAAATTGATAGCCGAGCCAGCGAAGAATAGTGGAATTGATTTCCGTGTCGGAGTCAGCAATGGTTATAAGCCATCCGCAGCCGCAGCGTTCTCGGCCTTTTCAGACTCAAACAAAGTTGGTTTTAAAGCATTCAATGACGATAGTTCAGCGTCTCAAGCAAATCTAAAGAACGAGAGTAGAGGATTTTCCAGTATCTTTATCAGCAGCTCCTTGAATGAATTTTTCAACACGAAGATGCTATCAATTTTGAAGATCCGCAACGCAACTGGTCTTGGATGGGAGGATGCAAAACAGTATCTTGATGAGCGACAGGGACGACCACTTGAGGAAAATATAGAGCTGCTTTCTGAGAAATTTTACCCGCACGCAGATACACTTAGAGGCCATACTTCACGAATCCTAACCGATGATCACCTCACAGATAACAACGGTGGCAACCTATCATTTCCGCTTCTCGCTGCACAATTTGCGTTGATGTATCTGGTCCGTTGTACCGAATTTTGTCTCGTTTGCCACGATAAGATTACAGCGGAATTTGAAGCACTGAAACCTTACGTCTGTGATAAGCCCTTATGTCTGTATCAATATATGGCCTTAGGTTTTGGACCAAGTGTCGAACACGTAAGTAGCCTGGTGCTGTGTGCCCAGATCAAACATACATATGCTAATCGTGTGTAGGAAATACAGAGTCAGCCATACGTTGTCGACCTCCTTCTGAACTTTTGTTATACTAGTGCTTGTGTAAGTATGTCCGCATGTAATCTCCCCGAGCTCGCTGACTTTTGATAGGGCGGTCGAATTCGTGAATACCCCACAGGTATGAGTCTATCTGTCCCTTTTGCCATCGGTCAAGCTGGAAATATCGTACCTCCTGGCGTCTCCCCAGCCATGATGGATGAATTCGGCCCCCCGGCAAACTCACATGCTCGTGATAAAGAGTTTGATATCAAATACGATGCTAAGGCGTGTGAAATCACATTCGAGGGTAATTTCGAGAACAAAGGCACTCCTATCCGCAGAGGAGATTGGGTACGCATTCTGGTTGTGCCCGCACCGGGATATTTCACGAGCGAAACTATCCACTGTAGAGTGGAAGATATAAACTCCTTTCCAATTGCAAAGCTCTCACCACCAATTGTACAGAAAGCACAAGCAAGTACATATCAAGTACCATCAGCTGGTCACATGCCAGCTGTCAATTCCCCCAACATTGCCGCAGCTCGGCTAGCTGTTTACGACTGTAACTTTGACGATATGTCTGTCGTAGAAAAATGCAGCACTATAGCAATGCTTCTTGACACATTACCAACCATCAAGGAGTTAAGAGAGTATATCGACCGGCAAAGTCAGACGGAAGAACCGAACCTTCGCAAATGGGCAGAGCGTATATCTCCAGCTGCATTGGGATTACTTAGATGGGTTATAGCCTCTAATCGCTCGTGCCTTGTCCAAGTTGATAGATGCCCTGGCCAGATTGATAGCGTTTTTTCTGACGCAAAAATCAGACCGGACCAAAAAGTCTCTCAAATTGGGGAAAATTGGGTTCAATTTCGATTTGCACAAGGATCACCAGACAAGGAGCTTCGTTTTTTGAATGCGCTTAAAGCACAACAAGCACATTTGAATCCAAATTATCCTACTATATTTGCTTTTCATGGTAGTGCGCTACAAAACTGGCATAGTATCATTAGGCATGGACTGGATTTCAAGGAAACCTTGAATGGACGAGCATTTGGACATGGTGTTTATCATGCACAGAATCAAACTGTATCATGTACTTATACTGGGCGAAACTTTTCGGTAAGTGTCAGATTTCTCTCGTTTTATCTACCGTCTTAACATTAACTAGGGTTGCTGGCCTGGATCGCAGCTCAATGCCACAGCCGTGATGAGCATCAACGAAATCATCAATTGCCCTCAGCAGTTTGTTAGCTCAAATCCATATATCGTAGTGCAGCACATTGACTGGATTCAATGCCGATACTTGCTTGTTAAGATTGACCCAAATGCAGCCGATGAACCTTCTCCGAATTCTAGGTATGTTTGACGCTGGAGAAATTACTTTGTGTAATTATATGGAATCTATGATGAGGTATGCTAACATTTTGCTCACAGTCATATCGCAGCTGCCAACGAAATCAAGCAGGACCCTAAATATACAGCAAGGTCTACGAATGGTAAGCCCATAGGCGTCCCTCACTGTGCTGGTTCAATATCTAGAGCATTTTGCACCGATAGTGTTGGGAGTACCTCCCAATCTAAAAAACGCAAAGGTCTACCTTCTTCTGTGAATGGGGCCACATTTTTCAGCGACGAAGAAGACATTGAGGACACCAAATTCCTGCTCTTAGAAGATGAGGGAGATATCGAAGTATTGTAAGCAGATAAATTCCCTAAATACTTTGTCAGTTCGATCATTGCAAGCGCAAACAGCCTTGAAACGGGCCATCGGATGTCAAACCATTGGATCATACAGGCTATGGTTTATGATCCTCTGCCATAAGTCCCTTAAATTTTTAATGAGCTCACTAACTGTTTGTACTAGATTTCCTACTTTCAAAAAGCCAGAAGCTGCAAAAACGGATTTTGTTCCTGGATCGCTTGATCAAAGTAGCCTTCCAATCCTTGATTCTCCGGCCTATGCCACCCCTTCTGCAACCATGCGTCTTAACAGAGAATTACAAACAATCCTCAAGATACAAAAATCTACCCCACTCCACGAACTTGGATGGTACATCGATGAAGCTCTCGTTGATAACATCTACCAATGGATCGTCGAGCTACACTCTTTTGATTCCACACTTCCGCTGGCCAAGGATCTCAAAGAATCCGGTCAAACAAGCGTTGTCATTGAAATTCGCTTCGGAAAAGAATATCCTCACAGTCCTCCATTTGTACGCGTTGTGAAGCCACGATTTTTGCCATTTATGTCTGGCGGTGGCGGCCACGTAACAGGCGGTGGAGCTTTGTGTATGGAGCTGCTGACAAATACTGGCTGGAGTGCCGTTTCTTCGATTGAATCTGTTCTCTTGCAAGTCCGCCTTGCACTTATGAGTACCGAACCAAAACCTGCACGTCTGGAACACAGAGGTAAACAGCAACAAGGTGAATATGGAACCCAGGAGGCTATGGCAGCTTTCATTAGGGCTTGTAGTATGCACGGATGGGAGATACCCAAGGACTTTCAGGACTTTGCTGCAATACCAGGATCTAGTCGTTCTTGATCAGCTACTTTCAGAAACACGATATTATGGCGTTGTAGGAGGGAAGGAAAAACATACCGGTATTCTAGATTTGCTTTTGGTGATTTGCGAGTTCTATTTTCCTAGTTAGCGTTGGGGAATCTAGAGAGAGGAATATCATGATGAGATGTCCTGATGAACAAATACTCGAAATGTTGTAAGAAATTTACAATGAAAGGTTATTAAGGCTTCATAGGTGCAGTGGAAAGGAATGCTAATAGCTTTTGGGTCAATGGGTTCCCGCTATCATGGGTAGTAGGTTTCTACAGAATCAGCAACATAATTAGATAAACGACCTATTTCCAAATCTCTCTTCATAAGCAACTTTTTGTGAATAAGTATTTACGGAGTAGGTAATAATATCATCAACATATCTACCAAAACCTCAACCTGCATCCTGCCTTAGCCTTAGCTTTAGCTTTATAAAGTCTTAGTCTTACTTATCTCAATGGCTCACTTAGGAACTAGAGACAAGAAGAATCATATTAAAACCACGTGCAGCCTTATCTTACTTGATAGGTTATTTGGGAACGAACTGGAGACATAGAACAGAGAAAAATGATATTATATTAATGTGGGCTGAGGTTGTAGTAAATAGTAATCTTAAATACATAACCTTGAGGCTTGTAGAGATCAGATCACCAGATTAATGCATTTTGTTTTTCTTTTGTCCTTGCAATAAATAACCTTAGTTGTTGTAACTTTGTAACTTGTATGGCTTATTTAGGTGGAGAATTGCAAAAATCCAATTTTGTATTGTTTATGGTACTTGTGTTTTTGTGCTTTTAGATGGATGGGTAGATTGGTGATTAGATCCTCATCCTCATACTGAAAAAAAAGAAAAGAAAGTTGGGAAAAGTATATATCCTTACCTGGATACCTACCGCAAGATAATATAAATAAGTAAAGTAAAGGAAGTCTTGCGAGTTTACGAGCTTAGCCGAGAGCGAATGAATACCATAGAAGCTGTTACTGAGCGGATGGATGTAGGTTCTCTGGATTACCTTTGGGTGTTTTGCTTGATGGATAGTAGTGCTAGCTAGATGTTGTGTTAAGTATTTTCGCATACACTTATTTGAAAAAAATAAAAAATGAATAATAAATCCACAATATCCTATAACAATTTTTATAATTTTAAATTTTTAAATTTCGGAACATTGAAATTTAGGGCTACATACCTATCTACCGGTAACTAACCTTATTACTTATTGTAAGATCTTATCATTAGAGAAAGTTCGGATGTACGCACATGCATAAACATGGGGGATAGAGTCGAGGAGTGGATAAAGGGGGTGAGGAAGATAGAAGGATGGAGATGAGATGCACGTAACGTCTATTTAAACTTTCACTAAAATTGCAGATTTAAAAGTTAAGATGTAGAAATGTGGAGATTTACTAATCTTGCGCAATAGTAGATAGATGATGTTACAGGAAATAGAATCAAGCAGAAACCCTCCAAATCCAAAAACCAAATCTGCCCATCCCTCTCCCAAAATCAAAAACCTCTGCGCCTATACATAAATAAAGACCTTACATATATAATAAACGCTCCCTTCTGCGCTACTCAAACACCAACCCTTCTTTCTATAAAACACAAAGCCATATCTCCAATCACATCGCTAAATCACATCACAAAGTATCCGGCCACCATCTATTTGTTGATGTTGTGTCCCCAGAGCTTTTGCTCTTCGCGCGCACTATATGTGCTAACAGCCAATAACTGTTTCATTTGCTCAGTGCCAACCGTCATCTTCTTGCCTGCGACGAACCACCTTAAACCCTCGGTACATGGTGGAGAAGTAAGACTTCCCTCATAAGTCCAGAAATCCTTAGCGTTGTCGATTTCCGTGAGTGCTTGCTTGAGATTTATATTCAATGGAATTCTGGTAGTCTGATCATGGAAGGTTGGGACGGATGCGAGGGGGAAAGAATTGAAAAATGTAGAGTTGCCAGTGGTACCATAAGGGACGGGATCGATCATGAAAGCAACGACGGCTCGTTCTTTGCCCGAGGCTGTGGCGTGCACAAAATGAAGCTCGGACTTGGAGCGCGTGGAGTCGATGGTATGATCGGCAGGTGAATGAATGTGCCATCCTTTCAGATACACGGTTTCCTTGTCGAAGGTCATCGATGGGTTGCCGCTAAGATCGGTGGTGTTGGCAGTGAGGGAGAAAGCGGGGCCATATCCCCAGTTGTATAGAGAACCTGGGGTCGCGGTTGGGTAATTGAAAGTTGGAACGTGGGTCTTGGAAAAGCCGGTTACGGTCTCCAAGTGGATAGGAGATTGTTGGGCACCGGTTTGGCAAGTAGTGTAGTCTAGTGGTGAGATGTCAGGGAGTGAACGGGAGTCTGAGGTGGAAAAGAAAACTTACTCTCGTTGATCATTCCCCAGTTGTAGGCAGCGTCATATGCCCAATCCGAACCTTCTGCTCTCTTCATAAGTGAGTCAGAAAGATCATGCTGAGGACAAGCCATAACAGCTGATAATAGAGTAGCGGCAAGAATGAAAGCAGACATGATGATTGAATGAGTGGAACTGGATAATTGAATGAATGAGCGAATGTGATAGCTGACTCTGAGAGATGGATGATTTGCTGTTGTGCTAGAAGAGTGACCCTACCATCTATATATAAGAAGAATACCCTAGATTATTGACCTGGGATCTCTTCTCTTGGTCAATTTTCACAGCCATCACAAGAAGCTTGGAAATTAACATGATCAAACGACTGCATAAAACACTAGCTAGCTATAAGGTCTTATCTAGCAATTTCAAGCCAGCAATAATCTTGATATGTACAGGCGTGTGAAATCGTTGATGGGTGTGGCATGCATTTTTGAAGATATACTCCTTTTAACGTCCAATACCAAGAGCCAAGGACAATTGACATTTCTATCAAAAAAGCGAACATTTAGCTTGTTTTGCCAAACAGTGACCTAACTAGCGGTAACATGCTCGTACAACTAGCTCTTTCTAGCCCAAACTATAAATGGGAGATTTCGAGGCGCTTGCAAAGCCACAATTTGTTATCTCATGATCCTCTAAACTCTTATTATAATCTCCTTCATGCGATTTTCAACATTAATTATGGAACGAAGGGCTGTGCATACTGGGCGCTTGTTGTATCGGACTTTTCAACCTCAACAGCTATGAGCATGTGTAGCTGCTGTACCAAAAAACTTTGCACCCCCCAGAGTCTAAACTGTATGATATCAGAACTTTAATTCTACCACAAGGATGAGGTTGAGCATGATGTTTAGTTCTCTCCCCAAGGACCATCATCTTTAGAGATGGAAATATTTGATCTTTCATGATATTGGGATAATCTGGAATATTGGAAATCCTCAAAGAATTTGGAATACTTGATTTACTTTCCGCAGATCACAGCTCTAGAGAAATTGGTCCATGTAATTTTGATAACAGGACAAAGAAAAATAATAGATATCTCTTAGAAAAAGAAATTGAGTATCGAATTAATTTTTCAGTGTATTGAAAGAGGTTCAAAGGAAATTGAGAAGTTTGATATATTTGTCATGAATCAAAACTCTGAAGGAGTTCATTCGATACCTTGGTGAAGGATTGGGTGTTTGGGTGTTTGGGTGTTTGACCTTGTTCGATGTACCCAGGAATGTTTTGATCCCGTATAGTGTATTGAAAGAAAGACTCAATACACTAAAGAGCTTCTAGAGAAGTATCTTCTTCTAGGACAAAGCGAAAAGGTTTCCACGGCAATGGCCAGCGGATTCAAGTTTTTGAGGTTATTATTTCATGTTGAACTCCACTCAATATAGATGAAAGGAAGGCCTTGAAGATCATTCAAGGAAGACTGCGTTGTCTGGAAGAGGATTAAGATAGGGAGGAGTAAAAGGATTGTATAGAGCATTGTAGAGATTATTGTATAGATTATTATATATATAGATTATTGTATGTATAGATGTTGTATATATAAATTGTTGTATGTATAGATTGTTGTATGTATAGATTATTGTACAGATTATTGTAAGAGGAGATGGTTGAATGTCCAGAGCTATTATTAGATTTTGTTCAAGCCATTGGAAGCGCTATGTAGTAGCCTAGTTCTTAAGGCTACCACGGACACATCTGCTAAGCTATCCCATATAACGATTAGCGTCGGCAAAAGATGTGATGAACTCCGACCTTCTCCTGCAGGGATCCTTTATCGTCATGCGCATACGGAGTACCGACCGATTACCTCAAGTTATTTGCTTCATGGGGTATGCAAATGATTGAATATTCAATATCAATATCAACAGTGGACAGTGAACATTCTTCAAACATTCTTTTCCAACAGGAAAATCAGATCTGCTCGACAGACAATCAGTACACATAGTCTGCTCAACTACTAAACCTCATGCTAAAACTACCCAGCTACTCATGTTGATATTTTTACATCTTCAAAACCCTTCCTACTTATTTTTATCCTGTTGTCTCTTACTTCATTGTCCCTAATTCCCACAAAACAGTATAGTCAACGGAAAACCACCACGCCATTGACAATTTCACGATCCAGTCTTCATTCACTGTTTCCTCATTCACTTGTAACCAAAAAAAAGAAAGAACCTTTGCTGATAGGAATTTGGGAATCCTTCTCTCAGTCATGGCTATGAGTCCTTCTCCCCAAATGTCCCCGACAACGTTCGGTAATAAAGCTGAGAGGCAACGGTCCAATTCTCCACCTCCGCATCAACTATCCAAAAGAGATAAACGTCGCTCTATGTTGCAAGATAAGCTGGCAGAAATGACGGTCAATTTTGCCTCGAACCGCGATCATTATTATCGCGATCAGCTCAAAGGGTTACAAATCGATATGAATCTCATTCAGGAAGCGGACGTCCATGGCAAATTTCCCCTCCCAGATGGCAATGAGGTTGAAGCGTTAGTTGTAGATGGTATTAAAAAAGTCAAAGGAATTGCTGGCCATCATCCATCTGCTGCTGGAAAAGAGTATGAGTCCTTTGCACGAGAGATCAACAACGCCATGGAGGAGCGAGACGTAGCATTGACTACACACATGGTAAGTTAAATTGTCTCCCTTTGAGTGATCCTCTCTCTACGAAAAGCTAAAGCTAATTTTTATTTTTTACAGAGAGATTACGAGGTTAGGGCTAATGAAATCGAATCCGCCCATGCCTACCGAATGCGACTCGCGGACTTAGAATACCAAGCTTTGAAGACAACATTGAGAGATCGTTTGATCAACAAGGTCATTAGCAAGAAAGCCCATTTATCGAAAGATAAAGAGTCTATTGAGATTGGAGAGAATAATGCTTTACTCCTCCACCCAAGCCAATTCGGTCTCGCCAACCCCGCTAGTCCTGGTGGGATGCATTCCAAAAGAGCTACGAGGCACCGCCGAGAAGCTGAAGAATTGCCGAATATGTTTGACGGCTCTAAACGCAAAAGAAAGGGCATTGATGGCGACGAATCCCCAGCTCCCTCACGTCAACGTATGGACAACGGTGGTAGTACTCCATTATGGAGCTCCGAGCGGAACATCAGCGCATCTGCACAAATTGACGCATCGGCATACAGCATTGAAAAGCTCTTCACTGATAAAGAGCTCGCGATGAAATACAACGAGGCAGCCCAAGCAGCGTATAGTTACATGGTTCGACATGCACCATACGAGGATGAAAACAGCCCACAAAATGGCAGATCCGATTCCAGTCCCGACACGGACAAGATAAATGCAACATCCGGGGATGTCGAGAATGATGATCCAGATTCCCCTCCGTCCGCACCTACAATGGAACGTCAACCATCACATCAAACCAGGAGCACACGCGGTGGAGCCCTTGCAAATTTCAATACAGGTACAGGAATTGATATGATCAGCGACTTAGCATACCCTGGCAATATGGCAGCGATTACAAAACAAATCCCTAAACTACCACCACTTCTCGCCTCAAATATGCAGAAAGGATATGTGAAGGGAGATGCTGCTAATCAGCCGCAGGGATTGGCTCCCGATGAAGTTAATGCCGAATTGGAGATCATCAGAAGGGGTCGCACGTACAATGATGAGCGGGGTTATGGGAAAAATCTTGAATTGGAAAACGGTGGAAGAAGTCTCCTTGAGGCAGTCAGCACACCGAGAAGAGCTCAAACTTATTACGTTAGAAGCGACAATAAAGGCTCAATGCTCAGCAACTTGCGAGAAGAACTTGGTGCAGAATCAATGTCAAAGCAAAGTTCCAGGGGAGGAAGTGAAGTCGGAGGAACGCCGATGTCAAGACAAAACACCAATGATGGAACATCATCAAGAGCCGGTCGAGCGAGGAAGAATTTATTAGGTTGAGAAGAAAAGTTTATTCATCGATTGATCATCTTTACATTCATAGTCATTGGGTATTAGAGAGCGCCGGCGTTGGGGATAAGGAACATCATGAGGAAGATTAAATTCCGGAGATTCATAAGGCGATCAGAGGGATATTGATTATTATATCATGGCTGGTTGTTGAAAACGACAATTATGGAGTTATATTATATCTATGCGTTTTCATCGTTTTGAAAGACCCGTCTTTACAACTCCTCTAAAGAGATATACTTTCTAGATCAAAGGAGATCAATTCAATAAATTTTAACATCTATTTCACATTATACTAGGTACCTATGCATTCATTACATGCCAGTGACCACGCAGTCCATGTCCGCTCCCGTCCTAAGTAGAAAAGCACTTAAATTCTATATACTCAAGTCTTCCCAAATATTCTCTCTTCTCATAAACCTAGATATACACGCCCCTTAAACCACAGTGAAAATGTAAGCTTAACTTAAGATCTTACTTGATAAGATTATATACGTCAGTTGATATAGTGTCTAATTGTCTTCACTGTGTACCCGTATAGGTAGATGAGTAGTACTAACTTGGAAATAATTAATCTCACAAATAGAATACTTATCTCATCTGATAAATCAAACCGAATCGATCTTTCGATTTTATAACTCGTGATATCTCGATATATTAATCACCATCACTCACTATATATTAAAAAAAGCCAGAAAGAGAATTAATTATACTTTCATTACAAGTGAAATTTATAATCTTAAAACTTTACCTCTATCTATATAATCACTTAATCTAGTTTCTGAAATGCGTCCTCGAAATATAACTAGTTACTCGAAGAGATCAAGATCAAGATTAATCACTCTAATATATCCGAACGCGTATAGAAAATCGACATTTCGATAAGTTATCAAAAACGCCGGTATGGTATAATTCCGGTGCTTGGAGCGAGACATATATATATATCCTTTCTAGAAATCAGTCAGAGAACAGCCGTCAGAAGCTGTAAATACAAACCAAACTCATTTTAGGTCCCAAAAATCCCACTCCTATTCAATCAATGTCCTTCACTCCTAACCCAAAAATGATTATTCTATGCAGACAAACCCATAACACCAATGCTGCCGAAGCCCAAGTTGTATATAAATCATGGTTCTCCCGTAATGATGTACTCTTCAAATCCCCCTGAAGGAAATCTCGTCTATTCAAAAGGAAACCCCTGCTGACTCGTGATAAATAATGGAGATGAAAGGTCTTTACCACCAATTTCCCGCCCCTCCCAAGGCATTTGCGTCCGGTACTTGTTGTCCTGTCTGATTTTGGAAATCTCTAGCCAAATCATCCCAACCTGTCCAACTAACATCTCCATTAAGGGCACTCATATCAAGATCCAATAATGCATTATCATCCATTATCCAGGGTATTTGATTTTGGCCTTGTAATTGCTGCTGTTGTTGCTGTATCTGGAGTTGATGTTGTACCTGCTCGGGAGCTAGCATACCCATACCCACAACCTGGGGAGAAACATTGGTGTCGAAATTATTGCTATGATTTTGTTCTTGGTTTAGGTAGTTTTGAGGTTCTTCCGTTTCTACTGGTGGTGATTCGGCCTCGCTATTTATGAGCGCTTGAGTTCTGCGCATGGCGGTAATACATTCATGAGGAGCTCCTTCCCAATGATCTTTATCGTTTTCTTCTTCCATCGAAGTCATGTTCTCTTCTCGCTTTCTACGAGCTCTTGCCATGAGCTTTCGCATTGGTTGCCAAAACATGCCGCGTTTGCTGCTGCCAACAGCATCGCTCCAATCATCAAATGCACTGTCGATTGCTTGCCAGGCTCGCTCCACGAGCGGGGAATTTCTCCGGATGGAAAGTTCACCAAGAATGAAGGCAATGGCATGCCATTGTACCTATAGACGCGCAAGTCAGTAGTGTTTGGTATACAGAGATCAACATATTCCATATACGTACATAAGTGCGGAATAGCCAACCCCATTTCTTGGTACTAGCCTCGGTTTCTAATATTCTCGAATACTCAATGATTTCGATAGACGACGTGAGAAGACGATCCTTAGTATGCGGAGATAAGCACTGAGGCTTACCCGGCTGGATCAACGGGTGATAGATTATTAATGACATCTTTGCAAAGATGAGACGTGCCACTGTACCTGCTACCCACTACAATTTCCAGTATCAGTAACAACCAATGGAATGAAATTATAAGAATATACCGGGGCCACTGATGTTGTGCCGCCTTTATAGTTACACCAACTAAGATAAGGAACCAAGAAAAGCCATCACTTACATATAGAGGACCGGCATTTTCACAGTATTTGAGATATTTTTCCTCTAGTCGAACAGAGGTTGTCTTGATCAACTCTTCTTTCTGCTCAAGTGTGAGGCTTACTGGATTTCCTGAAGGACAAGGACCGCGACCTGGAGGGGTGTATTGAAGGCGTTTCGACAAAGCACAAATTTCGAATCTAATAAGAACGAATGTCATCTCTGAGACTCCTTCTCGAGGTTGTGGCGGTTCTTTTGCATCAGGATCTAAGTCTGCATCATTTATCGAGAGTGGGAATTTGGTATCGAATGTATGGTCATATATTGAAGGGTCAGTCCCATGGTCCTCGGATGCCCTTACGTCTAGAACACATATTTGCCACCAGAGTCGTCTCCGCATCTCCGTATCATAGGGGGATAATCCAAACTTCTCTCCATCACGATGCAAGCCTGATCTTGTTAGAAATTATGCGAAGAAAAAGGGGCATAGAAACTCACCAAGTGATTGACCGATCCTCATGACAAGTCCAGTTAATGACCATGCAAATCGAGTATCGTCATGTCTGCGAACGCAAGTCAAGAATAGTACAAATGCTTGTACAGTCATGATTTCGTTTGTACTGAGGAAGCTTGCCCTGGCAAGGGATTGCTCGGTGCCAAATCGATACTTTCTAACCAAAGTTTCTTTCTCCACCCCGAAATTGGTAGCAACCTTGTCAGATGTCAGCCATAGCTCGTATCAATGGGGTTTATTTTAGAGGTGAAAATGAATACCACAAACCTCTTCATCTGACATAGAAGTGATAGTTGCAAAGTATATAGAGAACATCAAAGCTTCTGTGCTCCTGCTGATGGTATCTAAATTGTGTTGAACCTCCTTAATGATCTTCCCCATCGTAGGCACATGGAGAAGCTTAACCAGCGGCATTACATTTTCCAAAAATGTTGACCAATAAAAAGGTATTTGAGAAGGCAAGGGATGTAAAGCCTTCATATCGACATCTGCAGAGCTATAACCCATCACAAAACTCTGATGATCTGGCTGAGTAATGGAAGATGGTGCTGGTATCGGGGAGTCTCCATCGCTATCTTCCTCGTCCTCGTCGAACATGGCGCGAAGCTCGGCTATCTCCTGAGATAATTCTGCCCAAAAGGGATTTGAAACATATTGACTCTTTCCTGAATCCAATAATAATCGTCCTATTCCTTCTGTCACAGTAAATGCATCTTTCGGAGGTGGAAGGTCCATGTCGAAAGGTCTTGCAAGAGATCCCTTTTTGATGCCATTGTCTTCGTTTATCCCAGTCGTTTTGACTTTTGAAGTTTTATCGTTATATCCGCCGTTGGACTCGGCATTATTGCGCGGGGAGGAATGATCGCTTGATGGTGAAGCCTTCGAATGTTCCACCTCCACTTGTCCGCTGAGTTCCTCCACAACTCCTTCCAATCTTCTAAGTCTCTTCAACAATTCTGCCTCTCGATCGCTGACCGGCTTTCCTCCAGCTCTAGGGCGTCTAGGGGCGCGCCCCGGTGCTGGGAATACACACTGTGATTGCGCCTTGGTGCAATTCGAGCAAGGCACCTTTTTGTCGCATTTAACCTTCCGCCTGCGGCATGTAACACATGACCGCGCATTCAGTCCAGTAGGAGCTGCAGCAGTAGCCGATGTTGATTGTCTCCGAACATCATCGGGGCCGCTAGGTGGGACAATGGGAGGGGGAATCGATGACGTTGAGGGGTATGTTGAATTTGGCGGGATAGCTATTGCTTGGTGGTTTTGATAGCCTGCGAACATGGCGTTTTTGCTGGTGATGATCTAGAGACCCCCCTTCATCTACTAAAATGCAAAGTATAGGGCTTAGTGTAATTATTTTTGTTCGGAGAGGTTAAATTGGCGGATCAAGTCGTATGAAAGAAAAGAATTGTCAATTTAGAAAAGATTCATAGACGATGGGCAAGGCTAGGTACGTATCATAATGTATGCGATAGACCACCATGAAGATGTTCAATATGTCGGGGCATGCACTTCAACGTTGTTAAGCTCCGCCATGGCCCATAATTATGCTTCATTGCAACTGTTATTAGTAAATATATCTTCAATCCACTCAATAAACTCTGCTGTACTCCATAAGTGCATTACACAATACACTTTTTGGCCACTATTTTTTTATGTCCAAGGTACAAATGCACACATCAAAAGGTCGAGATCTTGATTGTTGCGGGATTAATGGCAGCCATAATGATTGAACTATACATAATACTAGGTACCATATATTCCTCTACCTACTTTCTTCTTAATAGTTGTGCTTATTGGTGCCATAAAAGTAGACATTGGAAATTATGAGTCTTACTCCATACATTGTCTACAACTCATACCATTGCATGCTGACGCCTTCTCTTCATACATATATTGTTCTGAAATACAGAAGCCAGAAACAGCTTCGTGCAAATCGTTTGCTAACTGAATGAGTCATACTTCCCAATGAGCGTCACTGAAGTATATAAACAGGACAGATGGCCGAGTGGTTATGGCGTGTGACTCAAGCTCAACAGCTTAGTTGATTCAATCAATTAGCATTCTCATGGGCTTAGCCCGCGGGGGTTCGAATCCCCCTCTGTTCAACGATACGTTTTGTCGTTCTGTTTGTGGAAAGACAAATGGTGATTTTTTGAAGGTGTGCTTGTGGGGCTGAAATGGTTTAGGGCCCTAGTGTGTGACGCGGTTTTTTTGAGCGTGCAGGCGGTGTAGACGGAGGAGAAAGGAATCGACCTTTCAGGTTGGTGGTGTTGGGGGATGCTGGGGATTTCGTCGAAGCTACAAGTTACCGAGAAGAAAAGGGGGGCCTTTTACGGAACTCATTTTTGTAGCACTCTTAAACTATACTACTATCTATGGTTTGCTGTCATGATATTTCTTGAAAGATTTAATATTTTGATTAAGAAAAATCTAAATTTAGACACACATACGAAGCTCGGTTCGATTGTCTGTCCTATGCTATAATTAGTGAGCACATGATTGAATAAGAGAGAACTCTCAATGCCATCACCAAATTCTAGCCCTTTTAGAATCCTTCCATTCCCAGGGCCAAGTCACACCCCTCGATCTTATCTTCCATGCAATCACTAACTATATGGAATACTCCATAAACCTTCTCAATCGTACCCCCACATGGACTTTTTACGCATGTTTAATGTGGATACAGCGTCGAGTCTCGAATCAACACCGAGCCTTACACAGCCCTAGACATTATGCTCGCCCCAGAGTCCCGGACAATAGATCCCTGCCAATAACGCCCTGGCTTTTCGAAATCCCAATCAGAACGAAACATCAAACACGATCGGCGATATGCTAGAAGATCAATGCCATGTCTACATCCCGGTTTCTCCGCAATGTTGTCGCACCTCTCGCTCATCATTTCCATCCGATATCATGCATGTGGATAAATGGTTTCTAATATAAGAACCAAGAAGTAGAGCGAAGTATATCTGATACCAATTACCAGTCTTCGAACTCGAAACAAATTCTATCTAGCAGAACTAATTCTTGGATCTTTCTTCTCCCATATATTCAATTCCTCTAAAGCATTCTCTCAAATATTATAAAATCATGAATATCCCCCGAAAACATAACCCCTACCTCGATCCTACCAATAAACAACACCGCGACTATACCCGTCTGGACGTCTCTCACTCCCCTGACAACGTCCCAGATACCCCTTTCAACTCGCCTACCGCCATGTCTCTCTCACACACTGAATGGTCAAGTCCAAATCTAAATCCAATTTCTCTAAACCAAATCATTATGGATGGAAATAAATCATCGCCATCATCATCACTACCACGGCAACCACATCAATCACATACACACCAGCCTACATCCGCACACTCAGACTGGAGACCCATATCTCGAGATCGTGTTGGATCATCTGGGTCAGAAAGATCAGAAATTACTAGCGACAGTAGAAAATGCCGCTGTAGAGATGGAGGAGTGGAAAAAAGAGACAGTGGTAATGGACCCAATTCTAGGCCTAAAAGTTATAACGACAGTCATTGCGAGCAGTGCATTCTGCGAGATGACGGCGTGGAGAGAGGAAGATGTAGGACGAGGACGAATTCTAGTAGTTCAAGGGATAAAACGAGCGGTTCTAGAGAGAAGAGGAGGAGGTTGGATCTCTGATGTGTGCGGCGTCTCTTATATGTCCAAAAATAAACCCGGATTAGTGGAATAAGGTTACATGGAGTTCATCAAATATTAATATCACAAAAAGGGTGCCACATCAATATGTGCTCGCCTTTAGCAGACTTTTCTATTCCCCATTGTTTTCACGATACTGTCAGTGACTATGTAGTAGTTCCCAGCTGATATGCGGTGAGTATCTAGACATTAACAATCTCTTGAATATTTGGCGTAACCTGTAGCGGCTGGCCATGTGGGCTTTGTATCATGTCGTTTTAACATAGCCATGCCTCACATTTACAACCGGGACATGTTATATGTCACTCGCATGACGCTCATACCAACTTTGCAACTCTACTGTAAATCTAGAGCTCAGTTTCTTTTCAACATCTAACATGGACCAGGGAGGTAATTATTTATCAGTGATCTTATGTATTCCTACAGAACTTGACCTGGAGACCTCGTAATATAAACTTGAATTCCAATGTAATTGGCGTCTCTAGCATTAAACAAAACCTTACCGCGGTGATGATCAGTCTCTTTGAAAAAGGAGAGATTCATTGAAACTCGCCTGCCAAAATCTTCTCCAGAGTAGTGTATGTATCAACTTTGTACCGCATCCTCTATGTGGAAGACAATTGCGAGTGTTCCATTAGTCCCGTGGTGTCCACCTACAGAAGTTCCGGCAGTGTTAGAGGTCCAATGTGATTTGCACTATTGCTCACAAACACTGTATCATCTTCCTTGCATGACAAATCCTCCATTACCATTTTCAATACTTGATCTCCTTTGCTCCCAGAAACCATAGCTGGAACTTTTAATACGTCTTCCATCATGGGGACGTGACCTCCCGAGAAATTACGTATATAAACCGGAGCTCTTGCTAACATGCAGGGGATTGGAATTTGCACCATATTAATCGTATCTGCCATAAGCAGGTCTAAATGACCTTTAAACATTGCATCATCGATATTCCCTTTCAAGTCAGCCATAAAAATAACTTTCTTTTTGAGAGAGTGGAGGTGGGCGATTAGAGGTTGAAACTCAAGTCCGTCATCAAGCAAGTCCACGTTGACTGTCCTTTTATTGCATATTACAACCAGTTTTTGGCAAATATCGGCGACTCTCGTCTGGTCGAAGCCAAAATATTGAGCTAACGCTACGAGCCGATTTCTTAGACGATATTCAAACGATTTGCCGTCCATAGCAGGGTCGTGCATTTCTACGACAACCATTGTTGTGTATGATTTGATAATGTCCCACACCTTGACTGTGGGCAAAATTTGACTGACATAATGACACAAGTAACGAACAGCACAGACATTTAAATTAGTGTAGCTGAGGATTAAGCCCTTGCCCAAATGAAATACGAAATAATTCCGCGAAAGAAGCTGGCCTCGAAAATCAGATGCCGGATTGTGTTCGTTTCCAACTCCAAAAGCTTCATTATTGTTTAACTCTGAAAGGGGTGCCGAATTATCTCCATTGTGACCGCCCATAACTTCAACATTATTCAGTCCTGAAAGTTGCAACCAATTTCCCCCATTGCCATTGTCCATAGTTTCAGTATTGTCCAAGTCTGTTCCAGAAAATCGTTGTCTTTTGTGGCGGCGAGGACGAGTTAAATGAAACCGATGGACGCTTTTCCGACGAAAGATTCTGACCAAGCTGCTCGTCATGTCGATTTAAACGGAAATTATCTTGCGGTTCATGCCAAATCATCTTAAGAGACATATCAAAAACTGGAATGCGATGGCCTTTTGGATGTGACTTCTGGACATCATACTGTTCTTTTGGTGGAGGACCATAGAAGGAGCTTTGAGCTCCAGAAACGTTCGGTGTACAGTTTTGTGTAGGTTCTTGAACTTTCGATTGAGCCACCGACTCTTGTGGTTCCATCCAATTTGAGGTAGAACGACAGGGGTCTAGTGTATACTCTTGAAATGAGGATTGAGGCCAGGGTGAATGGCTCATTAAGGCTTCAAAATCTATTGTGGGCGGGGATCGAGGCGCCGATTGTGGGCCGAGCTGTGGTATGGTTCTGACCATTGTGATGCGAATTGGGGCATGGGTTGTCCTGTGGGTGATGGTGGCAGCTGGGGGATTACGGGGTGTTCGGTGGTTGCCTGCCTTCCCGGAGCTGAGTGTCGTTGTGATTGGGGATCAAAGGGACCGCGTTGAGGAAATGAGCTATTTGATACATGACCTAGTGGCAATGGTTGCCTTTGAGATATGAAATGTTGTTGAGAAGGTGAATTATTCGGTTCATCCATTGGTGAAAAAATCGGGGTTCCGTAAAAAGGGCTATCGCGAGGATCGTGGCCATTGTTAAAAGAGTCCATTTTCGTAATGTATTAAGCAAACAAGCAATTGAAAATATATGAATGAACAAACACTTGACACTCACAGAACATGACGCATTGATTGTATGTGATGCAAGAGAATGTATTTTGGCAAGACCCGTGGATACTTACACCAATTTCATTCGAATTGAATTGGGAAAGCACATTGGGAGATATGTTAGGTAGTTAGTTGCACTTTCATTCTCCCAATCCTGTGGTGAAGTAACGAAATATAACTGTGCTTTCCATATTCGAAATCGACTCCAGATATTCACAATACCTACTAGAATATGCCGTTTGAAATTGGGGTTCAAAATTGGTAATTGTAATAACATACTTGAGTAGATTGTGACAAAGTCGGACTACGAATCTCACTTCGTATAAAGTATCCTCGGTATGTATGAGAAAACAACACTTGACACCATCAACGCAAACTTTGTTGATAAAGCCGATACAAATTAACGTCAGCACACTTGCCATAAGCTGGACTCAAATACAGCGGCCCATAGGCATCTTCTTATTGATCAACTAATCGAAATTGATGCTCAAAATACAATATTGATCTGATATAAGTAGTTGCTGCAAGTGCGACTTTCGTCCTAAGAACCAACGTCTAAACTTTGCAAAGGTATCTTCTTCCGCTGTGAGGAAATTCCTTTAGACTAGGGTATAACTCCTCAAAGCTTCAATTTCTCTGAAAACCATTTCTCGGCAACAGCAACAGCATCATCGATCTTATCCGCATTGGTTCCTTGACCAGTGCGAGTTGGCTCCTTGCCACCAGATCGACCTCCTATGACCTCCGAAACTGCTGCCGCCCATTGCTCCGCACTCACGCCCTTAGAAGAAGCATCCTATATAGCGTTAGTCGACATATTCAAAGTATGGAGGAAATAGTTGCACTTACTGTACCGACGTAAACTCCGTGCACGACAGCACCCTCACTAGCACTACCTCCAAAGAGATAAACTGTCTTCTCCTTTGCTTTGGACTTGAAATGATTCATCACATCAGTAATGGCTTTGGAGTTTGCAGAGATTGGTAATTGTGCAATATACGCGATGCTGTCCTTGTTTTTTGGATTAGCAAAGTGAGCAGTGACAGTATCCAAAGCAGTCTTAGATTCGGCCTTCTGCTTCTTTTTTTGCTCATCAAGAACATCTTTTTGAACCTTGGCAAATTTCTTCTTTAAATCCTCCTTAGCCAGTACTGAAATAGTAAGGTGGTTCAAGTCATTTTGCGTTGCTTTGACCTCCTGTTCCTTCTCTACGGCGTGAGGCATAGCATCTAAAGCAGCAATACGTTTGTCGAATTCTGAGGCGACTCTCTGTACCTCATGCGCGGCATCACCAGTATAGGCGATGATTCTTCGAATTCCCTTGGCAATGCCACTCTCCTCGACAATAACGAGGTCCTTAATAATGCCAGTCTGATCGACATGGGTTCCACCACAGAATTCCACACTGACTTTCCGCCATTCTGGGTTCTTTGGCTCGGCGAGTAGAACGTCAACCTCGACACCAACCGACACCACTCGAACGGGATTTGGGTATGTTTCGCCGAAGACAGCACGTACACCCTCAATAGCCTTTGCAGTGTCAAGGTCAACATCTTTCGAGTAAATCTTGCAGTTTTGTTTGATGTAAGAATTAGAAGAATCCTCGATCTTCTTGAGTTCAGGTAGGGTGACTTGAGCCTTGTGCGAGAAATCAAATCGTAATTTCTCTTGGTCGACAAGTGATCCCTTTTGGTTGATATCTTCGCCTAAATGCTCCCTCAGTGCATGATTGAGAATGTGTGTACCAGTATGGTTGTTCCGGATAGGTTGTCTTCTTAATTCGTCGTATTCGCAAATGACCTCATCTCCAGCCCTGAAGTTTCCATAGTCCATGTAACCATTATGGACAATATATCCACCATATGCTTGAGTATCAAGAACCTTGAATTCCGCAACACCATCAATTATGATTTTGCCGGTGTCGAAAACTTGACCACCTTGTTCAGCGTAGAAGTTAGTCTTATCTAGGAGAATGCCAAATGGCTTATCACTTGGCAAATCTGCCGTGCTCTTGAGGAAGCTCTTGCCATCGTAAATGAGTTGGATCTTGCCTGTTGAATCGCCCTTTGAAAATTTGGCGTCATCATTGGTTCGAGCAATACCTATGTTGTCAAGCTCGGCAATTTGATGTACATCTAATTTCGCGAAAGTATGGGCAGCCTCCTTGACGGATTTACTAGCCTCACGCGCCTTCTCTTTGGCGATCTCGATCTCCCCTTCATCTGTCTCAAGGCCTCTCTCCTCAGCCATGATTTTGGTCAAATCTTCTGGAAAACCAAAAGTGTCGTATAATCGCCATACATCTGCACCTGAAAGTTTTTTGGTATTCGTCTTGATGGCTTGCGCGGCGTATTTCTCGAACATCTTCTCACCACGATCCAAAGTTCTAGCAAAAGCCTCTTCCTCTTCATCAAGAATTTCCTTGACATCTTGTTGCTTTTTGACTATCTCAGGAAATTGCTCGCCCATTTGTTCAACAAGAGCTGGTAGGATCTTGGAGAAGAAGCTACCAATCTCGGCGTTGAAGTATTTTCGAGCATAGCGAGATCCTCTTCTCAAAACACGTCGAACAACATAGCCCCGTCCTTCGTTGTTGGGAACACCTCCATCGGAAATAGCGAAAGTAAGTAAACGAATATGATCAGCAATAACACGATAAGCGGTATCGATCCCGTCGGTATCGTCCTTGCCATACTTATCGGTATATGGCCTGGCCTGCGTAACTTCTTGAATCTTGGCGAATAATGGTGAGAAAACATCTGTGTCATAATTTGACGATTTGTCCTGCAATACCGATACCAAACGTTCATAACCCATACCAGTATCAATATGTTTGGCTGGTAGAGTCTTCAGCGATCTATCCTTCTGTCGGTCGAATTGGATAAAGACGATATTCCAAATTTCCAACACGTTAGGGTCATCCTGATTGACAAGATGAGCAGCATTGCGCCCTCCTCCTATTCTGTCGTAATGGATTTCACTACAAGGTCCACAAGGTCCCGTCTCCCCCATCTCCCAGAAGTTATCCTTCATGTTTCCTGTCAGGATATGGTCCTCCTTAACTCCAGCCTTCAGCCATAACTCCTTAGCCTCTGTATCCGCTGGTACCTTATTCTCCGAATCGCCTTCAAAATATGTGACGTATAATCGATCTGGATCTAAGCCGTAAACCTTTGTGAGTAACTCCCATGCCATCGCAATAGCATCTGACTTGAAGTAATCGCCAAACGACCAGTTCCCCAACATCTCAAAGAAGGTCTATGACTCAAATGTTAGAACTGTTCAAATATGGCGTATAAGATTTAACTTACATGATGGTAACTATCCTTCCCGACATCATCGAGATCCTATAAACAATCAGATTATATACTTCCCGATGAAAGTCATGTAGCAAGTCTCACGTTGTGTTTTCCTCCAGCACGAATACACTACAACTCCGTTAGCGTATATCCATGATAGCAGCAGCAACCCAATCATCACCTTTTGTGTATCCACTGCTCTCTTCAGTTGTGCCATATCATCAGTCTTTCCCACCGTGCCGAGGAAAATCGGCTTGAACTGGTTCATACCAGCATTGGTAAAGAGGAGAGTGGGGTCATTGTGAGGGACCACAGAGGACGATGGCACTGATTTTTGTTAGATATACAGCTTCAATAGACTAGTCGAGCTCCGAGAGAGGAGTGCCAAAGCTACAGAAGGAGTTTTGTCCGATTCATGGAGGTAATCCATAGTTGAAGTACCCTTATGAAACCCCTTCATCATGAAGAATTACCCCGCCACTTACCAACAGAATGAGCATGCTTCTCGAAAAAGTTCAAAAATTCTTTCCTAACCACCGGGGCCGTCCATTTACTAGTATCTTGAGAGCTCGCCATAATTCTTGACGTCCCAGAAAATTTGCGATACAAAGTTGTGTTGTAAAAACTTATCGAGGTGGTGCGCGAGTCGAACAAAGAAAGTCGCGTCCTCTCGGAATCGTAGAATATTCTCGAGCAGTGACTCAGTGGACCTGGAACTCTTGCGATGTTCAGATTCAACCTTCCACGCAACACATTCATTCGCCCGATTCTATAAAGATACCTTTTCTCCCTAGCAAGGTTAAGTCTTCAATTGACAATCACCTTCTGTTTATACAGATTGAGGATTTATCATATAGTGCATAGACTAAGTGGCAGAAAAGAAGCTTGTGATTAGAGGAGGGATGGGTTGTTGGGATGGATCAAGCGACGCGTATTAGGAAAAGAAAGGCAGAAACCCAAGAAAATGGACGACTCTCCAAACGATTGAGCTTGCTTAATCTCGGTACATATTTTGCATTTATCTATAATTTCTTCATCCCAATGATCCGTTCTCACAGGCTGACAATTTTCCAGAGAACAATGGTCAGAAACTCTACGTTCCAGTTGAACAACCCACCTTGAGCTCAGATCTACCTGCCACCAGCTCCGCAACCACAACGAGTAATTACAAATCCATGAAATCAAAAAAGATAAAACAACAAGATACAGACGATGTAATGCAGCTGGATGACTCCAAACACAAAGTCTACATCTACAATCTCGACGACGAGCTATCCGACAGCGACGCCTCCGACGATGGGCGGCTAATATTTCTCCCCGACATATCTAAACATTTGCGAGAAACACGGATACCACCTCATATACTAGCAAATAAAGATGGAGAATTGGCTGGTGTGAATAATCAGCTCATCTTGTATGATACTGCAGTTCCAAGGAATCACAATGTGCCTGAAGAACATGATTTGGTGCGAAAGGCATTCTTGGACGCGAGGGAGAAGGCCAGAGCCAAGTGGGATGAGAGAGCAAGGTTGGAGGGCAGAGGGGGAGGGAAAACGGTGGGCGAGGTTGTACCAGATCGCGCATCTGCTAATAGTATGAGTGAAGGGGGTGGTGGTGTAGAAGATATGATAATGGAAGCTGTGGAAGCCGCGGAAGATGATCCTGATGCTATGGACCTCGGATAGTGTCCAATGCTTCACTTGGTGGTGTATAAGACCATTTAGTGGGTACTAATATCTATGTATGTGTTCTGAATTTCAATCTTTCATTGTTCTATTCCTGATAGTACATTTAATCCCTCGTGAAAGTCCATTACCAGCATACTCAAACATCAATATTCATTAAACCCCCCCTCTCCATGACTAACCTCGGAATGGATTGTTGCTCGCGCCAGTATTATTTGTTTGAAGATTTGGAGGTGGTCCTGGAGGTGCCTCATAATCGGGGGCGGACTCTCCACCATCATCTGCTGGACGTCTTGTTGGTTGTGATCCCCATTGCGAGGGATCGACTTTGGTTGCTCCCGCAGGTGGTTGATATGTCGGTGGCATTTGCGCATTAGGATCGTACATTGGAGGTGGCATAGGATGCATGCCATATTGTCCTCCTGCTGCTGCTGGGAATTGATTGTAGTATACGTCCGGGTTCTGGTAGGCGGGATCATATTGTGCTCGTTGTTGCCTATTCAACATCCACTACTGATTGTTAGCACTGCCTGCTCACGCAACCTGATTGAGGCTCCTAACCCTGTGATATGCTAATGGTTTCAGGCCCTTCCTTAATCTTCTCTTCGCATGCCAATATCCGATAATAATCCATAGCATGAAGAGAAGAAACAGCCCCCAGAAAATCGACCATCTGATTATTCGACCGGTCTATTCAGCATAGTTAGCAAGGAACGTAACTTTCTTCACGCCCCAGCGGACCAACCTTTGTAAGCCAAAATGGGACATCATCACTTTCAAAACAATTTCCAAATCTATCACACTCGAGAATGGGCTCGTTATCCGCCCGCTCCATAATATTCGACAAATGGCCATCCATGCTTGCCATTAATATCTCAATGCTCTGGCGCTGCAATTCTCAAATCGACTCAATGGCTCAGTCCAGCTCTTTCCGTTGGTGCTCGAATTTTCAATATCGTTTCGAGTAATATATCCCGTTCGTTCGCCCGTATAAATTAATTCAAGTAAAGTAGCAGAACCAAGATTCCGGGCTTCTTACTACAGAAGTATCCAAAATCCAACAGGGCAGTGCTCTGGTCTCTTGTCACGGTAATCTCAATACCCGATTTTAGAGTTTCATGCGATGTTACAGAAGCGTATCCAACAACAACACTTTGTTTGAGAATCGAGGTATGCTTGCGAAAATTATTGGTTGAGAGCTGTGCCGGATTCTTCAGATTCCCAATCACAAATTCAAAGCAAGTAGAAAAAGTAAAAACAAAAAGTATTCTTTAGGTGAAGGATGACATACTTTCCAACATTGGATTGCATGGGCTGTTATTATTTAATAACAACAGCACAGATATTGGGTGGCTTGGAGCAGGTACGGCCAAGACCCGTCCCAATCTCCAATTCAAAATAGTGATCATCATCCTTCAATCGATATTTAGAAGATGATTCGTTCCTTTTGGATTAGTCATCAAAGCTAAATTCAGGTACCCGTCTAGCGGGGCTTGGAAATGTAAAAATTGTGGCTGGAAATGCCGGATAGTCTGGAAGTAACTGCATTGCGGGTGGAGAATGCGAATTTCGTACCAGTGCCAAAGCTAAAGTGCGTGATTGTTTTAGGTTGCGAGTGAAGTCATCGGGTTTCGAATCAATAACAATTTGCCTGACGGAGACGTCCTGCGAACATTTTGAGACGTGCTTGGTATGAAGAGATCTTGCGCGATGGGAGTGGTGATGCGAGCGGTTAGAGGTTCACATTGAAAGGAATCTATGTCATCGAGGTTGCTGCGATTTTGAGCGATTTATGAATACGAGAATACGGGCTCCTCAAGTTTAGAGTAGTCCATCATTAGCTAAGAGTTTTTAAACATTGAGAATAAATGGGTCAAAATGATCATTTTAAGTTCAGAGATGAAGTTAAGGGCAAGACAGAGAGTTGTGCAGAATATGCTGACCAACCCGGATATTATACAGCAAGTACCATTAATTTATTCCTAATACTACCCATCTATAGGACACCTGAATTCCCTTTCATCATGAAACCCTTCCTTCGCTGCATTTTCATCCGTCCGCATTGTCTCCAAACATGACCGATGATAAATATGTCTACAAGCGAACACTATCAATGGCCCCGATTCCTGTCGAACCTTGTGTTCATGATTATCATTGCCGCCCTGCTGACCATTCGTTCCACCTTCAGAATCTCCCGCTGACTGTCCCTCCATACCCTTTGCTTTACCTTTGCCTTTGCCATTCCCACTGCTCTCTCCGTCGAACTTCGGCAAACTATTACTGCTAGCTAGAGCTAGCTCCTTTCCTCTTTCTGGAGCACCTCCACTCAAGAGGGTTTGCCGATTTTTCTTTTTCTGTTCTTCACGTTCCAGTCGCTCTTCCCATTGAGAAAACACGTCACCTGAAACGCCGGGTCCCCATACCCTCTGACCACAACCCTCACAAGTGGAACCGCGTGGCCTCCATCCTCTTTGGCGAAGATCGGTAGCAGACTGGACATTGACGAAAAGGTCTTTGTCGAGTAGTCGATTTGCCAAACTTAGGATATTCTCCTCATATGCATAAGCAGAGAATACCGAGGCTAGTACGGCGCGTAGATCACTGAGGTTCGGTGACGAGATTGATGCCTTCGTCAAGAATGTTCGTAAAATACGCAGGAAAGATAAGTTTGCACCCGAGGATGTTGGTGTTGACGTCGAAGTTAACAGAGCTGTAAATGTTCGTTGAACAAGAGTCCGAAGTTGGGCTGTTGGCTTCTCGACATCTAGTTCCTTGGGCTTCGCTACTCTCGCGTCTTCCAGAACTGGAGATAATTTGCGTGTCATTTGTACCGCAACATCTATAAGATCTAGCCAAAGTACCTCTTCGGGAAGAAGTTCGAGTTTTCCAGGAGACTTTCGTCTATTAGGAGTCACGTTTGGACAGTTAGATTGTGTTGATGTCTGGCGTTGACATAACCAAATTCCTACATTGATATATTTTTGAAGCGCAGTGAGAAGATCCCCCACGGCTTCACTTGCCTGCATAGATTGCATAGCCTCGGCCGGAGCGCCTAGTATGCCTACCAGAGTAGCCTCTAACATCTTCAAATGTTCTATTAGCCGGTCCATACCAGCTCTTACTCGACCTTCACGAGCCATCAATACCACGGCAGCATCTATGACGCCACTCTCTTCCATATAAGGCAATACAGACTCAAGCCGGAGATCAGATGCTTGCACCAATTCAACATAGTGCACTACATGATGAGTGTCATATCTACACATAAGTTGAACGTATTGCTCGGCGAACTCATTGGGGGGTGAGCCCTTAGAAGTTTCTTCTTGTCCAGTTGTCGTTTCCATAATACTGTGCAAATAGACATACTGCGCCTCTGAGAGTTCAGGGAGTGAGCTCAACATCTTTTCGTGGAGAGCGGGAGCGTAATTCTGGATCGTCAGAGCAGCCCTCTCAGCATCGAGCTCAACCAGACCACTGGCATGCTTCCCGAGAACTTCATGCACCTCCCGAACCTGTCGTTTGGTCAATCCAGACCGAGGTCTCAAGCAGTCAGATATACAATCAAAAATGTTTTCACGATCCTCGGGATCCTCAAAATATGCCTGAACCAGTTGACTATATTGCTTGTCTGCTTTGTATATACTTTTGAGGACTCGATAAAAACCAGCCTTTTGGAATAGAGGCATCAAAGATGCTAGATCGGTTGGATGGTATACTGAAAGTAAGTATTCTACACTAAGTTGAGCATCATCCGCAAGATCTTCACCAGGATAATTACACAAGCCTGTCAAAACCTTGTGCAGAGCTGTCCCAGAAAGTAGTAAGTATTGGGGGAATTTAGGCAGGTTTCGAGCGATAAACATATCCAAATAGATAGTATCTTCTGGTGCAAACTCATTGGCGTTCATAACCTCTAGAAGTATCGTGACGATGTACTGCCTGTTGACGGAAAGGCCAAATACATGCTCCTCTGACATATCACGACTTGAGCCACCATTGACAGCTCGTTCTGGCGTGTCGTTAAGAAAGGAATCCTCGAATGCTTCGTTTAAAGCACTGAGAAAACTTGGCGCATCAAACTTAAGAATCATCCTTAAGTACGGAAACGAAGGTTCAACTTCTTTATCGGGCTTTGTTAAGAATGGCTTAGTGTTTCCTCTAGGCCAAGAAATTGTCTTTCCAGAGAAGAGAAACCAATAGAGTTCAGCTTTAGCATTCATAGCTTCTTGATCCTCGAGTTGATCGCCCGTAGGGTAGACTCGGCCCGTAAATGTGTATGACATGTATGGGAACATCTTCAATGCATTAATGCCAAAAATGGGATCTTCCACCACGTTCCCAGCTGGAAAGGATTCTCCATCTTGGACAAAAGGCACCAACAATGTGAGAAGATCAATGAGAGGAGTTATGTAATCGTGCAGCGCTTGATTCCAGACGTATATAAGGGCATCGTAAAGATTGTGTTGTTTGCATAAAGTAGTGACTTCGTCGATATCTAATGTTGTCGTCTCCATATGGCATATCATTTCTTCTAGACGACCTTCAAAACCTTTACTAACGAAATAGGAAACCAAAGATTTAACAACAGTAGGTGGTATTGAGGTAATGCGTTGATCCGATATATATTGTTCCAAAACCTCGAGGAAAATACCCTCCGACTCCCCGTCCTCGTACCATTCAAAAGCCTCGTCGAAGAGGAAATCAATATCGTTAATGCTTAAAGATGCTTCGAAGCAAGCTTCAGCCAATCGTTTGAGGTGATCATCTGTAGCAGCTGGGTATTTCTGTCGTTGACCGAAAGCAAACTTGAGAGAAGCAGTTATTATCTCGACCAATTTGTCTTGCACCATAGAATGCCGTAATGCAGTATCCTCGGGTAATCCAATAGTCAACTTGTCGGTATCACCTGTAAAATAAGACGTCGCCAATTGAATAGCTCCAATGTAGTCACCATCTTCCATCAATGCGATTAGTCGATCTGCCCAGTTTGATAATGTTCCTATTGATACATCATTGAAGCCAAGCAGGAACATCCGACTCTTGTAAGCTTTGAAGCTCATATAAAATGCATCTGCCACAACGCCATGCATAGACGGGTCTTCTTCGTCTAATTGCTCCACCAAGGTATGTAGTTGTTCGGAAAACAAATCTTGGTGGAAGATATGCTTATGTACCAAATCGAATGCTTCAGTCATCCGCATACTTACATCTTCCAAAACTATTAGGCGTTGTGTGATTGTCAATACCGTAAGCACGGATCGACTAAGCCATTGAACGGCAACAATAGCTTCTTCTGCCTTCCAACGATTACGAGGTTTGAAGGATAGGCTGGGTGGTTTATCTTTGTTATCAGATGGAGTTTCCTCCACATCCAATACAGTCAAAATATTGGACCAACAATAAACAAGCTTGACTTTAGAGCTCTGGCTACCATCTTCAGGGTCCGGAACCTTCAGCTTGACGGCAGGAAACCATGCAAGACATCCACTCATAGTACTATGGGCAGCAACCTCTTTCGGTCGAGCAGCTTTATGCTGAGTTTGAGCGATTGGAGTTGTGGATACGATCACGAGTAGATAAGGAGTCAAAATGGCAGTCAAACCTAGGGTATCAGTCCCCTTTTCTACATTTCCAAGTGGGAGAGGTGAAAACGCTAAAACCGTGCTTGGTTTTCGAGGCTTTCCGGAAGGACCAACATCGTTAGGATATCTACCGAGTATCCTAGTCGTCCGAACAGTACGTCCAACCGCACCCATACCTCTTGTTGCAAGATGCGAAAAAGCCATTCCCCGATCATCTGCAGACACAAGGGCCGTATGTCTAGTGCCTAAAAACCCCAAATGTCGGACTGCAACGTCTGGAGCATGGCCATCGGCACCGCGATTTGCTAATTGAGAAGGTTCCAGGGACGGAATATGAAGAAACGGGCGGGCTGATCTTGCTGTTTCCCACGTGAAGATACTACCATTGGCATGGCCACCAGCAACCACAAGGTGATCAGCAGATACGGCAATAGACGTTACCGCACCAGATTCCACAGCTAGAGCGGTCAGCTTTGGATCGAAATACAGATCTTTGAATACCTACCTTTGGTGCCTGGCCCAATTATAGACTTGAGATTTTGATGGTAATCAAAAATTAAAATTATTCCCTTCGATGTCCCTAGCACTATGGATGCAGAAACTGCTATGCATGTTGTTGTGCCAAAATTACGCCTGCCAACTTCGGAAAATGCTTGTCCGCTAAGTTTCTTCAATTTCGTCCACCGAACAACCTCCCAAGGTGGAGAGGGTGTATCTGTCTCCCCTGCATCTTGCAGCATCTGGCTATTCATTGATATCTGCCGCGAATGCGGTCTCATGAAACCAGGGGAGCTGGAGCGAGGAACATTCAAGGAGGATACGGAAAGGCGCGAAGAGAATCGCCGGTCAAATGGACGAAATGAAGGAGTAGGGCTATCAAGACCAGGCCTAGATGCAACAGATGGCAATATACCACTGCCAGCAGGAGAAGACAACATGGAACCCTACCAAGCATTAACAAATTTACATTATCCTCATGATTTGTCCTACCTGAACAGAGGGAGAATCGTCTGGAATGGACAAGATTGAGTCTATAGGGCTATTGATCCTCCTAGGAGGTGCTCCTACAGATCCATCCTCAGACTTATTCTCGGGTTCTTGAAATTGCTTGTACGGGTTTGTGCCATTTCCTAGCTTCTGCGGCGTAGAGGTGCCTTCATCTCTCTCCTCCTGTAGCAGCTCAGAAATTCGACCTCCAGCTAAATTTTCTACGCCCTCTGCACCCATATCCTTTGGCTTATCTGTATATCCATTTGCAGGAACATCGTGTTCATCAGCCGTATCTTCCTCCCCACTACTACCGTTTTCCGAAGGGGGGCTCATCGAAAATGGCTGCTCTGGCGCATCATTCCACAACTCGACTTGTTTGCGCCGCAGTCCGTGGACTCCCGCAGGCTTGTTTCCTTAGACCAACATTTAGTAGAAAACAGTTTCAGAAACTTCGTCGTCTTGCTCCTGCGAAATCTTTTCGTAATCGCAGTGACTAGCTTGATGAGCTCTAAATTGGTAGGTGATAGCTTCAAGCTTGTGATAGGACAACTCGCTTAGAGCCGGCGACAACTGCTTTAACCTTACGAACTCACAATGTTTTAAGCTTTAAAACAATAATCAAGCATTCGCAAGAGAACGCAAACCCGCTGCAACTAATAGTAATTCGTGAGAGTAAATATTCGGGAGGATAGCACCCACCCACCGCAGACACACAGCCTTCTCGGACTGTGGCACGGCTCGGAATTAATTATCCAATTGAATCGCGGCTACATAAATATCCAAGTCGAACGACCATCTTCGTGTCCCCAGACAATTTCCTACCACCAAGCTCGACATTTTAATGTTCGCTCAAGATTAAATCGTTCAATAGAGCCTCTATATAAACCAAGAAGTCCCAAGCCGATAATGCCTTCTTTAGGTCCCGAATTACCTCCACATCTTCAAAAGCGCAAGCGCTCAATCGATGATTCTGAACTACCTAATTCACCACCTCGCAAATTGCAAGCAGCAGCACCACCACGAGTTCTTGGACCCTCTCTACCACCTACCATAAATCCTGATGAAGTAAATATAGAAAATAGTGATGATGATGATTATGGTCCATCAATTCGACCATCAAATTCTAAGAGACCTGAATCTCCACCACGAAAAGTTATAGGACCTTCTGCGCCGCCGAAATCTACTTCTCCTTCCGTCATAGGCCCTTCACCACCGTCCAAAAACCCAGATGAACTCGAAATCGAAAGTTCTGATGACGATGACTCTTACGGTCCTTCTTCAATTAAGAATCAGTCGATGGCTGTCCCGCCACCAAAGCGCGTTCTAGGGCCCGCTCTCCCACCTGCCTCTCTTGCAGAACGCCCTTCATACCCCCCGAACTCTGACTCTGATAGCGACTCAGACTACGGCCCATCTCTTCCGCCTGCAGCAGGTAGTACTGCCGCTATCGCTCTCGAAAATCAGCGCGCGCAGGAAGCCCAAGCAGCTGCCGCTAAATCAAATGAGCCCTCAAAGCCTCAACGTCCAGACTGGATGCTGGCTCCTCCGACTTCCTCTGACTGGACCTCTAAAATTGATCCCACGAAGTTGAAAGCGCGCAAATTTGCAGGAGGCAAAGGTGCTAAAGCGCCGGGAGAGAAAACCGGTGTATCTGCCATCTGGACCGAAACTCCTGAAGAAAAGCGTCAACGACTCGAAGATGCAGTTTTGGGCCGTCAAGACTCTGATACTTCTTCCGCGCGCACAAGAGTTGAGACCAAGGTGGATGAAGAGACAGATAAGACAGTTAGGGAGTATAATGCCAAGAACAGGGGGAAATCTCTATATGAAGCACATGCAGACGGAAGCGTGGTTGCAGGAAAGGGGAAGAAGGAGGAAGAGGATGATCCGAGTCAGAGGGGTTTTGATAGGGAGAAGGATATGGCATTGGGGGGACGATTAGGGCATGCCAAGAAGAAAGAATTGTTGAATCGAGCAGCAGATTTCGGGAGTCGATTTCAGAAGGGTAGCTATCTGTGATGCAGTGGTTGAACCAAGAATACAGATCAACACAGAACATAATGGTATGAGTTCATGAAGCGACATGATGGGGATCACCCGCATAATTTACAGCTTTACAGAATTAGATACACAAGCATAGCTTTGAAGACCAGTAGAGGTCAGTCACATTACTTTAAATACATGCTTTCTATTGCTTGTTATGCTTTCCGTTTCTACGTATAGATACATTCTCTCAACAATATTCTCATATGCCTTGCCACCTACCGAACCCTCATATACTGACATCCTTTAGCATAGATCCATCGCCCCGGGTAGGCTCCATAAACAAAAAATCCTCCATCATATCCTAAATCATATCATGTCATGTTATGTACATATACCAACTCCGGTCAGGCCTTATCTACCAAACTTCCTAATCTCCACCCATCTCAGCCCGCAATATGAAATTGCCGAAAAAGCAAAGGCTAGCTCAAATCCTACATCCCCTCCATAGTCCATGCCGCAGAGCTTTCCAATGGGTCCTGTGAACCACACCTGTGCCATCCCTAATACTGCGCCCATGACCCCAAAGAGAAATGCTACCGTTGCCGCGATTCCCGGGGGCAGTCGACTCGCATCCATGTAATTCTCCGGTCTATATCCCTCGAATCCTCTCTTGAAGAATATATGTTCAGAGAGTGAGATCCCTTCATAGATCGCTAGCCAGTACGCGATCACGAGCATGAAGTTCTCCAGCACGGACGCAAAGTTTCCGTAGCCTGGAATGGCAACCGCGCAGTAGATAATCGTTCCGATGAATGTCCAAACGAAGCGTGGTACACGTGCGGTGGCAGAGGAAAGAACTTGCAGGGATAGAGACACGGAATAGATGTTTGGGCAATTATTTGCTATGATAGAGAGAGCGAGGACAACAATGCAGAATTCTCCGAACCTCCCAAGAGGGGGCACGAGTACTGAGGAGAGCAGACCTCCGATTCCAGAGCTGGTGTAGTTGGTCATAAATACGTTATCTCCACCGTTAGCAGACATAGCTGTAGCAACAGCCGCGCCCAGCATTTCGGTAAACAGGAGAGGAAATATCAAACCCGCGAACGTCCAAAGGAATACGGACTTTCGGCTGCGATCGGCAGGTTGGTATACTGTGTAGTCTGCCGCATAGCTGGTCCAGCCCGTGGCAAAACCAAAGATACTTGCAGCGAAGGAGAGACATGCTCCTGCTTCGGATTTTCCCACGCCGATGGGGATATTGGAAAATCGGCCACTGTGGGCAAATTCTCCAAGTACGATGAGGAATATTATGAGGCACGGGATCCATGAGTAGCGTTCGTAGGTATGTACAATTTTGTAGCCGAATAGCGTAACAATAAAGGTAGCGGTAGCGATGACTATTACGCCGGCCCAGCCTGGCATGCTAGAATTAACAGCGTTGAAGAGTTGCGCACCAACTATTACGTTGACAGCAGACCAACCGATACACGCAAGGATGTTGAAGATTGCAACTGGAGATATATCAGTATGCTCCTCTTACCAAACCTCGAGAATGAAAAAAAAAGGAGTGCAAACTCACTAATCTTCACCCCATACCATCCAAAATAAAATCTACTCAATACCATCTGTCTCAAGCCAAACCTGGGACCAAACATTGAGAAGAAACACACCGGCATGACCCCGACCAAATTCACAAACAGAATAATCAAAATCGTATCCACAAACCCCAGATGAAAGATAGGATAACTCAAAGCCCCAAGCGCAAAAGAGGAAACTACCAAGTTGGCTGATAGCCATAGTGTGCCGATCTGGCTCATACCGGCAGTACTACGCTCATCGCTCGGGACTCGTTCGATGCCGCGGGATTCGACGCCGAATCGGCTCGTATAGCGGTGGGCTTTGGAATACCACGTACTGCCTTCTTGGAGGGAGGAGGTGTGGATGGCGATTTCTTTGGGGGTGAAAGGGAGGTCTTGGTCGGAGGAGGTGGTGGTTTGGCCTTGGGCGATTTCGGGATCGTAGCCCCTTTCTTTGGTAAAGGACATGTTTGAGGAGGTTGAAGATTATATCGTTATTGCTTTTCTTTGCAAGTTATGGAAAGAAGGTACGAGCAGTTCCTTCTTTGCTTTTGCTTTTGCTTCTCGTTAGAGGTTATGGAAGTTTTGTCGAAGTTGGCAAAATCAGAATCAGAATCAGAAGTGTTTCCAAAACCTTCAAAGGCTCAACCTTATGGTTCGATCTTAAGCGGCCGGCTAGTTGTGGCATCCAAGTCCTTTGAAGATCTCCGTGGAGGTGAATAATTAGACTTCAATACAGCCGTGATTTCTCTCTAGGAGTCCACCGTGATTTGTTCGCTTCAAGTGTATAATACCGGTGAATGAATTGGCCATTCACAAACCATCTAGATCCTGGAATAAGGTTGCGATTCACAGAACAGTGGATTTGACAACTCTTTATACAAAATGGAGAGGAGAGTATGACGCATGAAGTGTGATACCAGGCCGACCTGCGGATACCGAATACACTGATTCTCTGCCGGGAGGTTTCAGAAAGAAGCGCAGTATGAATGATTGCCAAATATTGCGCGTGTGGAAGGTCTGTTATAGCAAACAAAATCAATCTTCCGAAGAAAGTAGGTTGCGCCGGAGATTTGGGCAGGGGTACGAGATAAACTGAGAACGGGAAAACTAATAATGAATAGAGAACTATGCTAAATATTGTAGATATTGCCAGAATAAGAAGAATACAGCTTGCAAAAGTCGGAAATCAACTTCATACTTAAAGTACAATATGACATTGTCACGTTAGCATGCTACAGCAATGGTGATAAACGACAAAAGTACTGATTACTGCAAAGTGTATGCAGTATCACGGTGAGAACAATAGTAGAAAATGGCACTTCATGGATTCTGCATTGCGGTGTGCATATCGGGTTATACGACAGCTTTGTCGGTGGTATTTTGGTAGGGAAAATATTGGAAAGGGTTCTTGGGCCGATGTAGTATATGATTTGATAGTTTGTACCCCCAATCACTTCCCTGCGCCACTATGCTTGATGAAAGCCACCGGGGATGGTCAATCATGGAAGATGCGTGGTTTGAGTTTGTCTTACGAATATTATTGCTCTCGGAATCTGTCCTCAAGCTGCGGAAATGCGTAGGGGAATATGAGCTGAAAATGAATGGTGAGTGAATGCAACTGAGTCATTGGGAGGGAGGTAATAGTCCCGGGGACTATGCGAGAAGTTCAAGAACATGAGCATGGAGAGGAGAGTACCGAAAAGCTTTCATCGACACTTGTGAACGGATCAGATACTTGCTTATCTTCCCCAGATAGTCCCCTTTTCACATGTGCCTATCGCTGGCTACAACTTGATAGATCAATTGACAATTGACATATTCTAGTGTGCGAGCGGAAAGGATAACCGGTCGGGAATGTCCGGATGAACTAAATGAGTTAGAAGTTCGGCGTTTGCTTATCATGTGCAACGTCCAAGGTGAACTTGCTTCTTTCTTCTGACAGCTAGACAAGCGAAAAGTGAGGACTGGCCACCAGGGCGTTTAAGTACATTGACTCGCTATTGATTCGCCGAAAGCTGTGTGTCTCAGCTAATTTTATCATCAATTCTGTGACATTTGCTTCAAGCCCCTTTCTTCCTTCACCTACATTGAGATTTCTTTGTAAACTACGAAGTACAAAATATAATCACAGCATCGCTTCTCAAGATTCAATTCTCCGACTCTCATCTCCATTTGCATCCCGTCTCTCACAACTTGGGTACGTCTGCACCTATCCGGGCGGTTTTGGTACCCTTGGAACCTGCACCTTTCCGTGACAGCACATCCACCAAACTATCACACGAGTATCTCACGTGCATTTGAGGCCTTTTCATTTCAGTAGAGGGGTACTGCGCCTTTCCGATTTTGTAGATCCGGATCGGTAGCATGGGATGCATGTCTCATCTGATGTATTTACGATGCAAATTCTTGGCAAGATAGCCGATCTGGGACTATCCTTTGAAGGAAATTTTGGGAAACACTCAAATGAATTAAATGTTATGCAATAACCTTAGTACCATCTGACCTACGGAAAGTAGCTCGGATATTCAAAGGCAATGCAACGTTTCAACCAACGTTTATTTCGGATGCGTTTCATCATTTGCCTATCAAGTGAGTACAAAAGGGGGATAAAGCACGTGTTTCTGCGATGCATATATGTCAATGTCAAATGCATTTGTATGTCAACTTATTCCTTGAAATTGCATGCATTGTAGCGGTCAAGGAGAAAGATGTTTCAAGGTTGATGGCTTGCATGGATCGCGAATTGAAGTAGCGTATTCTGCAGCTAGATAACTGCCCTTGTAATGGCTGACGTACCAAGACAAATGAGGCTGAAAAGCCAATACTTCGCGAGGTACTCATTGTTCAGGTCGAAAAGTGTAGTCTCGCCTCCTCGGCAAGATGTTTAGGTGCCATAACTCCGTACCTAGACTCGTCATTATTCAGTCAATAGTCATGTATTACCCCTCTTTTACGTCAGTCTCTTTCACTGGAACCTTGCCTGTAATTATTCTCCAAAATAAAGCTTGTACTCCGAGAACTATCTCTTGAGCATCCACTGCATATTCCAAATGGCCACAACCAAGTCGTACTCTTAGTGCCGCTCTCCCTCTCGATCTATGTAGTAGACTGGGATCTGAATTTCCACGTTTGGTGAAAGATGAGCTTAATTTAAGCGATGTCATATATTGGATCCAGTTGCCTCCCTCCGGGAAAACTTTTGCGACTTGTCTAGAGAGCAGGTGAGGCTTTTGACCTGCCGTATCTGGAAGCTCGGATATGGCCGGATCTCTGCGTCTTGTGTAGAAAGTGTTCCCAACAAACAAGTAATGTTCGTTCTCCGGTATCATACCAGGCAAGATAGTCAGGTGTATGCTAACACCAGGGAATCAGCAATTGCCTATCAAGGAAGAATCGGAAAAAGATGAAAAGTTAAGAGGATGCGCTACATAAAACATCAAAAGAAAGCTGAATGTCAGGAGTGCGATATGAAGTTGAGCAAGCTTACGCATGGAACTTTTATGAACTGGATGCGAAAGTGGTTATTGAGTATCTAGAAGCACTCTACTTGACGATCCCAATGCGACAAATCGTAATTTACGGTCGATGAATTCATGTATTTGCAGAGAGAGTTCATTGGTAGGTCTCCTAGAATGAAATATTTACCATTATTTGATGCCCAAATGGTAGGTTTTGACGATCGAAACTCAGGAAGACCAGGGATGTGATCATAATGACAATGATTATACATTATGATATATTTTCTCCTACTGCCCGGGTTAAAAGTGAGATTGTTGCAAGATGGTGTTGGATGTTCCTAAACGAATTGATGTAGGGATGTAAGTTTGACGGTTATGTCTCGAGGAGAATTGCATTCTCTGTCCGTTATATTCAGGTAGTTGGAATACAGCTTGACGTAGATATATGGTTGCTCCCATCTCCATCATCCTCAGATATGATAATGTAGAAAGATTTAGCTTCCGCTCACAAAGCTTGTTGACTACAAGCTTAAGCCATCCATCGTTCCGAAAATTCCCAACAACAAGACCGCAGGAGGATATTGTCTAGGATATCTCTAGAGAAAGCAAAGACATTTTGGTACCAATAGCTCGCAAATCATTAGCCGCTGCCGCTGTGTAGTGGTGGTAGCATTGATGGCTATCAACAAGTTCAGGGCTGTTCCGAAGGAGAGTCGGGAAGATGACTCAGTTACAGGAATCGTCGTTTGAGCTTGATCGTGGAAGCCACAGAGTTTGATGGTGATTCACGTGTCGACGTCAGGCTGGCCTACGTGAGTTTTGTCTGCAGGTGACATCATTCATCCATTCAGTTTGCTCTCCACTCAGGAAAGCGGAGGGTGTCAACGTTTTCATGGAAAAGATGGTAAAGATGAAGGAAATTGGTGTACTCATGGTTCGACAGCTAGTCGAATTATTTGAGGTAGAATACAATGTTGTGGTATAGCAGAAATACCTGTATTAACTAGTTTCAAATATGATGCGGTTTGAAATTATTGCTTTGCAAATTATGCCAACTACCTAATTGATATACTCATACTCTAGTTGTAGAAGTTTGATAGCGGCGTGCGTGCGTGTTAAAGGGCTGATGGCTGATCTAAGCTTGAAGATGATCTAACCTAAGATCTCGCTCCGTCCTTGGGGTAAATGTAAAGCCGCTTCCGCTTCCCTTTCGAACATTTCAATATTTTCTTTGCCATCTCCCTTTTATCTCTCGTGCTCTTCCCAAGTATTCATCAGCGTGTTCAGACAATACTTCGTATGTCTATTTATCAAGTACGCTAAAGCTTTAAAAATCACAACATCAAGTATCTATTCAGATCCTTTAAATCTTCTAAAGAAAATCAGAAGTTATCTATCTACTCACAGCGTCCGTGTTTTCTCTGACATGACTCGAAAGTGCGCTCCCCTGCAGCTTCAACTTGTCAGTTAGTTGTAGGCAGTAAGTAGTAGTCCCTAGAGCCTTCTTTACTAATGAACATGTAGATCTGATCCAGAATTTCCCGTGTTACATTGTTTCTCTCAAGTTTGAAACAATGGCCGTGATAGTCGATCATTCTTCGTTACAGATTGCCTTTCCCTTCTGCTCCAAAGAAGCCTACGGAGATTTTCGAAACACGACATTAAGGGCACGCCCACAAAAATTTACAGCTTGAACCTGTCTAGATGTTTATTTGAACATTTTTGATTCGATCTCAACATTTGCACACCTTGTCGCACGCTGGATCATCTGTAAACCTCAGATGGGACAGGACGACTTGCAAAAACTCTATCGCATGATTCCGCAAAACATCAGAGGATTTAGTATTACGTTAATGTGAAGGCATTATCTAGGTACCTCCCTACACCAATATAAATGATATGGTCTGAACATCTAAGTACCGCACTCCAGTGTGGTGATGGTGAGGTGCTACAAGAGGTCAGCGGTTATTCTACCCATTCGAAGTGAGGCCACTGGCGGGCATCATCGATGAATACTTTTACGCCTGGACAGTTATTCCACAATCTCTTGGTTATGCGCCTACTAAAGCCACTTGGATTGTCTTAATACCTCAAATTTCCGACCCTTCAAACTACGAATGTGCCACAGATGATTTAAAGTATAACAATCGGTTGGTGATTAAAGCAAGCCCTACGGTTTCCATCCAGACCTTGCGGGACTCTCATGATTGGTTGTGGTTATTGAGGGCCAAAAAAACTTTGACCATCAACCAAGCATTTCCCGATGTCCGTTCTTTTCTCTCCCGAATACCCCTTGCATGACCCCGCAAAAACGCATCCCAAAACATTATCAAAAAAATGTTTCCAACATCAGAATATTCATACTTGGAGTCGATGATAGGACCTCGGTCGTTCTCTCTTTACAAACTTTTGCTCCACTTTGAGGTACTTGGAGGTTCTAGTTACTTTCGAAATCATCGAGCTTTCCCGTGTGCCAATTGTTTAGTTTCGATTCGGTCCATTCATCACTTGCAAGAAACAGTCCCGAAAAAAAAACTTGCTCTAATCATTGTCCATTCCTTTCAATTGCATCAGTCAGTGGGTTGTAATACATTCTCTGCATTTTCCTTTTGTCTCTGGAAGTACAAAGCAAAAGGATATGCCAAGCACTTTCACTTTTCAATCCTCATTGATGTCTGCTTTGTTTTGCTTTCTATTATTTCTTCTCAACAAGTCGAACACATTCACTCGAATCCGCTTGGGAGGAGTTACCCTATTGTTCTCTGTCACAATAAAGGATTTTCGGTTCATACAAACACCTTTGTCTAGTCACGACAGCCATTATTACTCAAAGCTATTCATTGTACATCTTTTGTCCAGTCATTCTAAACGATGTTCACGCTGGTCGGGAATCATCTATAAAGTTCTATACAATCACCTTTTTAATTTTGTCTTCTTAAATCAACCAACAATTGTTTCTTACAATATCACATGTTTTCAAAACAAACAAACATTAACAAAGCACTCGATCAAAAAAACGCACAGCTCGAACCTTAAAGTACATATCAAAAACACAACTTTTCAGGCAAGAAAAACATCGTGACGATCAAACACGAACACTTAAGGACATTATTTCCAATATGAAATTCACAACTTCAATCAGCATCGCAGCTCTTGCGTTACTTTTTCAAACAACCACCGCTCACACTTGGGCAGATGAACTTAGGGTCATTGCACGAAATGGGACCATGACTACAAAGGGCTACCCACGTGCTTACGTCCCCCGATTGGCCGGATATAATCCCGACGATAACCTCTACAAACTGTTGAACGATGTTTCCAGTGATACTCCAATCTGTGGTCCAAAGCAGACACCAGGAGCAAAATCTGTCGACTCAGCATACCAAGCTTTGAGCGCCGCTCCAGGAGACTTTGTTGCCGTCAGATACCAAGAGAATGGACATGTTACTGAACCTACCCAAGCAGACACTCCCACAGAAGGCAAGGGATTTGGTAGTGGGCTCGTATATGTATATGGCACGGCAGACAGTAAAGCGACTGACAAGATCAGCTCCATTCACAACGTATGGAACAAGGATGGAACTGGTGGAGACAAGCGGGGAAAGCTCCTTGCTGTTCAATACTACGATGATATGGCATGCTTCCTCGCTGGCAATACAAACGGGGATCTCTTCGTGGATACTCCTACCGGCAAACAAACTCTCGCAGAGGTAAGACAAGAAGCTTATCCTTTTACACCGACGGATCCCATGGGCGCAAATCTCTGGTGCCAGACGGACTTTCAGATCCCGAAAGAAGCACAAGCAAATAAGGACTATAGCATCTACTGGGTTTGGGACTGGCCTACCATGGACAAAACCACTGGCCAACGAGTCGTCAATGAAACCTACACTTCTTGCGCCGATATCGCCATCACCGGCCCTGTCAACACTGAGGAAATCGCATATGTCGCACCTCAAGATCTCAATAACGCTGCGCAATGGAGTCAGATGGTCAATCATTTTATCGTCGATCCCACCGCCGCTCAAAAGCCATTTTCTCTTCGCGTAACCACCGATCTCTTTGCTAGGCCAACAGCTATTGCTGGGGCCGGGACAACAGCTCATGTGCAACCGACCACCGCATCCTCCGTCACTCAGCAACAGTCCTCCACTACGCAGGAAGTAGCAACCGCTACAGCCATTTCGACACAACAGAGCATCACCACTGTCACCGTCTATGTCACGCAGACCTCAGGCGTCGCGAAACCAACCGGTGTCGCAACTGCTGCGCAAGCTGGCGTAGGAGCTCCTTCTCGCCTTGCATCAGCAAGCGGCTCTCTTCCTTCTGTTTCACCTTTCATGAAGCGCTCGATCCAGATTCGAGGACGCGAAGTGAACTAAGTTCAACTATAGGCGGCACGAGAATCGTCGGCAGAGCTGGATGATAAAGATAGATATATTAGATACCCCCCCTTTTCTTTTACGCAACTCAACAACACAACAAAATTGATGCATAGATAAGATACCCTCGGACTTCAGTTTTATAGCATTACAGGGCTTGCAGGCGTTTTTTCTTTCATGTTCGTTGGGTTTGACCTCATAGAATACCCATTTTTTCCTCTGTTACTTCACTTTTTTTATGACGACTTTTTCTTTGATGATATGATGGATATGGATTGCATATGGATGCGATATTTGGTGCATGGAACGACTGGATTGGTCATGAATTGATATGAATATGGATGATACCCATTGGGCTTGCCTAACATTTTACTACATACGTTTTTGTCTTTTCCTTCGGAGAATGGTGTTTAGGTGTTTAGATGCTTAGGAGTTTAGATTCTTAGATATCATATCGTAAGACTAATATTAGCTTGTAAGGAGACAAATTCAAATAGAATCAAATCAATCAATCGCTTTGATAATATACTTTCTTTGGATAATGTTGGAGTGTGACATGTTTTTTATTGTGAATGGGGGCTTTTTAAGGTAGGCGGTTGATTACTGTGTAATTATGGAATACGAGGAGTGTAGAATGGAAGGAAAGAAGGTGACTGATTGATTGATATAAGATTACCATTGTTGGGTTTGAATCATCTAGCCCGTCTATCCATTTATTAGGAAGTAGTTAGTTTACTTGACGTACATTGGTGGGTATTGTCATGAAGCTGCAGAGCTGGATATAAAGAGATTGATAGATCGATATTTCCATTTATCTAGTCATCGGTATATCTGTTTATTTTCATGTTTATATATTACTAGATAGGACTGACTTATATGGATGTTTGTATATATAGGTTTATAGATATAGATACAAATGTGTGTGGTTATTGTTTTGATATTAAGTCTATTGAATCTATCAATCAATCAAGCGACTCGATGCAGTTCCTAGCTGACTGGTATGGAGATAGGTCTTTGGAATTTGATATGATATAATGTGATGGATGAAGGTAAGGTAAGGTGGGTTGATAGATGATAAAATTCTTTTTTTCTCCAAAAAAAAAAAAACAAGGAATTGAGAGTACCTAGGTAGTAATCATATGTTTATACGGAGATACAGTTAGTGTATTTGTTATGTATAGGATATGAGAAGAGGCGGGAAGAGGTGAGAAGAGATAAATTGAGATGAAATGAGATATAATAAGATGAGAAAAAAGAAGATAAGAATTCGTGATTTAATCTTTTGTATCAATATCCCAGTATCATATCCTTAAATCTGTATGCACAGCCTGCCCCTTGGAAGTGACCTCTCGACCGTTCTCTATCATATACCAATTCAGAGCAAGCTTACGATTTCAATTTCACGCATTCATACATTCCCATCCTCGGTCGTTCCCTTTCCCTTCCACCCGATCCATATGCTCTAAGTGCCAATTTTACATTTCTCCACAGAGAGAAATGACAACTGGTAATGTAGGTGCATCCTTCGGATTCGTGCGCGTATTTTCCATCTTGCGAACGACGTCCATTCCATCGACGACTTTACCAAAGACGACGTGTTTATTGTCGAGAAAGGGTGTTGGTACTGTGGTTATGAAGACTATATTGGAATTAGTGATTTGGCTGTTGCTGGGAGGATAGAGTAGAGGGAAGAGAGATTAAAGTTGTGTTGCAAAAGTGTTTGAGAAATCGGGTGTTTACATTGAGAGCCGTTGGTATTTGGACCGGCATTCTGTGTGACGGTTAGTTTCATGTTTAAGGAGAGATTGACTGCAGAGACAGGCGTGAGAAACATACAGCCATTGACAAGAGTCCCGGTTCCGTGTGCTTTATAGTAAAATTCTCATCGTCGAATTTACTCAATCCATAAATACAAGTAGAACCAGTGCCATCCCCATTCAAAAAGTCACCACCCTGACACATGAAATCCTTAATCTACGCATAATGTTAGATCTAAGTGGCAAAGAAAGGTGCAATGAATGAGAAACATACAATTCGATGGAATTTACTGCCTTTGTATCCTTGTGGTCTACCGAGATGGTTCTTGGTTTCTCCAGTACAGAATTGACGGAAATTCTCAGCCGTCTTGGGAACTACATCGGCAAAGAGCTCGAATTGGATACGACCAAGTGGCTCACCTGGATAGTGTCAGAGATTGACTCAACACCTCTTGAAGATAACACGTGATGGACTTCCAACAGACATAGAAAATCGAGGGGAGTAAATCACGTGTGCCGGATAACAAAGAGATCACCACGACATGTAGTGGAACGTCCCGAAACTACTGGAATGCTAACTTTAGACGCCGCCGTTTCTGTTTTTAATAAGTTCCCGAAATAGGGATTTTCTTGACGGGTGATGCCGTGCACTATGACTGACCTCCAATTGTGATATCAAAGAAGACTCTATTCACGTATTTGTCAGTAAAATGGTGGCCTTCCTCAAACGATGAAGCTTGCATAGACATTACTGACAAGGGATTGCCCGAGGCGGGTAACTGGGTTGGAGGCATGTTCTAAGATGATGGTGTTGCCGAAAGTGGAAATCTTCTATCAATTTCAAGGCTCCAAGCTGGCTACTGCAAGCGTACCGTTGTCCCGAATCGTATCAAAATGGGCTGAATATGGGGGGATCGTGATTTGTGACAGGGTCTGTGGTAGATCTAGAGTCTGGTGCAGTGGTGTGTGAATAACTCCGTGGAAGCCGTATGATCAATGGGGAGATAAAGATTTTCTGGTCGAATCAAAAGTTTAGAGAATGATTTAGATGATGATGCAAGGTCAGGTAGATAGATCATTTAGGTCATTTAGAAATTAGGTCTTCGTTGTCTGGTGGGGTTATTTGAGAAACATCTTTCTTTTCGAATTTAGCGCCATTTACTTCCCGTACGTGCAGAATTATACAAGGCTTTTTCGAGGGGAAAGATAGAAAGCTTGATTTTTCATCAAATATTCACCAATACTACCACTACCGCTTGTACTCCGTAAGATCCGGATTAAAACCGCAGATATTGGGTGTGCTGAAGGAGAGGTAAGGTAAGATCTTACTTACACAGGGGCTTCTGTATGGCCGTCATGTATCCTCATTGATGATCTAACACTACCCATATACATATCTGCCAAATGCTTATTGCTCCTATATTTATGCGATAGGTTCAGGTGTCATTAATCCGATGCTCCGCCACCAAGTTTTATCAAGTAGGACTTCTGACATGTATCCCACTGGATCAGTCGTTGGCTGCATGAACGAAAGTCGCCATACGGTACACGAGACAAGATGTGTGAAGAGTGGAGGAGAACCGAGATGGAGAGGCGAAGGGAAGAGGCAAATGGTCATTTGAGACTCAGAGTATCAATTTGGTTTACCTTATAATAATTGAGAAGAAGATTAAATGCGACTATACGAGTACTTGATAATGGTAATGTCAACCTAACCTCTTTGAGATCTTCCAGAGGTTGTATGCATACTACCGTAATCATTAATGATCTCATTTGCTTACCTATTTGGATTCCAAAACCCTTCATATCCAAGGGAGGCACGTCTCAAACATTAGACGTTTTCGGAAAATCCATGGTGCGTTTATTTATTACTTATGAGAATATTCGGAGCTGAGAACATCAAACTAAAAAGGTTCGAGGTCTAAAAGAATATAACTAATTTGGATGAAGGGATGAAGGGATGGGTGGATGGTGGATGCATGCATGCATGCATGCGTCTTTGAGTACCTAGGACCTAAGTAACTAGGAGAATTCCGTTTTGTGCATCGACGACTATCTATCTAGATTTCATGTGGCTTAAGGTTACCGGTTACCATTCGAGACTACTTTTCTCAATAGTGGTGATAGCAGTAACCTTAACCTTCAAGTCGATTGTTCCCCAATCTTTTATCACGGAAGGGCCCTGTGCTACATAAGATGTATTCCAAATAGTCCATACCCTTATTATTCATATGAGACTACACCTACAATCATCGGAAATATCCCGACATATATACATATATACACATATACACATATACATACATATATACATACATATATACATACATACATACATACATACATACATACATACCATACCATACCATACCTCTCTGTTTGAGATATTTGTGTAATTGGTAAAACTCAGTACCGAACCGCATTGATCCTTATGTGGTGCTGATACTTGAAACCCTCACTCAAGCTCTCTTTATCGCCGCATTTTGCCATCCATCCATTTCCTTTTACCTGGTTCTTTGTTCTTGACTGACTTTCTAATATCGGCAAAGTTCGCATGTTGCAGAGGTTGATTTCTTCAACTCTATTGCATACCAGCCTCATCTTCTTTGTGCATGAGCACTCCTCACCACCAATAAATAAATAGTATATTCCTGCGTCTTCCTGGTCTTCCTGGTCTTCCTGGTCTTGTCTCTCTTGGCCCACTATTCCTCCGCAAAAAGTAATCCGAAAACCTGCATGAGCAACCAAAAAAGGTCATCAAATCATCATTTGTTACCATCGCACATCAAATCACCATCCATCACATCACATCACATCAATTCATCAATTCATCCTCCTCGATCCAAAGACCTCATATCACCCATCACCCGTCACCCATCACACACCACCCACTCGGTTCCAAGTCAAAACAAAGAATACGGTGCACCTTTTTACTATTGTTTAAATTATTGACTCGATTTGATCTGATCTCTAAACTTGTAGCCCTTAGCCCTTAGCCTTTAGCTTTGTGGCTTGGACTTCCTTATCTAAAGGCCTTTTTTCTGTCCTTTCTACGAGTAGCTTCCCTGAATTCTTGAGGAAGGTAAGAAAAATTATGTTTATACTTCCAAGATCCATTTTAATAACTTGCTGACCCCATCTTTCCTCTCCAGCCTCCGCCCTGTTACTGTTACTAGGTTATTTATCCGCTAAGACAGCCTCTCGATTTCATCCATTCCCCAATTACTTGCAACTTGCACATTGTCGCACTCGCACTCGCCCTCGCCATCGCCCTCGCCCTCGCCCTCGCACCCGCCGCACCCACCTCCGCGCCCGTGAATTGATTCACTTTCTCTCACTTCCGCTTCAGCTCTAGCATTTCTCTATTTTATATTGAATTTTCGAACCTTGGAGCCTTTGTTCATATGCCAATTACTGCGTTACAAATGTTCTTGGGAAACGGATTTCGTTAATTATTCACGATAATAAGTGGCGATCAATAATCTCACTCGACGCTGATCCACCTTGCGGCTCAACCTTGGCGATTGTGTTTTAAGACAACTCGAATAAAGATGGCGGTGGTCAACGGAATAGTAGAGGTCTTGAAGGTTGTTGGGAGGCAGGCTACTGTCGATCCGTCATCAACACCAGCGACTTCGTCCTCAATGTCTACAGTAACCCCCACTCCATCTCCATCTCCAACATCAACCTCCAACAGTAATAGCCCGACTAGTTCACCACTTTTGTTCTTTGTTGCGCTAGGATTTGGTGTTGTATTTACGAATCTATGGTGAGTATCTTAAGGGTGTTGATCCGTCTGCCTATCACTAACCTCCACAAAGGATCATTGTTGGTGTCAAATACTGTTTTCGATATAATGCTAGGAACCGGGCTTTGCGGGCTGGGGAGGCTGACCCAATTAATCTTGAGAATATGCCTGTTCGGCCTCACCGGAGAAGACGAGAAAAGAAACTCATGAGTATGGACGAAGTGAACGAACGATTCCCTTTGATAAAATACAAGAACTGGGTGGCCAACCGAGCCAGCGAGGGGCTACCAACTAGTGGGGGTGTCACGGCACCACCAAGTCGAGCTGTGAGCGTGCTAGATGTTGAGGGTGTCGAACCATCTTCACCCGTGGGGTCGAAGCATTCTGTCAACACCAGACCGGCCACAGCTACTTCGAACAAAGATGAGGGAATGGCAGCATCGCCCGCACATACTCTCGAAGGTGGACATGGCGACCGAAAGAGTATGGATGCGGTAATTTCGGAAAAGACAGCTGCTATAAAGACGGAGGAGCAAAAGGAAGAGCTTCATCATTTGGAAGAAGTTCCAACGAGAGCCAGTACCGTTGATAACAAGAATGCTGCAGCAGTAGAAGAAGAAGTTGAAGACGACGACGATGATGATCATATTCATACCGCTGTGCCTCCGGAGCTCCTTAACAATCCTGGAGATTCATGTGCTATCTGCATTGATACGCTAGAAGAGGATGATGACGTTCGTGGTTTGACTTGCGGTCATGCTTTCCATGCCGGATGCTTGGATCCATGGCTGACTAGTCGTCGTGCTTGTTGTCCACTTTGCAAAGCCGATTATTTTACGCCGAAGCCCCGACCTGAAGGCGAGCCAGAGCCTGAGCGACAGTCACGTAGGGTGCATGCCTCGAGAGCAAACATGCCCCAGCAACCGCAATCGGCATGGACTGGTATTCGAGGTATGCCGGGAAGATTCGGCGCATCCGCTAGATCGAATGTGGATACCCAAAATCGCGATGAAAGGCAAGCGAGGCGGGCGCGCCAAGGTCAAGGTGATGGACCAATGAATGTAGCAGGTGGCGCAGGAGCACCTGAGGTCAACACTGCCCCAGCAGCAAGTAGATGGAGGCCAAGAATACCGGCAGCTTTCACAGGAATTCGCATGCCTGGTAGTAATAGAGCCGCAAGAAATGCTTCAGGTCAACCGAATAACTCCGAGCCATCACCCTCTCAACTGGAGGCAGGTCAACGTCCTGCTTAGGGATAAGCGTGGTACCTCTTGAATCGTTGATTGAGTACATGGAAATGTCGGGCATAACACAGTGACACCGTTGGCAGTATTACAATGAGAATTGTACTGGGTTGGCTAATCACGATTTAACCATTCACTAAACTGCACTTAATTCAGGGGCTACGAGGGATACGGGAGCAACTGCAAGTCGCCTCCACTCTACCGACTCCCTTGACCAAGCCGTCGATCGAATTTACTCCTGTCCCAATTCAGGAAATGATCTTACCACATCCCCCTTCGCCAACATCTTTATATCTAACCGCAATACATTCTATCACACATGCATTGTACATAGATTCTTGCTCGATGATCTCGAGCATTTAAGCTGTTCTCCAGATTTCTTAGTTCATCACAGGTCTTGCGATCCTGTGCTCCTTCAGCGAGGGTTTTTTATTATTTCCTTTTATCAACATATTTTTTTGATCCGTCTCTAATTTCGGGCCTGGCATGGCTTTACTTGGCTCCGGGGGCGGCCATATGAATGGGATGAATGAATGCATGGGAATCATTGGTGGGAAAGGACGACTGGCCGGCAATGGTTTATAGGAAGGCAAAGGAGGCCAATTAGGGCTTCCGGGTTTCATGGGGGTGATGACTGAATGGCTAGGTCGGTCGGACAAATATTGATACGGACGATCTCACTTTTATCTAATCGCATGGAGCGGATGGATGTATATGAATGATAGGTGACGGGTGGGAGGCAGGGGCTGAGGATATGGAGGAGTCGACGGTTGTAAATTCATGGATTGGCTGGCACATAGCAGTGCACCTGCAGTCTGCATGCAGATGATCCATCCGATTTACATACTATAAGCGCATATCAAAGGGATGAATATCACATGTTCTATATCTACATACCTACCTACATATCATTGTATTTGTATTTGATAAGATTACCTACCTACTTGCTACTTTGAATAATAGATGTGAAAGACCTCTTGAGCAAAGAGGCTAACTACGCAGGAGTGTCATCTGCTATCTATTTCTACATGTTTTTGATGTACTCTCTATAGCATTTCACGTAATCTGGATAAGATAATATAGATGAGATAGATGCGCTAGATGTATGTGCAATAGAATAAATAGTGAGGTATTAAGTGATAGACTACCTAAGTAAGTAAATAAAATAAATACCTTGCTAGCAATGCAACGCATTTCATAAAAATGACAATGGCACACGCTAAAGAACTCCCATCCACGGAATTTTAACATTACGTCCTATTCCCATCCCATCCATCCGCTTTTGCATGCATCCTCTCTTTCATGGTATATTTCATCTCATCTCATTGATCATATCAATTCATCATTCCCTATCCACGCCCCAAACGAAATCAAATTCAATCATCCAGACAAGCTGAGGTAATGATTAATAATTAGAACTAGGCGTCCTCCCTAATAACTTACCATTATGTTATCTTCAATCATCTTCCAACACGGATGACACCTGCAGCGATGAGCTGCTGAATCTTAGATCTGATCTGGGGATTCTTCATGTGTTCTTGAAGAGCGGCGGGGTCGTTTTGAGCTTGTTGGAGAATGCTTTGCATGACTGGATCACCCATGATTCTTTGAATCTGTAGTACCGTTAGTAAAGATTTCCCCAAAAGTATTGGAGTTTCTAACTCACCTCTGGGTCTCTTGAAAGTCTCTCCTTAGTCTGCTCCTCAGTCTCATTTTCTCTGGCACTGTACATAGCAGTAACAGCTTTCTGTTGTTGCTGCTCAATCTCTCTAGCATTTGCCTTTGTAGCATCAGCTTCGGTGGCTTCGTTACACACATCAAGACATTTAGAGTAGTCTCTCATGCCAAAGTATGCTTGTGCCTTTCGGATGTATGCTCTCACGAACTTGGAATCTTTAGCGATTGCCTTATCACAATCTTCCAAAGCGGAAGGAAACTCAAGAAGCTTAATGAAAGAAGCTGCACGGTTGCTGTAACCTCTTGGATCCTCTGGAGCACGTTTGATCATCTCACTGTAAGCCTCAACCGCTCCAGGCCAATCTGACTCCTTGAACTTTTGATTTCCGAGTTCACGGGCCTCTTCAGCTTTTACCGGGTCGATGTAAGCCTTTTTGGCGCTTTCGATCTTGTTCTTCTCGGCAGCACGGAGCTTGTTGACCACGTCCGGGGTACGATGTTCAGTGAGTGATTTGTTGTAATTTTCAATAGCTTTCGATAAATCCCCCATCTTCTCATATGCAGTTCCAATACGAGCGTATGATTTAGCGATCATCTTGAAATCGGCGTAAATTTCCCGTCCCTCCTCAACGGCTTTCTCACATGCCTTGACAGCCTCTTCATACTCTCCCTTCTCAAAATATGCGGCACCAAGATTGTTAAGAAAGGTGATATCCTTGTATAATTCCCAAGCCTTGCTGTAATGCGCAATCGCCTCATCAAAGTTCTTTTTCTTGTACTGTTCTGTACCAAGTCTCTTCTCCTCATCGGCCTCAGCCTTTGCCTGCTTTTTCGCCACAGCCTCCTCATCCTCTGGCTCTGGCTCTGGCTCGGCCTTTGCCTTCTCGGTTTGTGGTTCTTGCGCGCTGGGACGTACGTCTGGCATTTGAATGTCCTCCTCAGCTTCCGTAGGCGCAGAAGCACCCTGGGCACCAGGAGCACCGCCAAAAGCGCCCGAATCAGCAAAAGACATATCCACACCCATCAGAACACCCAAGACTTGAATCATGCGAGGGTCTGAGAAAAGTTCTTGGGTATTGTTTGGGTTTGACTTGATTTGTTGAAGTTTTGCCATGAACGTTGGGTCCGACAGGAATTTGGCAGTCTTGGGGTTTGCTGCCAGTTTTGCGACAAGTTGTGGATCACTAAACATGTTACCTAGTCCCTCTGTTGGATCACCCTTTACACCATCTGTCAACACTAGTTAGCACATGTTCCATACAATCTTGAGTTTACAAGAACAAACCTGCTTTGGCCTCTGCATCGATAGACTTTTTGACCTGTGCCAAACCCTTAGTAGCCGCCGCATAATTTGGGTCAAGCTTTAAAGCCTCTTCATAAGCATCGTGCGCTCCCAAGAGATCGCCCAAACTTTGCTTAGCGGTACCAACTCTGCCCCATCCCTTGGCCCAGTCCGGCTTGATGCTTGTACACTTCTCAGCATCCTGTAGGGACTTTTCGAAGTCTCGTTTCGAGGCATACGCAGCCGACCTATTAGAGTAGAGAATGTGATTTTCTGGTTCGATAGCAATGGCTTCGGTGAACTTTGCACTGTAAGCTAATTAGTAATGCTCTGTATATAAATTATAGCCAAAGAAAGATACCGTGGAATGACCTCAAAAAGTAAGTTCTCGAGGTTCCAGAGCTCAGAGAAACAAGCAGAAAACTTACACAGCCTCGTCGAAGTTCTTCTCTGCAATGGCTTTATTGCCAGCAGCTTTTAATGCGTCCGCCATGATATGTGAAAGGTATGTGAAAAGTTAAAACTCCAGGAACTTATAATGGGAAAGTAATGCTCAACGTCAAATATTCAAAATCCAAAGTTGAGTTGGAGGTTAGACAAGCAACTCTTTATTTTCCCTCCACTTGATTCCAGAGCTTTCGATGCCCGCCTTGGTGGTCCAAGCGTCCATACATCAAATCACATGAATGGTTAATTATCACACGAAAGGTGGAAGGCGGGGATAAGGCTCCAATTATCATCCTTTGATTGTTTGTAACTCGAATATCCATTTTGTTAAAGACAAGATATCGAGTCTATTTTACAATGAATTTACAAACTACTAACGTCTACTATATAAAAGTATATTCTAAATTATATACTTAAATTTTGGTAGAAAATGCTTCAATCTTCAAAACCACCTAGCTGCCACAGATTCTCACCTGATGCATGAATAGATATCTAGCCAAGATTACCACCCACTGAGTATACAATGTAATATATAAACCCAACGTTTGTTTTCTCTTCCTTATTAATCGACTACTCAACTTTGATCAATTCATATCTCATTCCAAACGAAATGCAAATATATTACAATCATGCAAGTATCAACATTCATTCTTATTCTTTATTCTCATTATCTCTTTCCTTTTCTTAATCACCACTCATTCTTTCTCATCCCATCTCAATTCTTCGTTTTAATTTTGCCAACCGGCCCTTCTCCAAAATGAGTGAGTAGTTTCCCGTCCTATCTTTCCCTTCCCATTTCCATTTCCATTTCCATTCCCATATCCGCCAAATATATACATAAGTATGGATGAAACCCTCCCCCTTATCCAGATCCGCTTAAACACTGAGTCAATAAGTGTCCATCCCACCTTATTCTTATTCTTATCCCATCCTTAAAATAAAACTAGCAATTATCTTCTCATTAATGATCCAGCACATACGTATTGTGCTGCATACAATATCCATCCCCAAGTTAAAATTAGAAAAGTCCAGCGAGCTATTAGGCCGGTAAAAAAGCCCCTTCCCAAAACCATAGCATAAAAAGATATCCATCAATAATGCATGTGCATGTGGTAAAGTAGCGGAGGTGCGCCACCACCTCAAAAGCGTGTGTTCCCATTCAATTAATGCAAATCGTCAATTATGTGCTCGTCTGATAGTGTTTCGTCGTATAACAAGAAAAAGTAGAAACACAAAATTGGTTTGAATGCAAAAAGGTGTAAAGTCCAAGGCCAAAAAAACAGAATTTGGGAATAGAGCGTGAATAGAAAGAACCGTCCGTGGCTATGCAAAAATAAAGCAAACAGCAAAAGACCAAATGAACGACGATATTTGGGGGATACTGGCTTAAAGAAGATGTCCAAGGACTAAATGAGGTGATTCATCATGAGAAGTCATCATCTCCACCACCTTCTCCATCAAGGACATCGACTCGGAGAACCAACTCTTTGGTTTCTCGAGCAATTTCAAACGCGATAGGTGGCAAACTTTGGTTCCAAGCTCTCCATTCTGCATCACCACCTTCATCCTCTCTCACCTCATTTGCAATTTCTCTACCCTCTTCCCCTGCAGCCATGATACGTTTTCTGCATTCAGAAAGCTTCGCCAAGACCGGTTGACTTTGGGATCGGAGAGCTGGGTTGTTTATCATGGCTTCCTCAGTCGAAGCGACAACTTCGCCGACAACGCTGGCAATTGCGTCAATCTGGGTAGAAATAGCATTTATACCACCTTCTGAACGGATAGATGAGACTAGAGACTGGATGTTCTGGACCAAGAGTGCAGTTTGATCTTCAAGATATATCTGCGAGATAGATTAGCTGATGTGAACTTCAGGAGAGCATTTAGTTCCATACCTTTAGATCTTCAATATCACTATCTTGCGATCGAATACCAAAACCTATACCCATTGGAGCTGGGATGGGGCTTGGAGGATGGCTTGGAGGACCTGGGGGTGGTTGAAGTGCTAGTGGCATTGGTTTAGCATTTCCGTTCACAGGATCAGCGCCATTGGTCATTGGGCTCAAGGGGGTTTCCGCAGAATTAGGTTGAGCCGCATTCAAAGAAACCATACCGGAAGTTTGCGGAAGAACAATAGATTCGCGAGGAGAATTGATTGGGCTGTACATAGATGAACCGGTGCTAGCACGACCGTTCCGTAGGCCGAGGAACGGACCAGGCACGTAGCCGTTTAAGCTCTGCCTCTGTGAGTCCTCGCTTTGTCTTTCATCGGCAGTTAGACTTTGTCGCGACGCATCCATGCTCTGTCTAGTATTGCCTTGCTGTGGCGGTACGTTCTCTTTTTGCGGTTGAGCTGCTTCTTGCTGTGGCGGACCGTTTCCTTGTTTTGCTTCACGTGACGTGAAGAAACCGAAAATGCCTCCGGCTTTACCGGGCTTGGGCTCAGTTGTTGCAGGTTTAGACCCGAAAAAGCCTCCTACCGTAGAAGGTTGAGCTGTTACTGGGGCAGGTACTGTTGCTTGAAGTGGAGCCAAATTACCATCATCGTTGTCTTCTAACTCTCCTGCTGGTGTAGGTTTGATCTTCACAGTCCGGACAAGTTCTACTACTGCGGTAGTAAGATGAGATGCAGCTGCATCGAGCAATGAAACAGGTGACAGCCCCTTAGCGCCAACAAAGTTCTTGGATGCGGTGATTAGATTATTTGCTGTTGCCGAGAGCCTGGACTTGAGCCTGGCCTGCTTTTGGGCTAATTCCTCATTGTTTGGCGGTGCTTCATCAATATCTTGAGAGATTTGTCGCACGGTCATAACTACGATTTTCATGGATCCGATGACTCTTTCAGGATCGCTGGAGCGCGCTGTCTGCAAAAGTTCGTCAATCGACAGCTGAAATTTAGTAACATGCACATCCTTGACAAGGCCGTCCTCCGCCGTAAACCCATTGTCCTTTGCATACTTGGCTGCGTCTTGTATTGAAAGGCCAATCGAAGATGTTTTTAAGCTGCGTAGCTGCGTCTTCGTTTTCGCATATCGGTTTCTCCATTCTTTCACTTCATCTTCTAGCTTGTTGACCATAATTTCGAGTTGTTCCTCGCGGTTGTAAGATGCAGTACTTCGTTCGGACAACGCCCTCATTTCGCGAAGAAACTCCTGGGCTTCACTTCTGACGTCCTCGGTAATTTCTTGTTGTTCTCTGAGTTCGGCTTTGAGCTCTTCGTTTTCCCGTTCCAGATCTGCATCGCCAGATCCCCCGCCTTTGCCAGCATCTACAAGAGCAATTTGAAGCTCTTCAATCTGTGACTTTAACTCTCTATCTAGACTAGCCTGCGATTCCCGTACCCGGTCAAGCTCTGATTGCAGGGTATCATTGAGACTTTGTGCATCCGCAAGCTTGTTCTCGAGGTCCATCCTCACCTCATCCCATTCCTTCTTGTCCGTATCTACCGCGACATCCTTCCCCCTTTGCTGGTCCATAACAATATTTAGTTCGTCATCCTTTCGTTTCAAGTCATCCTCCATGGAATCGAGCCGCTCCCGAAGTTCTGCAATTTGGGATTGGTAATCCTCGATAAGTTTTTTATCGGTCTGTTATGTTAAAAATAGATTCGGGAAGTGAGATTATATGGGACTTACGTCTAAACTTCTAGTGCTCTTCTTACTTTCTCGATTCCTGGCAGCTCCCTCCAACCCAAAGGCATCCCCATCATCGTCGTCATTATCTTCGGGCCCACTGTCATCATCTTCAACCATAGTACTTTTATTCGGTACAATCGTGTTGCTTTGAAAAGTTTTTGGTGTCGGCCGACCATAATCGTTAGGCGGCATGCCAGGCGAAGGAGGTACGCCCAAACTACCATTCGGACCATTTGGCGGCGGCATCCTTGATCCATTGCGTGATTCGCTCCTCATTGAGTAAGGCCCTATGGAGCTGGCGTCTGAGGGTCGGCGCATACGACTTGGGCCTCTGGGTGGCAGATCCATAGGTGCGCCATTTCCATTCCTACTTGGGGGTCCTCTTGTGGAGACAGGACTGCCCATGCGACTTCTATCTCCTGCAGTAAATTGGGGAAACCTTCGCTCCAATTCATAAAATACATCCGTAGCAAGATCTCTGAACCTCGGCGGCGGAAGCGTGGATAATTTCTGGCGGGCCTGATTTCGTTTGGGGTGGAACGTGTTTTTGGGCAACAAGTACGGCGGAGGCGCTTGGTCATTTCTCTGTCCATTTGGAGTCCTACTCCCTGCTTGCTGCCTTCGTAGAAGTTCGTCAAAGACATCGGTACTAAGTTCTTGAAATTGAACGGGAGATAGTCGTAACAACTTGTCTCGCGCTCTGTTGGGTCTAGGATTTCCCTTTTCATCTCTCAGGGACGCCGCTAGGTATCGTCTCAATGAAACGTAATGTTCCGATAGTATGGCCTCGAATTGTTCATCTTTCTTGTCCTGTCCATTTTCGCTCCCTGCATATAAACCCGTGCCAATACTCGAGCGACCGACGGAGCTTGGAGGGGATGGGTTACCAGGGCTGCCGCCCCCTGAAGTGCCTCTGGGTGGAAAATCGCCCCCATTCATCGTACCGTTGGAGTCGCTCGATATTGGCGGTGAAGCTAGTTGTCCGCGATTCATCTGGTAGGGTGAGTCGTTATCGTCTTGATATTTTTCAATTCCTGACCATTCGTTATTGCTTCCTATTGAAACCGGTGACAAAGGTCCATTGCGATTGTTCATCGTAAAGTCGCGGTTATGATATGGAATGAGCAACCCGTTGGACTCGGAGAATAGTTCGGCACAATCCTTTGATTATCGTAAAAGTCACAATACACGTCGAAAGCTCAGTAGCTAAGTGATAAGTCGCGCGAGCTCGATATATCTCTTTCTGTGATCAACACATGCAAATGAAGATATTCTCAAGTCTGGAACAGTTTAAAAGTCTCCCTGAAACGAAGTCAATTGAGACAACCGTTTGGTCAAAGCGAGATAGGGTAGCTGAAGGATGGGAAAATCGGGGCGTCGGGGATGATCCTATTCTGAGGAATGAATTCGTCGCGGAGGTAGTGGAGGTAATGAACGTGTAACTGAATTGTTGTACAGCGACAATGAATTATACCTTTAGCTAGGTACGTAGGTCTAGGAAGGAAAGAAGCAAATAAAGTATACGATGACGTTTGAATTTTGAATTTTGAATTTTGAATTTTGTTTTAGAAATCCAAATGCATAGTTTATTTGAGAGAAGAACAGAGAATTTGGTTTGTGCGTAAATTGTCAAGTAAGGCACCGTTCCAATTCCGTTGCAGAGATGGACTGGCTAGCTGCTTGCTGGCTGGCTGATTGATTGTCTTGATGCAGGTGACAAGCACTTTAGAAGATTTTCCTGGGGATTATTATTTCTGCAGAGTGGTCCGTAAGTCGTTGTCCAGCCATTCAATCAGCCACTCAGTCAATAAAATCAATCAATCAAAACACAGGCCCGTATTCTTCTCCTGAATCCTTGGGTTACTTTTCGCGTTTAAGCTTGCCTTCTTCGGGTTCGGGAAGTGTGTGGTTAGATTTCCAGGTACGCCCCAGCCTGCCTTCCAGCGGATTGGTGGCCGGGTGGGGGAAGTATGGATATAGGAAGTATGGATATAGGAAGTATGAGGAAGTATGGATAAATGTACTCCGGAGAAAGAAACGGACAAATCTTCCAAAATCGATAAGGAAATGGCGTTGAAATTAAATCTGATGGCCCACGGGGAAAAGTCGATTCTTGATATATTGACACAATTCTTCAACACGCCTGGACAGCTTGAAATCGATTACACAGTGAATAGTTGTAAATTAGATGAGAGTCCAGCAACAGAAGCTGGATGTATATATACTACACTCGCTGCAAATGATGGAAATCCTACGCTCTACAAGCAGGCTTATTACCGTGTACAAGAATTGCGGCGTAGATATATATATGACTGTGTCGTGATACAAGACAGAACGAAACAAGTCGGGGAACAGGAAGGAATACCTAGTACCTATCTATCTCCAAGTTCCAGCTTGCGCCTCAGCTCATCTCACCTCTATGGTTCCGACGATATACTTCTACGCGTAGCTAACTATTACCTGAAAATTTCCAAGGAATCATAATGCTGGATGTAAGATTAAAGTAACCGCAATTCATCAAATTCCATAATACGCAAAGCTCCATATAGGTAGGTATATTTATCACAAACTCAAATCAGGTGAAAGTGCGAATGTCTTTCGTATCTTTTACGAAAGCTTGTCCTTCCATTTTCCATTTTCCATCAGTCCTCATTTCGTTGATCGTTAAAGCAAGATGCAGAACAAGGGGCCATCTGTTACACGCGGCTTCTCCTTGATCAATCCACAAAGACCTTGTTCGGGTTTACTTATTAATTTGTGCATAGGAACATATTCAGCTAGTTGCCAAATTGAAATTATTCTTTCGAATTAAAAAAAAGCCATTATAATTGCTGATTTCTGTTGCCGTTAATCCCATATGTATTTACAGATATTTCACCCTGTGCAGCCCGTGTTCCATCCTTTAAAACAATCTGGAACTTCAAACCCGTCATCCTCACTTACAGGTACCTACCAACCTAGTACTACCCCGTGAAAAGAAGAGATAGAGAAGGTCGTCTCAAATCTCAAAATCATGTAAGGAGGATTTCCGCGAAAATATGCCTACTAACTAGATTCAAAGCATTTTGAGTTCCAATCTTATGGGATTCTTTCCTCAATTCTAGCTTCGTGCTTGTACGTCTAGACGTCCTAGTCTAGAACTTTGAAAGCTTCACTTGTGATATTTTTAAATCACGGGCCCCATACCGGTAATCTAATCTTAGAATCTCAATTTTCTTTCGCCCTGTCTCCTTTACTCTTTCAGACTAGTTTGGGTAATACCTTTATTCTACTTAATCTCAACGGTTTTGGAGCTTGACATCAACTAAGTATATTTGTAATTCAAGCTAAGATTCGGATTTGATGCATGAATCGCTGGTTTGTGATATAAAGGCTCCATCTTCGATTTTAAAGATGCCATCTCATGTCAAAGTCCGCTCAAAGTCCGCTCAAAATTTTACCCTAAACGCCGCATAAGATGGGTATACCTCGTAGCCTCAACGCCATAATAAGAAAACCGTCATGCAAGTGTTCAGAACCATGCTAATGTCCATACTGCTGGTAGATTCGGCCATCTTTCCTGCCATTCTCCGATGATCTCCGGTACCCTTTCATCAAAACCAGCCCTACTACTGGCACTTCCACTGTCAAATCCGGTGGGGTTAAGTTCCCTCTCCTCGGCCGCAGCTTTATTGAGGGAGTCCGCAAGATCAAGGATTCCCCTACCGCCTACTAGAGCTTCTTCATGATTATCTTTGATATCAACATTGATGACATGCACGGGACGATTTAATGGGGAGCCACGATTAAGAAGGTCGTCAACGACAGCATCCCAGCACCTTTCTTCACAGGTAATAACGACATCCACGACGCCTCCTTCTACACCCTCGGCACCTTGATCTGTATTGTGTTGTAATCTTGGAACACCGACTTGCCAATCTTGCCATCTCTCTGGCCCCCATTTTACTGATCTATTTCGTCCAAGCATATTCAAAATACCATTAGCCCGGTAGAGACGCGGATCTTTAGATTCGAGTTCTTTGTACATGCTGTCATATGAGGTTTTGTTGAATTGGTATACATTAGGTTGTGAGATGGAAGGCCCTGGTAATCTAACTAAAGAGCCTGTTCCAAAAGATATCACGGGATAATGAGCCGCAGCGAGACGTAAGTGTGATTCCATTGATCTGAGAAAAGATCACGTTAGCGACAAATCAATGGGCAATGTGATGTATCGAGTATACCTGTTGTTGTTACTGGCGCAAACTGTGCAGAACTTAAGCTTAAATCCGCCCGGGTCAACTCGTTCACCATTTGATGCCGACTGAGGTGTAGTACCGTCATTGACATTCAATGTTGGCGCTTGAGACATGGTTGATGGAAAATTGATGTCATATAATTGAGAACACTGCAAGGAAAAAAAGAACTTCGACGACCTCTCCTCGTGACACGGGTTTCAAATAGGGACCTAATTCAAGTTGTGGATATTTCTGCTGAAGCTGGATTCAAGTCAGTTACGTGCCAACACTATGTATGCGTACATAACATGATTTGTGCTGAAGAGCATTCAGAAGTTGTTAAGTTGCGTAATAAAAATTGTGTCATCAGTTTTTAATAAGACAGCTCCAATAATAGTGATCATCAGGTTGCTACGGGAGAATGGTGGGGGAAAGAAGGTTGAAGAGGTATTGGTTCTCACAAGAAGTTGTACATACCAGGCAAACATTTCATGTGCTGCATCTAGACTTGGCCAGTTTCAAGTGTAGTGAAATCACGAAGGCATTTCAATTTCAAGTCGAGAGTGATGTTTGATGATGAAGAGGTAGGTAGGTAGTGTTGTGTTGTGTTGTGTTGTTAACGTTGTAGAACTTTGAAGAGCTCAAAGCTCAAAAGCAATGAATACACGAAGAAGTGAAAATTTTCGGTTAGAGGTAAGCTAATGGACTGAGGTACTAAGTGACATGAACCAATAAAATTGACGCTTGAAAAGCTCACCGTACCTACTTTAGCTCTTACGGTAACACAAAGAGAAAGTGAGTGTTCCGTCCTCCGTAGCACAAAATCATTGACTGAAGGCTTGAAGCACATGCTGACCAGGTAGTCCGTGTGGTTGGTATGTGCATGCATGTTTAAAGTCAAAACAAAATTCGATTCTTTCCTCTTTCCATTCATTCTATTGGCTCTACTGCAAGTCTGAAACACTGAAACGCTGAAACATTGAAACACCGAAACGGACTTTTGGATATCGATCATTACTTCTTGGCGGAAACTATACCGGGAAAAAGAGTTCAAATGAATGCTAATGGCGTTGTGACGGAAATAGAAATAGAAATAGAAATAGAAATAATATATTTAGATTTTATTCTGTAAAAGCATCGAATGAAAGCGCACTCACTCAAACCGATTGATCGTATCAAACACCATCAGACTTCAAAACCAGAAGAATGCATACATATATATATTTATGTATTTCCGTAAGCCACACATCTCCAAAAGGAAACTCTAATCTGTTACCTTATATATCTGTCTCCCTTGTCCGGTCAAATCTTTCCATCTTCATCGAACCTCCGTACTTAACATTACTAGCTGCATGGATATTCAATCTATAGAGAGCTGGCGAGAAGTAGAAACATCTTTGTATGACATTGACACTGCCATACCACCAAATCTCTGAACTTCAGTCCCTTCCAAATCTTTCCATCAATTGCAACTTGCTTTATAGTCTCGGGTACCTACCTATATATCTCTTTCGGTCTGCATATACATGTGTTTATAATCTTTCACAGCCCATTCTGCAGATTCATCCATACCATCCTACTATCTTGACTATCAATACTACCCAACTTCCATTGCCTAATTTCCATGTCAATAATCGCAGTGTGCGGGGTCCCCTTGTCAAATCCACCCAAGATAATTTGAGAAATTCGCAAAAGGACCTCGAGCCCTTGAACCCTCGGCGCTTCGTTGTAGACAACTCACACAGCAATTCAAAAGGAACATTAACACATTATTGCTTTTCCTTGATTGTCTTGAACTCCAGAGCGCCATCAATTCACAGAAACCCTTTTGGCGCAAGAGCTACTCTGTTGATTTGTGACATCTTCAAGTAGATAGTCTTCTAGTCTTCCTTGACAATCACAGAACATTTCCCTCGGAATTGCTACAGCACAGAGTTTCGTTGGAGTCCTGTTGGTTTTGTTCGTAATTGGGTACACTTTGGGGAAAAGGCCCTTACAATTAATTACGCACGAGCTTGATCCGATCTCTTTTTAACATTGCATTCGAACTTCAATCAACCTAGTCGTCTGCATAACCCACCTCAATTTATTGACAAGCGCTACCAAGAATCTGACATTCATTCCCTCGACATCTACCTTTTCACAACTGCGCGCCTGTTGCCCTAACACCAACTCGTTTTGAAAGACTACCTCACATTCCTAATACACATCGTCTCACGATACCTTTCTTCATCTCATACCCAAGATAATTGAAAACAACCTCGGGCTTACTTGAGTTGAGCGCTGGGACGATTAAAGTCTTCTTTCCGATTACAAATTTTGCACAGCGACAAGTAGCTATCTTTTTGCCAGCCTTCTTACTCCGGCATATAAGAGAGATCTGATCGTCATACTGCCCCAACTCTTTTGAACCGAAACATACAATTCGGTCCTCAAAGCGCAGCCTTCAAGCTGATCGCAATCATATTTGCTTCAATATGGCAGCGGTAATTTCCCCAACGTCGTCGCCGGAAACGTCTCCACCACCAGTTAGTCCTCCCTCATCGAATCCTAACCATCCTTCCCTCCCACCTTTAAATACTTCCCCAACAACAAAGCGACCGAATCTGCAACGTCCTACATCTCATGCCTCAAAGAATAGGTTATCACAATACTCGAATTATTCTGCGCCATCACGATCGCGACCTCCCTCACACATCTTCCCCGTCTTCCACTCTAGTCTCTCTTATACAACGGTCCGCGATTTTGCATACCCTTCACTGCATCCTATGCATTATGGGGCACCTCCAGAGCCGTCTCAACCTCCATCCGGCCTCTCAACACCAGCTAGCGAATCGCATAAACGACTGTCAGATCCTCCCACCTCCTGGGATAGTCGCGGATCTTGGGGACCTGGTCCGTGGGGTGGTGATGGATTCATGAAAGGGGAACAATTGGCGCCTATACACTTTGGTGATGGTCCTCCATGGAGCGAAGATGAGGATCTGCAAAGTCCGGTTGTAGTCAGTTCACGCCACAGGAAACACAAATCATCAGCGGGGGAATATGGAGCAAATTCGCGCGGCAGAGGTAGGGCGCCTAGGGATGGAGAGCGTAGAACAAGCATGCTCAGTCAAGAGAACTTTGAGGATGACGCAGGATACTTTGCAGGTACTAGTGGTGAGAGTAGCCAAAGATATTATGTCAATGAAGGAGACGAGGCAGACGGGCCTGGCGGAGAATACGTTACATATCCTTCAGAATTGGCAAGGCGATCAATGTTGGCGCCATATAATGTTCCAGGGCAACGAGATTCTCATTTTGCTGGACTTTTACCCAGTCGCTCCTATACGGACGAGAGTGGTCAAGATTATCGGTCAGAGTCTGATGCTTCCAGTACTGCATCTTCGCCTGGCATGGCGAAACTTGATGAATCGAGATACTCCCGCGATTATCAATTTACAATTGCATCACCGGATGAAGAGATGCATGGTAAAGCCGTTGCACTGTTTGATTTTGAACGAGAGAATGAAAATGAACTACCGTTGGTGGAGGGACAAGTCATCTGGGTATCATATCGACATGGCCAAGGCTGGCTTGTTGCAGAAGATCCCAAGACACAGGAAAGCGGCTTGGTTCCCGAAGAATATGTCCGATTGCTGAGAGATATTCAGGGGGGGCTAAACAGTTTAACGGGACAAGTTGAGCTTGCTAGTCCTGTGGCAGGTGACTCAGGTACTCCCACTCAAGCGGAGCACAATCAAGCATTCGGACACAACTCAAGTTCAAGCAATGGCAGCAATGGGTATCAACAACCTGTCGTATCTACATTCTCAACATCTTCCAAAGATTTACATCCATATCCTCAACATCTTCTAGGCACCCAGGCTGGCCAAGCTCCACCTCAAGTCATACATTATCATGGGCAACGAGGTGGTAGTCAAGCCAATACTCCAACTCTACCCAGCTCACATGAAGGCCATATAGAGAGGCCCAGCAGTCGAGAAGCCAAAAATGGGAAATTAGAAGAATTATCGAGTAGTAACACGGCGCCCGTGGATTCCACCCAAGCAGATTCGGCAACGAAACTCTCTGTGTCAATCGCAGTCCAAGGCCCCGAAAGTCCTCTCGGCCCTCCTAGTGATACAGCATACGAGACACACGAAACCACGGCTCGATGACCAGACGGAATTTGCTCATGACCGATATGAATTAGTAGATGAGATGAAACGTGGATTTTGATTGGGGTCTTGGGACAAAATAGTGATACCAGGTGGATGAATGTGTTTGCCATATATGATACTTTATTATATGAAACGAATTGAATTGAATCGAATTGAAAGATGAGTTATTTAGGAAAGGGAGTGAATGGAAAACGGTTTCTAAAATGTCTGTCTCTCCGTCTGCGATGCAATTAGTAGGAGCAGGAGCGAAAGGGAAAGGCAAGGCAAGGGAAAGGAAAGGAAAGGAAAGGAAAGGAAAGGAAAGGAGCCGGTTCCGAATGGGGTTTATTAATGATGCATTTTTTTTGATAGGAAAAAATATGCTATAACGTGTTATGTGTTCCATGCTCTACGCGTGTGTTATTTCTGTCTGGCATGTCACATTGTCTGTATTTATATATTGATTAGAAAATATTCTTTCGTGTATTCTTATCTTACTTATTTATATCTTTTTATCTTATACCTTATATCTTATATATACTCTAGGATTAGTTCAACAAATTTTCTTACTTTATTTTACTTTACTTTGCTTTATGCTTAGGTATACCTGCCTATTATTTACTGCTGTTTGAGGTGTGGCTTGAGTTGAGGTGAGATGAGTTGAGGTGAGATGGGATGGGATGGGCTGGGCTGGGATGGGGTATATCGATTGACCTTGATTTATGTTCATGTCATACTGATCATTTCTTGAGCTTTTGGTCATTATCTTCTACATTCTGTCACTTGGAGCAAGTTCGTGTGGCATGGGAAGAGAGTTGGAATTACTGATATCACACATTGTGAGGTTGCATTTTGAAGTATTGATGTAGTAAATGGATTGATTTTTGATATATGATTTGATATGTTTGCAATACAATGCCTTCCCCTTCAGAAAGAAGGTTATTGAAGTACGGGCATTGTAATCGGTGTCACCACCTGAGATACTTGCATGAATTTGCTTTCAGCACATCTTCGGCACAACCAACAGTCATTAAAAGAGACCGAATTGTAATTTGACATCCGTGCTAGACCTCTCCTCACTTCAACTTTCGTACTCGATCAACTTCTTTGCCATTCACACTCACAACTTTGATTCCTTCCAAACTCGATCTTATCTTCTCCCAGTCTACAGGATCAACAGCTCGAGTCCCCTCTTCTAAAATGAAAGTCTTAAATCCCTCTTTGGCGGAATCTTCAGCTGTGCACTTGACACAATAATCGGCTGCTAGACCTACTACGTAGACATCGGTAATGCCTTCATCTTTCAATTGGCCTGCCAAGCCACTATCACTACACCGAGGGTTCTTCAAGGGATCGTAAAATGCCGAATACATTTCTACATCAGGATGTTGTCCCTTAAGAATTGTCTCGGAGATTTGTGTTGTGTTTAATTCAAAGGGGAACTCAGAACCGAGAGTATTCTGAACACAGTGAGGTGGCCAAAGACGAGTTTTATAAGTCTCAGAAGGATTGGACGGATTTATGATGGTAGTGAAATCTGTGTATGGTTTTGTACCTGGGTGATTTGACGCAAAAGATGTATGATTTGAAGGGTGCCAATCTTTGGTGGCGATCTTGAGGTGGAATGGAAGATTGAGGAGGTTGTTGATGATGGGAATTGTATCCCGACCATTGGCTACAGCTAGAGAACCATTCTTAAATGTGTTAGTATGAATACGTGAATACGTGAGTAAACATTGATAAGATATATAACATACTGGAGGTAAGAAATCTTCTTGCAGATCCACTATGATTAGAGCTGGCTTGAATGTATTAGTATCAATGTCAACAGTTGACATGATGAGAGGTTAGCTGATTTGATGTGATGTGATGGTTAGGTGTTGTTGGTTGATTGATCTGATGTGAAAAGGTTTGCTGGATATACCAGATAGACTAAATAGCTATAGATTGTTGGTGAAGTAACAATCATTAAATAGATTAAAGCCTAAAGTTTATTCTTATCTAGAACAAAGTAGGAACCAACCTGCGGTCTGTTTGTATTTGTTCTCCAACAACAAAATATTGAATTTATCAAATCAATGTAAACCCCACCAAGAAAATACTTTTGATGTTGAAGACTTGAAGTTTCGTGAAAATTTGGATATTTGTATGATGAAAGATACTGTAGTAATGGGTATCATGTGATTTAGCTCAATAGAAGAAGAAGAAAGGTATGGAAAGAAAAAAGGGGAAGATTTGTGTCCGATGCTAGTTTGGGAAAGCAGGGCCATTATCCAATAATATTGTCAATTGGTGAATTGATCAATGAAAAGATTTGTTTCTGCAGATTAGATTTGGGACAACAGTTGGCACATAATGTACTCGGTATATGTATGTAGCATGTACCTAGTGACTGAATCCAGTTATACATACGGAGTACACAATCCAGACGTGTTTTCCTGAAGATCAAACGATGCTGATCATATGAAAAGACTCATAGTAAGTATCCTTCGATGTAACAATGTGAAGATTCTTTTGACGAACAATATGAAGAAATCCACGAAAGGAATTGAATGTTCATCAATGGGAAAAGAGGTTGAGCTTGGAAAAAGATTTCTATGGAGTAAGACTGGCAGAGATCGACTTTGCTAATTTCCTTTATCCTAAAGCCAAACTTGATGCAGAGCTAAGCCACTTATCGTTAAGCTGCAGATAGTGTCACCGCCTACTAACGCAAAATTGATTGATACTTAATTTTCAGGGATCAAGACGAGCAAAATGTCAACAATATATTGTTGCTTTCCGTTCCTTCCATGGGGCGGTCCCTTAGAAATTCTTCCCAAAGCTTACGCTGGCTGTGGATTTTTATGAGATAATTATTACTTGATAATCTCAATCACAATCAGCTGTTGACTGTAGTTGCGTCCATTCATCTTCTCTTTCTCTTGATCACAAAAATTCACATATCCCACCTCCACCACCTCCACCACCTCCAAGATAAGCCATTACGTCTCTATCTTTTTGACATCCCGTCTTGTTTGCTTGGTCTCAACACCAACACATCATCACTCCTTCTTTCCCTTTCCACAAGTGTCTCTGATCATTCTCTTCAGCTCTCTTCGAGCACATTTGCGAAATTCAAGACGGATACTTCAAAAGTAGACTGGTAGACTTGTAGGTTGCATTCTCCTATGTCAGCACTCTCTATTGTTCGGGGTTCCTTACCACTCAGCTCAGTACTTGACCTGGGGGACTCTTTCATCCCTCGTCTTCCAGAGTCCTAATATTTATTCACTTGACGAAGATTCTTGGCTCATTTGCTAATGGTTGCTTTGGATCCAGCTTTAACAGAGCGAACTACATACTTCATTTGTCGATGGCTTTGATATAGAATACAACCTAGCCTGCTTGTATTTCTTCCACCATGATCGGAAATTCATTTCTACCCTCGCGGTTCAGAGGAACCTCCTCTGCCACCGATACCAATGCATCCCCTATGTGGCTCAGTAAAAAGGTCACACCTCTTATCCAACTTCTCTCTCGACGAGCATGTCTACACCCAATCCACACAATCGTTATAGTTGCAGTTTTGGCGAGTACAACCTATATGGGACTTCTGGAGAGTAGTCTTTTTGATTCGGTCAAAGCCAGTGGTGCCGATAAAGCAACATGGAGCTCTCTTGTTGCAGGCAATCGTCAACTGCAGATTGGTCCCGAGACTGCCTGGAAATGGCAGGCTTCGGATGTGGAAACCGTGCCATCAAACGTGGATCACTTGGCACTTTTGACATTCGTCTTCCCGGACTCTGCTGCCGCCAATTCTTTACAGGCAGCCCCATTAGCGGACTCTGTGCCGTTACCACAAAATCTTTCCGTCATCCCTCTTCCATCAACTTCAAACCCTCTGGCATCTTTATCTCAGGACAGTGCTCTAGCTTTTGCCGTGCCCTACAACCAGGCCCCTGAATTTCTCGCCAAATCTCAAGAACTGCCTAATTCCGCCGCTACTGTTCCTACCGATCCTAATGCCCGTCAAGGACTCGAGGCAGAGCCTATTAAGGAGAAAAAGATGTGGATCATGAAAGCTGCAAAGGGAGACGAGACTCAACGAGGATTGAAGAAATGGGCGTCAAATGCTTGGACTGAATTTTTAGACCTTCTCAAAAATGCCGAGACTCTCGACATCATCATTATGGTACTCGGCTATATATCTATGCACCTTACTTTCGTCTCGCTATTCGTCTCTATGAGGCGTATGGGATCAAATTTCTGGCTCTTTGCTACCACTCTTTTCTCCTCAGTTTTTGCCTTCCTCTTTGGATTGATCGTCACCAGCAAAATGGGAGTTCCAATGAATATGGTATTGCTGTCTGAAGGCCTCCCATTCCTCGTCGTGACAATTGGATTCGAGAAGGCTATTGTTTTGACAAAGGCTGTTTTATCGGCATCTCTTAACACCCAACGACCCCACCACGAAGTAGGCGAGAAAAAGTACGGGGTTTCTCCTACGTCCATCCAATACGCAGTCCAGGTTGCGATAAGTGAAAAGGGATTCGAGATTGTCAGAGATTATGCAATCGAAATCTGTATCTTGATTGCCGGAGCTGCATCGGGCGTTCAAGGAGGTCTCCAGCAGTTTTGTTTCTTGGCTGCATGGATTTTATTCTTTGACTGTGTCCTTTTGTTCACTTTCTATACTGCAATTCTGAGTATTAAGCTTGAAATTAACCGAATCAAACGACATGTCGCTCTCCGTCAGGCACTGGAGGATGATGGAGTCAATCCCCGAGTGGCTGAGAAAGTTGCCCAAAGTGACGATTGGCCGAAAGCCGACGGTTCCCAGACTAGCGAGGCAAACATCTTTGGCCGTAAGGTCAAGGGTAGCAGTATTCCAAAATTCAAAGGTTTGATGGTGTCTGGATTCATCATAATCAACATTCTCAACCTCTGTACCATCCCATTCCGGGGTGGCAACAGCGGTTTTCAGCTCCCAGGCGCAAATATGTTTTCCGGATCGAGTTTTTCAAGTGTTTTAACACCACCACCTATGGACCCTTTCAAAGTTGCATCCAATGGCTTAGATTCCATCGCTGAGATGGCAAAAGCTCACGACAAGGCAACAGTTGTCAGCGTCCTTACACCAATCAAGTACGAGCTCGAGTATCCTTCTATTCACTACGCTGAACCGGCACCCAAACATCGTAAACATGCCGCTGATGATTTTGATGCTGAATTTGCTGAATATGGAATGGGTGGCCGAGTTGTGGACAACCTGCTGAAGAGCTTCGAGGACCCAGTTCTTTCAAAATGGATCGTTGTGGCTCTCACATTGAGTGTTGTGCTCAACGGGTACCTCTTCAATGCTGCTAAATGGAGTGTTGGCAAGGAACCACTTCAAATGCCTCCACACCATGCTGTCGATCCTAAGGAGCTCGACCAGGCTGAAAGGTTCAACAACTCTGCTTCTACACCTGTCTTGAGATTACACAACATCGACCCGAATTCCAGCGACAATATACCGTTGACGCCAGCTAGAACGCCAGCTACTACTGATGACGAGGATGATGAATTAGTCATGGCTCCCAAATCTCAGAGTAGTGCCCAACCGCAATTGCGCCGAAGTCAACAAGAGCTCGAAAAGATGCTTGAAGCGAAACGTGCGCCGGAGCTTACCGATGCAGAACTCATCGAACTATCCATGCAAGGCAAGATACCTGGTTACTCCTTGGAAAAGACCCTCAAGGATACTACTCGAGCCGTAAAGATTAGGCGTGCCATCATCTCACGAACCCCTGCTACCTCTGAAACTACCAGTCTACTCGAAAATTCATTATTGCCATACCAGCACTACAACTACGACCGTGTTTTAGGAGCTTGCTGTGAGAATGTCATTGGTTATCTTCCGTTACCTCTTGGTGTAGCAGGTCCGATTGTCATCGATGGACAAAGTTTCTTCTTACCCATGGCTACAACAGAAGGTGTTCTTGTTGCAAGTACAAGTCGTGGTTGCAAAGCCATCAATTCTGGAGGTGGTGCTGTTACCGTCCTGACTGGTGATGGTATGACTCGTGGTCCATGTATTGCCTTCGAGACCCTCGAACGCGCCGGTGCTGCTAAGGTTTGGCTTGACTCAGAAGCTGGTCAGCAGACTATGACAGATGCATTCAACTCAACCAGTAGATTCGCAAGACTTCAGTCCATCAAAACGGCCTTGGCAGGTACCTATCTCTACCCTCGTTTCAAAACTACTACTGGAGATGCTATGGGAATGAACATGATCTCGAAGGGTGTTGAGCACGCTTTGAAAGTGATGTCTACCGAATGCGGCTTTGATGACATGGAAATCATTTCCGTCTCCGGTAACTTTTGCACCGACAAGAAGGCCGCTGCTGTTAATTGGATCGATGGACGTGGTAAAAGTGTTGTTGCCGAAGCAATCATCCCCGGTGACGTCGTTCGTAAGGTTCTTAAAACTGATGTTGATGCATTGGTCGAATTGAATATTGCCAAGAATCTCGTCGGGAGTGCAATGGCAGGTGCTATGGGTGGCTTCAATGCTCATGCTGCCAATATCGTAGCTGCAATCTTTTTGGCTACCGGTCAAGATCCAGCACAAGTAGTTGAGAGCAGTAGTTGTATCACACTCATGAAGAAGTAAGCTATTCATATTCAAAATTTGGAGCATATCACTAACATTAATTCTACAGTCTTCGCGGTAACTTGCAAATCAGTGTCTCCATGCCTTCCATTGAAGTTGGGACCTTGGGTGGTGGTACTATTCTTGAACCTCAGAGCGCCATGTTAGACCTTCTTGGTGTCAGAGGTTCTCACCCAACTAATCCAGGTGATAATGCCCGGAAACTCGCACGTGTGATTGCTGCAGCTGTTCTTGCTGGTGAGCTTTCCTTGTGTAGTGCCTTGGCGGCGGGTCATCTTGTGCAGAGTCACATGGCACATAACAGAAGTGCTCCAGCAACAAGAGCCAACACACCGGGACCAGCAAGCGGTGCTCAAACACCAGTGACTGCAGCGATGACGGCCATGCGAGAGAGAGCTGGCGTGGCAGCCTTGTCTCCGGCTGCTGTGCTTAGAGCCGCAAGCGGGAAGAGATAAGAGAGAGTATTTAATGTATACACAAGCGATGCATGAAAATATGGCGTTTGGGTATGCTTATAGCAAAAAGCTATTGCTTTCTAATGATCTTTTAGCGGAGGCTTATGGATGGTGCCTGTAATATTTTCCATTTACGAAGCCCTTTTTGTCTTCTCATTGTGAACTTTTTTTTGAACCGACTCAAAGAATAGAAAGAGTCGTTAGATTTATTAGACACAATTGTGACTCGATAATCATCAAACTTGATTTGTGGCTTTCATTACAATAAAATTTAATAAAATTGCGGTTTATATCAACTCACCAAGACTATCTTATCTGTCTTTGAGATGAATGTTCAGGATAAAGCAGCCTCTACACGAGCAATGACTAGCATTTGATACTTATGAAGACATATTACGAAGTATATACCAAGGGCATTGACTCTTCCCTTCCAACTCAAGCATTAGGCATTACCTCCCCTAAACTAATTAATGAACATTTTCCCTCAATCCACTCGTCCTCAAGCTATGCCCTGCCATTACCAACGGCTCCTTTTTAATTTGTACATCAACTGTTGCCTGAGCATTTCTATTCCCATTCCCATTCCCATTCCCATTCCCCATACCGTTTTCCAGTCCAGATCCAGGTCCCGTCCCTCCACTTCCATGTTCTAATGCCTTTCTGACCGCATCACCAACTCCCGTCATCCCTGCACTGTCTTCGCTTCCCCTTCTACTCTCTATCCTTACGGCACCAGCACCCCCAACCAGTAATCCCTTTACTCCTCCTCTTTTCCTCTCTGGCAGTTCTTCGGAGCCAGCACTGCAGACGTATAATAGATATTTTAGATTCGGAACTGTTTGTCTGATATCTAGGACGCGGAGGCCTTGCGATTCGGCTAGTGCTTCAATGTTTTTGTTTAGGAGAAATACACCCCAATCGAATCGGAAGCGAATGACAGATTGGGGTAGAGGGGAATACCCTTTGGCGGTCTTGCATCAAAGATATGGGGTCGCTGATGAGGGAACGAGAGGCTTGGGGTGTGATAGGATATGGAAGGGGGATTCCCAGGTAGTATTGAAGATGATCAACTAGTTGAGCGACATAGCCTAGAGCGGCGGCTATGACATCCTCGTCGGCAGAATCATCATCAGTAGTGTTTGGAAGAGGGAGACCGCAAATCGTAAAGAGAAGGGGGTGAGAGGTGGGTTCAATGGGGTATATTTGGATGAGTTCTTCACAGATGCGACGGCGTTGGCCGCGGATGAAAGAGTTAGTTTTTGTGAGGAGAGCGCGAGAATTGTTGAGGTGCTCTTGAGCATTCTGGACATCGGATTCGGCAGCTGACTGGACGGCGTAACCGGAGGAGATGGCGGCCCGTCGAGAAGAGATGGATGCTTTGAGTTCAGATTGGCGATGTTGGGATTGATGGAGGAGTCTGCGAGAAGTAGTGACATAGCGTTTGGCAAGGGTGAAGGATTCTTGGGCCAGGGGGAGAGATATTGATGGAGAAGTATTCTTAGTAAGAATGTTGTTTATTTGAGAAGTAAGTTCCTCGCGAGTAGCTAAAGCATCTTGGATGGATTCATCGAGGTTCGAGAGGCGCATCAACGCGTTGTAGGAGGAGGTAGGAAGAGCAATGCTAGGCCTCGGCCGAGGTAGTTTGGAAGTGAGATCAATGGTATATATGCCATCTGCGAGCTGGAAAATTATCGAGTTTGAGGGGAAGGGGTGGTTCTCCAGCCGCCCTAAGAACTGTAGAGACTGAAGATTAACTTCCTCTTCGATCAGCGGAACGAAGTCTTGTCGTTTAACCCATATCTTGACAGTAACAGTATCGAGTCGCGTCGTCGCAGGACCAAATGAAGATAAGTCGAAAGATCGAAACGTAGGATTCATTGCCTTTTCTACGACCTCGCTGATATATATCGGATCATCTTGTCCGGCGCAATGTAATGTGAAGAAGCTATCTGCCATCCGACTATCCCTTACATCCTCAAGCTTTTTTTGTCTGATAGCGGGGCTTGCACCCACCCAGTTCGAACTCGATCTCCTAGTTCTCGCGGAAGGTCGTAGATCCCCTGATGATTGTGCATGATGCAGCTGTGATTCGCGGCGCAAAGCCTCGAGCTTCTGTGGTGACTTGTTTAGACCTGCATCGTCGATCGTTTTTCCCCGCGGACGAGAAAGTGTTAGATTTCGGACGTATATACCTTGCAGGTGTCGCAATTTCCGATTCTGAGGTAGAAGTAGTGGCCGCGAGGCCTCGGAACTCATATTGTTGTGTTGATGATAAGTTGTCATGAGAGCTAGTTGATGCACTTATTCGAGTTACAATATGAGGTATGGGCCGTGAAGCCCTCGACCAATCAAAGCAAGGCTGGTATTCAGCCTCGTCATTCTTGGCAGGAGCATATCAATCAAACGTCACTATCAACATCAACATCCGACCGATATATATCCTTCAACATATGCATTCTCTTGGTCGATTGCCGATGTATTTCAAAACTATCAAAAAACCGGTTTATTATGTTGCTATAATGCTTGCCAAATCTTGTCGTGTAGTGGTTCGAACGATATTTGTCTTTAACTTTTTACTTTATGTCCGATTTACGATCACCATCTTGTGTTCATATGGCACCTTTACAGGCCATAGTTGCTTCTGTAACAATTATCTTTGAAAAACTTGCAATGATTCATTCCCAATTACTATGAGATATGTGTGCGCACGTGTGTAGAGAAAGCTGAAACTATCCTCGGTTCCAGTGCTCTCAACCCAGAACCCCTTTTTGGAACCCTTGGGCTTAGCCTTCTCGATATAGCCTTCTCAAAAATCTTCTTAAAAGCTTCTGACCCTCCAAGCGTAACCTAGAGTCTAGAAAGACTTAGCTCGTAGTTTCCTATTTTCACCTTTTGTATTTTACATATCTCGTCACGCTGGATCTAAACTCTAGGCACTTACCACCAGAGCCCTCAAAGCTATTGCAAGTACCGCGTTTGGTTTCTTTGGTGCGAGTATCTTCATGGCGGCATTTCGGGTTCCTCTGCATACAATTTTCATTGGCTGGCGACCTTCGGCCATACAGCATGACTTGATGGTAAAGGTGAATTCATCGCGGGTGACAAGGCTTGTTAATGGGGTGTCATGAAGCATTGTTGCTACTTGGTATACACGAGCAAATGGACACCCTTGTTGGGGTTTGACTTTGATCTTGGGGACTGTATTTGAGGCAATGATATAGCTATTCAGACGGTTCTGTGTGTTTATGATTCTATCCAATTATACAATAGGGTTATTCAAACTATGAATGAACCGCTTAATTCATATACAGTCATAGAAGCGCATTAACTGTTGAATGTGAAAGAGGACTATCCGAAAGAAAAAATAGCACACGCAAATTAAATCATATTGCTCTAGCTGACTAGCAGAAGTAGAAAAGCATAACATAAAAAAATCTGCCCAAACAGAAACATCCATACACCTCATAAGCGTCACGCCACGCGCCCATATACCCCTTATAACATGCGGCGGCTCGTCATCCCAGTAACACCGGGGTTTTAATTTATACATGGGTTGGTACCTCATTGCTCTCCTATCTCTCGTAACTTAGTGATCGCTCCCCTTCGGAGTACACATCGGGATACGTATCTTCCATTCTTCTTCCACGAGATCTAGCGCGAGGAGCAATGTTAAATCCATACATAGTATCTCTAGTAACCATGTAGATACCGAATGCGAAGAGAAGAGCAAAGGCGAATGCAGCCCATTGAAGTCCCTCCAGTGTTTTGCCCTGCTCGATTTGTACATTTGCAGAACATCCTACGGCCGCATCTCCTAGTACCGTATTGATTGCATTGACGGAAACAGTGAGGGTATATGCTGCACCAAGACTGGTGGCAACAGCTGCCCATAAAAATGGCATGGCTATCATACCAGCCTTCCCAACAGGTTTTCCTAGACCTGCAAAGAGCCATGCAAAGGTGTCAACGAGGAATCCTAATAGAAACAGGGCCAAAGCCACCATAGGCATGAAAATGGATATGTCGTTCTGCAATTTTTGTCCTAATTGTACGATATTTGCATCGACATGTAGTGTTGCGGCAATTTCATCGGGTGACTGCTCATACTGTTTGCCTATACATTGAAAGCCGTTTGTATTCTTGAATGTATCTCCGTTATTTCCTTCCACTCCCACATAGGCACAGAGACCTGGTAGCTTGTTAGTGAGCGTTTCGCACAGCTGGGATACGTCTCCACAAACCCATATAGCCAAACCTCAATCCACCAATTTTAGATCCATCGGTGCCAACCTTAGCAATCTGCCCGATGAAGATATTCTCCATTCCTGGCGTTGTCGCCGCAGATCCGGCGATCGACATGGCTAAGAATCAATAAGTCAGCTCAGGCACATATATTAACACGTCGGGCCAGGAAAACACGATTGTGCTTACCTGAAAAGGTAAAAAATGGAATAGCTCCGATTATCCATACCGAAGCTCGAACAGTAATGTTCTTCGGGTCTACATAAACTAAGTTAGCCGGTGGCTTACAGCAAACAGTGAAGACTTACTCATCGGTCTCCATGCTCCACGTCCGGACATGTTGAAGGCGTGATATTAGTATTTGCCACTACTTAGTGGGGACAATGCAAAAGGGTGTTCAAATGAGTGAAGAAAGGGAAAGCTTATGAAATGAGGAATTCCGCAGTACTAACTTTCAACCTCAGCAGATAGATAATTTAGCTTCACTATCAATTGCTTGAGGAATAGGAGACCTAGCTCACTATATACGGCTCTTAGTAAACCATAACAAAGATTACCCACATTGGTCAGATAAATTTGTCCACGCTGCGCAATTGCAGCACTTTCAATTATAGGCCGTTTTGACCGATAAATCACTGGATCTTGGTACAGGCAAGCAAAATTTATGAAATCAAACAGACAATGCAGACTACCAACTATCCTACCAAAGCAATTCTTCAGTGAAAAATATCGTTAGTGAAGGACAAGTACAAAACAACCGCGGTCGACAATCGGCAAGCGCTGAATTGGCGGTCGTGAAATTTTGGTTATTAACCATACTAGACCTAAACAGATAACGTAATCAAATCAGTGCTGCCAACAGTGCTTCATCGCAGTAGCCCGCAAAGCTCGATTTTCGGTCATGCTCATCTTGCTTTATGTAATCCCCTGGTCTTTTCGTCCAGGCTTGAGAATCTATTTTGAGAGCCGGTTGAATCTTTCCAACCTTCTAGAAAAATTCTCTCGTGAGCAGTCGTTGAATTGCCACCCGATGTGAAGCCTGTCACCACCAATATTTTGTGATAGTTTCTCATGAGGAGACTGTATTCACATTTGCTATTGCAAATAATGCTTAGTGTCTGCTAGTTTATTCACATGTTGGAAATGTTTAGAAGAGTGGCTGCCAATAATAGTGGCGCTTTGATTTCTATAGTCTAACCTAATGAAGCTAAGTCTATACCAACGGTCGAGTACTCAAGATAGGGCTGAAGTTGTCGGTCATTTTTTGGTTGCTTTGGTCGGTGAAAGGTTATCGCATGCAAAATTACATCCTCTATAGTTCCAATGAGTGTTGGTGTTTCAAAAAAGATAGTCAAACTGTTGTAGAAGGATTCGGACCACAATGAACAACGCTGCACCTTTTCTCCGACCATTTCATAGTCACAGGCGAAAATTGTTAAGCCGAGAAGGAACTCGCTTAGTTTTCAAAAGTGAAAGGGGCCTAGAAGCGTACTCGACAAGCATGGAAACTCATTCAGCATAGCCAGGCCAACTGAGGATATTGGCACTCTCGCAGCCCAACTACGGTCCTTTAGAGGCTATCTCTATCCATTGACGTATATTTTAAAGCTGACATCTGCCAACTTTCCATCACAGTCGCAATCTCGAATTCCAACACCTCTCTTAGACCGAACATTCAGGGAATGAGTATTCCGTCGTAAGCTCCGATTCTACGACGAGCACATGTGATAGCCAAAGATTACCCTAAAATACTTCATGTGTATCGATCCTGCCCTTTTGGATAGTAGTACATTGGGGTAAGCCTCCTAGTCACACACATGCAAAGTATTGTTTTGGATATCTCTATAATCTGAACCATTCAACTTACCAGTCATTCGCATGATCATACAACCTCGCACTTCCATGGTCAACTTACAATTTCAGCAGTGTAACGCCGAGTGACAGTGGAAAAGGCCCTCGCCCTGAGCAATGATGGGTTATCTAAGTCACTGGTATGTAAATTTCTGTATATATCTAGCATTTAATTTCCGAAAAAGTTCACTGACAGTCTAGAATAGGATGTTACTTTTAGCAAAAACTTCTAAAATAAGTACATATGCTATGCTATACTATCAACACACCCCTTTACTCTTACTTACGCTCGATTGTTCCGCAGCAGTGCTTTCCATTAGTTAAAAAATGGAACCACAATCTTTTTCACGCAGACATTGCACTCGTTTCACTTCTTTTTCTTTGTCATTTTCTTTTCGTTCATCCTCACTTCGGTCCAAGCTTTCTGAAGCCATACTCTAATCGATCTTCCTTCAAATTAAGTTGCCTTCGCGCGAAAGATCTCTCACTCTCAATATACCTCGATGGCATCCTATTAAAGTCACCTTTTGTCTCCATGAATATCACTTCTCCACGGTCGGGAGCCATGTATACTGAGACGACTCAAAGCGTTTCTGTGGTCTTCTGAGCAGGCAGAAAGTAGGTTGAGACGGATGGGGGCTTGGTTTGTTTTCGTTTATTTTGACTTGGTGCTGCTGGACTTTTAACGCGCTTTGATGGGATTTGTGAAGGCAGATCAGGAGCATGTGGAATAGAGGTTCGAGGTGAGATGAATACATTTTGGTTAGCATTTTTCTTTTCGCATAGATCAGGCACGGAGTAAGGAGTACAACTAGGAAAGGAAACTTTATACTGGTAAAAGGAGGGTTCAAAAAAGGAAAAGGTTTGGTTCTTGCTTTGGAGTTTTGTTTGGCGATGGGAATGGTTCATATGATCTTGAGGTACGATTGGTCGTTTGTTTGGACTAGAAACAAGAAAAAGGATAGTTCCAACCCCTCGAACAGTTAGACAATATTAAAAATCCAATGATCAAGTCGGTGTTAAACTTATTAACTTTCCTAACTCTCTATTTATTTCAGATTCTTCTGCTCGAACTTTAAATGGCGATGAAGAGGGAGGACAATGGACATCAATCCTAAACTGCAAGGCAGTATCTCCAACCAGGAAAAATCAGTGGCTTAAAGGAAGGGATAGGAAGCCGACAAAAGAAGATGATTTGTACACGGGTCAGGAATTTGTATGTTGGAGCTTTGGAGCGGGAGGGAACATGACGAGACGTGTGGGATCTAGGCAGATGTGAGAAGGGGTAACTTTATGGGAAGAGCGGTGGATATGAGGGGAGTGGGAGAGTAAGGGTTAGGTCATGGCTTAAGGCGTGGTTCAGAGGTGGAAGGGCGATTGTTTAATGTTTTAGGATGTTGAAAGAAACTATTCGACTCCTCTATGGTTAAAAAATTGATTGTATTTTATTTTGAATAATTTTTATTTAAAAATTACGCTCATTTCAATACCAAAAAATTCAAAATTTTTATTATATAATGTTTTTTATAAATTTATATATATATAAAATAAACAATTTCTAGAAAATATTCAGTTCTTTTAATTTCAAATATATATAATTTCAAAACAAGAATGTTTGAAAATATTTTGTTTAATTCTTATTAATTTTCAATTGGTTATCTTTACATAGATGTAAATTTATATAGATTATTCCCCTTTTTTACTAAGATAATAAAGATTCAAAAAGGTGAAAAATCGTTAATCTTGGTGTGATTTCACTTAGTGTGCAGTGAGTGATGGCTGTAACTCTTACTTACAATGAGTAATTTCTAGAACTCCTATTACCTATCAAACCCTTTCAGAAACTTTGTAAAAAATCATTAAATTATTTAATTGATCAACCACTACTCATCAACACCCCTGTCTGATGCCTTTATCTAGAGTATAAAAGAGCCTCTCAGAAAGAGACCCTTTTACAATAAGATTGAGGTATATTTATCAAACAAATCAAAAACTATCCAACCTCCCCATCTATCTATCACACATCCCCACTCCATCCTCCTTCCCCACCCATTTTCCACCCCCAACTCAACTCGATACAACATAAACCCAATTATCCCGTTCTCAACAACAAACAACCAATCATGCCTCAACGGTATGAAAGACCACTTCGAGTCTCACTCGAAATATCACTCTCGGTCGTCTAGTTGGTTTATGACGTCAGACTGTAATTGTTCATTGTAATCTGGATGTCGCGTGTTCGACTCACGCCTGAGAGAATCATACTTTTGCTCTTTCTTTTTTTTTTGGTTTTTGTGGGATATAGAGATGTGGATATATATTTTTTGGGGGGGTTTTGGAGAGGCGTGGGTGGGGTGGAGCTGTAAGTTTTTATATTGTAGAGGTTTTTTATTTTATTTTAAATAAGGCCAATGGAAGATTAAGATATTCATTATTACTGAATACAATGATAAAGATATAAATGTAGGACAAGGGAGATTCCGTTTCACCTTGGCCTGGGTTGGTTTGGTTTCTGTTCCTTTACTCGGTGTATATTCCCTACACTACATTAGGAGAATCGGCCTTGTATATCATATATCATTCATTATAAAACTTAGATAAATATCCTAATGATGAGTTATTTCGGTCGAGGAATCAATACGATATCTCATATCTTACATATTATCAACTCCTACTCTATAGAACCAAAAAAAGATCAGTCACGGTACTCCGTACAGTAATTCCCAACCCTGAAAGATATTTCATACAGCACGGCACAGCACGGCACAGCACAGCACAGCACAGCACAGCACAGCACAGCACAGCACAGCATAGCATAGTCATCTCCAAGCAGCTCACTGCTACTATATCTGCTCCGTACGATACTCCGCCAGCTCCGTAACTCGAGAATCTTGGGATATATGGGGGGAGGGGTTGCAATTGCTACTCAGAGTTAGAAGTCAGTAGATTTTAATGTAAGATTACCGAAACGCGTAAATATTTGATAATTTATCACTCCGTAAAGCCAAAAGAAAGGAACTCAACGGAACGGAACGGTCCGCTTATATTATATGACATATATAAGCTAATGACTTCTACCGGGGAATATACTCGTACTCCGTACTGTGCTCCGTAGAATATGATATGCAGGTGCTCTTGGTAGGTCGTTCGTGATTATGTATTATATCATATAATACCATATCATACTATAGCCAATCATACTATAGCATAACATAAATGGTTTATAGAGTTAGGTCCACTAATCGCATGAATATAGTTTCCCTTATGGCCTCATCACAATAATAAATTGCTGTGCCTCAATTTCAATTCACATACCTACGGAGTGTATGCATGGATGTGTGTAAATGATACAAGGTAACCTTATAGACGTGAGGGAATTCTGAGCAGTATCAACTGATACTATAGTGTTAGTGTCAATATTAGTGTTAGTGTTAGTGTCAGTGTCAGTGTCAGTGTCAGTGTTAGTCGCTAGGGTTTGTTGGAGAGTGCATGAACTTTTGTTTTTCTGTTTTGAGTTGTAAGATCTTAAAATTGTTCGATATATTAAGGTTATGAGATGATAGCTTGTTGATTGAGTGGCTGTTGTATGTTTGGGTATCTCCATTGTCTAACTAATTCTCAAGCCTCCCTCGCCTCCTTTAAATATTTCCAATATATATACCTACCTAAGTGAAAAAATTCTCTGAGGTCTCTTAAAATATGATAGAAGTGAATATTGCCGTAAAGAAACAGTAAAATTTCCCAAGCAAAAAAGTGTACCGCCACAAAAAAGTTAAGCCCTTAAAATGCCCATCCATTATTTCCTACCACAATTCATCCGGCTCATCATAATTTTGTTTCCCCCTCGTAATCCTTGCCTCAGCCTGTTCTTCATGATATCTCTTCTTGATAGCCGATGGCATCTCCGGTGACATATAGGGTTTAATGATCCATTTCTGATCACCGGGGTTGGATCCAACTCGAGGCTCATCATATGGACTTATTTCTGGAGGTTGGTACTCCATTCTTGACCCCTGTCTTTGACGCTGCGTAGCAAGTTCATGTTGCGCGTCTTGTAATTGTTGAATGTGCGGATTTCCTGCATCTGTGGAGGTAAGAGATGCAAGTCTTTGCAGAGGGTGATATGTGGGTGATAGGTAGTTAGATTGATGGTATCCGCCGGGGCTGCGGGGATAAGAGACATAAGTTGGACTAAGGCTTTGAATATGAGTCTTGTTGTTATCAGAACTTGTTGTATTCCCTTTAAGGCCGCGCAGGCTCTTCAGACTAGAGGTAAATGATAGAGGAGATTTTGGAGTGGTCGGAGGAGGTGGGAAGTATATGCCGTTGTTGCTGGTTTTGCTACCTTGTCTTTGTGGATCTCGAACAGAGTTATCTTTTGGAAAGGTAAATGTAGGAGAGCTGTTCGCGGTCAAGAATGGATTCCGGCTTTGTCGAAATCCAACATGATTAGGGTATTGATAACGAGGAGGGTTTTCGAGAGCACGCCGTCGTCGTGAGTGAATGAAGTGTATTGCTAGAGAAATGCATATAATAATGAAGGGAATTGTGAGGGATAGAGCGAGTATAAGTCCTAGTTTGTGGTCTTTCTTATTGCTTTCTGCATTTGGCGTCGTGGAGGTTATATTAAAGATATGTGATGCAATAAATTGAGTTGTTGGTACGGTATTATTGCCATTATCGCTGAGAGTGCTGGGTTGCTGGCGACTTGTCAGTATGCCCGGTCTAAATGTATTTGTTCAGAGACTCCAGGTACAAAAGTATAACGGAAGAAGCGCGATTCATTCATCCCTTTGAGCACTTTTATCGATCAAAGTATTGACAAATGGAAAGAAGTAGATCAATCCCCAAAATATTGTAGAAACAGAAGCACGTATAACACGGCTCTTATTTGAACTGTCGCTAGTATTCACAAGACTTATTACCTGTTCTCAAACCGCGCTTGTGTTTAAAACCAAGCGATAATGACGACGATTTCGTAGCCTGCGAGTTCAAAAGATGAAATTAGACTTGCTTACAAGTAGTAGATAAAACACAGGAGACACAGAGAGTGAAAATGCGTAGGTCTGGACCGTCCAATTCAGTGACGTGACCGACCCATCATATAATTCTGCAATGTAGGCATTAGTAAGAGTCAATGGTCACAACGATGAGGAAGAGTTGCAGTACCTAAAAGGGCTGGACCCTTAGAGTATCCATTGCCATCCGAATTTTGATTCCATAACGCGATGGTATAGTTACTAAGGCTCGTCTCCCATGATAAAGTCTGTTGGGTCCCGATCATCCATATCGGATTTTGAGTGGCGCCTGCACTTGGATTGAGAAACTCTCCTAAAAATGGCATTGATGATGAGGTTGCCAGCACCATATCAACAAGAACGAGCCAACGCAGAATTAAATGCATAAATCTGATGTGCCGAATGAAGATTCATAGCGCACAACTATCATTTTAAAGAAAGAACACGTAAAATAGTGCGTTACCCATACCATTCTATATATCACAAAGAGGAACAAATGTGTTGGGCTAGACCTTGCATACTTAAAATCTCTCAAGTCTACTTAGATTGAGCCATGGGGGCTTTTCAATGAAAAAGGCAAACATCGCAGGCATCATTGCGAGTATCAGCGGGATGGCACCACGGCAAATCAGTGGCATTTGCCTCAACCAAACTGTCGGGTCCTGCCCAAAGTCCATGGACTCTTGATTGGCCCGGATCAGATAATCACTAAGCGCGTACGACTTTTGCTCAAGAACTATTGGGTGCAGAAGACCCTCAGTATATTGATGCATGAAACTAGAAAAGCCTGTCAAAAATGAAAAGAAATAAAGCAGAGGAGGTTCAAAAAGAGCCGTTTGACTGCCTTTTATCCGGCAAAGGCATCGCTGCGCTTATATGAACAATATGATTGGGCGCGAGATGTGAAATCTGGTGTATTCACGCAGAAAAGTAAAAGGCATTCCGGGGAAAGGAGTCTAGGGCGTTCGCTATCGCAGCAATCCTCTTTGTATTCACTTAGAATATATATAAATGGGAAACGTTTCTTCATCAACCTGACATTTGGAGTAGATAAGAAGTGTTCAAGAAAGGTATGAGGGTCTGAGCTGAGGTGACTGAGATATGTGAAGCATGAGTGAAGCATGAGCAGAGGACGCCTGGGAAATTGCAGAGAGAAAAATGTAATATCTTAGGTAATTTCAATGTTACGGCAAAGAGGAGAAGTAGGGAAAACGGGAATAAGGCCATTTAGGAAGGTGGAAAGCGTTAATCCCCTCCATACTCCGCAAAGAGACATACCTATCAGGAGCTATCACCAATAAAAAAGTTTCACAATAATCTAAACTTCGGAACCCCTGCACTGGGAAAGTCTGGTGGTCACATGCATCTAGACTGTTGGTGGATACCATTCGCTTCGCACGTGCCATGTTCATGTTCCTCCTCTCCACACCACCTGCTCAGTTTTTGATATCGATGTGCTTCATCCCTTGTCACTACATCCACGACCATCATTCATTCCATTTCGATAGGCTTTGACTCGAGACAGTAATCTGAATATCGATGTGATGATATGCCAACCGCCACATACAGTGGCAATTTTATATGCGGACCTCCTCCCTCCTTCTGCTTGATAAGAACATAATCTTACATTCGATATTCTTTCACTACGTGCACAGGACTCTTTCGTAACAGAGACATCTGACATCCAACATTAACAAGACATCATCCGCCAGGTGACAACAGGATAATCAGAGTTGGGAGAAATAGGAGACCGTCGGTAACATTGATCTTGATCTGGGATTTATTTCTATTCTCGCCTTCCATGGTATGCCCACATATCTTACTCGATGACTACCCATGTATTGCTCCTCGGGAGTGCATCTTCGACTTTCATACGTTATATGCACCCATGAATCTTATCAAAGAAGTTGAAAAGTTTACAGATGTAGCTTTGTTTTCAGCTGTATCAACCATGAAGAGTTCAACATCATCACAATTATAAGTGACACAATCATCAATCAATTTTCAGTCGAAAATTTGGTAGATTTGCCGGCGGAAACAGATTGGCATACTAGTCAACTGTTCTTGTCGTGTCGGTTCTTTGCAGTTTGAAGACTCTACTGTCGGCTGTACCCCAGTTTGGCTTGTTTTTGACCTAAGTAGGTATCACCCCTTCTCTTTGTAAGAAGTCAATCTCACCACGCTACTCATAAATGTGATTTATTAGTACCTACCTGCTTACCTTACCGATATTGACAAAACACGTTTTCTTACTCGTGGTGCGCGGTGAGTAAATGCCAGAATTCTTATGATATTAGGTCTAAAACCATTCAAGCCTCCAGCCACCAGCATCTCCGAGCGTATTGCTTATTTACGTCCTTGAAAACTGAAAATCTTACTCATTCCTCCCCCTCTCTCTCCCAAGCCATTTGCACATCAAATACCTCAATTCAACATCTGCTCAACCTTCCCACCCCTCTGAAACGGCCATCTCCACTCCCGAATATGAACCGGATCAATCCCATTCTCAAACGCATCCCTCCTAGCCAAAATTTGCATATTCAGTAATTTCTCCCTAACATGCGCACCCTTATTACCCAATCTCTCCACCCTATCCACGGCATCCATCGCCAAACTATACCGATCCGTTTGATTCCTAATGGCCAACTCTAACGGCGTATCAATGTTACCTTTTTCCTTGTATCCGCGAACGTGGATATTGACTTGGCCGGGACGTTTGTAGGTGAGTCGATGAACGAGCCATGGGTAGGAATGGAAATTAAAAATGATGGGTTTGTTGGATGTGAAGATGGAGATCCAATCTTTATCTGTGATACCGTGGGGATGATCACCGTGATGGATTAATTTGAATAGATCCACGACGTTTACGAAACGGATCTTTAGATCTGGGATGAGTTCTCGAAGGAGGGCTGTAGCGGCTAGGGATTCGTGGGTGGGTACGTCTCCACAAGCAGCCATGATGACATCTGGTTCGAAACCTTGGTCGTTAGAGGCCCAGTCCCAGATTCCGAGTCCTTTTTCACAATGAGTGAGTGCATCTTCCATATTTAGAAATTGGAGATGATCCTGTTTATCAGCGACGATAACGTTGACGTAATTTGTGCTGCGGAGACAATGATCCATACAGGAGAGAAGACAGTTTCCATCGGGTGGGAGGTAGATTCGTACAACTTCAGGACTCTTGTTGGCGACGACATCGAGGAATCCAGGATCTTGATGAGTGAAACCATTGTGGTCCTAGAAAAAAATAGAATCAGTAAATATTATCGGGGAAATGATTAAAAGGGAATGAGACAGCAGAATTACAAAATATGTATTGAGATCAAGGCTGCCGAGAGAAAAAACCATGGTTGCTTACCTGTCTCCAAACAGTGGCTGTCAAAAGAATGTTAAGAGATGCCATCTTTACACGCCATTCGACTTCATTACACTTCTCGATCCATTTACAATGTTGATTAACCATAGAATCAATAACGTGAATGAATGGTTCGTAGCTGTTGAGTAAACCATGACGACCAGATAAGATATATCCCTCCAACCAACCCTCAACAGTATGCTCACTAAGCATTTCCATGACACGACCTTCGGTAGCAAGATTACCACCATCAGCATCCTCTTCGAAATGCTCACCCATCCAAACCTTTTTACCAGCTTTGTAAACCTCGCCAAGTTTATTCGACTCGGTTTCATCGGGTCCAAATAACCGGAAAGTGTGCATGTTTTTGGCAACCACATCGCGTAAGAGCTTGGCCATGTTAGACATACTGGGAAGAAGGCTGACACCAGCTTCAATATTCTCAAATGCATATTTGCGGAAATCGGGCATGTCGAGTGGTTTTCTGAGGATTCCACCGTTACCAACAGGGTTGGCACTCATACGAGCATTACCAACAGGAGCCAATTCCTTTAGCTCAGGCAGTAGTTTACCTTCCTTATCGAAAATCTCTTCAGGCTTGTAGCTGTGCATCCAAGCCTCCAAAACTTTCAAGTGTTCTGGATTACTTGCCACATTTGGAAGTGGGATTTGATGTGCACGCCAAAAACCTTCAAGTAACTTGTCATCGACTTTTCTTGGGCCTGTCCATCCTTTAGGACTACGAAGAACAATCATGGGCCAGCGTGGTCGGATTGCTTTGCCAGATTCACGTGCTTCCTTCTGGTATTTACGAATCTCGACGACACAGCGTTCCAGAGTTCCTGCCATGGCTTGGTGCATACTCTCGAGGTCACTTCCCTCTACAAAGTATGGTTTCCATCCATAACCGACGAACAAAGATTCCAATTCCTTGTGACTGATTCGAGCAAGGATCGTAGGATTATTGATCTTGTAACCGTTGAGATGCAAAACTGGTAAAACAGCACCATCTGTAATTGGATTGAGGAATTTAGTTGAATGCCAGGCTGTGGCCAAAGGTCCCGTTTCCGCCTCACCATCACCAACCATCGTCAATGTGATTAAGTTAGGATTATCAAAGACAGTGCCAAAAGCATGGGAGATGGAGTATCCCAGCTCTCCTCCCTCATGAATACTACCCGGTGTTTCTGGAGTAGCATGACTACCAATTCCACCAGGAAAAGAGAACTGCTTAAAGAACTTTCGCATTCCTTCCTCATCCTCGGCCTTATCAGGATAAACTTCCGAGTAAGTACCCTCCAAATATGCATTTGAAAGTACGGCAGGAGCTCCATGACCTGGACCAGAGACGAATAGTGCATTCAAGTCGTACTTTTTGATGAGGCGGTTCATATGAAGATATGTAAAAGCTTGACCAGCATCTGAGCCCCAGTGTCCTAGAAGTCGAGCCTTCAGATGTTCTTTCTTGAGTGGTTCCTTGAGTAGGGCATTCTCTCGAAGGTAAAGCATGCCGAGGCATAGATACATACAAGCACTGAAGTAAGCGTCATATTTCTTGACCTCCTCAGCTGAAAGCGGCTTTTCGTCGACGGTGCTGCGAGCAACTCCATAGGGAGAAATGCTCTCCACTTCGACCTCACCAGAAGCTGGAGCCATGTTAAATTATCTGAAGTAATTGGCGACTCTCCCAGTTAACTGAATGGGTGATGAGCGCAGTATCGAAAAGTGTGAAGTGTGGATTGTAGTTGATGTTCACCCGCAACAAATTGAAAATTGCAAAATGAAGTCGAAGTGTTTGTTATGTATGAAATTGAAGAAGAAAGACAGAAGGAATGGAAAAGTAAAGTGGGACTATGTAATGATTTTAATTCACTGTAAGTATCAAAAAGTCAAAGGAATATTCATTCCAAGGACCACTCGAATGCAAGCATCGCAAGCATCGCAAGCATCGCAAGCACTACAAACACGGCTTGGTAAAAAGTGGCCTGATAAGTCTTACCAGAAACCTTTTCCTACCTGGTAAACTCATCAACCTAAGTGCCTATAAATTTTCACATCAAGGTATATTCAATCCGTGTGGTGCGCAGCATACCTAGATCGCGCTGTCAAAAGGCAGTAGAACCAACCACGGCGTATTTCATAGTTACATTGCATAAGACATGGTGCGATAAAAGAGTCTTCCCATGAACCGTTACCTGCAAAGGAAGTCCCATGCATGATGCATTAGATATCTTCTCAGTCGTTACTGGTGCTTCTTACCTGCAGTAACACACACGCCGAACACCGACACGGTATACCCATGGCCCCGAGTCTGAGGGGCAAACAAATTCTGCACAGCGGCGTTAGCGGGGTTCCTGTCAAGGTACCATGCATACCATGCATACCATGCATACCACCTGAGAAAAGAATAGAAATGGGCTGACAATGACGCACCACGTGTTTGAGCAACAGCTATTTCACTTCACTTCACCAGTTTCCGTCGCATGCTCACCAATAAGCTGCCATAGGAATTTGCCTAGAACCTTGGATTTTTTATATGGTCTGATAATGTGGCTACATGTTCGTTGTAACCTAGGGTTTTTTTCCGTTTGCATGCTTTTGGTTTCATGCGGGGTAGTTCACCCAGGTTCCACTGCTCCGCGGCTCCTAGCTGCCACGAGAATTCACCGGTGCTTAGTCATCAATTGATTGATTTACCCTGTGCGGACTGATGGACGAAGCAGTGTAAGGAGGCCATAGTTGTATAGGTATAATGGATCAAGCAAAAAGCAAAAAATCTTGAGCTAGGTATAATAATGTCTCCAACCAATGAAACTATGCTAGAACAGATTGTGGAAGAACTAATAAATAACTTGCTCAATGTTTACCGCCCAAAAAAAGATAACAATCAGGTCTTCCCAAGTCTCCTACACCACCAGCGTGATTACGTTAACACAACGAAATTCCACACACATCCTCCAATCCAACACCAATAGTGATGCGCATCTTCACTCAAGCAACACCCTCTCCCTGATTGGCCGACGCCTTCTTTTCTTCCTGAATCAACCCGTTCCCGTCCGCACTCCCACTTCCATTTCCATCCGCATTCCGAACACCCCTCCATTCCTTGCCATACCCCTCTACCGGCTCCCAATTCGTACTCTTCCACGCCTTACTCACACTCTCATACAACTCATCGACCTCCTCCAAACTAAGACCCTTAGTCTCATAGATGAAAAAGTAAACAAACACCGCACACAACAAACAGCATCCACCCCACACAAAGAAGATCTTAGCCTGTAGATTCGCATTCCCGGGTCCAGGGTTAACCAAATAAGGGGTAGAATAGGCAATGGCCCAGTTCAAGAGCCAGTTCGAGGCCGTGGTGATGGAGATACCTTTTGCGCGGACTGGGAGGGGGAATATTTCTCCGGGGATGATCCATCCGACGGGGCCCCAGCTGCTGGCGAAGAAAAATATGTAGATGCATACGAATGCCACGAGGGCTTTTTGCGCGGCTAGGTTGTCGCCGTTTGGGAAGGCGGTGCCCACGCTAGCGACTATCATTTGACAGACGAACATTCCGATAGCACCGAAGAGAAGGAGGCGGCGTCGGCCCCATGCTTCGACAAGATAGAGACCGGGTAATGTTGAAATGACGTTGACGGATGATGTTATCATACTTGTGACGAAAGGTTCTTTAATTCCTGAAGCAGCGAAGAATGAAGTACCGTAGTAGAAGATAAAGTTAATACCAGTTAGTTGCTGGAGAGCTTGAAGACAGCAACCTGTCAGAAGTCTGTAGTATGTCAGTATATAATAGAGAGCTTTAGTGTTGAAGATGTGAAGAGCACCTTTTACCCAAAGTATGCCATTTTAAAAATTGTAGATATGAAGATCCCTTAGCCAAAGTTTGTTCATGGATATAGTTAGACTCGATTTCCTGAAGTTCGGCAATCAAGTGAGGGTCGTTCACATCTAATCTTCGAAGTCGACCAAGCGACTCCGCCGCTTTATCGTGTCTACCACGTTTAATCAGATAACGAGGGGTTTCGGGGAGAAATAAAAGCCCTGTTCCTAAAATAATAACCCAAGCAAATTCTGCACGAATTTAGTTAGTTGTTGGGCTCCATTCTGACTACCTATTAAGAGGGCATAGAGTGCTAACTTACGAACAGCTATTGGAATTCTGTACGATCCAGTATTATCGAGATCTTTGGTAGCGTTGTCAATAACTGCTGCAAGTAACAATCCAATTGTTATGGCAAGTTGATAGGCACCCACTAATTTCTGTTAGCGATGAACAAAGGCTAAATAAAGGAATCATGTTATGCAAGGGTTCCCTACCAATAGCTCCTCTAATCCACTTCGGTGCCGTTTCTAGTCACAGTTAGATCACACACATGACTTTGTATAGTCAACGCAGCTTACCAGATTGATACAGAGGCACTACATTATATGTTAGCACATTCAAATCACATCACGTACAGAATTCGCATACCTAGCATAGAAACCATGCCAACTCCAAAACCAGCAAAGAACCTTCCTGACACAAACAAGGGGATATCAACTGAAGCCGTCTGCAAAATGACCCCAAAGGAAAACACGCATAGACTAATATAAAGTGAAATGCGCCTTCCTGTCCAATCGGCTGCTGGGGCCGCGAAAAGAGCTCCAAAAAGTGTTCCTGCTGATAGAATTGATACAATCAAGGATGATTCACCAGAAGTGATGCCTAGTTGACCAGTTTTGGGATCGATATATCCTGTAGAGAAAGTATCAAGCCAGTAGCGCATGGTTATAATGCCACCGATTGTTCCAGTATCATATCTATTTGGCTAATGGTTAGTCCGAGTATAATTTTCATGGCTATATGACGCAGCAGATACGTACCCAAAGAGTACTCCACCGAATGCAACAAATAAGCCCACAAGGATAGCAAAAAAAGAGGAACCTGCCGCTCCCTCGGGCTTCTTAATACCAATTCCTTTAAGATTCATCTTATCTCTTTTGATTTTCGAAAACATCATGTCGTAGTGTCTTGAAGCTTTTAGAATATCCCATGCAAGTTGGAAAGATCAGGCATAAAAACGTAACCGGGGAAATACCTTCCACAGTTTATGTAAACTACTCAAGACAAAGGAGTTTCTGTCGACAAGAAGCATGATTTTAAAAATGCTATACAAAATGCGCGTGACGGAAAAAATGGACGTCATTAATATCCCGAAATCTGATGAATTGGGCATCGAATTGTGCATGCGGATAGAAGTCCGTCGGTACATGAGAGAGGCCGGTCAATCATCATGCTAAAATCTTCGCTTCCGGTGTCCCTAGAATTGTGACTCTCCTATCTAGAGTGAGTCCTGAGACATATTTTGTCTGACTTGGAAGAATCAACTCCATCATGGTTGCAATGGATTAATGATTTGGTTCATTGAAACCAGCTATGAAATTGACGCTTCATCAACATATGAAAGTTACCGAGGATAATGTTGAGAGAACAAAGAGCGCAAACAGCTATCAAACGTCATTTGTTGTGATAACCGAGAATATACTGTAATGGTATTTAAGTCCTGAAAAGATTTCCCCAAGAACAGCGGATTTGGTTCCGAAGACGTGTATAATACACAAGGTAATCAATTCCCGGAAGTCTTTTGAACCTTTAAAAGAATTCATACGCTCAACAAATTTCCGCTTCTTTGTTATAGTTTCCGTCTCAAATTATAATCATGAATTTATTTTACTACCGCTATTCATATGCTCCGTGACGCTGGCGATGATTGACGGATTCAGAACTCGTTCACATAACATTTTTACATACCTGCAATCGGCACTTGTCAAAGCGGGCAAGATTCAATTTCAATTACAAGCGCAATCATTTGACCCACTTGGAGCATTATTCGATTTGGCCTCGAGAACGAAAAAGGAGAATAAGCGAAATATCATGAAATGCAAATTGATCTTGTTAAGAGGCAAAGCCAAATATTTTCACTATACCCACCGTGCGCCAAAACCTTATGAATATGATAGGTTACACCATCCCCCTTTATCCTTCTCAAAATCGTTTAAACCATAGCAGCATTAATCATATTTCTGCGAATCGTCTTTCAAACTCCTGGTATAACTTGGGACTAATCTCATCGCTGCTGTTCCCTTCAACTTCCCACAAGACTCCTTTGCGCGCGTAATGTTCAAGTAATGGCTCGCTTGTCTCCTCGAATTTCTTGAGTCGTGTCTTCCATGTTTCTTCGCAATCGTCGGGCCGCTTTGTAAGCTTTTCCCCGGTGATATCATCAAGTCCAGCGACCTTGGGTGCATGGAATGTAGTATTATAGACCCGACCAGATGGTGCATGAACCCAGCGGCCCGCAATGCGCTCCAGTATAACAGAGGCTGGAGTTTTGAGGGAGACGACGAGGTTTATTGGAATGAGTGAATCGAGTTGAAAAGCTTGACCGGCTGTGCGAGGAAAACCATCAAGTATAAAAGACGCGGATGGATCGTCGGATGTTTGCGGTGGTGACGAAGCTTCTGCCAGTGATGGTTGTTCGACATATAAGTCTGTGTCGAATTCAGAGGACGACGCAAATGCAGCGCTAGACGCTAGCGTCATCGACGGCGTAGACGAGGGAAATAACCATCCGCGAGCTTTTAATTCGTGAAGGATAAGTCGAAGTATCATGGCATCGGGGACGAGGGAGCCCGACTGCATAGTGCTTTCTGCTTTAATCCCTGTAGGTCTCTGTGAGTCGCATTCTATCTGAAAGTATAAGTATCTATATACCTAATGGAGTCCGATTTTTGACATTGTCTCTCAATAAATCTCCGGAACTGATAGCAGAAAGTTGGGGGAATCGTTGCAGAAGTCGTTCTGCCTGTGTGCCCTTTCCTACTCCGGGAGCGCCGACTAATATTATTCTTGCTGCTTTCCTAAGGCGCATTGTGTCGCATATACTGATCTAAGTCGTAAAAGATGGTGGGTGGGAGAAGTGTATGATAAATTCTTGTGCGCGGATGTCCGTAAATAATTTGCCAAAGATACTTTGGTACCTCTATTTGTACGGAAGGAGGATGCCGTACGATGCCGTTGGCCCCGAAATCTAAGAAAAAACACAACTCTGATAATGACTGTTTAATCTAAATAGGGCTCCTATATGACAGTAAATAGGGAAATGTAATGATGAAGGACGAGGTGATTGCAACAAATAATGGAGAAATGGAGAATTGGGCGGGATTGGTCGTACAAATAGGTGGGAGTAGGTTACCAAGGTATTTGTTGTATGGGAATTGTCACAAGCAAACAGCGAGCGGGGAAATCGATAACATTTCAAAGCTTCTAAAATTTCTGGTGTGATGTGGTCATAGCGTCCCCGGATTTTGTTGAGGAATGAGCGAAGTGCCCAGTGGAGTTGTGAACGCAAGGGCTCAGGACGGATCATCCCGGTCATCCGAAGAGTGATTAGTAATAATAGTAAACACTGCCACATCACACCACATCAGATACATTCCCTATATCTAATCATGTAATCTCTTAACAGCCTTCCATCCCTCCCACATATCGATACATATCATTACATACAATCCGACAAAGAACAAACATCCTGATCCCTCCAACTACTCCCAACTACAAGTATCGAATAGATATGTAACTAGTATCTAACCAACCGGTAAAAAGCGGTATATGATTTATGATTACGATAACCTCTCTCTCTCTGTCTCTCTCTCTAAAAATATTTCCAATTCTAGAACATCGATAAAATACTTGCCTATTCAGCTAACTGCTGCCAGCCAGTAAAGCGATTTAAGCATACCTATGAAGCTCATATCCGTAGGTCCATATGTCTACACCACAAGAAAAGAAAGAGAAAGACTGGAGTAAAAACAAATCGAGCAAATCGAGCATGATAAAAATAATACTCTCATCTCATCTAATCTAATCTAATCTAATCATCCTCCAATCCTAATTCCAAGCTTGCCCAACCAACTCAAGCTCAATAATCTTCTAATTAGCTCTGGACATTGAAACTCCATATTCCCATCCAAGCTAGAAGACCTAAAAGTCCAATCCACTTTTCACCATTTATCAAGTATCTCATCCCATTCATTCCTTGAACCTAAGAGTCAATTTCTGATATTTCAGATGTGACAAACCACCTATTTACCTATGCGTGCATAAATCCTATTTTGACAACCCCTCCCCATTTATAAGTATCATATTCCCTTTCCTTTCATCCTGCCCTTTTCCTTCCACCTCTGCCCGAAATCCTCTCCCATCCCGCCGAGCCTAAAATCAAGTGCCGAGTTTTCTCAGTGATAACCTCGGATAAAATAATGAGAAAAATACAAGAAAAGAAAAAGAGGAAAATGATACACCAAGCAAAGTAGTAAATACTTTTCGCCAAAAAAAAGTAGGGTATTGCACTGTTGCTTTCTCTCACTCACTCGCCTCATTGATCATCCATAAGCCTTCGTATCGTCATAAGTTTCATCGCCTAACCATTCAACCCCCTCATCTCCTCATTTCCAACAGTACCAAGCCTCTTCCCACTATCCACCTTCTGGCCCTTACTCGCCGTTCTCTTCTTCAACCACAGAACCAAATCATACTCTCTTTTTCTCTTCGCCGCCTCATCGCCCATATCATCCTCATACCAAAGTGCCGGAACCAACAATCTGTACGGCATAGTAATACCAGCAGGATCCTTTTGATTGACCTCAACATTCAAACAAATATCCAAGCCACCCTCCAAGTTGACATTTTGATAATTGCCCTTTCGGATCTGTCTTTCGGACAGACCAGTGGGAGTCCGATGAAATCGGTCTTGTGTAAAGACAGGTGCTTGTGGTTGACTTCCCGCAATTGAGGTTGCAGCTTGTTTTTCCGAGTAGGTGGCTGCCCGAGGAAGTTCATTTTCAAACGCATAGTACTCGTCGCCAGCTCCTCCACGGATAGTTGTTGGTCCGTCAAGATTAGGGTTGTGAGATAGATCGTCTTCACTTTCTGACCCGTATCCATTGATACCACCAGAGTCTCTACGCTTACTGCTCCGCCGAAATAACCCTGTAAAATCCTTTCGTGTTAATGACAATGTTCTTTTCAAGCTTCCTGGTCTTGCAGACTCGGTAGAATTTTGGCGCGATAAGGACAATGATGGACGTGATAATGATGGACGTCTATTGAAGAATGAAGCATTTGATAAAGGCGGTGCATCAGGACGATATGAAGGACCTTTGGTAGTGAAGCGACGCAGTAGACCGCGCCTAGGTGGTGAAATACTGCCATCATAAGAAGTAGTGGCATCCGGTGAATTAGAACGAGTTAGAGATGGATTGTACTCCCGTATCGAGCACCAATTCCTGCGGTTGAGTAGGCGTTTATTGTTCCTAGGTTTACCATCCACATCATGAGTGAATATTGGGATCATGTCTTCGTCAGTGTCGGCATCAAAATGGTGTACTTTGTTGCGTTTGTTTAGAATATCAGCAAGCATGTCTGGCGGTGGTGCATTGACAATGGCAGAAGATATGATGTTTGTCATATAGCGGTAATCCTGGTCCTTTGGAATCTTCAACTTGGGGTTTGAGTAGAATTGGCCGATAGCACCGAGATGGACATCACCACTGTACATGTTAGCTTTATGTAGGAGTATTTAGGAAAGATCATACACACCCTAAAATGGAGATTCGGACAGACTTCTCGGCTGCTAAGTCTTGTAATTCTTGAATCAACCAATTTCGCTCCTCCTTATGGTGAGCTGCTGTCCAGTGATCATCGAGATCATCAAGAATTTCAACACCACCATCAAAGTGATTCATAAGACTTTTCCCTAATAATCCAGCACGGCCCATGGCCTTCAATGGGGTCATAACTTTCGACGTAAGACTAAACATTTATTAGAAATGAAAACAGGCCACTGGATTTTACTTACAGAGTCTCAAGCCAGACCATTCTTGGATAAGCAATTGGTACCCCAAGTAATACAATAAGATGCTTCGTCTGGCCCTTAATAATGTCTCTTTCAAGCCGATCAAAAATCTTCGTATATGTTTCGGCAGTAACAATTTCGTCATTCATTCGTTCCGTGCGACAATCAATGCCAAGGAATGAGATGCCACGACCCAGCCCAGTGAAAATGCTGCGACTTAACTCAGAGATATATGGTCCTGGTTGTGCTCCCAAAATCCAACTAGGCTCTGTTTCTTCCCCTTCATCAATACTACTTTGTTGTTGAAAGAGCATATAGTACTTGAACGCTACGCTACCCAAACCAGACATGACCGGGCACTTCATATAAGTATCAGGATATGAACCGAATCCATCTATAATGTCATGATCATCAAAAATGTTGATCATAGGAATCTGCGAATTGGCTACCCCGAAAAGACCTTGTGAGAACCACATGCAGTAGCTGTCTAAATAGAAATGCTCCATTTCGTCTTGCATCTCTGGTGTGAACGGTAACGCCTCTTTCCGTAGAGGGTTTTTGATATTGAGCCATTCCTTAAAGAGGGTAGTCCGTTCCATCATATGATCATTGTAAAGCTGATCACCACCCCCGAGCATGACATGAAATGGTTGTGTTTGATGAGTGTTCAAAACATCTCTCCACAAAGGATCGGGTCCACTAAAGTCATTTGGATGGACATCCATGGTGAACCCGTTACAGCTATGGAACATTATGTTCATTGATTGTCCGCGAGCAGGAACCCAGAAACCAGTAGCTGGACCACGGTTGATACGATAAGCAATCCTCTGTTGCTTGCTACGTAACTCCACTTCAATATTGAATCTCCAGAATGTAAATCCTTTGTCTGCATGCAGACGGAATCCTCGCACTTCTTTAAACTTTCCAGCTTTTTCACCATCATATTGGTCTCTTCTCCGCCTCCGTTTCGGATCCGTATTTCCGTCGAGATGACTTCGACGAGACTCGAAAAGTCCCTCGTTTGTTTCGATCTGTGAAAGATCTTTTCCTTCTGGGAGTTGTTCAACAGGACGAGTGTAGAGCGTTCTACCATCTCGCCCAATTTTGGTCAATCCTGCAATTGGGTCAATATACTCTGGAGCAAGTTCTTCGCCATCAACTTGTGCAGGCGGTGGTGGTAATAAATCAACAGGCTGCAAAAAGAGACGTAGTGTCGGAGCAAGTTCGTAGGATGAACTCGAGTCTTGAGTCACAATCATGACACTGCCTCTCCAGACTTCGCGTTCTGGTAAAGGGCCACGAGCCACCGAACGGCTTGAGGTTTTTTCGGTGCGTATACCATAGTAACGTAAAAGGGGTCCGCACTTTAGCAATAGCGGTGGTTTGAATCTAGTAGGAGCTATATCAGGACGCACGCGGATGACCCGCATTGCACACGTTAGCGAGTGATCTGGACCACGAGTGGGGGTAGAAGGGGATTTCTGTCTGTCAGATGATTGGTTTGCAGCAACCAATTTGCTCGCATAACCTGATTTGTGTTTCGGTCGGAACTTAACAAATCCGGTAGAGCTGCGGGTTTTAAGTGATAAATGCTGCTCGGCAATACATCCAGCACAGTCTTCCATGGAACCAAAAGCTAAAGGTACTATACCATTATTGTCATCATATTCTCCATCGTAAGCTTCTGCCTTCTTTTGTCGAACGGAGCGTTTCCTACCGAGACCAGCCTCGCGCCAAGCCGGCTTAGGACCATTTTCATTTTCGCTTGCCTCTTCTTCAAGGTCCAACAGATTTCCCGCCAACAAAGCCTTCTCACCCTTCTTCCACTCCTTAAGGCGTTGCGGGGGGGCATATAATCCATTTCCTGGTTCATAGTTATGATGGTGATGGAACATTTCACCAAAGCGATGATGATGCTCCTCGTGATCAATAGAACCATCACCAGCTATGGGTGGACCCGCATCTCGCGAGGAAGCAGGGATTGCTTCGCGATGATATTTGGCGGATGAAGAATGCTTCAATGATTGGTTCTGTCCAGTCACTTGCTCCATCTTTCGTTTCGAACCCCGCCTAAAAGGAAGAGCCTTCATATCATCTTCGGAGTCGTACGAAGACTCGTCACGCAACTCAGGCCCACGAGCCGGTAAATTTCTCGATGCGGTAGGCGCAGTTGCTCTTCGAGAAGGTGCCGACGGAACCTGGCGACCACTAGTAAGACTAGGTAGCACGTCGTCCTCAGGATGCATTTCAGTCTCACTTTGGTGTCGGCTCCAATGATCTAGCGGTGGATCTTTTCTCAATTTATTGCTTTTGCTTCGGTAAAGAGAATTAGCGGCTTCGGCTGCAGCTACAGCTCCGCCTGCGGTTAGTGATCCGGACTTCTGTTTTTTACTAGACGTGCGTTTTGGGATTGAACTACTCTCAGTCTCACGACTGACGATAGGGCTCCTTTCCTGACTAATCAACCCAATCGGTTGTGACGCATGCGTGATCGGTATCCTCTCCAGTACAGATCCACTGCGTGATAGACTTTCCTTTGATTTAATACTTGATGTCCGCGGAAGGCTTTCTGTGACCAGCCGCCTTTCTGGCAGCAAACCTCCCTCCGGTGCTTTGGCAACAGGACGATTTCTGAAGCGGACCGTATTTTGAGCAGGCTGCTCAATAGGACGTGTGGACTTCCCTCCTTTTTCTTTGATCAGTCGCTCGGCTTCTTCTACACGTGCTCGTTTTTCCTCTTTCGTGATGCTATCAAGAGTCAATTCCAACCTCTGTAGAGGAGACCTGTCTGATGCCCACTCTTTCCGTCGTTGAACTTCTGTCGCCTCGGAATAAGAAGGCCTCCTCGTTTCTGAAACAGCTGTCTGACTGCGTCTAGGGGGATCCTTAGTCGGCGTGTGACCTCCCCTGCGTGAGGAGCCTTTGCCGTCACCTCTGCCAGCTGTACCGGATCTTTGAAGGCTGTCTCTTTCACTTATAGGAGAAGATGTGCCAAGAACTTCCCAGTTTGTTTCCTGAGATTTTATAGTATCGGCACCGTCTGACTTGCGAGCCGCCCTCGATCTCGCCGGAGCTTGATCTGTGAATAATGCTCCACTAGCAACGGGTTCTCTATAACTACCTGATGGGTGTGCTCGAGATATATCTGCAACAGTTGGAGGTGAAACTGCAGGATTGAATTCATACAAGTTATCCTTGTTACGACTTTCTTCGCGCTTTCTCCTCTTCTCCAAGTAGTCGTTATCGTAGGATGTGCTGGAGGTATTATATGGGAACGAGGGTGGTCGAGGGGCTAAGCCATCTCCGCGAAAGGTCGAAGCAACTGGAGAAGTAAATGGACTTTGTGTAGAAATCGTAGGAGCTTCCGTTTGTGTCGACTCTCGAATGCGTCTTGGGTCTTGAGAGGAGAGTCGGTCCATTTTTGTATCGACAGACAGACTGCTCTTTCTCGAATTTGGATCTGCAGAAGAGCCAATTGAGCCTTGCCTTGAGACCTTTGGAGGAGGCAGTTGCCCCCAATATGGTGCTGCCATTTTTTAGGTCGTGACGAATGCCCCTTCCTTCCAATTCTAGATAAGCCGGTGTGAAAATGAAGTTTAAAGATATCCAAAGATCGAAAGGTAAATATTTCTCTAATTTCAATAAATCATACCAAACGCAGCAAATAGTATTCAAAGGCGGACTTTGTTGGTCGAATGTTGAAGTTGTGAGCTGTTATTTTTACTTCACTTATCGTCATCAATATTTTCCCAACTCGAGGTTTGCGCCAGGCGAATCAGTGGAGCAACGACTTTGGAGCTCACTCGAGTTGAGATAACATGATTAGCGTGCGATGTGGATGGATAGCAAAGGTAAGAGAATATGCAAACCACAAGATCTGATAAAATAGAGATTGACTCGGTGGTGAGAAATCGCGGAGGCTGGGTGTCACAACATTCACTCACCTTCGGCCTCTTTGCTCTATCAATTATCTTGTTCTTTTTCTTTTCATGGTGAGGTGAAGCAAAAACCTTGGAAATCCCGGCATTAGCGGTAAAGGCTTATACAACCTGGGCTGGGCTCGCTGCTTTGAAGACGACCAGGTTGGCACAGATCGAATGGATAACACGAAGACACGGAGACTGAGTTCATCAAGTGTTCGCGATCGAGGGTTGGACAGCAAGCAGTGATACTGTAAGGGTAATTAAGGTACGTTCAATGGGTCTGTTAAAAAGCGGCATCAAGAAATTGTAGAGAGCAGTACGTCGTACTGTGAATGCGAATGTGGATGTAGATGGATGTGGATGTGTTTGTGGAACAAAGCTACGGTAAGGAAGAAGGGAGAAGGAAGAAGGAAGAAGGAAGAAGGAAGAAGGGAGGAGGAAGAATGGCTTCTGATTGTAGTATGTATCTGATGCGTCAACGATATGAATGTTAAAGATAACAGAGGTGGTGGAATATGTGATGGTGTGAAAGCTCTGAGCTTTGAAGATTTGTACCGAGTAAGGTCATGATAATGAGGGGTGAAACTGATGAATGCGCAACATTAATCCCCACATGTACGGAGCGGAGGAGATGGTTCGGTTGTTCCACCCAAGTGTACAGTAAGACGTACTATAGTGAGGTACTACTACAAGTAGATAATATTGCTATTATCTACTTGTCTTGACTCTTGTACCTGATCAATTGCTCCATATTTACTTCTTTCTGCGAGATAATAGCAATAATATCTACTTGTAGTGGGAATTGCAGTCAGTACCGGTACTCTGTGTAGTACGGAGTGTATATATGGCGGAGTATATCCCTAGGTACATGCTATACACACACATACCTAGGCATATATAGATGGATCACTAGTAAAGTATTTAGAGCTTCCCCAACTTTTGCATATAATAAACCCATACCGGTTTGATAAGATTCCTTCGAGGGAAGTATATCTAATGAATACATAATACGAGGACTAATAATTCATACTTTTTTCTTGTAAGGTTCCCTCTGCCAGATATATGGATTCAGGGACCTAGCACGTTCTTGGCCAGAACCTCCTACTGAACCAGTTTGCGCGTCAGTTCCCGATAAATCAGCGGAATATTGTATCGGATAATGATTGTCTGTCCAATAAAGGAAACTATTGAAGCTTGGGAAAATCGTGGAAACCTTCTGAAAGGTTTAGGTGTCCTCCTATTATGAATAGAAATCCGTGCCAAAGTACGATACTCGTAAACACTTTGACAGTTTGAATAGAGTTGATTTTGTGTCTGTGTCTGTTTCTGTTTCTGTTTCTGCTTCTGTTTCTGCTGCTGTTTCCTCTCCCTTCCTCAGGGACTAATTATAAAGCTACCCTGAGCTAAATACTAGATAACCCTCGAGATAGCCAACCTAGAACAACTTCGAAACATCGAAAGAAAGTCAAAACGTTAAGGGTCGCCGCCATCAGATTAGATCCAAAATCGTCTGACCATTTATTTCCCTCAATACCATTACTCCTTGACTACGAAACATCTTATAGTATTTCTCTTCTTGTCGTCATTCAAGCATACCGACAACTTCAAAATCATCCCATCCTTTGTGGCGGAGACAAATCGTTGCTTACTCTGCATACCTATACTGGGAGTACACAACGCTTGATACCACATACTTAGTCAACAAAAACAACCTCCTGGCCTGGACTTGCGAGTCCTTTGTCTCTCAATTGAACACTTTATTCTTAGGCGACCATTACTTTTATTCACATTGCTACTCGGGATTGAGAAGAGCAAGACATCATCAATGCGAGATTGTTAAGAGTTAAGATATCCCGTTTTGATCATCATAACTCCTTGAGTGCGAAGGAATCAGGTCATCGCCTCAGTCACCAAACTTGCGACGTATTCTACACGACATGAAACTACACTCTCTCATCGGCCTGCTTGGTCTCGGGGTTCTTGCAAATGCTGTAAATCTGCGCCCACGAAATTACGATGCCCACGATTATTATGTCCTACATCTCGACTCGACCGCCGACCCGGTACAGGTAGCAGAAAGGTTGGGCTTAAGTCATGATGGCCAGCTTGGGGAATTGGAAGACCATCATGTCTTCTCCGCACATAAACAAGATGAAGATGTTGTACATACAGCCCTGAAGCAGCGGAAGATACGGAAGCGGTCGCTGGGCGACTTTGATATTCTGGATACCGTGAAGTATGCACAAAAACAAAAGTTGAAGGCTAGAATGGAGAAGAGAGGTTTAATGCGGCCAGCGCCTGAAGGTTATGAAATAGACAAACGACAAGATACCGCAATACCTGTCGATTCTGCGATCGCGAAACAAAAAGCGGTTCAACAAGCCTTAGGGATACAAGATCCAATATTTAAAGATCAATGGCATCTGTACAATCCCATACAACTGGGGCATGACGTTAATGTTACCGATGTATGGATGCAGAATATCACTGGAACTGGCTCGATTGTCGCTATAGTAGATGATGGGTTAGACATGTACAGCAATGATTTAAAGGCCAATTACTACGCTGAAGGTTCCTACGATTTCAACGAGAACACCCTAGAGCCAAAACCACGATTGTCCGATGATAATCACGGCACACGATGTGCTGGTGAGGTTTCGGCTGTCAAGAACGACGTCTGTGGTGTTGGAGTCGCTTATGATTCGAAGATTGCTGGAATTCGTATTTTGTCCAAAATGATTACAGATGCTGATGAAGCCGTCGCCATGAATTACGCATACCAGCATAATCAGATTTACTCTTGCTCATGGGGCCCTCCTGATGATGGAAGGTCGATGGACGCTCCAGGCATACTTATCAAGAGGGCTATGGTAAATGCAGTTCAAAAAGGACGTGGTGGATTGGGTTCCATCTATGTGTTCGCATCGGGGAATGGCGCTGCCAACGAAGACAACTGCAACTTTGATGGGTATACGAATAGTATCTACAGTATCACGGTTGGAGCAATTGATAGAAAGGGCCTGCATCCATATTATTCCGAGAAGTGCTCCGCTCAACTTGTCGTCACATATAGTAGTGGAAGTGGAGATTCCATTGTAAGTTTCACTCCTAATCTAGGTACTGCAGAAACTAAGTAGGCTATAGCACACGACTGATGTTGGTACCAACGCTTGTTCTTCCGCACATGGCGGTACTTCTGCTGCCGCACCTCTCGCGGCAGGAATCTTTTCTTTAGTCTTACAAATACGACCAGATTTAAGCTGGAGAGATATGCAATACCTTGTTATGTCAACTGCTTTGCCAGTTGATCTTGAAACGGGCGAATGGCAAACAACAACCATTGGAAAGAAGTTTAGTCATACTTTTGGATACGGAAAGATTGATACCTGGGCAACTATTGAAGCCGCAAAGACTTTTAAGAATGTCAAACCTCAAGCTTGGCTCTATTCTCCTTGGATCCACGTCAACCAGGCTATTCCGCAAGGAAATGACGGTATCTCGGTGTCTTTCGAGGTTACCAAAGAAATGCTGCAAGGAGCGAATCTAGAGAGATTGGAGCATGTCCAAGTCACAATGAACGTTGCACACACTAAGCGAGGAGAATTAAGTGTAGACTTGGTTAGTCCAGACAAGCTAGTTAGCCATCTTTCCACAACGCGACGTTATGATTCCGACACCGACGGATATGATGATTGGACATTCATGTCTGTTGTTCACTGGTTAGTGTTTTCTTTCAACAACTTGCACCGTTTTACTAATGGGTACATAGGGGTGAATCTGGTATTGGTACTTGGACCATTACTGTTAGAGATACTTTCGCGAACGAACATAATGGAACTTTTACAGATTGGCATCTAAAATTGTGGGGAGAAGCTATTGATGCCGAAAAAGCAATAGTACTCCCAATGCCTACCGAACACGACGATGATAATCACGCCGATATCTCCACAACCACCATTGCAGGGGTCACACCAACAGCAACATCTGCACCAACTAATCCCGCAGCTCCAACTGACGCCCTTCCTAGTACACCGTCTGACCACCCGGATCGTCCTGTAAATGCCAAACCTTCCGGCACAGAAGACTCATTAGCTTCGCCTACCTCCACCACACCCGCAGAATCAGAAACTACAACTCCATCAACATGGATTCCTTCTTTCCTCCCCACCTTTGGCGTCTCTTCCAAAACCCAAATTTGGATCTATGGCGCCTTAGGCCTCATCGTTACTTTCTGCGCTGGTCTAGGAGTATACCTCTACATGGCTCGCCGAAAGCGTCTCCGCAATAACCCAAGAGACGAATGGGAATTCGATCTTCTCGAAGATGATGAAGCGGAAGCTCTAGCCGGTAACACTGAAATGACCATGAAGAAGGGAGGAAAGAGAAGAGCAGGTGAATTATACGATGCATTTGCAGCAGGCAGTGACGATGAGGATGATGAGTATAAAGATGGTGGTGATGAACGAGAAAAGAAATTGTACCAGGATGATAGGGAGAGTAGCGGAAGTGGTCATCACGTCATTGGTGACGATGACGATAGTGATGGTGAGAGCGCCGTAAACGTGGAGGATGAGAAGAAGCCATTCAGGAAGTAATGATGCATATAAGTCGTGCGTAGCATTACTGCAGAGATAAAGTATTGAAGAAATGGATGGATGGATGGATAGGATGGGTGGGTAAGAAATTTTGAAAATGAGAAAAAAATAACATGAACACTTGGTATGGTAATCAATAGAGGAAAATCATCAATTGTTCGTTTGTTTGTTTGCTTGTTTGTTTTGTTCATTATGGTGCGTGGATGCATGCATGCATCATTAATCACCATTGTCATTGCCGTTGCCATTGCACATTGAATAGGATGGATGGATAGATATAGCGATTTTTCACACTCTATACTCTGTATGTACTTTAAACTTCATGCTCGATGCGGGATACAGGATCGGGATGCTGGGAATTAGCAATTGGGAAATGAACATTGGATATTAGGGATTTATTGTCTCTTTTTTCATGTAGGTAAGCTTACTTAGGTTTCTACTTGGTAGGTGGCCATGTGGCTAGGTAGCTAGGTAGGTAGGTAGGTACGAATACTGGATCCCTTAATTTCGAGTCCAATGAATTCAAACTTCAAAGTACCTATTGGTTATTCATGTTTGGTTTAAGTTGTGTTTGTACGTATGTATATATCATTATTCTTGTCTACCTAAGCGCGGAAGGTAATTTTCGTACCTAATCATAATCATAACTAACCATAACCGTCATCATCCACACCATGATGAGGATCGCATGCTCCGGATCCCATAAACGCCTACTTGCTTGCAATCAATCCATCAATCCGAGAAAACTTATTTCCATGAGAAAGACAAATGGCCACTCATCTACTTCCTTCCTGTTGCATTACCTCCTCATTCCCCACGCCCTTCCGTTCCTTGATTTTGATTTTGATTTTCCCATCCACATCTCCTAAGCTTCTACTCCACTCGCCACCACCTCGCCACCCATTTCCCTAACATAGCCTTCCCAGATCCTCCCTACCCCCTCATAAAAGTCCCTATGTGCATCTGCCAATGCACCCAACTGAGTCCTAAATTCCACCCTCTTAATTCTCTCGAAATCCGCTACTTCCCTTACTACTTCCTCATCAAACGCTTCCGTCGTTTTCTTCGCTTCTTCGACTCCCTTCGTCAATTCCTCTATCCTCAATTCTAATCTCCTTAGCCTTTCTCTGCGAGATTGTTCATGGTCCACTCCCCGCACATCTTCAATTTTAGAGCGGATGAACCCTCCTGCTCCAGTCAGAGCGCCGGAGCCATGAGATGAGGCTAGTTGATCTCGATCGTTAGTGGATTTGGTGAGATATTCGGTTAATTGTTCAAAATCGAGTTGTTTCTGTTCGCGAGCTTTCAATAAATTCTTAACCGCCGTGCTGTAAGCTTGCATATCTCTCAAACTACCCAGATAGTTTTGGTCCGTATGATCCTTCAATGTCTTGATTCCTGCACTCGTATCCTCCACACTCGCGCTGAATGCATGAATATTGGGCTCGATGCCGGGCTCAAGATTAATCAGGCGTTGGAATTGTTCTGCTAGCTCCTTGTAATCCGTTTCCAAATCACCTTCACGACGAGCTACACGAGCCACGATTTTTTCGATATGTCCCAGGTCTTCGTCCAATTTGTCGGACTTCCCTTTGACTTCTATGAAGCGTTGATCGGGCTTATGGACTTTGGTAAAGGCATTTATGAATGTATCCGCAAAATTATCAAATACTCCCGCAGCCTGTTCGTCTCGAGAAGCGCCCCGCGATGGGCGAGACCTCATCGTCGCATTCCAGTCCGAGCTTTCCAGGAATATTATCAAAATGGCGCTGCGACGAAGAACAGGGTGGAGAGTGAGACGGGTAAGGAAACGTCCTAGTGAGTTGGCGCGTCTTTGGGTGAAATCAACACTGAATCGATCGCCTCGGACATATTCCATCTTATGCTTATCTGGTAGAGGAGGAACGGCACATGCTGGATATTCTTTGAAGAGCGTGTTGTATAAAAATACAAAATCCGTAAATCGTCTTCGGACAGAAGTCGTAGGTTTTTGGAAAGAGGGAAATGTAGTCTAAGTTTCAAATCAGTATGTTATCCTGCGCCTCGAAGCACTTCAATGGAGACGAACATGCGTAGTAACAAGGTATGATACGTATGCATCTTTCGTTCCATCATTCTCCTTAATAGGTAATCCGACTGTACACTCGAGGACACCTCCCCCAACGCCTGCAAGATCCAGAGCATCTGCATGGGTTCCAGCTTGAGTTTCACCATCGTTTCTATCAATATCTGGACCTTCGCTTTCATCATCACTTCGTGAATGCCCTCGCTGACTGTTCTGCCATTCGATATTGGCAAAATCGTCGTGGTCCATCGCGGCGATTGGGGTGCGCGGGGCAATCGGAGCTTGTTTTCGTAGGAGCGTTGCTTTGCTAGAAATGATTCAATAATAACAAGAGAATTAACTTTGTGTATTATTTGTTGATAAACTTCATGAGCTTTAATGTGATTTATCTTAATTTGTACTTCAAAAAAAGTGAGAAATAATTGTAGTGAATTTTATAAGTATTTCCCAAACTCATGCATTCATTTCATGGAAGCTTCCTTCATCACATCTTGAGAGGCGCGGGTCGGTGTCATTCATCACCTGCAATGGAACCCAACCCTGTTTAAGCTTGGCGTGTTCACATGGTCAGGAACTCACCAAGTCTTTAAGCTTAAGGCATTTAAGAGTTGAATACATATTGCTGCTACTTACGTAATTCAACTCAGAGGGCTCTTTCTCCAATCCAATTTATTCACGACTATGCAAACAAAGAGACATTTAGAGGGGTTGAGGGGTTGAGGGGTTGGAGGAGGTTGAAGGGGGTTAATTACAAAAAAGTATCGGTATTGATTGCTATTTTTAATACCGCCTGTGCTGCTGCTATACTGATGCTCATGGCATATCAGTGGTCTATAAATGTAAATTTCTATTGCATTTCCCATCCAATCCATTTTATCCATGCGTAAACCAGATCCAGTAATGCTAGCTGTTAAAACAACAAGAGAGAAGAATGTTCAAATATCCACATGAGGGCAGGCTCATGGCTTTGCATCTCTTGCCTTAATTTCTTCCTTTAGTAGTTCACCTTCTTTCTCAGCACCAATTGCCTCATTCACTTGCTCCTGCTCTGCTCCATCTTTAGCTTCCATTCGTCTTTCTTCCTTTTCGTCGATGTCTTCGTTGTCCCGAGGGGTGGCTCTGCCTTCCTCGGTGTTTTCCTCGTTTTGCTCGTTTTCTTCCTCAATGAGCTCTTGTTGCTCCTTCAAAACCTCAAGACGTTGCTTGTTGGTGGCAGCGCCCTCAGCATTGTGAACTTCAAGCTCAATCTCGTGGAATAATTCCTCTGGAATAGATGACAGGACACCGGTAAGTGCATCAATTTGGGTTGAGAATTCGGCCTCCTTACCCTGAGCATACATGAATGCATTGCTCAATACTAATAACGTGGAGGGAACTCCATGCTTAAGTCTCAATTCTAACCAAGATTGAAGATCATCACGGAGCCGGGCAGGAGACACTCCATGAGTCCTGATACCACGGTTGAGGCAAGCAACTTGAAGTTCTGGGACAGACAAACTTTCCACACCTTCGAAACTAATAGCTCTATCGTCTCTCTTGATTTGTCTCATACGATGACGAATCTGGTAACGGAGCATAGTATCTGTACCAAATGTGTTGAGGTTCATATATCTGCACATACCAACGAGTTGGGGGCGAGACAAATTGTCTAAAGTTAAATCGTCCTTGAATATTTGGCAAACCTTGATGACTTCTGAAGCAGTAGGAGTTTCACCTGTAGCTCGAACTTTGCGGAAAAATTGTGCGAACTCTTCCTTTTGAGCATTTGCTGAGCTTAATGGCAGTCCGGTCTCTTTCATGGTGCTTCGCAAAAAGTTGCTAACATCCTTTCGAGTAGCTCGAAGTGAAGATACTTTGGCATCCTTTGACTTCTGTGCCTCGTATGTGCTTGGGAGCATGTTGGGGAACAGTTTGAGAGCGATAGGAAGGAGAAGTTCTGCAAATGGCACGAGAACAAATACCGAGAATGGTACTAGTCGAGCCATATCCTGGACTGTTCTTCGTAGTTGCCTGTGCTCTCTGCGACTGAGCTCATATCCTGCAGCCATCTTCAAAGCCAAACGTGAACTGATCTTAATTTCGGTTCCAAGCAACTTCGTACCGTCCCAGTAATGTGCAGCCTCTTTCTTGATCTTTTGTGCCAGTGTCAGTTTCTTCTCTGCTTTCTCACCGTCCGGCTTCTCCACGGACTTTCCAGTTGAACCAGCCAATTCTGAGAGCGTCAAGCCTTCAGAAGCATCCGTTTTCGCTACTCCAGTGGCCTCATTGCTCGGAATAGGGTCTATTTCATGTTTGACGGCTTGTTTGGCAGCGGCTTTCGATGTCGCACTGGCGCTGGCTGGGGTCTCCTTTATCGGTTTTCTGGCTTGTTCGGCATTGAAACCAGGAGGTGGTGCACCGTTTGTTCCTCCCGATGTATGAGTATCTGTCGTCACACCTCTTCGCGGGATTAAAATGGCCAGCGCTGGCACTTGTGATGGGAGAGTTCGAGCATTACGGCGTAAATATGCTGCCGTAGGACTGAGCGAAGATCGTTGAAGAGCACGGGCTAAGGATAATTTTTAGTACTGATAGATTTCCAATCGCCAGGTTAGAATGAATGTGACAAACCTCCTATGAAAGATGTTTGCGCCGCACTGCGGACGATTCTTGATGAAGCGCTCATACTTAAGGTGAATTACCTCAGGAACGATAAATAAAGAAGGCTATCAATGGAATATCAGAATTGCAATATCGTGAAAACTTATGATTGAATCAATGAATCAATATTAAGGAGAAAATCATGAATAAAAGTTGTTTTGAGGGGAATAGATTGTAATATCTTTATGCATCCAGCTTTTAAATGCTTCAACGACGGATCGAGCCATAATTCTTCTGGAATTCGCCGTGGAAGATCACGTGGTGATAAAAGCCACTGAACTAATAGCTGATAGGTCCACCACGGCCAATGGGACGGGAGTGACGGGGTGGACTTAAGCACTTAAGCATGGTGAAATGTTCTAGAAGAACGTGGCACGAATATTGGTAAGTCAATCAAGCTGTTCAGATCCATATTGGACCTTGCGTTGTACAAGAGTAGCCAGCTGCTGGATCGACACATGCGATAAATGTTTCATTCAACCCCATCTAACAATTTTGTTCTCCTGGGGGCATTGCGGTGTATTTATAAATGGGCGCGTCAGAGCTCCCAGCACGATGGAGAGGAGTATCCGATGCAGTGCCTTATTTTTGTTTGCTATTGTTTGCGGAGAGTACCTAAGCTGCTGTTCCGGAGTCCAGGTGCCGCTGTGCAACTTGGATGTTTCGTAAACAAAAATTCATCTTTCGAGCGGAGGTAGCTAGCAACAAGCTTTGCAACCTTGTCGTTTTTCACCTCCTCAGACAACAGCTCTACGTTGAGAAATATGAGATAACCTTGCAAGTGTACCTGTCTCATTAGCTCTGGCATTAGAGCCTCTGCCCGCAAAAAGCAATAGAAGCTCAATATCTCTCTGAAATAAACTCGCTCCCAAGGCACAATCCTGCATTGTCCAAACTTCGACTGCCGAATTTCTCCACAGGTTTTTCGCTTCAAGTACACAAGTAGAAAATATCATTTTATCGGCCTCCTCATAGATCACTACCTCTCTTAGTTGGGGGGAAGGCCTCATAACAAAGTCCTGCGGCAAAAAAGGGAGAGTTTCTGTTTCGCGCTCGGAATCTGTCTCCATATTGGGGTTTTCAAGATACATAGGACAATCGAGATTCATTCCATTCGATGAATCAGCCTACCATAGCCACTGAAGGATGGACTTGAACTGGTAAGTGCTTTCTAATGAGCCTCTCGCCCTCCACTGCGCTTCGGCCGCGCCTCCCCACCATGATCATTTCTCCTCTAGGAAGATGGGTGGCCCGTACCATTGTTTTATTGTACAGAATGGTTATGAGCATTCAAAAGCTCTGTCGGGGCCAAAAAATGTATTCTGATTCGAAATGTTAACTAAAGTACCAGTGAGCCAAAGTCTTCGGACTGCGGCTTTGGTGACAACGATGTTGCGGCGGCACATCCTGTGCTCATGCGATTAACCTGCAGACTACAATAATCATTTTGTTTCGGCATTTGATTAATTCTTAATATTCGACCTTTATAAGAATTTCAAGACGCCGAATAGCATTCCTCTCCCCATCGAGACTATAAATTATTCAAGGATGCGTTAAGTATACTGAAGAATGAGAAGAATGTTTACCATAGATGGTTAATGAAGTTGACACAATCAAAAAACAACATTAGCTGCCACTTTTATAATTAGGGAACTATTCCTCAATATTCAACTTATCAAGGAATCAAAAAAGAGTCAGAAAGTATATTTTCGGAATACTAATATTACCCTACACTATTATATTCCGTCATCTTCATATAAATTTCAAATAAACTTAATATCTCCAGACTTCTTTTTTTTTATTTCAATAAATACTTTTGAATCTTTTTTATTATTATTTAAAAACACAAGAATATTTTTTTATAATCTATATCAATCTTCTCTTTAAAAAAATAAAAATATTAAATGAAGAAATTGATTTATTATTGATTTTTATCTTATTGCAATATATAAAAGAATAATAGTTAGTTTATAAAAAGAGAAGAATCAATAATCATCACTTCTGAATAGGCTGCGCAACAGGGCTCCGTGGGGCGGATTATTGCTTCGATGGGTAATCCGTGGATAACTCATTTGCGGCGCAGGTGATTCGAGAATTTGAATGGGTAATCTGCAAAGTAGATCGACAGATTCTTTGCGGATTATTTGCAAATAACCTACAAATAATCCATTTATTCATAGATATCCATGAATAATCCGCCCTGCAGATTATCCGCAAAACTTTGTACTTATGGGGCGGATTATAGATCTAATGGGTAACCCGCGGGGCAGATAACCCATGGATAACCGCAACCCAGGGGTTATTTTTACGCAGCCTATTTCTGAATATGTTAATAATTAATATCCAACCTCATTCGAAAGATATAGATCTATAATGGAAGCCATTTGAAGTCACTCGGCGACTCGAGGCGATGTAGTTTTCGTTGTGTGAGGAACGTTTTCACCCGTTGTTACATCATCGGGAGAGTTTGAGGGCTGCGAGAGAGATGGAATCGACCTTCTGGTTTAAGATAAGAGAGGCTTCACTCTTGATTAGTAGTTTTTGAAGTATCATGGTCTAATCTTATTACTGTGATGATCAATCGGGCAAATCAGAACAATATTATTGCGCGACGAAATGGAAAGGAGCTAACTACGGGTATAAAGACCGGGACTAGCGATTAGCATGGTGATCTATATATTAAACTGCTAGTCTCACCTTCTCCGCACTTAACGTACTAAAAAGCCGTGTGGCGATTCTGTGGGATCTGGGGGAAGTAGTTAGATATCTTCCCGGACCGTGACGATGCAGTATGGTTAGTATCTTTCAAATTCAAGGCTCGTTGTCCTCTACCCACCTTTTATCGTATTGGTGTCCTGGCCATGTATATGCTGGCTGGCAGGGCTCTTTGCATGATAATGAGTTCTGGAGTTGAATCACTTAATGAATCGGCTCACGATGGATAATACTGGGAGGAAGAAAAAGTTCATGTAATTAGTAGGAGTTTGGTAGGAAGTCAGTGGTTCTATTATCGGATTGTGTATGCTTCAGCTTCAGCATGGCAAAGAAACAGTTATTACAAAATTTTGATGGCTACAGTGACATAAATTGTTGAAAAGATAGGTATGCGTGCCTTGGTGTGACGTCCCAATGTATTATTCTGCCACAAAGCGGTAAAGAATCACGTGTCTAATTCCTCTCGAAATTAATTTGTTGCACATCGGACAGTATCATTATCCTTAAGATTTAACCATCCATTCATCATTTTAGCGCCAAATTGAGAATAAGTTCCATCAACTGGGAAGGAATAATAAGCTCAAAAAACGTGAAGCTAGCTCAAACCCCGACTTTCAACTTTCATCACATCACGTCACGCAAAATGGAATGTGCCAAAAATCCGTGTTAGAAGTATTTTGAAATATTTATCGAATACTGAATAGATTTTGTTATGATATGCATTTATGTAAGATCTTATTACTTCTCAGCCGCCATAGCATTGAATATCCTTCTCTATTGCGACCGTATCGCGTCACTTGAAGCGCTGACTTGCAGCTCCACGATATTCCAAACATACCATCATAATAATGGCCTGGAAACCTCTAAATCTTTTAAGCTCTGCTGGCGCACGGTTACCACCTCTCTTAAGCTCATCCGAGTTTAAAAGTGATTCATACATAGTGAGGCTGACTGATTTATCAAATACATGGGTCGAGAAGATAGATCGCGACACCATAATCGAGCGAAGCAAAGAAGAGAATACAAGTATCGATCCTAATGAGGGCGAAGACCAGTTATCGATATTTCTTAATAAGATAAAGCTAGGGCTTACGGGAGGAAAAGATACAAGCATATCTTTGCAAGTTGGTGCGGGCATTGCGGAAGATCTATCACCGAACTTACTTCTCCATGTTAAGATTCCACTGCCTGGTGGATTACGGGACTTGGAATGGCGGTATGAATTGGCACTAGAAGGACCGAAAGAAATAGTTGACAATTTGGTTCTTCCGAGCTTAATTGCACTACAAGAAAAGAGGAAAGAGGTCGAAGAGCTAGTGGAGCTGCTTGGGGAGAAAGATGCGGTCATTCAAAAATTAGTCGATACATTGGAAAGTCAAGGGACAGACCTAGGCACAATTTTCCATCAAGCTGCGGGAAGACCGGGGAGGAAGGTTGACAGAAAGAAGGCTAGTGAAAAGATTAAAGGCTTGAAGATCTTCGATGCAGAAGCTTGGAAAAAGGAGTTGGGATCTGATAAAACGGATGATAGGTTGGAGTTATTGAACAAGGTGTTTAGCTGCAATGACATAACTCCGAGTATTTCTATAACAAATGCTTTTGATGAGGAGGTTCAGGATTTCAATTGGTGGGATCATATGCAAGGCAAGGTTGTAGGTACATCAGGGGACAGTGCTACGACAAATCAAATGAATTTACCAAGAAGAAATATCGAACAAGAATATGTACCGCCCGAGGAAGACTTTCAGGTACAATCAACACCTCCTCGCCTCTCAAAATCTAAGGCTAAGCCTGATATTTCAATGGGTGATTCTACAGATGATGACGATGGCGACGACCTCGGTGGCTTGTCTCAACGTTCGAGAATTCCAGATGGCCTTTCCATCTCACAATCCGGCGCAGCAGGTCCTAATCGAACTCCAATCTCAAAATCCAGTCCACCAAAAGTGAAACCCCCATTCAACAAATTGGGTACAAAACGAAAATCTCCAACACCAACTCCCCCAACTCAACCCGAAGATGATACCACCGAGGATGATGAACCTATACCGGCGACTTCACGACATAGAAGAGCGACTTACCACAGCGGTAACGATGATACCATGGACGATGATACACCATCCTCTCCGCCATCAAAAAGGCAGCAAACTTCCAAGGAATCTCCAGCTAAAAAGAAAGGCAAGCTAGGAAAAACAGGCGGAAAGAGAGCTGCTTCACATTCTTCAGAGCCAGAGCCAGAACCAGAACCAGAACCAGAACCTGAACCTGAACCTGAACCTGAGCCTGAACCTGAGCCTGAGCCAGAGCCAGAAGCTGAACCAGAAGCTGTAAAGCCGCGACCCAAAAGAGGCATGCTAGGTAAAATTGGTGGGAAGAAAAAAGAGAATGTACCAACACCTGAAATCGAGTCTCAAAGTTCGGCAACGTCGAAGAAGAAGCTAGGTATTATTGGTGGGAAGAAGGTTGCTACTGGAAATGCTAGCCAAAAAGGACATGCTTCTCATGAAGAGAATAGGGGAAGATCGAGAGAACCAACGATGGAGGAGGAAGAGAAAATTAAAGAAACAACCCCACCACCTAGGGAAACTTCACAAGAACGGGCTGATAAGAAGAGAGAGATTTTGAAGAAGGAATTAGAAGTAAAAAGCAAAGCACCAGTTAAAAAGAAAAGGAAATTTTGAGGGATTACTTGTGGGTTTCGAAGATGTGTAGATGTATACCAAGTATGTTCATCTGTCCCCGTCTTAGTAGTTAGCATTTCCCTCGAAAACTTGGAAAAGTTTACCTTTTGTCATTAGTCTTTGTACGCATTGTTTCTCTCTCAATTGTGGGCATCCGATCGCTTGCTCTAGTTAGACAATAAGTCTTTTGGTTTGATGTTTCTCAATACACATGTCACGCACACATATCAACACCATCCTTCTTTGACTTTGTTCTATACTTAGATATTCACTCAAGCACTTTTGAATATCTGGTTCTTATGTCTCCTGCTTTAAGCAGTTTTTCCTTCCTTGTTGGATTTGTTTCTAATCTTTCTCTTTGTCCATCGACCATTTCAATTGCAGGAAGTCACAGCGTCACCGTGGGGATATCTCCAGATTACGTGAAAGTTGTCGCCTCTTCTCTTATGATTACTTTCATTGCCTATCTTTCGTCCCTTTGGAGTTAGTTTCATAAAGATTCCCCATTTACTACACTCAGTTTCGTGAAAGTACTTCCCCCCTACCCGTCGCCATGAGGCTCTGCTGAGTATCTCAAAATTTCATCCAATGAAGCTTCCTCTGACAGCTGAGTAAGACTAAAGATCATGGTTGCATATCTCAAGCACGGATCACATACTACCCAAATGGTTGACATGCTGTTTTGTTGCACATCTAGAGCACAGACCGCATTGTTGAAAGTGTTTGTACAGAGTATAGATGCAAATGTCTAGTGTCTTGTGACGGTATTCCAATTATCACCATGCCAGCATAGGGTTCAGGGTAGCTTTGTTTGGACTGTCCTACCTTTTGCTGCATGTCTACACAACAAGTCACCTGGTGAAAGAGGCTCTACCATGTGCTTTTGTTGCTTGCCTCAAGCACAGACCGGCCGGCCTCTTGGAATGCAATGTTGAGTGTAATGTGTAGACTCTTTGCTATCCCCTCGTCGTTCGCTCCACTTGAGTATGACAAGATATTGATATTTCATCTTGAGACAAATCCTGCATATCTGCACTATGCGCTCATGCCTGCCGAGAATCAGTGATATAATACGTACAATAAGATTGGATGTTCTTATGTTATATCTTACCTTTCATGCTGTCACTTTTCTCGTCCCACGACCACTAACTGTGAATGAATGTAAGTATTCACTTTTCCTCGGTACCCCTTTGAAGTTTCCATATATTCTAATTTCTAGGATCTTATCATACTTTCAGAGGTGATACATGACTATATTTTGTAGGTAGATATTGTATTTCCTGATCATGACTAGAAAGGTAATCTAATCTTACAAAGGATGTAATTTTAGATATTCATAATGCGCGTTTTAGTCGGCTGGCTGTCCAAAAGCTCACTTTCTTCACAGTAAGTGTAGGATATCTATCTATCGATCTAGATGTTTGCCGACCTTGGACTGCCCTGTGGAGGAGTCCACTTCGCGTTTTGTGGGTTGCTGTGGATATATATTCATTATCGGAGAAGTAGGATATGAGAAACTCTTTTCGCGAGTATGGTAAGACTTATGTGTGCTAGGTAGATTCGATTCGAACCATGATGACCTGGGGATCTCTTGTTGATGTTGATTTCTGGAATTATACATACATATACGTATGCCCCGTGGATACGTCTCAGATACATTACATACCCATCCCCAGGTCCGGACGGATACCTATCAATCCCATACATATTTTGTAATGTCACTATATATGCCCGAATCATCAATTATCAATCAATCACTAGATTAATTAATAACCACTCGAACCATCCACATCCCTTTATACCATACCATACCTATCTACCCACATAAAGGAAGCGCGCAGATAAATAAGGCTGACACAGCCTTACAGATACATGTAGGTAGGTACCTACCTACCTACGCAGGTACATACATACATACATATACTTACTCTGTACATCGACAGATAGATAGATATCTACCTAGATATCCGAGCCAACCAACCAACTTACCTACCTGGTATGTATGTATGTATGTATGTATGTATGTATGTATGTATGGAACTTTACGTAGTATTTCCCAAAGAGTCAGTTGGAACCTGAGGGGGGGACTATTTGTTGCATATCTGGAAAACGGGGATCGAGATCTGGTTGATCTGTTGAATCTGGGTTTGATGGATGTATGGGTGTTTGTTTTTGTTTTTAGGTAGGTAGGTAGGTAGGTAGGTAGGTAGGTAGCATAACCGTAACTTTGCCAAGGATGGATGGATGGATTGTTTTGTTTATTTGTTCGTTCCTCTAGTTATTTTATTCTTTTTTTCTTTCATTTTACTCATTGATTCATTGATTCATTGATTCATTGATTCAACCAACTCCAAAGTGTATCGGCAAATCGAGATGGGATGAGATGAGCATCATGGATTCTACGTAGGTAATACATACCAGGTACTTGAAATCGATCTTCCACCCATTCACCAGATCCCTTGGAGAGAGATGCCAAGAAACAGAGAAGCGACGATCGAAGGAAGATTGGAAGTGGCACCGATGGGAAATGGAAATGTTTCTTTTTTTGGTTCTTGTAAAGGTAGGACACCTAGGTAGGGATGTTCAACATTACCGTTTGTTGGATAATGGACTGATGACCTTACCGGTCGGTACCTGTCTTGTCTAGTAGAGTCTAGATAGATAGATCGATAGATAGATCGATCGATAGATAGATAGGGCAGGTCTGACTAGGTCCGTAGATATGTAGGTACCGTACCTTCCCACCTAGATATGTTACTACGTAATGGAGTCATGAAATATCGAAACCATGGTTATGGATGGGTGAAGAAATTCATTTTTTGTTGCACATCTGAAATGGAATCGTCGATGGGATTTTTTTGCTTCTTTACTTTATGGCGTTGCTTTTTTAAATTAAATTACCTACTAGCTTAGTTATCCCGTTATATTGGGACTGGACTGACTGGTGTGCGCGTTTTTGATCATCGAGATGCATCGAGAATCGAGAGATGTTTATGTTTGTAAGTAAGACCTTTCCTTCCTTTCTCCTTATATGGGATGACGGTGGTGGATTGGATTGATGGATGTGGGCTAGTGTGAGGGCTGTGGGGGTTGTGATTGGTGGGTTGGGGGTTATTATGTGGGGTTTGGGAGGGCGTTGAAGATATTCATCGGACATCGAAATTTCAAACGTTATATTTGTACATCGGACATCGAAATTTCAATGTCGAGGGGGCGAGGGAGAATTCATTGGATTTATTGAATTTGTGAAGGATGATTATTACTGGTTAAGGTAAATGGATCGAAGGGAAGATTTGAATGAGCGAATGAGCGAACGAGTGAGTAATTAATTGATCATGATTTGATATTAATATGGAGGTAAAATCGGAAATATATCCGTCTATTTATAGACATCATGCACTTGCGATTCGACTCTAGTGTTCCTTGCTTCATATTCATCAACTAAATCCTGAGCTCGAATCCAATGCAACGAGAGGGAAGATATAATCTTACAATATCCAAATCAAATAATCTATCATCTATCTGTATTAATATAATAGCATCTTCATCTTCATCTTCATCTTCATCTTCATCTTCATCTTCATCTTCATCTTCATCTTCATCTTCATCTTCATCTTCATCTTCGTATCTCCTTACTCTTCACAGCTGAATCATTCACCAGCTGTTTTGTTTCCTGATACATTGTCTATCTCCCATTCACTCACCCTCACTCTTCTACCTTACCTTCTCCGCATATTATTATCACGAGGTTTCTTGTTGTGTATCTTTCTATGCATTCATCCATTCTACTATCTGTCTGATCTTGTCTTCCTGATATATAGTCATGAGATTTTTGGTTGCATATCTAAATATTGATTATGTACTTATTCACCGACTGGTCAATATGCATGCATGCCTAGGTATTGAGCAGCAATATATCTTTTCTCGCATATCGCATAATTCACATACTCAAATGCATTTATCCTCCTTCCATTTACAAAGCTACCTACATGTGCATACAAAAACAAATGTGAAGAAATCAATCAGCTCGACTGGACTAAAACACAGGGTCCTCAACAAAAACAATATCCAACATCCCTTTTTACCAGATCACCGTATCATTATAACGACTTCTCCCCATCTCCCATCCCACATTCCCCATCATCAAACTTTAAACTCCTGCACCTGAAACTGCATCTTAAACCCCTCATGCGCCTTCCTCCTCCCCCTCTTATCAATATACCCCACCATAGCCGCAAATCCCAGACAGCCCAAAGCAATCAAATACTGACCAATCTGCAAGGGCACCCCCCTACTAATCTGCTGTCCCGTACTCCTACTCGTCACAAACTGAATCGCGCCTCCTGCAGTACTGATACTCCCAGCCGCACTCATCATATTACCCGCGCTCCACTGCAATATCGCCGATGCCATTTTGGATGTAGGGAGCGTCCAGATGGTCCATAGGAGTCCGATGGCGAAAGCAAAAAATGGCATTAGGATTAGTGGGAGGAGTTTTTGTTGAATGCCGACGGCGAGTTCGATGTTGTTGGCGGTGGATGTGTCGGTGCTTCCTTGGAAGAGAGCCGACTGCACGATGGCGGCGGCGCTGCTAGCTGATCGACCATAGGGGAAATTGGGTGTGCAGATGTCTTTGCCTGTGCTGGGTATTATGGCGCATATTCCTGGGTGAGGTTTGGTTAGTGGGGTTCGTTATGCTATGTTGTGTATGGGCACAGAGTTAGCGTAAAGTGTCTACGTACCGAAATAGCCAACGCGAAAATTGGGAACGATGAACTCGTCGGATGCGCCGCTAAATACATCGATGGTGAAGAAAGCTCGGGAAATTACATTATTTGCCATGCATCCGGTCAAAACAATAACTGAAAGTCCATTAGCAATCCATATTCTCCCGTGGCCGACACAATGCCGAGACTGACTATATAAACCAATAATGGGAAACCCGGTAAATGTGAATAATGTTCGTCGAATCCATAATTGTTTTGTCGGCAACCTCTCATCTTCTTCGTGGTATCCACCTACATAATCTACCGCCCTATCGATAGTTTCCCTCACCCTGTCACTATACTCCCTCAATCTTTCCCTCGCAAGACGAAGACTTCGCTTCTCTTCTCGAATCGAGGCCTTTTCGTCTTCCAACTTTTCCCTCTCAGCTCGAAAAGCCGCATACTTCCTTCTCAAGTCAGATTCTCCCCTTCTTAAATCAGATTCTGCCCTCTTTACATCTTTGTGTTCCTCTCTTAATATTTCGGCAGCTTCCTTTTGTTCGTGTTTGGCCACGTGGGCGTTCTTCTCAAATCGTTCCCTTTCCTGAGCAAATTCCGCATCTTGTCTCCTCAATCTCGATTCCTTGTTTGCTAATCTCCTCATCTCCATCTCTTCTTCCTCGGGACTAATTTTCCTCCCCGAGTCTGACCACCATCGTTCTCCTCGAGGTTTCGTTTCTTTGCCTGACCACCAACGATCTTTACTGCTTTTCGCTTGCTTTTTTGGAGTACCAAAATTCGGGTTATTTTTCTTTCTACGCCCTTTCTTTTGATGTCTTGCCCACAAAACTTTGGCAGCAGGCCGAGCCAACCACATTTACCTATCTCTGAAATGTGTATCGTGAGATCGAATCTTGCATGAAAACATAAATCTAGACGCAATGTAGCAGATTTGCTGATTGGTGGAGTAAATTTGATTAATTCGTAGTAACCATCATTGCATATGTTCGAATCTGGGATAGGGAAGTGTGAAAGATGGTGACGGAGGGGCTGGGGAGTGCTTGCATTATCTCCCAGGTGAGAACAAAGTACGGCGGCTTGGTCATAGCCAGTACCTGATTTTGTGGTCATCACGAAAGTATGCAATGGCCAGACTAAAGACATGTGTGAGGTCTAGACTTCAGACCTGCGAGATGTTTCCACTTGAGTTGAGGCTTCAAGATAGGCGCACCAGCGGAACATGGCGTTCTTTCTCTGTTGAAATAAATCCAACATTCATTTAACCCCATTCAACAACATTACCTAGACAAAAGCTTTTGTTTGGTCCAGAACTAACATATGATGCACTATAGGTCATGGATGTGGCTGTGGTTGGTTGTGCTGTAGGAGCGCGCGTATTCTGGCCGTTGGTAGCCACGACCACTTCAACAAATAGATCCTACAGTTCCAAACCAGTGCAGAAACATGGCTTCTAATGATATTCAGTTGTCTCACTTTAAGCAAAATCATGACCTTGTTAGTAACCTGATTGATACCAAGTAATTGAGCAGTGGATGAGCAATTCTTCGCCTTTTCTACAACATAAAATGGAGCCATATATGTAGCGTTAAGAACACAGTTGCTGAAGAATTGAGCAGGAGAGAAAAAAACACCATGCCGCTTGTATTCGACTAGCAGAATTCTATCTAGTAGGTAGAGAGCCCTTCGGCCACCTGCTAGCGAAGAGAAGGATTCTTGCCAAAGTTCGACCTCCTCCAAAGCTAAAGAATAAAAGGCCATCTGCCCTGTCCCATACACAAAATTGTGCCAGTCCTGAGTGTTAATGGATTATCTGATCAGGAGGTCTTCTCAAGGTCTTCATCAAATTGAACGCATGGAAGGGCGAGTGTTTGACACATTTACTTGTTAACCACTCCAATGATTACCCCAACACTTGCAAAAGTTCTCGACCATAGTCCAGACTAGTCATAAAACCAGACACCTAGGATTCGAATATAATCTTACAAAGAATCCCATTCCCAGAAGCCCCAAGCCTAAACTTAAACCATAATCTATAAGTCTAGTACCCCACTTTCGGACCACCTCTAATATGGACCACCCTAAAAGTTACACTGCTATAAGCAACCATTACCTCTTCAACCTTTAATAATTCAACAATTATTGAATCAATTGATCTGAAATTTTGATATATTATTATTTATATAATATCGAATGTATACAAGAAAGATGATATTCTTATAGCATTTGATACTATAGAAAATGAAATATTTTTATATCAAACTAGCTCGAAATATAATATATCATATACCACTTTTCACAATCAAATAAATAATTATTTCTCTTATAAAATAGAATATTAAAATACATAGAAGATAACTGTAACGATCTGGTCGAGGCAGCGGCTGCCTGAGGTTTCGTATGGTTGGTAGTTGTAGGTTAAGGCTATTTAATCACTGGTTATTCACTTGAAAGTGAATTCGTTATTAGATCAATTGGAATGTAGATAAACTAATTGATAACTAAGTTGAATATGAAGCTCCTAAACTATGAAACTATTTTGATTATATAATAATGAATAGAAAGGAGCTTCGTGGAACCCTAGAGCTCCAAAAAGCTTCTGGAACTTTAAAAGCTTTCCAAGTTCCTAGGGCTCCTCCTTACGTGATTGATTCTGAGGCCTTTCCTTTCCTGGAATACTTGTCCTAGGAACTTTCCTTTAGGAATCACTGTCTTAGGATATGATATCCTCTAAGATGATTGTTCTACTACAACCGATTAGCTAGGACACTTGTCTTATTCTAATATAGTTGTTTAGGATACTTATCCTAGGAATCCTGAGTTCCTATTCGTAAACGATTAGGTTTTTTGAAAGCAATGGTTAAATCATACCCCCCTTGTAATCGGCATATAAATCATCGACATCAATAATACTACTATAATCTAATCCGTGAATCGTGACAATAACCCTGATTTAGAAGGAAAGATTAATAGATTGAATAATAATACAAGAGTTATTGAATATTAACTTTATATATCGATAAATAAAAAAGATTGAAGAGAATTTCCTCAAAATTAAAAAAGAGGATTCTTCACTTGAAAAGAGATAAATATACAAGTTTTTGATTAGGAATCCTAAAATCAAAACTAAAAAACAATATAGAATTGATTTTGTTTGTATTTCAGATATAATTAATGAAATTATTTATAAATAATTAAAAAAATTGAATTTGTTTAATATTAGATATATCAAATCCAAAAACAAATGAAATATAAATAAAACAAGTATTATAAAAGGTTAAAACTTTAATAAACTAATAATAGAAAACTTCTAGTAATATTTTATTTTAAAAAAACAACCTGATTTGAAAATTTAAATCTCTTCTATTAAATATATTTCAATAACCAATAAAGCTTTTTCTCTTTTTGTTATTTACAAGAATTCAAACATACAATAATAATGATTTCTTATATATTTTACTTTATATAAAGATTGAAACTTTATTATAATTGAAAATAAATAAACAAATAATAAAATAACTTTTGAATAATTGAAAAAGGTTTTTATATCTCAAACAATACCCTCTCAATCAAAAGAGGCTAGATTACTTATTTTGAATAATTATAAAAGTCACAAAACTATTGAATTTATAATAGAATACTTCAAATATAATATATATCTCTTATTTTTACTACTATAATCTAAACCGTGAATCGTGACAGTAGTATTATAAACTTTATATAAAGGATAATTATATGATTTCAATTGATCGATAATTTCTATCGATGAACTACGACTCAGTAGCGCGACTATCTCAAGAGAGTCAATCTTGGACGAGGGTACTCCACGGCATATACGACATCATGAGCAAATACTCGTGGTAGCCAGCCTGTTGGGACATCGTTTAGGATTTAAGGCTTCAGATGCTCTGTACTTTCCGCGAAGTACAACTTGACGATATTGCAGCACGCGGAGCACCAAAGGGCTTTTTCAATGCTCAATTCATTGTCAAAAACAGACGACAGGAACTAGAAAGATTCAAGGATACTCGGAGGCAGTAAGAACGCAAAATGATGCCGAGTTGATGTTGACTCCATCACATTCTCCATTAATTTGGTAGGTGGGTGATAGTATAGTATGTGTAGTCTATAGAGCCTTGCAAAAGGAAAGGAGGAAAGAGAAACCCAAAATAGTACTTGTCTGGTTACAGACTGCATTTGGCATACTTTTATTCTCATAGCTAGTGAGCCGTAAAGATTGTAGCTGGATGAACAATGACTTTGTAACACAATTACTGTAGTATCCAGAAGATATAAAGCTGATGCCGATACAAGGATAAGAAGATACAAACGGGCATATACGGAATATTTGACGTATCTGAAGGTCAAGATGATGCATTGTTTCGGTGTTGTGTTGGTGTTTCCACCGGGTGTAGCCAAATTGGTAACATTCTAGGGCGGTGTAGGCATTTCAAAGTTTATGCCGAATTTAGACAATAACCAGTATCATCATTTTATCTACTTACCTACTCAATGCTGCTCACTATCGAATTTAGGATGCCTCCTTGAGAGCGCAAAATCGACTGCAAGGATGAATAAAGGAAAGATAATGAGGAAGTTGCTTGGACAACCTGCCGTTGCTATTGAGGTTTCCGACATCAATAATGTTGACTCACCTCAACTCCGACCGACTGCTTCACAGGGCACTGTCTATTCAGCAGGCGCACCACTTACATGTCTCGGTCGTGCACCGGATGGTTCGCGCGCCGTGATAGCTGGACCGAAAGTCTTCAAGATCGTTAAGACAGAAGGCTCGACAATCACAGAAGATATTGATCTTCGAACCTCGATATCTTCATACGCAGCCGGGCATGATGGAGTGGCAGGTACTACAGAACAACTCAATATCAGGGCCGTTCGATGGTCTCATGCGCAATTCAGCTCCACAATAGTAACAGCAGGTGGAAATGGAAGGATAACTGTCTATGATCTCAATCGCGCAGGAGGAGAAGGATTCGAGCTTGCGCGGATCCAGGAACACGCCCGGCAAGTTCATAAGCTTGCGATCAATTCATTCAAGGGTAACTGGTTATTGTCGGCCAGCCAAGATGGCTCTGTGAAGTGTTTCGATCTGCGTGACACACGTCGAAGTGTGGCTACTTACAAATGTAACGCAGATGCTGTTAGGGATGTCAAATGGTCGCCGACGGATGGCATGGAGTTTGCGTGTTCAACGGATGCTGGAATCTTGCAAAAGTGGGACTTCAGGAAGGCGCATGCTCCTATGATGAAGATCACCGCTCACAATAGTGCTGTCTTCTCCATTTCATGGCATCCGGACGGAGATCATATTGTAAGTGGAGGCAAAGACCAGCAATGCCATGTGTGGGATATGTCGAAGTCGGAGAGGGGTCAAAGGGCCCGATACTCATTCGCTACTCCCGCGCCCATCTCGAACGTCTGTTGGAGACCTGCTTGTTGGACAGCCACAGGTCAGGGTAAGAGAGTTGCCCAAGTGGCCGTTTCTTATGATGATACCAGCGCCAATAGAGCCCAGTTTTCAACAATACATTTGTGGGATATCGCTAGATCGGCCATGCCATTCAAAGAAATCGAGGTGTCAAACAGCGCGCCCACGGGCATACTTTGGAGCACTCGAGATCTTTTGTGGAGCGTCGATAAGGAAGGTCACTTTGTACAAACCGATGTAGCATTTTCACCAAAGGTGATTGATCGTAGGAGTTTATCAACACTCTCTTTCTCTCCTACAGGTGATGTATTAATGTTACTTGAGGAGCGACAAGCTCCTAAACGAATTCGGCCTTCAATCAATTCTCCAGAGTTATCTTCGAGCCTTCAACAGCATTCAAATGCTCCGTCCTTTGCTGTTAGTCACAGCGATTCGGAGGAGGATGTTGTTGGCAGTTTTCTAGGACCAAGAAGACGAAAGCATCATCGAAGGCGGCATAGTGGTCGACTAACGCAAAACCTGAGCACTACTCCGCCCAGTGCGACAGGAATGGCTGATAGTAGAGTGATGGGATTAGAAGATGCTGTACAAATTACTGGAATATACAAGCCGCGGCAAATTATGGCTATTGGGCATGCTCCTTCGACGCCAAAGACTGTGAAGTATCAATATATGTCTAATTGCTATTTGGAATATATGATGAAAAACTCAAGTGAAACAGCTGACAATACTCCTTTAAATGTCACCATTTCAGCGACTATAGAACACTTTGCTATGGGTGCAGAGAACACCAGATATTACCGGCTGGCTCAAACCTGGAGACTGCTCGGTTTCACGATGAACCTTTTGCTAGTCAGACGTGCAGAGTCCCATCGCCAGTATAGACTACAAAATCTCTCGCGAAAAGACGGGGGACCAAAAGATATCAAGAGCTTCGCAAAACTTGATGACGAATATGATGAGTCAAATGAAAGAACTCCTCGGAAGAGTCAACGCCCCGTGGCTTCAAATGGAGCAGCCTCCCACTCAGCCGTGAGATCAATCATTGCGGATGAGGTTGAAAGTACTTCGAATATGGCAACCCCACTTGTACGGCCTGTTATGGATTCTATTGCAGAAATGTCAGAAGCCGTAGATATACCAAAGGTGGAAAATGACACGTTGGTACTTTCACCCTCCGCCACTTCAACAGCTCTCGAGCCTATACCAGTCTCAGTACCTGGAAGTTTCACCTCCGAGCAGACGACATCAAGTGTAGAGGGTTATGACTTTTATGGTATGGAGGCTTTCAAGCCGAGTGCCGGGTTCGTTCCGCCTAGAAAACAACCCCTTCGGTTAGACTACTCGGAACAAAACAGCTACGCGCAACGAATGGGGCTTATTCGCCATGATTCTGGCGAGAGTTTCCAAATGTTTTCAACATCAAACGATTCACAATCTAAATACCTGGGTGGTGGTTCGGATAGCGATGTCCATAGCGTAAGGAGAGATGGATCCTTGCGAGAGAGAGTCTCTAGCTGGGAGGGCAACGTTGCTGCAAATTCTAAAGCCACATCGAGTCTCAACTCCCGCCCGTCAGAAGAATCTATGGAGAAAATTTCTGAAGAGCCACCCAAAATAGTAGTTCCAGCCCCCAAAATTTCCTCGCCAATCCAGACGCACCGCAAACGCACACCAGCACCAACAACTCAGTCTGCCTTCAAAAACAATTCTTCTGATCCAAATCTCATTGAGACGGATTTCCTCCCTTGGCCCAACGATAATGATACCGAATTCGTCATCGCCCCACTAAACCCCATCACCCTTGTTCAGCGCGCTATCGAGTTCGAAACTCAGACTGGCGCTTTGAATGCAGCTGCGATGATTCTCCTCCTTCGACGCCTTCTCCCGCCGAATACCATTGATCCAATCCACGCAGAAGCCATTCTCCGCCAATTCAACCATAGGCTCATGGGCATGCAACTTTTCCACCAAGCGACTCTTCTTCGAAATCTGTGCGTACCTCAGTACCCTTCCATTTATGCATCTACACAAGAGCAAGTCAGTATTGGCTTTTACTGCACAGAGTGTAACAAGCCACTTGAAAATGATCCGCTTGTCGCTGGCTCCGAATGGTCATGTTCGCGTTGTCGAAATCCGATCATGGCTTGTCCGGTTTGTCAGCACGGGGCTGATGTACCCGGGTTGGATGGACCGCAGACATGGTGGTATTGTGGAGGTTGCGGGCATGGGGGACATACGGCTTGTATGGATGAATGGCATGCGGACGCTGGGGTTGATTGGAAAGAGGGTGAGAGGTATAGTGGGGGCATGTGTCCTTTGGAGGGCTGCATGCATCCTTGTTTGGAGGGAAGCTGGAGGGAAGAGTTGGTGGAGGAGAGGAAGGAGAGGAGGTCTAGGGAGTTGGATAGAGAGGTTAAAGAACGGACGAGTGGGGCAGGTCTTGGGGGTATGAGTAGATGGGATAGAGGGAAGAGTGTTAGGAGGGATGTTAGAGAGGTAGGCCAAAGTAGGGCTGTAGAGGGAGTGAGAGTCGCATTGGGCTTTGGTGGTGGCAGTGGTGGAAGTGGCCATGTGGTAGAGAGGAGAAGAAGCGTTAAGGTTTTGGCTCCTGGTGAGGAGAATGTACCATAATAATTAAGGGGTCGGGACAGCTGTGCGACTCTTGAACGTCAAGAAAGTATATGGGCCTGATGTAGCAGTGTAGCAGTTGCAGCGGTTGTAGCAGTGTATGATTGGATATTTGCATTAAATTGCATAGCATGGCTTGGGATAGTAGCTGAGAGGCGTTAGGTCCATTGGGTATACCCAGGGGTGGCTAGCATATATTCTATTGCATAGGCATAGGTGATTACACAATAATAATAGTATGGCAGATAATAATAATGGTGACTACTTGAACAGAACCAGTGAACAAGTGAATGAGAATAATCGGGTTCTCAAGTTATGTTAATAAATCCTCGTTTAGCATGTCCTAGTCATTCAGTACACTACTGGAAGTTACGATATATCATACAATTTTGCAAATAACAAAGACGAAAAATAACCTTAATTCAAGACCGTCAATGCAAACTTCATAATAACCACACAACAGCCATTCAGAATATTTCTCAGACCCTCCTAAGCGCAATCACAGCAAGTCAGCAAAGTCGCTCCACCCAACTCCCATCCTCTAATTCTTAAACGTTACCGTCTTCGTCCTAACCCACTCCTCCAACCCACTCGCCCCAAACCGTCCAAATCCACTATTCTTCATCCCTCCATGCGGTAAACACGGTTCATCATGTATACTCCCATTATAACCGTTTATATGCACAGCACCGCTCTCAATGGCCCTAGCCATCCTCAAACCTCTCTGCAAATCGCGCGTATAGATGCCGGCTGAGAGTCCATAGTCCGTATCGTTTGATATGCGGATAGCTTCTTCTTCGGTTGAGATCTCGATTACGGATACGGTTGGGCCGAAGGATTCTTCACGGTAGATGGACATGGAGGGCGTGACGGATTTGAGAATTACTGGGGCCATTTTGGTGGTGGGTGGTGAATTTTCGGCTGGTGCTGTGCCGTGGAGAATGGAGCCGCCTTTGGAAAGGGAATCGGAGATTAGGGATGCGTTTCTGGAGACGCCTTGAGGGTTAATGAGGGTCCCGGATGATGAGAACATTTCTGCTGTGGCGGCTGCGAATGCTTTTTCACTGTATGGTTTGTTAGTTTTGTGGTATGCATCGATCATCTCCTTTGTCAGGAATGATGAGAGTAATAGAGTAAATTGAAATAGAAAGGAAAGCTTACAACTCCACCGCAACATTTTTGTGAACCAGAACTCTTTCTGTACTCATACAGATTTGACCCGAGTTTAAGAAAGCTCCCTTTGCACACTCTGTCGCCGCCAATTTCAAATCTGCATCTTCCCACACGATCACGCTAGCCTTTCCACCCAACTCCAGCACTATGGGCTTGAGATTCTTCCCGGCCAATTCTCCATAAATCTTGCCCACCCTCGTGCTACCGGTAAAATTGATCTTCTTGATAATGGGACTCTCGATCAGTTGTGCAGTTCTCGCTGGAGCATCTTCAACTGAAATGGCCACGAGAGTCAGGACTCCTTTTGGTAGCCCAGCTTTGTGGAAAATATCACAGATTTGCCAACTACACATGGGTGAAAATTCAGATGCCTTGAGAATTGCACAATTGCCTACTGCTAGCGCATTCATGACACTTCGGAAACCGAGAATGTAAGGAGCGTTCCAAGGTGCAGCGCCGAGGATAACCCCATAAGGTTCTTTATACACGAGCGCACTACGACCTTCTTCTGATGTCATGGGGATACTACCCGCGATGGAACTCAGACGACCAGCAACATCTAAGAGGCCTTCTCGAGAAGTATCGGTGTTAAAGTTGGCCCAGATGGCTTCGGAGCCGGTTTCTTTATGCATTATTTCCTCGAGGAGAGGCTTTCGCTCGAGCAAAATTTCGGCTGCGCGGAGAAAGATGTCACGTTTTTGAGGTGGCGGCAAAGTACGCCATGCTGGGTAAGCGGCTTGAGCTGTATTGAGGGCGAGGTCAATATCAGATGCAGACGCTGATACGCAGTTGTGGAGATGTGAATTATCGATTGGAGAAAAGACGGGAAAGGTGTTGGAGGAATAATAGGGTTCATTATTTATAATGAGGGGTATGGTGTGGATTGGGGACGAAGCTGAGGATATATTGGCCCTGCTGCCATTGTTTTGAATTGCAGATGGAGACATCGGTATTGATTTAAGTTACTCGGATGGATGAAACTTTTAAGTTATATGCTGCTGAGGGATTATAGCAGAACAAAGGACCGTAAATGCAGGAATCTCTTTTATGATTTATTTTGTAGCTTTTGTTGAAAGGTTTTGATATCAAAATCCGCACATGTGCCGGCCTCTCGGAAGTGTGGATCGAAGAATAACTACCAATAGCGGATCAAGAATTAACCGTTCGTCCTCCCGCTCCAGTGTGGTGGGAGCCGCAACTTTGTTCAGTGCCCAGTGGATGAGACGCTTGGGGATTTGCGGGAAGAAGTTGCGGCAATGTTGATGAGAGGCGATTGAGCCAATGGAAGACTAGAAATACTTTAGGTTAAGCACGTGTAATCCATAACATCAAAGGGGCTAAGGTGCGGGGCAAAACGCTAATACCGAAATCGATGCAAAATGGAGATGAATAAGCGGGGAATCTCGCACTCTCATATGCCGGAAACATTCCCGGTACTTGGGTTGCTAGTTGCTAGTGCTTCACTAATTATGTCAGCAGGAGTTCCAAACACCACGTGAAGAAATTTAAAAAGTCAGTTTTATTAAATGTTTCTATTCGTCATTTCTCATTGACTTATAATTAGACCACATGATTTCCACCGGCTTGGGCCAAGGTAATACATGACCCAAGGCGTTGACTAATTGTTGCACTAATATTTTACCCTCTTTTGCACCTCTTGTACTCTAAATCTTCGTTCCATCACCAACGACTAGGATATATCTTCCTCCTAACTTTCCCGAGCGAATGAAGGGGTATCGTTATTGCATCGTAGAAATTCGCAACAAATAGCATCTTCCAAATCTTCGTATCTATGAACATCATCCAACCCTATGCCTGCTGTTAAATCTCCAAAGAAAGGTGTTGGGTAGTTGCCCGTGGAGCCGGCCTGACAACCTTCAGTTACCTGGTATCAAACAGGCTGAAGTCGCGCATTGCTTCCCGTATTTTCTGCTCGTCAGAGGCTGCGGTATCAATCCCGCTCTCGTCAAGTTCTGAAAGTGCCACTCGGGAGCCGATTCCGTCTTCCATGTCCAGAACACCCAGCCCGAGTGAGCTTCATAGGCATCAAGCTGTGCCTCCATGAAATATGCAAGATTGACTTTGTCGGTGGCAAGTAGACCATCAACCGTTCCTACATCTTTCGTCTGGCAAGATCCGTACACTGCAGGACTGCCGGGATATGATCCATCGTATCGAGAACCAACACCAAAGCCATTCAGCCATTTTGCGCAGTCTGTTTGTGCTCCGCTGAATTCTCCAACGATTGTCCATTTATCTGTGTTGGCCAAGTTGCCAACTTGACTGCATGCAACTTGAACATGTTGACAAGGCCTCATTGCCACCTCCGCAAAGGAAAATATTTGATAAATATGGGTATCGAGAATGATATCATTGACTCCAGATTGATAGTTCATGAACCCATTCCATGAAGGCGGGGAAAGAAACGCATCATGAATGACAACAGCAGTATCGGGGTTTGCGTTTCTCACATTCCCCCAGCCATCGTAGTAGAACTGCTTCACTGCACCCATATCAAGGGCCCAGTTAGCTGGCTCATTGAGAAGCTCGATTCCGGTAACAACATCAGTCGCTGGAGCATAGCGGTATGCCAAGGTTTGTATGGCAGCCAATGTTTGTTTGGTAGTATCTCCTTGGGTCCAAGTGATGGGTCCTTTTCGTCCAGAATTATCGAATCTATACACAGTTAGCCTTTGATACTACCAACTGTTCTCGCTATATCCAACAAACCCATTCTGACTTCCTGGGGCTATTCACGGGTTAGCGACGATCTTTACTTGGTTGCAAAATATATCTCACCACCATGAACATCTAGAATAACTTTCAACCCAGCTTGTCTTGCCCAGCCGATAGCTTGGTCTAGGTATGTCAACTGTCCCTGCACATAAGGATCGCCAGGTAGCGGGTTCAAAGCCCAATACCCAATGGGTATGCGAACATGATTCAAGCCGACACTTGCAATCTCATTAAAATCGTCTTGCGTGATCCAAGTTGCCCAATGCGCGTTCAATAAGCCTTGGGCAGCGGATTTCCCAAGTGTTTGAGTTAGGGTGTACCTGAAATGAGTAAAATGTCAGAGAATGTCTAGAGGTGGCCATCGTTCGAAGGTACGCACTCATCCACCCATGATCCATAAAAGAGCGATGGAGTAATCCAAGGCTCGAGCACAAACCATCCTCCTAAATTGACTCCACGAACCTTGCCGCCATTGTAGTCGAAGCTCAACCCCTTTTTCTTAAGTCTTATTTATGTTAGTGATCATTGCGGGTAGGCTACTATGGAATGATTCTCACAATGGTGTAGCTTCGGTCACAAGCAGAAATGCTGCAATGGTCAGAATCCTGAAAGATGATACCATTTTAATCGAACTTCTGGATGGATTTCAGAAGATTCTCAAATGGTGTCTAGACGTAGTACGAGAGTCGACTTATTTGTACTCCAAAAAGCACACAGGGAAAGCCTGTAAAGGAAAGTCTCGACACAAGATAAGTTAATGTTTTGAGGGAAGCATTTATTCGATATTGGGTGGTGCTTCCGAGTACTTATTTCCCGCACGGAAGGAGCAACTAATGCGGGAGAATACTGTGCTATTCCAGGATTTGGATAAATAGGAGGCAAGGACCAAAATTGTGGCTGAAAACAGACACGTCGGTCTTCATGACCATCTTTGGAAATGGTTCATGTAAACATGGCGATTGATAGAAATGTTGTTAGCCAAGCTGCATGATACTTGTCGGGTGATCGCACAAAGCCAGCTTCTCGGAAGATGCAACTCTGCTAGATCCAAGCTAGGTAGTCTGTCTCGGGCCTTACGACCAGTAGAAAAAGTGTAATAGATGAAGCTTCAACGTGGATTCTGTTTGTAAAGGTTGAATGTGGAAGGAAATATTAGTGCCAGGTACAGAGTAATAGTGCAGGGTACATCAATGCCGCTTTTATCATCAAATAGCTTCAAAAAATCTCAAAATCCAGAGACAAATCTCAAGATTCCTTAAAAGGTTAACTAGGTAAATCACTGACTTCTGACTCTTGAAGTCTCATCAAACACTACTGAAAATACCCTTCTAAGCTCAAACAATCTTATAGGAGATTATCTTCTTGGTCGCTGAAGGACCCTCGTCACCTAGACTGCTCTTCAATCATGGATGTTAATGCGAAGGTAAATGTTCAAAGTTCTGGCTAGAACCACGAATACCCATAGAAAAGGTGCTTTCAAAAATGCTGATCTAGAAACAAACAGAAAATCTTAAAAGCAGCCTATAAGGTTTGTCCCAAATGATGCCGGTACAACACCCTGTGCGGCACAGCATGCTGCAGCCAATATACCCGTCGAATGACGATTGGAAGTTTTCGGAAGCTTTTGCGTTTCCTGGTTGTCAATAGAGACGAGAGATGAGAAGATCTTGCTCTGCGTTGTCCCAGTCCAAGTCCTGCTTTCAGCTGTCTTGACCCTTGCTCTTCACGTGAGATGTTTACCTTTATTGGTCTACCTCAAAAAGTCGTGGTTTGTTGTTCGACAGAAAAGGTGTCACGAGTGACTAGCAGGCAGCTTCACGAGGTCAACTCTGGATCGCTTGGTGCGAAGTTTCTTACCTGAATGACTCGGGCTGCTTGTCCACTTTTTAATAGTTCACCGAGGATTGTGATGAACACCCTCGGAAAATAAATAATAATAACCCTGTGAGACAAATCGACTTCCGTACCGCACAATTGCCAAATCGTCAATGCCCTAAGCCCGATTTTGACGGCACCCAACCAAAACAATAACATTGACTCCCAGAAACTATTCACCGAGGCTCGCAATAATGATGAGTTTGCGCCAAAAAAAAACTCTCTTTGTAGGAGTATATAACGAAAGTAGGGACAGTAAATGATGGAAGAAGAGAAGTAGCCCTGACATTGAGTTTTCCGACCTTTCTTCTCTTACATCTCTTCGATACTATAATTTTGAGTTTAATGGTGGGATTAGGATAAAGTCCCTTACCCGTAGAATGTGGCAGTCAGCCACACTAATGAAGAAGTTAAGCTTTCAGGGTCGATGGATCGTTTATGAGAGATATCAAAAAGGCGGAGTGCATTAAAAGGCGGCTTTGATGGTCCAGCTTCATGCACATCAGATCCAAAGTATCATAGTATGCCATTAACCATGACAATGACTTTAACGTCGCCGAATAGTATCACGTCTATTACATAAAATCAAGGGAGCAACCAAAAACGAGCGAACCCATAGACAGATCTTCAGGTCATAAGGGACAGCAGATGAGATCTATCAAAAAATGTAAGTATCCGAACACGTTCAGAGTTCGCGGGGTCATCATCCGAACCTTTCAACCGACTTCGGACCTTGGAAAGATTGCTGTAACAACGACTATTCACATGATGGCCTATTCATGTAGAGATTCGTGTATCCCCCTGAGTAGTGCTTCGAACACAACGTATAATTGAACACTCGAGATCAATTTGGCAAGACTATAACTCGAAAATTCTGAAGAACCCAAACACGACAGGATGTAGCATCACGTGACACAGAGTCCAACGTTTGTTTGACACATCTCCTTCAATAACTAAGATGTAGAAGAAGCTTCCGCCTGGCTTGTCTCAGGCTTTTCTCGTCCAACCATTTCCTGATTTACCTTCCATTCTCGTTCCAATTGTGCCCTTTTCTGCATGATCGACGGATCGAGAAATGGCTGTGGAGTTGCCAATCCGTTAAACTCTACGACTGTACATGATAGTAAGCTCAATATCATGGCGTAAAATCTCAAAAGGTGGGTGTGAAACTAACCTTTGATACTGTCACCTCTTGCACATACCGATACCTCATTTCTTGATCTGGCAGGCTGGCTGTAGGACAATGTCAATGGATTTGATCGAGGTGGACGTGGAGGACCTTTAATTAACGGACGTTCCGAGTTGGACATGATCTTGAAGAGATGGCATTTAATACTGAATGTCAAGGAATAAGTCTTATCTCTTACCTTGATTTTCGAATTCTTCTCAACAATGAAATGTTCCAAAATGGAATGCTCAGTATAAATATTACACTAGTCTCCATTCAGGCTAGCTCAACTTTTCTGATATTGGAGAAAGGCAATATAGCAGAAACGGTCAAAGTTGTGAACGAGTAAAAAATTTCTTTTTTTAAATGCAATCCTCTGAGGTTGATTAACCAAGTTGCGATGATGCTTATCAATAGCAAAAATAAAGATGCTCAGAGCCTAGGAGAAGGGTTGCAATTCTCTTCATCTCACCACGCATTGAGTGTCAAAGTGTGGTTTGGAAGCATTTTAAATTATATCATCAAGTGAGGATTAAAAGTTCAATCATTTTTAATCTCCATCGCAACGACATCGTTATATATGTATACCGGCTATTGAGCTCTCACCATAATCTTACATTATAAACTCAAACCTCCCGACTTTGCCTTCAATTCTTTCCAAGTCTCCCTCATCGTGACTTTCGCGTCGTCCGGTACCGCTACACTCCCACATATATACGCTTCCTAACCCGCCCGCAACTTTCACTACGCCTTCCTCCATTGGCAAAAACAAACGCCGTTGCATACAATATCTTCAGCTCAACTCTAAGCTCTGTGCCCGCGGGAACCAAGATGGTTTCTCTTTCGGTGCTTCGGATTCTTCTCCTCCAATGGTTATTGTGAGTGAGCCTTCTACTGAGTAGATAGCACGAGTGTCTCTGCGAACTTTGGATGCTTTGCATGTTAGAATGTCCCAGAATATCATGTATGGAAAATCTGTTGTTGGTTTCTTCTCCCATGCACAAAGCTCTTAATACTGTGCCACCAACAACCTTCTTTTCTTCCTCTTCCTCCTTCAGTAAATATCCGCCATTCTCACATTTTTCAGGTAATTTGTATTCGGTACCATTTCATTGGCTGTGACCGAAGCTATTTCTCTTGCACGTACTGGAATTACGTCGGATTTCTTAGTGGCAATCAGAAGTTCTGGGATGACGACTTCGAAGACTTGCGGTTGTTGTTTATGGAGAATAGGGGACCCGGCATATGGTTGAATCATGAAACAGAAAGAATCCTTCACCGTCGATGAGAAGAAGCGACTTGTTATCGATGGATTTTAGTCTCGGGGAGATAAGAGAGGTTAGTTCTTGCGTTATTAACACATCACGTTTCGTCACAGCGTGTTGCTTCTTTGGGAGGAATTGTGAATTGGTGCCATCCTGTAGGATGTATATTAATTAAATTGGTCATTATGAGAGAATCTAACATGAAGGAGACCAACAACAAAAGTATATTTGGTTTGAGCTCCCAGCGGATGTCCGCACGTCCACATGAAAAGTGGAGTCCGCATGAGGGGTTTAAATGCCAAACCCCATAAACCACCATTAACCTAGCGCAACCCCGTCAACCTCAGGGAATCATTCCAGATTTCTCGGGGTTATAGGACTTCCCATGGAAGTTCTAAAAGACCGAGATTATCCGTTCCTAGTGATTGCGCATTTTATGTTATGTCCGCTGTGCATGTGGAGATCTGTGGATAATGGACGTTGGATGGAGTCGGAATCTTTTCCGTTTCACTGGCTGAAGATATATGCGTGGATTGGAAGTATCGTGCTGCTGTAAGCGCTAGATGATGATGCGGAGTTAAGAGGTACTCCTATGTGGTTACTAAAACTATATAAAGTGACTCTTAAAGAACTCTTATTGCTTAAAGGTTTGTCTAATACTCCAATAGACTCACTTCACAATAGCACGGTATAGATAGGTTCATCCAGTCCATCACATCGAATCAAGTCACATGACATCCACAACCATGGAAGCAATCAAGGAACTCTCCCTCACAACTGGCACAGCCATAATGGACGTCGTCTTTCCCACCACCAAAATTATGGTTCCCAATCTCCTAAAGAATAAAAGCTCTATCCTCTCCGTCCCCCGCAGCACCCACTCATATGGTTCCCATCCACGCCACACCCTCGACCTCTACCCCTCTAGCAGCACTTCCAGTTCCTCCCCCATACTAATTTACCTCTACGGCGGTGGTCTCGTCTACGGCGACAAAATCCTCGATATACCAGTACTGGAGAACCTCGTATATCACAACCTCGGCGCCTTTTTCGCCAAACGAGGTATCACAACCATTATTCCCGACTATCGACGCGTGGACACCGAAGCCGGTGGGGAAGGAGCCATCTACCCTAGCGGAGCGGAAGATATATCCACTGTCCTCCAATGGCTCTCCAAAACCGACCTACTAGATGGCAAAGGAAATAAAAGAGATGTATATCTGATGGGTAATTCAGCAGGAGGCCTTCATATCGCCACGTATCTTCTCGAACCACGATATCTAGAGGAGAGAAAATCGTGGCAGGGAGAATCCAATGTGTCATTGAAAGGATTTGTTGGAGTCGGAGTTCCGTATAATTTTGATGGAGCCCTGGCTGATCGAAAAGAGACGTTAGATCGGTACTATGGGAGTGATGAGAATATCGAAACGAAAAGTCCCTATGGGTTATTGAAAGTAGTAGGAGAAAGTAAGAAATCAAGAGACGAATTGGGAATTCCGAAATTATTGGTTTTGTATTCGGAGTGGGACCCTGTGGATGAGATTCTAAAGTCCAACCATGATTTTGTGAAGTTGGCAGAGGAGGCTTGGGGCGAGAAGATTGAGGTTATTGAGATTCAAGGCCATAATCATATTAGTCCACCAATGGCTTTGAGTAGTGGAGAAGGGGAGGAATGGGGCGAGCAGGCGGCAAGATGGATCAAAGGCAATGCTTAAATTTTTGTGAAAACTACAGGTATATCCGTTTTGTCTGAAATAGTTCTTCATTGGCGATAGGGAGGGCCCTTGACGTTGGGCACTTAGCGTAATATATGCAAGATTTTCCGAAAATATATCAATAAAGACAATATGTGATATGTTTCGAAGAGGTGTTAGGAAAGATGAGAACTTTTGCGAGTTAATTTGATTCTAGGGTATCCATTTCTAACCTCCCGAACGCCATAACAATGCCCACAATTCCTAAGCCTCAAAACTATCATTCAAATACCTCACAAAAGTCTCCTTAATCCTCCCAACGGTCACCGCATTGGTCCTCTGCAAACTGATGAACTGTCTCCTCAACCGCTGCAACGCCGGTAATCCTACCGGATTTCCAGGTAACTCCACCACCAGTTCGTCTCCTTTCGAGTCTTCCCCTACACTGACTTCCCCGCCTCCTTCGCCTGGGTGATCTTTGCTCCATTCCAATATTCGATTAAGAACCGTCTGGGTAATTTTATCCAACTCATATAAAAATCCCTCACTACTATGAACCTTCGCAACTGTGGCTGCATTCGGCTTCACTATCTTTCTCTTCCCCTCAGAATCATCCCCTATTATAGCATCCCAGATAGCATCTCCGGGCACGTTTTCATCTTCCCACACAACTGTAAATAACGGTGAGTCCCAACGAACCATCGCATTCGGTTCTTCATATCGAAATACCAGATTCTCCCAATTATCCTTCTCGTATGCTTTGTCCTCCTCTCTAACCTCGGCGATTGCCGCAGATTGTTCCGACTGTGACGTATTCTTTCGTTCCAACCGCGCCTCATTAACCTCCTTGGCTTTATCGGCAGGAACCCCTACGTGCATAACACAGCAACCCGTCCGCATAGCCTTTGCCTCGCAAAATAATTGATATCTCCAGCCTTTGATATAGTTTCCTCCATCCAATATCACTACATCTTTATTACTCAACACTCTCTTCACCGCAGCATATATTGTAGCCCGCGCATCTTTTTCGCTCGCATTATTCGATCGCTCATTGAGGGATTTAGATTCGAGATTATATACTTCACGGGGAATGGCGAGGGTATGATCTGAAATGAGGTGGACGCGAAGGGAGGAAGAAGGACTATTGGAGGGCAGGGAGGATATTTTCGCGAGGAAGTATTCGCGGAGCTGAGTGGCCCGATAGGTTTTGCCAGAGGTGGGGTAACCCGTTAAGATTATGAGCTGCCAGATAGATACCAGTGTCAGTGGTATTGGGGAAGTATGCATTTGAGCGTCGTACTTACCGGCATGATTGATGGATGTATGTGGAATTACCTATTGGTTTGTACGATCATACATTCAGTCTGTGGAGTGGAAAAATCTCTTGGGTCCCCGCGTGGCTAGACCGGATAAGAATCAGTCACGTGGTGATAAAGATGCCCCTCCATCGATACTTGAACTTGGCGAGGAATGAAAAATATCAAAGATATACGTTCTGAAGGTTAAGGCATTTCTGTAAAATCATCACGAAACACGAATTTGCTCGGTTTAACTAACTCATTCTCAGTCCTTTCTTAACAGTCCAAGTCCACATCATACATCTATTATCCGCGGAGTACATCAATCCTCAATATTCACGACGGCTTAATTTCAGATATTTCTTTCATTCAGTTTTCGTGGTGTTTTAATATTGGCACCTACTCATATCAATCCACCGCCTCACTCACGCACGTTCGGGTACTCGCTTGAGGCGGTACAACGTGATTGAAATCGTAGCAGCTGAGGACTGAAAGCTGTGTTTTGATTTGCGAAGATTCATAAACCATTGATAGCTGACTCGGGTTACAGGTCACTCGGTCGTGCTCAAACACGAGGGTCATTTTCCAATTGAATTTGTAGGTTGGCGGCTCAAGTGGGAGCTCACCCTTCGAATGTTATCGTCGTGCAACACGCTTGACGTCTTGTTTGAGAAAAGCTATCCTTGATCGTTACACAGCACTTTAGCGAAGCTCACTGTCAGTGTATCGGAAATCATGCCAATGGAGAGATAGCAGAGCTTGTTATCATTGCGTGATATTTCGTGTTCGGAATTATGCAGATTAGTTGGATCTAATCAATCTTCTTGCATCATGAGTCGCATGCAACATGTGAAATGTGAGTGAGCGGAGTCTGGACCATCTACTCGGTCTGTACCACACAGTATACAACGAGGGTTTGAGGTGAATGTCTCCCTCCCGAATGCCCTATCAGAGTGAACTTTGACGCATGGCTTGAAATCTTGTTCAATGACTTCCAGCCAGTCTGAAGTTAGGGCACTTCCGTGACACCAATGCTGGAATATGCAAAACTTGTTGCATAATATCCTGGCTGTAAGAACTATAGCTGCTCAGTCTTCTTGAGGCATTGAAACCTCCACTGTCTAAACGGGTAATATTTGTTTGGTATGATCAACATGAACCATGCTGAAAAATTCCTGGGATAACTGAGTGCTAAGCGGAATGAAACGGGACCTCCTGCCTCGGAGCAAGAATACCCCGTACTAAGAGACTTTCTTGGGCATTATAGCCTGAATGATCGATGTGAAATGTAGAAGCCTCGGACCGTCTCGGTGAGGGTGACATTCTTTGGGATTGTCCATCCCGAACCTTGCTTGTGTGCTGTTCCTGAAGTGTACAAAGCCGTGGAACATAGGACATTATCCAAAAGTTCCGTATCTGGACTTTAAACTTGTAGCTCCATACATACTCCGTACTGCCGAAACCTTTGAACTTCCAATTATTGAACCTTATAAAATTTCTTTTACTTTTGTTCATCGTACAGTGACAGGCCAGCGTGAAAGTGGATTATCGCAGGCGCCATGCCGAAAAATCGCGCAGAGAAAAATAGAAAATTTGCACCCGCCCTTGTTCAATTAAGAAGGTCTCTGTGTTCTTGGCCTCATCGCCTGCACCACAAATTTGTTATTATCATGTCATACAAAAAGTAGGTACCGCGAAGAGGACCGCACGGGAAAGACTCATCGTGTGTTCGCAATTTGAAACCCTTGGTGCTGGATCTGTAATTAATGAAGGCCTTGCAAAGAGTTTTTTCATGGGCTCTCTATGGTGTGATAACAAGAATTGAATACTACTCCGCGTATAGGCAGAAAACGAATACGCATATCAGAAGTTGACGGACAGCTTCATGTTCGACCCATGTAATATGTGCAGTAATGAATTGCTTGCAGGCTTGAAATGATGCAGCTGAGAGAACATTTCCATTGGCCAGGTGAATGAAACTGTCGATGATACGGGGCGACAGCTTGCAGGAAAGAGCTGAAGAGCTGATGGATTACATACCAATCAATTTTCAAATCAACCACACAGAGACCAGCGCATCGAGAGAAGCTTGCTAATGCTACACCACTTTCCCATCCGGACGAGCATTTGATTGATGTGGGAAAGTTGCGAAAACTCCTTGGATATTCCGCGCCATCTTTATGCTCATCATACAGAAAGGACGCATCGTTCTAATTGCAAAGCGATATACGTACCAAAAAAAGATGCACGATGAATCATGATCTTCATTTCAAGAATTTAGAGTTTCTATCCCCTGAATTATCTCACGTTGTGGCCTTGTGGGAGGAAAAGATCGTCGGATGTAATCAAAGGAAAACCTTCTAGTTTATGCTCTGAGCGCTCAAACTTCAAACAAATTGACAATAGACAAGTGCGGGTAAGGGGTTCTCCCGTCCGGCTCAGGGCACTATTCAGCCGATCTCAAAATACGAACGATAGTGTGTTCCATGGATTTCTCGAATAAAAGCCGAAATTATAATCTTATTATTATCAATAATGATTGATGTCACCTTCTCGTTTTTGATGTTGCCAAGTCCCAATATTTGATAAGGCTAGAAAAGGGTGACACCGACCTATGGAGAAGCCTTGGAGGACATACCCTTTGCTTGGTGTGCTTGCTATGAATCCTATGATACACGTCTTGTCGAATGGACTGAGCCTTGAGTAAACTAACTGACCCTGATGTTGCATAATCTTTCTCGGGAAGTGTAGAGTTCAGAAAGAGAAAACGGCAAGTGGGATCCTTTTCCTCTCCGTGATAGGGATCACAAACCTGTTTATAGCCTCAGTTTTACTGCATATGGCTTAGTTTTTGGACCATTTTCATTCATAACATGCTTTCCAATACTTAGTAGAGTACTTATGCATGCACGTTTTCAAGAATCCATCACATTTTTGATATTCCTCGGCGGACGTCGTCATCCCATTTCTATCCCTGACCAAGTAACCTTACACGGTGCAGCAAGCTATTTTTTCTTTTCGTGCCTTCAGATTGTTCAGTGCTCAATGGACTTTTCCCAGAATCACAGGCTAAAAGTAGAGAAAATCTACTGCAGCTCCCGTTCATCTCATCCATACACAACCTGGTTGATGGAGGGGTCATGCAGGAATTCACATCAATGGCCCATATTTATTTTAAGAGAAACAGAATCAACACCAGGATATCAACAAGGCAGGTGTGAGGACTTTCACTCAAGATGCAAGGTATATCCGTGAGTCGTGAAGGGGTGACCATTTAGCCAGCCAGTGATATCAACTTATCACGTCGTGGCTAATTCAAACGAGGAAAGCGATTTAAAAGAAGAGACAACGCATCAATGTCTCACATGGCAGGAGGACCCTCGTTAACAAATCAATTACCCTGGTCCTTTCACACATTTCACTAATATCACATATCCTTGGTTTTGGCTCGCTTCGTGCGTTGCTTACCTTGTCTCCTCAATTTGGTTACCATTGAAAAGCATAAGTGCCCAACCTCCCCCACCTTGGACGAACGCTTTCTCTTCTTTCCATTCTCATTCATCCTTTACCTTGCTCACGTCTCAATCAGCCTCTTTGACCGTCGCCCAAGACCAAACATTCTTCGCCCTTACTCCAGTTCTTGTATATTGCGGATCCCCCCCCTTTAAAGCTGCCCAACTTGTCTTGCTTATCCTTCTTGCAAACATACCAGCAGAGATCATCCAGCCGGATTGTTCTTACCATCAACATCAGTTATTATTTCTCGCTCATACCACAAGGCCGTGGCCATAAGAGTAGTATCTCAACAAATAGTTCCGCAACACATTCGACAAAGCACACTGCCGTTGCTTCAGAAAAAAAAAAGGATCCAAATGACTTGCACGGAGACTTTGACCATTCTCCCGGAAACCATGGCAGGCTTCGACAGACCATCACATTCCAGGAAGGCATCCGCCAGGTATATTGTTTTTTTCTATTTCGCGCGTTGTTTTGATTTGCGTTGAGAGTTTGCTTTTGCTTTTACTGCTAGAATCCCGGATGTTTTTATGTTCCCAGAAAATTCATGTACCTTTCATTTAACGACACAAGATTTCCAATAATACCCGGACGTTCCAAGGACATTCCCCAGGCACAAATCCAGATTTCCCAAGTTTTCCAGGAGCCCATAGGATATTCGATGGTCTTACCGTGTATCCACACGGCGACAGGATGCTTCACCTCTTGGAGGTTTCGAGAGCATTCTGACAAACAAAATTATGAACTATCAATCAAGAGACCTCCGGTCTTGGGTGAGTATGTACCTACCCGAAATGGACATCAGGCTGCAAATTTCTCTTTATACACCGGAAGGACCCGAATTCCCAATGGACCCAAGAACACCGATTTCTCTTCCAGGGTCGCCGACAGTTCCAAGATGTGGGGCTCGCATATCCTGCGAGCGCATCGAACACCTTTCCGGTGCTCAGTCATATCATCAACAATAACCCTCAACCCGCGTGCAGCGCCAGCTGCATGACAACAGACTCCCGGCTACTGCTCAGATTGTTTCTACATGCAGCTTCCATGCATTAGGATACCCATCACTCGTCTATCAACTGCTTCCCATATTGGACACCATGGATTTATTTTCATATTCAACTACTGCTTGTGGAATGGCTATCTCGGATGACATTTCGGGGAACTATCACAGGAAGTAACTGGCTATTCCGGTCAGTTACGGTGCTCTATCAAGCATCAGGCATCAATTATGCCACTGAGTACGTAACCTACTCGATGTCGACTGCAAGTCTGACAATAATCCCCTATAACACGGTCGAGCATCAACTAACCTAAATATTGTTTTCTTTTGAGCAGAAGGATTTTACAATCATCAAACCACCCATGGAGACATCTATATCACAAGAACACAAGAAACACCAGCCCGTATGGATGCCAAGGATTTTCCAGGATATACCACCTTTTCTCATTTGTTCATGTTTATTGCCCTGGATGTTCAACCATTTGCCCTGGATGCCCTCGATATCACTGCCCGGAATCGACCATTAAATGCTCATGGCGAATCCCACATGGTCTGTAGAATACCCTCTATACTTTCTAAAGACGAAGACTAACGTATTACTGCTACAGGACTCTCCGGATGCTGTTGTCTTGATTTATTTGATTTATTTTCTATTTTATTTTCAATTGTGGTTATTTCAATAGCGTTTGCACATCACACTAACCTAGATCTTGTGTAGCGGTTTCCATTCAAGAGCTCCATTCCAAGGAACAACCGGATTTTCTTTACGTCATACAGAACCTACCCAGGGGCAATACAGTGGATTATCCTGGAACGGAAAAAGTGAGGGTTTACAGTACCCACCCCGTGATTCTACCTCCCAAGGACCCAGCGGATTTTCTGATTCTCTTTACATACCGGTAGCTCAGATGATTAGTCAACGGTGGCCCGCCGATTTGACTACTGATCTTGAGTCAGTGGAAATGACTCGCTTCTCATCCAAGGAATCATCAAGGACAGTCCAATCAACGACATCTGAGTCTTTGCCAATGGGATACTATCCCAATGCCTCTCAGGCACCATATCAAATGTCTTCTGCAAGATCAGATGTTAAAGGTAGATCAGCTAGCCCACCAAATTCTGTGCTCTATACCCCAACAGCACAATTTGATCTTCAATCCACATTCAGCACATTCCAGTATCCAGGGGCAGATGAATTGGCCGGAAATGATTACCAAGTACCGGTCACCAGTGGATTTCAGCAGCCACCCACTTTGTCATTGACAACAGGAGGATTTGACATGTTCCCTAGTAATGGATTGCCAACAAGTATGACAGCAGCTTCTAGCTCCATTTCCAGTTATGTTCACAGCGCGCAAGAGTCTGTTTTCTTCGACAGCCCTACATTGGGATCTCCAGATATGTGGGATGCTGCTTTACTTGAATCTGCAAAACCGCACACACCCGAAGCCGATGAATCATGGACTCTTCCACCACAAATGATGTCTTCAATAAATAGCCCACCGGATTACTCCCCGACTGAAGGCCGATCACCAAGGTATGTTCAAGGCCTTCCAGATTTCATGGATTCACCTCCTTACAAGACCGGCGACAGGACCATGAGGAAGCCAATGGGGCCAAGAGCTTCCAAAGTTGCTAGTGACACCAATGCCAGACGTGTCCCAGGAACCGAGATGCCAGAGGAGTCCTTCAAGTTGATGGGACGTTCCAGTCTCGACGCTGATAATTCAGCTCGTGATCATCATTTATATCATAATGTCACCACCAAATCTGATGGATTATACCACTGCCCATGGGAAGGAACTTCATCATGCCAACACAAGCCAGAGAAGCTCAAGTGCAATTACGAGTAGGATCCATATACTACCTCTAAAAATGTTTATCATGCTAACCGTTTTACCCTACAGCAAATTTGTCGACTCTCACTTGAAGCCATACCGCTGCAAGATCGCTGCATGCGCGGACAACAAATTTTCATCCACGGCCTGTTTACTACGCCATGAAAGAGAAGCCCACGCCATGCATGGACATGGGGATAAACCATTCCTTTGCAAGTATGACGGCTGCGAGCGCGGCGTCGCTGGCAATGGTTTTCCACGCCGCTGGAACCTTTATGATCACATGAAGCGTGTGCACAGTGACCCATGCACATCCAGGAGTGCCGGTGGATCCCCACCACCTACAGAGAAGCCAGCCACTGGCTCCAAGAAGCGTAAGCAGGATGCCATTACAGAGCCAAGTACATCAGACAAGGAAGCCGTCAAGAGAGTCAAGACACCCCCGGTTGTTAACCAACAACCTTCCTTGATTGAGATTTATCACCAAAGTGAACAGCGACTTCAGGAGGCTGTGAAACAATTGCATGATCCTAAGAGTGCAAATGGGATGACCAATTTGAGAAACGCGAGCGACTGCATCAAAATGATGGCCCAGACTCTTCAAAAAATCAACCAGGCAGCTCCCGCCATGAGCCGCACATGGACTGAATGAGTTCTTTGATTAAAAATATTGGGGATTATTGTAAGTCCACTGATGCGATTACTCTCGTCCATGAGGCATTCGACTAACGAGTCCTTCATAGCACATCTGCAATACCGGACTTGTCTCCCAGGATCTCTTTCCAAGGATGCAACGCAGCGGACCCAGCCCGCTCAGACGATCCCGTCAGGAACCCAGGACATCATAACATTCGACAGAATAAAAGTCATGCAACCAGTCATGCATATATCTCCCTGAATTAAAGGCCCAATCACGGGGTATGATTTCTTATGCCAGTGCCGAGGATTACCACTGCTCGGAAGCAGACAGTACCAGTCTGTCCTTTTGAACTCCACAATAGAATTCCTTAACTCCTGGATTTTGCATATTATTTTGCATATTGTGTGTACTAGATAGATGCCAACCTACAAGGCTAGCTTGGCAGTAAGAAGGACCAGGAGAGGGGAGGGTCACCAAGGAAGAAGAAAAAAGGAAGAGAAAAAGGAGTCAAGTTTTTTATTGTTGGTTTCTGGTTATGGTTTGCGGATTATTTGGTTCAATGTGACGTGGTTTGGTTACGTTAGGTTAGGTTCGGGAGATATGGATTGGTCTAAAAGCTCTATAGCAATCACACAGGCCGGCAGGTACTTCTTGGAAAGAATTTGGGAGGACAGATACCATTGGGATTGGGGGGGATGATTTTTACATTTAGATAGATACCTAGAGTTTATAACGGGAAGGATTGGACTGGATAACAGGATGGGTTTGGAATTTATATTTTATAGAGATTGATTCTTGTGTGTTGATGATATAACTTGTGAGGTGGAAATTCCTCATATAGCTCTCTCCATCGTTGTTTTGTATAATGTAGCGTTCATCGCCATGGTGGTTATAAATGGTTATGATGAAATATCTATGTATACATATATGTATATGCAAAATGCTTTAGGATTTCAGTTTCATTCATTACTGAATTATTAATGTAGCATTTATTATCGAAGTTTCTATTTTATCATTTCGCAAGTATTAAACATCATATCATTGTAGTGGGGTATATATATATCTGAAAAGACGCGACCAGTAAACCATTTAAATCCATTGAATAGAACAATCTCTAAGCTCGGCACGCACCCTTTCCTGGAAAGAAAAGTAGCCCTCATATCTTTAAGCAACAGTTCCCTTAACCTGCTTCATCTCATCAACCTTAAAATCCCTCCACATGCCCACAAACACAAAACACGGTATCAGGAACACTGTCCCTGCAACCGCCAACCATTTCATACTCTCTCCATACGCGAACCATACTGCGTTTCTCTCCATGCTTCCCACAGGATACTGTAGCTGCGCGGTCAAATTGCCATATAACTGTGCCGCTAGCGCTTCGTCTGTGATTTTTTGCGCGAGCGCCGCCGGGAATTTATTCGTGTAGATTGCTCCGGAGATGGCGACGCCGATGGCGCCACCTACAGATGTGAAGAGCCCTATTAGTGCTAACATTGATGCGACACCTTTGTGGGGCGCAGCGGCCATAACGGCCATTTGTTCGCAGATGACGATGGTGCCCCCGGAAAAGGCAATGAAGATTTGACACATGATGACGTATCCGAGAGGGTGGTCTGGCTGGCGGAAATGGATCATGAGACCTACGCCTAGGATTTGCAGGGGGACAGCGAAGTACAGCGCCAGCCATTTGAAACGCCCCGTGACGCGGATGGCGTAGGAGATTACTACGGCCCAGAAACAGGAGCCGATGGAATAGATGTTGGTTACGTAGCCCGTGTGCGTAACGCTGAGATTGTGCACCGCTTGCAGGTAGTTGTAGAAGTAGGAGTCCCAGCAGTAGAAGGAGATGAAGAAGAAGGCGGAGCAGAGGCAGGCCCCGACGACGGTGCGGTCGGTGAGGAGCTCGAAGGGAATGAAGGATTTGCGCGCGCCGTAGCGTTCGTAAAAGCCGAAGGCGAGGAGGCATACAATGCCGAGGACGAGCATGGCGATTATCATACTGGAATGCCAGCCTTGCTTTTGGTAGGAGGCAAGGGAGAAGGGGAGGAGGAAGAGAGCGAAGCCGGCGGAGATGAGGAGGAGACCGATCACTGGGATGTGTCAGATTAAGGGCCCGAATTTGCGGAAAGTGGAAAGTGAAATTAGCTTACCGTCGAATTCCCAGAAGTAGTAGCTGATGCTTTCACTCCATGTACGACCACTATCAATCTTCTTGATCAAACCCGCCTTCTTAGCTTTACCTTGATTCCACCATAGGAGTGTGAGGATCGGGATGCAGATCACCGGGGTGATAATAGCAAAAGTACCAAATCCCCATGGCCATCCACTGGTCTGGAGGAATGACTGTGCAGCGGGAGGTCCAATCCAGGTCGTTACAATATAGGGAGTAGTTGAGAAAGCGAAAACCAAAGCTCGATTTTTCAAACTCGATGTATCGGCCATGAAAACATCTAAGACGTACGCCATGCCATCGAATCCTAACCAATAGAATACCTGTCGCTCTGTTAGTAACCAAGAGTAGATATAATTATTGGTTCGATTTTTACTTACTTGTGCAGCAGCATAGGTTTCTACATTTCTGCATGCAGCCATCATGATTAGACCTGCATTTCATTAGTTACATCGAGAACGGCCAAGAATGACCGTGACACGAAAGGTGGGGTGACAATACCTATAGTAGCACAAGCAATCATGATAGCAAATCCTTCGGCGCGACCAATCAGATCAACAAACTTGGCAATTGGAAGTCTGAAGACACCGCCAACGATGCTCGATACAATGCTGGTGGCACCTGTCAAAGGCAAGAGAAGAAAATCAGACGTAACGTAGTACGAAAGATTGTTCTGTATCTGCTGTTGCATGGAGACGACGAAGAAGACGAGGAAAATACTGTAGGTTTCTTAGAATCTTATTATGTGGGATCCGTGAAAGACGGACTTAATTGATAACTTACAATGCGTATGCTAAATATAATTGCTTTTTGGTCCAAACTAAAGTAACGGCTTCCACCGCTTGAACACCATGCTGAGCATCCTCTACCGGTCTCTCATCTACTGATATCGATGGGTCATTGATGGTTGTATTATGGCCGTCGTTTTTATGATCGAGACCATCAGGATATGTTGTCAATTCGGGACCGACGGCGACCTCAGAGGCTAAGCCATCAGTCTTGGTTTTCCACGGCCTGAGAGGCATGATGATCTAATTGTGAGTATCGATATCCCTATCCAGTCAATGTAACCTAGATGAGTATGGAGAGATATTCGAGTTTATTTCATGAATAAAAGTAGACGATAGAGAACGAGGATGAAGATCTCACTTCCATAAAACATTTATGTAAGATTGCTAGCATCGCAGGGCAGAAAATGAGAGCTAATTACTACCTTAGTGTGTTCTCGTGCCGTCTGAATCCGATGAGGTTAAAATCAGCAGCTACAGGATTGTCGCACCGTATGACTACCGTATCATATCTGGCCATGAATCAGAGCTGGCGTACGTAACTCTTACCCCATATCAAATTTATGGAGAGGGCTTGATCTGATAACCATACAAATGCCACTTTCTTGCGTGGGCTCTTGGCAAATCTGCTCCATTTTGCTGCATAAAATGGCAGAGGTCCGATATCAATACAGTGTGATATCCAATCATATGAGGAAATGAGGAGAAGATTTTTACCGGTATGCAGCACTTGAGATGTGATTGGTGGGTTGGTGTGATATTAACCTTTAATCTTACACAACCACTTACTAGGAACCTAGCTAGGTATAGACTCTAGGAGTTTGTAGTTCCGTCCAAAATTATATTAATCGATGGATCTGATAACTTTAAAATTTCCTCCATCTGATTAGATTGATCATTGATTAAACAAAGAAGCGAAGCTATTCATTCATTCTTTCATTCTTTCATTCATTCATTCATTCTTTCATTCTTTCATTCTTTCATTCTTTCATCCTTTCATCCTTTCATCCTTTCATTCACTCACTTCCATTCCTCGGTAAATGCCAAGATGTCACATAACAGTTACATAATAGTGAATGTATAGATTACAGTTATAGGAGGTCCGAAGATCGGCTGTGTTCTTCCATCTTTATCGGTAACTTACATAGGTGTCTACTCTACCATCCTAGTACGCCTAGAAAGGAAAATCAACATCACGATGAAAATTTTCATTCACTCTCCGTCCAAATTCCCTTATGGGGACGAAGGATCACAAAAAGTGGGAAAAACCGGAGAACAAATGAACAACTTGACAAGGGTAAGATCTGATAAGACTTTTGGTGGCGTTGAGGGGCATGCATTCCGCCGTTTGCACCTCTTACCTCTTCGGTTAATCCATCCCTCGCATCGATGAAAGTTGAGACGATAAGACGATAAGACAGAGTATGATTGCATTCTCATTGATATTATTATGAGAGAATTCGAACTATGTATGTACCCATAGCAGTCAAATCTAACAACTCATCCAGACGAGCAGATCTCAAAATATCAAGATGTCGTCGAGTAAACTTTCCAGATCCTGCACAGAACACTTCACATTCATTTGACATCCTTGCTAACATTCGAATTGGAAATGAATCAAACATTGAGACCACAGCGGCCTTTAAAGAGGATATCTATCCTGGCGGCAATGTTTTGGTGCAGCCAAGTGAAGTTCACATTTGCTAAAAAAAAATCTCTGGAGCTATTGATCTTGACACTACTAGTTATAGCATTCTACAGCTACAATTTTAAAGCAAAAGTTGTAACTAGATCACTCTGATCAGCTGACTTTCTTATATCTCGAAGGTTATACCTTGTCCGTCCTCCTGTTGAATTCTGCTCTTTCTTCCAAGCCGAAAATCCAGCTCGATTCGAGTTAGAGATCCAAATAATTTGTTGTCCGACTTCGAAGCTTGAGAGATCCACATGGATTAGACGTTTACGGCTTCCAGTTTGCCACTTTGGATATCGTATATAAATCCGAATGTCTTCTCGACGAGTTCTTGTCGAATATACTGGTTATCAGGAAGGGACGGCGAATCATCATCGATGACTGATTTTTTGAGACTAGCGTTGCAGTCAGCTCGATGAATGGCCTATGGGAAGGACTCATAATACATACTCATCTACGGCACCGAATGTCATGTCATGTCATGTCTTCAATGTCATGGTGGTACTTAGTTGGCTTATGAGCTTCGAGAGAATCGCGAGTACCGTCATTTGTAAATTGAGTAGTTCCACAATCTAGAATATTGCTAGATGTGGTAAATTTCTAGTTTTGCCAGGGGGGTAAACATCTATGGTGTATGGTCCTAATTTCTTCAATATAATACGATCAAAAGCATCAATTGCCATGATATCCTTCAAGGCTGGCTCAATATGACCTCCGATATCTCTCATAATCCTAACTCCGTCTATAAAGTATCAGATGTATCTGTGCCATTTGAGGAGAGTATTGGTCTATCATAGCTGCAATTTGAATGTTCAAAAGCTTTTCTGGCACGACGTCGACACGGGGGTCTGAACAGGTCACTGCGAATTCCTCAACATCACCCAAGAAATAAAAATCTAACAAGATTTAACTCGCCAATGAAAATATACGGCGACTCTTTCTCCAGAACTGCCATTTCGCCCAAATTAGGTCTTGGCTGATGTGTTTTTGCAGCTTCCCTGAAGTTACGTCAAGTCGGCATGCTTAGATATATAACTATGTGAATGGAGTTGAAGTACTCACGAGTTGCGCTCAATCAAGGTATTTAATAATCTGAAATGTACTTTAACAATGAGAAGCTTTTGGGTTGCCGAATATAGTTGAGATATTTAAATCAGTTTAAATAATTAATTTAAAAATATATATATATATATATAATAATAAATTACTTTTATATTATAAAATAAAATTAATTCTTGTAGTATAAAAAAGAAATCTATCCTTAATTAGCTAGAATCTATAATAAAATTTATAATAAAAAGATAAAATATAAAATAAATTTTGATTTAGATTTTAAATAATATAAAAGTAAAATAATTAGCTTTAATCTTTTCAATAAATTTATTAATTTCGCTTTTTATAACATGAGAGTAATTCACCGTATTTAAAATTATACTATTAATATTCAAGTTCGAACTAGAAACTGCTTCGTACTGTTTAGATTTTGCTTGATGAATTGAAAGATGTCGGAAAGCATATGCTCGGAGTACCAGTGACCCAGCCCGTCGTACTCCCTCATCTTTACATCCACACCAAGCAAATCTAAACACCTCCTAGCCTCCCTTCCCATTTCAATGGATACTTTTGGATCCTCCATGCCATTTCCCAAAAATACGGGAATCTGTTGGCAAATCATCCCTTTCTTGTGGTCCATATCAATCTCTTCTCTGAAAAAGCTAAGAGCACTCGCTTGCAAACTCGATTCCTCACTAGCCACTTCACCTTCGGAACGTGCAAAAGGGTCGTCCTCATCATCAGATCGTGCAAAGAAGTCACCGTCTTCGCCATGGCTTTCACCTGTAGCAAATTGACTGCTCGAGTTTGCACTCACCTCTTCAACTAAATTACCGAAAGGTAACCAACCACACATGCCCACAACAGCAGCGAATGGCTCGCCATCCCATGCTAAGAGTGATGACAAAGAAGTAGCGCACCCTTGGCTCATTCCCCAAAGTATTACGTTCTCAGCACCGACAATCTCGATCTCTCCCTTTAAGAGGAAATGTATGTAATTGCAGCTTTGGTGGAGACCTGGACGCATCATACCTTGTCTTTTCTTGTAGTCCTCAAGATGCCAACAGTTGAACCACTGATGCGTAAAGGAATTTTTATATACCGTGGCTCGGTTTCGTGATGCGGTGGGGAATACGATTTTTGCGTGAGGAAAAACTGTTTGAATCGTCTCGTTACGACCAGTCCTCATTTCCAGAAGAGGAGGGGCAAATTTTTCCGCGAATGATCCACGGCCATGTAGAATAATAAAGGTTTGCTTATGAGGAAGGACGGGATCAAGTATCATGGCGCGAGGATAGGATGGATAGTTGACATACATTTCCTTCGAAGGACGAGGATCTGTGGTAGAAGCCATTTTGACGTTGCTCGGTGACTCTGAAGTGGGCATCTTTTTTCTTCCTCGGATGTATTAATGAGGTTCTTTGGTAGAATTTGAGAACAGTGATATGTATAATTTTATAACCGACTCGTGGTTTCTTGAAATTCGACATGAATATCAATGAGTAATTGCTTCAAAGTTACCTCGAATCGAAACTACTGGGAAAACGATGTTAGGCTCAATATGGCGAGTATGATGATTATGGGTCTACTATAGAATCAGGAATTGTAGCTCAGATAATAAGATAATCCTCTTGACACTTACAACTATAACCCTTTCAACGATTCAATCAAGAAAATTGTGCTCTGTACGCGATGAGCTTAAAAGGGAAGTTACCGGGAGCTAAGGCATGAATCCCGTGACTCTTAGACTAGACTATGATTCAAGGCCAGCCCAAAGCCAAAATAGTTAGACTGGCTATAACAACTAGTGTTACTCCACATTAGCTGATATCAATTATCTATTCTGGTCTTTCGATTTTGTGCACCAAACATATGAGAATGCAGGAGAGAAGAAAGGAAGCGAGAAAGTGGAGGAAAGTAAGGATTGTGTGTGTAACAACTTTCTATTACTATTACCAGTTCGCTAAGTTTATTTTTCGACGGAGCTACACATCGAAAAAAAGCATTTGGAACTTGAAGTCATACAAATCTTTCTTTTCTTTTTCGGAATTCCCTTAAAGACTAAGTTTGGGATGTCAAATCATGTTGTACAACATCATCTAACATAAGCTGGGGGAACACGAATAAATTGACGATCGGGAAGATGTTTGGAGATGATAATATCCTGGTCTATTTTCCCGTATCAGCTTGTTATGGTTGACTTCTAAGATGTTTCTGTCGCTTTTCTGTTGTGCACCCCGGATTTGAGATCTGCCCATAAGCTGGGTTTATCTTCGTGGAGCCAATTGGAGCGCTTGCTCGGCAGGGTTTCCTTCTACTAATTTATTCAGAAGCACAAAAACAGAGATGAATACAGCGACAGCTCGAGAGATCGAGACCTCACGAGTCATTCCCCAGTATTTCCCGTGCCCTGGGCCTAATGATCCAGATCAAGCATGCGATTGATTATCTTAACCTTACATAAGCACATCTGCATCATCCTTACACCGATACCATCTCACCACCCATCCATCTCAGCCTTGCCTCATTCTTCAACCAGCCTCTACTCTGTAGTTATATTAAGAAGCGCTTTCTCTCACCGCCTATAGACTATTTTAGACCCAATACTTCAAATAGATCAATAAATGTGTATTAAGCATATCATAACCCTATTTTCCCGTCCGATGTTCATCTCCTCGCCATGTCATATGTCAGCCTCTTTTTCACCCAAAAATGCGTGGCACGGTGCTTCCATGTGCTACGAATATAGGTTTTGTACATGGTATGACTTTTTGTACCCATGAATGAAGATGCAGGAACGAAGACATGAAATGTCATTGGTGTGATGGCTTGATATCCCGGTATTTTGTGGTACAGTCTCGTGAGATGAGGAAGTGATTTTGTGGTATATCATCGGCATCTATTTTCGTGTTTCCAAGAACTAGCTCTGTAGCCGTGAGTTAGTCTATGATAAAAAAAGAAAAGGAGAAATAGATATTAGACTACACTCTTGCTATTTGGTTCCATCTCGTACTTCATACACGAGTATAAATTGCCACTGAATCGTACATCATTTTCATATCATCACCATCATCTACGCAACTCATCTTTCCCAAATACAAATCATGTTCACTTCAACTTCAACCTCAACCCCAACCTCTCGAGATCTTGCACAGCCAAAACTGGAATATCAACTCGTAAACAGCACGCCCCTCAACCCAAACGTGCTTAAAGATCTCGCCGTGCGCGCCTTAATTCGCAAACAAGCGATGAAAAAAGTCACCGCCGCTCGGCGCCGAGATGGGGGTTATGGAAAACATAATTTGAGACAATATCCGGTTTTTGTGACGGATGGAAAGATGGAATGTGAGGCGTCGGAGCTTAAGGTTATTGGAAATGGATTGAATGGGGGAGGAAACTTCGGGGTTGGAAGTGGGGATACGAACGCGAATGAAGTTATGAAGGGAGAGAGGCTCGAAAGGGGGGATAAATATACGGCAAATACGCATCGCCGTCTGGAACATCATTCTTTTATTCCAATAATTGGATTAGGAACTAGTAAGGATTCGACTGTGAATACGAGGAATAAGTTCAGAGCTCCAAATTCCATAACTGAAGGAAAAAGTCAAGAAAAAAAACGAAGTAATACTCTCATAGGGCGTGAGAAACAACACTGGAATATAAAAACCCTTCCCTTCGATCCAGTTATCCCCTCTTCAATTTTCTCACCTACATCTTATGAACTCATGCTCTCGAAATTCGGCTTCGATATCTTGGAACTCTCAACATTGGCTACTTTGCACGTGGGGAGAGCGACGAGAAGAGCACTGTGTAAGAGTCCGGAAAGTATTGTGCACCAAATAAGGACGCAGAAACAGTGGAGCTTTTTGAGTTTTTTACCTAGTACGTGTCCTCTCATTCTTAACCAGCCATGCTATCTTTTCAATCAAAGCACCATCTAACCAATCCACTTAGATCGTTATGGTCACAGCCCCTGCCTCTCCGCAGCAGTCGACTGCGTCGTTGCGCGAGCCCGCCAAATAATTTCTTGTCCCCACAATACGAAGTTCTGGGAACCACTCGTACTATCACACTACATAACCGCGCTTGAAACACTGCAACGTGCACTTGACTCACCCACAACTCGGTATAAACCTGAAGTTCTTTGTGCTACAGAGATACTCGCTTTATACGAATTACTCCAGCCATCTGGAGAGGCGGCATGGATTCGTCACTCGGCTGGTGCTGCTCGTCTGATTTTGCTACGGAGACCTGAATCCTACACGACAGATTTTGAACGCGCGTTGTTCATGGGCCATACGGGTCCGATTATGACTGAGGCTTTGTTGAATGGAGAGCGGTGTTTTTTGGAGCAAAGTGCGTGGCAGAATTTATTGATGTCTGTTATATGTAATGAGGAATACTACACAGTGAGTGATCGCAGCGAGATTGTAGTGCTTTTGATTATGGCGAAGAGTAACATCCCGGGAACGTTTTGGGATATGACGCAGCTTCTATGCAGAGAAGAAGAACCCAGTCTCGAATATGTAGTACAGATACAAAAATGGTGTAGAGAATTGCGTCAGCGGTTTATGAATTGGAAATGCAAGTATGAGGCATTGATTGGAGAAGCTGGCGATGTGGGAGAGGGAACGATGGAATTTGATCGTCGGGCAAAAGCGTATGCGACTTTTTTGAGCTGCGTCATGTTTTCGAATCGGCTGCTGGGATGTGTGAGTCCCAAGGAAAGAATAAAGTTGGAGCGGGAAACGCAAAAGATGGCGAAAGAGATGTTAGTGTTGGATGAAAGGGTTAGGGGGGCGAGTAAGGCTGCGGATTTGTTTATGCAGCAAACGGCCGGGGTGGCGATGGCCACTCAGGCGTCTAGACGGAATTTTGAAGAGGGAGTCGGAAGAACAGACCCTGGAGGGTTGAGACATGGTTTTGTGGAGAAAGAGGTGTTCGAGAAATGGTGTGTTAGTTTTGGGAGGAAGATCGTGGTTGTTTAGGCGACTGGAGGAGATTTAATGCACGAGAAGTATTACTATAAGAGGTAGTTGTACTACAATCGGAAATGAAATGCCTTGAACTGGGATTCATAATTGAATGTTAGACTTCAAAGTTAGGTGGATTCTTCTATACGCTCATTGTGTTCTCCTTCCTCTTAAAATCCTGTTTTCAGAACAAATTCAGATACTTATCTTCGTTACCAAGGACTCAATACCTCATGATACAGTTCAATGTCTGAACATAGGTTCAACAACGGATAGTGCCTCAGGCTGGGATACTCTATAATAACACTTTCCAATATCTGAAGCTAGTTCGACGATCAATTGATCGTTAAGCCAACCAGTCTTAGAATCAAGGATCTTGCAGGACCTATTGACTTGTATGTACGTAGCTAGCTTTAGTGTTTTGTTTTATTCTGTCATCTTGTGCTGTCCGGTACGCATTACCTTGTATTGTATTATCAATACTAGGATAAATTCACCACAAAAGAAAAGTGAATTATGAATAAATCATTACGAACTAGGCGTTGTGATGTACATTCCTCATATTGATGTATCTTTAATCGAAGAACCGTGGGAGTGATAGTAGTAGCAATGTAATGTAGCTGGGAGTAAAACTCAAGACTTAAGTAAAAGAGGTTCAAGATTGAGAAGAAACACTAGTATGTCTATGATGGAATGCAGCGGTATTGAGCACACCACCATACTATTTCATGAATACTAATTAGTCCATATGGAATAGAACTATTAGCAGCTAATCTTGACCATCTACTTATCCCTGCACCTATTATTGTTGGATCAGTTTGGAACTCCATTCAAACGGAATGCCTTGTCCAATTCTTTTCAGTTCGTTCTTTTCCAAACGCAACATCCATTTTCGCGTCGTTGTATTGTGGTGGGGTGCGAATTTTGACTAACAGAAGCTATAGATAATCACAAGATAGAGGAGAAAAAGACAAACAAAAAAGCAAAGAGAAAGTTAGAGTTAGGAAAATAGTAGAGGAGAGGAGAAGAGATTCATATTCATATGCTATCTGCGCTTGCAGTCGTGACAGGAGGCTCTGCAGTATGTCTCTCTGACTATTAAATAGACATAGTATGTTGAAAGAGTATCGATGAAGTGCACTTGTTAACTTCGAGTACAATACGCTCATCATTATTGTAGGGTGATAGCAATGGTTTTGCGTAGACCTAGAATTCCCATGTTGTTGGTGGTGGGTTAGCCGAGCCTAGCCGTCTAGCGACATCTCCAGATTACAATGTAGGTAAGATACAGTATCGGCTTTCAGCCACAACCTTGAGCAACAGTTAAGAGGTCAAGATACAGCGATAATTGGGAATGATTGGAAATGCGAATACATTCCCGAATGTACTTAGTTCTATGACTCCTCCTCTCATACCATCGATACCAAAAACTCTGCCACGATGTCGAACTTCAAGCGCGCCCCAGTTCAGGGTAGCAATCGAAACAGCATACTGAGTTCTCTGAGAGCTACCCAAATGGTTGGCAGTAATGGCAGCAAGCCTGTCTTACCTGCTGAAATAATATCTACAATCCTCGACTATTTGCCTATCCCAGATCTCATGAACTTTGCGCGCACATCGAGACGAATGCAAGAAATGGTATATGAAGATTCGCGATGGGTGTCAAGACTGAAAGCTATGGGTGTTTGGAACGAAGGAGAAGCTAGGAAGAGATTCGAAGAAATATTAAGGAAAAAGCGAGAGACGGTGCGACTAAGGGTTGAAGAGGATTCTAAGAGGACTGGGATTGGTGTTGGTGTTGGTGTTGGCGGTGCTGGAGGTGGGGGTGGGAATATTGGTGGGATGAGGAAAACTAGCACGACATTATTCGACGCGGGAGAGGAGGAGCTACGGCAGCAGAGAAAATCCGCAGAAATTGCCTCTAAAAGTACGAGAGGACTGGAAGATGGTTTCGAGACATTGTCCATATCAGGGCAAGGCCACATGAGCCTGCCACCTCCACCACGAACACGAACACCTATGCAAGATCCAGAAGCCCTGTTAAATGTATTTGCAGAGGTTAGATCCATACGCGGGTCTGCGAGACAAGAATATGGAAAGATATATGCAGCATTAGGGCCATTTTATCACGATTTGGCTAGATCCAGAAGCCATGTTGATCCAATCCTATTTCGAGTTTATCGGACACCAGAACAACAGGCACAAATGCTAGCCCATCTCCAGGTATTTTCGCGGAGTGACTGGGCTCAAGGATGGAGACAGCGAGAAGAGAGACTAATTACTATGACGGGTATATTTGAGACGGCAGTGCTACGAGAATTTGAGCAGGGTTATGAAGCATGGGATATTGATGGTAGAATGCGGCGATATGCTCATGTCTTGGGTGTACTAAATGGGGGTCATGCTGGTATAGAACTGTTCGTTCAGAAACATCCATTATTTTCCGATAGGGATGTTCTTGGTAACTCAATGGATTGTATTAACCAAGCAGCATCTGAAGGTATAGCACTCGAACCTTCACGGGAATTTTTGCAAAGGTTGTCCAAGAATGTCAATGAACAAGCAGATATAATCGATAGGGTCTTCCCTCCCGGTGAGGATGTTCTACAGATCTTTTTGGATAAAATTGCAGAAGATATTCTCATGGAATATGTTACTCCTTTATTTGATGAAGCTCACGAACGAAGCATAGCATCTTATTTGCAAGCTGTTTCTGGTATCTTTGAGCAAAGTATGCAATTTGCATCTACATTGCGGTCTACTAGGAACTCTGGAAAAGACTTCTTTGACAAGGTCAAAACTGTCATCGCGCGAGTGTTCGAGCCTCACGTGGATCTCTACCTGTCAGAAGAGCTTGATTATTTCAAAAGGCTCGCTGAATCAGAAGTAGAGGATTGGGAAACAAAGCTCTCGGTTCAAGATGCCTCTAAGGAGTCATTCTATATGGCCAACGTTAATCGGGTTGCTGATAAAAAGGATTTCATGAGCTCGTTCAAGAAGGTCGTTATGATGCCTGTCAATGTTCTCCCCACAATGTCCCCCTTTGGTGCGACTAAGACCGTGACAGCAGCCCAAGCAGGGAGTCGGTCAAGTTTGCAAGTACTCAGCGCGAGTCAGTCACCAGTACCTTCTCGCTCGACCACTCCATCATTACCACCGGGTGCAATATCGGTTCCACTACCGGCTGAAGCACCAACTGATGAACTCGCAGCCAAGGCTGCTTTGATGGCCTCAAGGCTGGAGGGGATTCGCTCACTCTTCAGCATTGAAGTTGCACTAGACCTTACGCATTCCGCAAAAGCGAGTATCGAACGTGCTGCTCTATTCGTCAGACTAGGAGGCCAAACCGGAGAAGAAGCCCGAGAACAGTGTGAAGCAATATTCGTAGTGTTACTGCAAATCCTTGGAACGAGACATGTCAAGACTGGCTTTGACAAAGCTGTTGATCATCTTTCAAAATACAACCCTCGTGAGATTAGCGAGCACCAAAAGGGTGTAGTAGTACCGTTGATGACATTCTTAGAACTTGTCAATGTAGGTGACTTGATCTCCCAGATGATTGATGTTTTCTATGAACAGCAACTCGCGACAACCAAACTTGCGGATCGAAATGATTTTCTTGATCCCGCAGTTAAAGCCAAGAAGAAATTTGAACAAATGCTGGATGAACGAGTCGCAGCCGGTTTGAACAAAGGTATAGATGTACTTATGGATGAAGTGGAATATATTTGCGGCACTACTCAACTCCCCACAGACTACAATCCTCCCGAGTTCGACGCCATGGGAATAAGCCCGGATATGGATATTGGGCCAACTACCACTGCTGAACAAGTCGTCGCCCTTGTAGAATCCCACACCAAGATGCTCACCGGCAGCACCGACAAAACCATGCTCGATGTCTTCAATCAAGAAGTCGGACTCCGTCTCTTCACCGCCGTCTGCAAACATCTCAAGCGTCAACGAATCTCCACCTCTGGCGCCATCAAGCTTATCTCAGATATGAATTTATATTTTGTCTATATCAAAACACTTCGAAACGCGGATTTGCTACAGTATTTCAAGGCTTTGAGGGAGTTGAGTCAGATATATTTGATAAGTCCCGGTCATGCAAAGGAAATGGCTACGGTTATTGCGGATGGTGATAGATTTGGGGGGATCTTTAGAGCGGAGGAGGTTTATGAGTTTGCAGAGAGGAGAGCTGATTGGTATACGGTTAAAAAAGATGTAGAGAGGGCTATGTATGGGATTGGATGTGGAGTTATGTGAGTTAAGGGTCGGGAATTGGAGAAGATATTGGGATGGCCTGTATAGATGCCTTATGAAAAATGCATGATTGTGTCTTTTATAGACAAATAAATACGATGGAATGACTTTTAACTGCAATTATAAGTGACTATGGTTCAACTCTTGTGGCTCTAGCTTTTTCCTTCCCGTCCATCCTTGACGCCAGATAAATATCACGTACGCCGCCTAAAATTTACCATATCCCAAGACTTCTACCTCATCGAAGAGAAATCCAACTTCCTCGCTACTTTACTTGCCCTATCATCATCTACCATTCCCGGTCTCCTCTTCAAATCCTCCCCCATTTTCGCTTCGCCGCCCCTCTTCTTTGGTAGATCTGCATTTTTTGTAGGTTTAGGATCCGATGCCCACCAAGGATGTTCTAACACCGCCCTAGCGGTAATCCTTTTCCTAGGATCCAGTATCAACATGCTTATCAAAAGGTCGACTCCCTCGGATCCAGCAGCTCCAAACATGCCTAAATATTGTTCCCGTGGAACTAATGGGTTCGGAGGCTCAGATACTGTGTATTCGGGCAATTTTGTTACACCCGGCCAGTTGTCTTCTGTTGGTGTACCGACTGCCTGGCAGATTAGGGACACTTGATGGACCTCAGTATCACCTGCTATAAACGGGATTCTCAATATCATTTCGGCAAACACGAGTCCAACGGACCATACATCCACGGCGCCCGAATAATGTCTTGCGCCGAACAACAGCTCAGGTGGTCGATACCAGCGTGTTATTACATTCGATGTCATCGTTCGTTGAGGATCCGCAAAATTTCTCGCCAAACCGAAATCTGCAAGTTTGACTTCTCCATCCGCGGCAATTAACAAATTGTTAGGTTTGATATCACGGTGTAAAATGAAGTTTTCATGACAGAACCAGACGGCTCGACTGAGCATTCCCATCCAAGCTTTTATATCGGCGGCACCATATCGTACGCCGTCAACGTCTTTGATTAACATTTCTAAATCCCCAAGAGGTAAGAATTCGAGAACGAGATTAAGGTTTTGATCTTTAGAAGAGAATACTGAGAGCAGGGATATTATATTCGGGTGGGAGATTTCCTGGAGGTGCTTGAGTTCGCGAATGGCATCTGGCGCCATTCCTTCGGTATATTCTTTTTGTATTTTGATCTTTTTGATTGCTACGACGACACTGGGATCCGTTCTGAGGTGGCCAAGGTAGACGTTGGCATAAGTTCCCTCTCCGAGCTTTTTGCCTAAGACGATGGGTGATCAGCTATAATATGGGCTAACAGTGGAGAAGTGAAGAATGGGCACCTTTAACATATTTAGACCTCTCATTTTCGTTCATCTGCTCTGCTAGATCATAGGTTGTGCCAGCAGTTGCAGATGGCCGATCTGAGGGAGTACCATTACCACTGGGAACAGCACTCGAGAGCTTTGATCTGCTTGCGCTTCTCTCGCCAGATTCCGTAGATGGAACAATGAGAGGTGAAACTGCCATATTTGAAAAGAGTGGCAATTTTATTCCTATGCCAACAGCATATTCCGAGGAAAGTGTGTAGTGACGATTCCGATGTGGTTGGTCGAAGGCTTTGATTCGTATAGTCGGATTGATGAATAAGGTTAAGACTTTGATACCCTAAGTTAAAAAAGCCCCTGGGGCTAGGATTGAACACCTGCTCTTCCACATTCGCGGCACACTTTCTATGAGATTCTGAAAGTTTGTAAATTTAATTCTACGTTCGAAGTTCCACTTCTCCATTGACGCAAAAGTTGGAAGGTCCAGCAGATAGATAGATGTACGGAGTTCAGCCGAACTTTGAACAAGGCTGAGCACTGGGATCTCAGAGATCTTAGCGCTAATTGATTAGTCAGCGACATCCCACATCCGGAGTAAACCTCCTTATCTGCCGGAGGATTTTCCCATATCACTTCCATTACTCCATATGATATGAACCTTGGTTTGTCGTACCCGAGTAAAGCATAGAGAGTCTATGTGTGCTATTGGTCATGAGCATTATCAACCATGCTCATCTCCGCTACTTGGTTGTGTGAGCAATGTATGAAACTTTGGAAGTGAAGGGAGGTGCAAAGGTTTATACTTGAACCTTACAATTTCGAAGGTTCTTTCCAAGTGGAACCAATTGCTCTTTCTACATTGGATTCTCATGCACACTGTATGAGGTAGATATAATTCTTCTTCAAATGAAACACATTCACCGTTGTTGTCAATACCCAGTTCCTACACACTCACTTCAATGTGATTGGTGTCATCGGAAGTTGACTGGCTTATTTTTTTCTCTTCATTCATTACTATTTTGAGCTTTTACTTAGATCCATCAACAAATTATAATACCAATACTCGTCTCGTTCAACATGCTGCAAGTATTTTCATACTGGGTAATAATCCTTTATCAAACCTCAAACTTCCGCACTGTCTGACAACAACTAGATGATTCCCACGGCCTCAGCCATCATCTGGTTCACTACACTCACTGCTCTGCTTGGTGCCTTTATCGTCTTCCCACCTCGCGATCCCCTCGACCCCGCTTCATTAGCCAAACCACCTTATCCATCAATGGCTTCCAGACTCCATACGGTCCCATATGTATCCGATATTGGAGCAACCAAAGAGATGCAACCACTGTTTGTACTTGGTTCTGTTCTTACTACTTTCTTACTCGCGGCCTGTTTTATTTCAGAAAGGGCACTGCGTCATAGAGGTCGCCTTGCAAGAAATACCGATAATACGGAAAGAGTAGTGGCTTATCTCAGTATCCTGTCGGCTGTAATGGGATCATTGGGCTTGATACTCCTGAGCATATTTGATGTTTGGAGATATAGGAGTGTGCATAACACAATGGTTGTATTCTTTATTGCTGGATACGCTATTAGTGCATTTTTCCAATTTTGGGAGCATTATCGAATGGGGCGTAGTATGGCTCCCTTTTTCTTACTCTATTCACATTGTCTGACATGGACAGAATATCGGGACACGCATGCGAACCTAATGATATCAGCCTATACGAAGCTCGTTTTCATTATTATTGAGAGTGTCCTTGGTGTAGCATATTGGTATGTCTTCATGGCAAAGAATTGGGATGCGGGTGCTGCTATCGAATGGGCTGTCTCCTACATTTTTTGTTTTTACATTCTCTCATATCTTTTTGACTTTCTCCCGGCATTGACTACGAAAGAAAAGGACCGTAGGTTTGGAGTTTATACGGAAGATTGCATGGTTCAGATTAATGGGAACAGGGAACGGGCCGTTGTACAGGAGGTTAGGGGAGTGGCACCTGGATGAGGCAGAACGAGTTTTGAGACTACGAGGGTTTTTGTTATCTTATACTTTATACTCGGTCACAATCCGTTGCATTAGCCAACAAGATTCCAAAAATGCCAAGTATTTTGACAGCAAACACATATATGTAGTAGTCCGTACATTGATTAACATTAACATTCAAAGTCAGCTCGATAATTATCAAGGAAAGCTACCACCATTACGAAACCAAGCAAACAACTCTTACTTCACCTTTGCTCCCTCTTTCGCAGTCGCATTATAACTTGCTGGCTTATTCTTTCTGACGGTCACCTTTGCCGTTTGAAATCTCACAAAACATCCTGCTACCACTTGCTCCTTGGTTTTATCTGTCTCCACCAAACCTGTCTCAATCAGCTCTTTTACAAACATCTCTACATCCTCGAATTCGTTCCAATCGTTCCAAAATCTATCCGGCATGCCCGTATTGTTGAACAGAGCTATTAATCCCGCATTCACTGTATTAGCAGCCGCTAATATAGTTATCGCAAGTCCATGTTTCGCAGCAGAAGAAGATCCAAGAGCAGTCAAGACGGCTCCGAGTAGAAGCTGGAGAATCAACGCGAGGCTATAAACGGCATTGGAAATGCAATAAGCCAGTTGATACTTCTGACGTGCTCGGACGATATCTTTATAAAGACCATTAGGCAAGTGCCGATGTGGGAAGAAAGGGGAGCTAGAAGCGATTTCGACGGGTTGAGACGGGTCGTCGAGGCGCGTGGCGCCAATGGAGCGAAGGATGCCTATGTATTCTGCTTCGGGAAGGGTACAGAGAGGTGGCAGCACGAACTGGGTTTCGATTTGACCGAGGGCGTCGACGTCTTGTGGTGTAGGTGTCGAGCTTCGAGAGGGTGTGGGATCGGGCTTCAGTTTGTCGGCTACGGTGGTAGAAGTCATAGTTAAGGCACGTTGGCTGGAGTGTGTATGATTGATTTGGTGAGTGGATTGATTGGACTGATGATTGATAGACTGCCAATACACGATACTGACTGAAATAACCTAGGCTAGGTACATCTATAACGAAGAGAAGGCGGAAAAAGATTTCAACTAAATCACAGAATAAACGATACAGAGGCAAAACAAGGAACGAATCCTTCTGGCATCTGTGTCGTCTTATACTCCAGTGCGGCAACCTCTCTGGCAGCCTACACGACACTTGTTATGAGCGATTCTCCCGGTATGTACGTGCGGCGCGACTCAGGCTTCAACACCATCATTGCCTCGATTTCAGCACACCATACTTCAAGTCAGCGGTTCTCTATTGGATCACAAAGTCTGTGAGCGTTTGGTGAGGCTCCATGTTATTTCCCGATATGGTAATGAAACAATCAAGGATGGTATTACGAAAGCGTAAGACGGATCCGCCAAGTCTGTGCGCCACCTTCGTACACCCAATGCAGCCTTATGGAGATTGAATCTGAGTCAATTCGCCGGGGAAGGATCTTTACATATCAATATCAGCATTGTGTTGTATCCACGAGACTGGAAATGATTAACGCTTCGTGTTCAGAGCGTTGATCAAATAACGTAATGGTATGGGCAGATTGATTTGAAGTTCGACATTGTGGTACACTGAGATGACATGAGATGATATCATTCAATATGCATCTATGCATCTATATAATTTGAGTCAGATATATAGGTACATCTTACTCTAAGGGGTAACCTAAGTCATCAAAAGCTTGAGTAACCTTAACCAGTCATCCCCACAAGTTCCCGAACTAGTTCTCGTTGAAACGATTTCCACAATAACTGGTCTAAAAATCTAAGTTGAGCTCTCTCGGAAGAACAACTTGAGCGGCTATAGTTTTCTCGAGGCGTGGTCGCATCAATCGATGAGAACTCGAAATGATTCCTTACTTCTGAAACAAAAGGGGAAGACAGCCCTATCGCTTATTTGTGCAGGGAGGTGATGGACACAGTATCATTGGTTGGGTTGTACGATGGTGGCTTAATTTACTGTTGGATCCTTCCTTAACCTTACCTTACTCTCTATCAAACACTTTTTAATCTTTTGTAAGTTTTCAATCCTAATATATAGATAGATAGATACATAACGTAAAATACTAGACAGGATATGAGTAAGATAAGATGTATGGATTTCCATGCTAGCTTTATGTAGATGATGATGGAGAATCGAGATTAGGTTAGTTAGGGAGAGGAAAAACGTCAATTGTGCTATCTCAGTGATTGTTGTCTACTCCATAGAGATAGAATCATTTCAAGATCTGGACATGGATAATTGATCGGATAAGACAGGAAACGATGCGTTCTGTGATTGCCGTCTAGTTCAGTTCAGCCTCTGATCGATCGATGGGTCGCGCCCCGGCAACGGACGGGAGGTTTTGGCCAGCGCTACAAAATAGGTATGAAAGCCGTTCTTTAGCAAGGATTCTGGTGCTCATTCCCTCTTAACCCTTTAACTAAGTAAGCGCTTGCTATTCCTGGTGAATAATGCGAGATGGAGTATCTATCCATGCTACTACATGTCATCCCGGCTATGCAGGTGACTCAAGTTGGTGTTGATACTGACGTTGGGAATACTTTTTATTGTAAGATTATTTCCACAGTTTGGCCTTTCAGATCGTTTTAGTTGTGTTGTTTAGTAGAATTGGTTTATGAGTTATTAGGTCTTCAAAATTTATTATGGCTCGATACGGGATTATTGATTTCGAGGATGATATTATGTCAATATACGTACCGTTATTGTGAAATTGGGAGGATTATGGCCATATCAATGTCTCATGTCGTTATATTTGTAAATATATTCACTATCGAGGATTGTCTAGTGTTGAATTTCTCTCATGCATTACTTGGATACTTCTTTATGATTTTCGTCGTCTACGTAGTGTAGTATTCGGAGACGAGGTAAGCTTAAACTGTAGATATGTTGGTATATACCAGCCATATCAAATATAATTTAATTCATATAAACAAACGCAATACTCTCCTATCAAATCAAAATACATTTACCCGGCCCCTTGACATGGAAAAAATAAGGACAAGCATTTCCTAACCGCCGATCCAGAATGTCGGGACGATAGCCGCCGCACAGTATGTCCTCATCTTCGCCTCTTTAAATTAAGCGGGTTTTAATCTATTATATTGACTTGTGATGAGAATTGTTTGGACAACGAATTGCGTATTCCTTGGTACGCTTTTTGGTTATTTACAGAACACTGGAATCTAGTGTACCAAGTAGACCATGACAGAGAAGAACAATTGGAAATAGGTAATGGTAGAATACAGCGCTAGAACCAGAAGCATTTCTGAAAGCTGACGTACTCAGATTAATTAAGGAACAGTCTCACTTGCATTAGATCTCGTAAATATTAACACTGAGTATCTATAAAATTCATATCATAAATCGTTTCTTGAGGGATCTACATTTGCGCTTGCATCTCTTTCGTCCTAGAACCCATATGCCTTCCTGACTCCCAAAAGTAGAACCAAATTATAAGAAATTCATCTTTTCATAAAGTACCAATAACAAGCAAACTCATACCTTGACTCTTAAAGTAACCGCGTGAAGTGTATCCTAGCTTTCTTTTCATTTATTGTCCATAGTCCTTACAATATTGCCACCTAAAAGAATAGAAGAGGTTCGATACGGCTTGTTATACGGGCTCCGTAACCGAGTTTGGTCAGGTTTGCCGTCTCAACGAGGGACTCGATGGCTATGGAAAGAATTTATTCTAAAGTCTGTATGGGTGGTGTAATCAGTTATATGCGTTGAATGGAACAGGGAAGAAGTGTTCTGGCGCGGAGTAATAGAGATGCAAGGTAAGTTTAGGTGGTTAGCTATATGTGTATCTGATCTTCGAATTGCGATATAATGAGACTCAAACTCTTCTAGCGCTTTCAACAGAGTAGGTAAAAGTGCATGCATATTGAAGAGTCTCAACAGCTTGAACGAGGAAAAAAGACTTGGCAGAAAAGAAAAGGTGAATATTAAGGAGGGAGATTGATCTCCACCTAAGTTCAACTGGGACTCTTTGATGTAATTGAGCTTCAATTATAACAGTATCGCATTCATACGTCACGTATTTGCGCATTATAGATGGCTCAGATTACCAATCAGCCATACATCATAGTATATAGAAATAGACAAACTTAAATATTCTCACCCGTCAAAAATAAATCTACTGAACTCCGGTGAAGTGTCAAAACCCCAGTCGAATCAACCAGCAAAGATGCTTTCAACACTCAATCTAGTGCTCGGTCATAACTGTGATTAGATCTTACTACCAACAATGTATGATTGGCCAATGTATCTACATTTTATAGAAATGGAAAAGAGACAAGACAGTGATCATTCCATAAAGAAACGAAAGTCTAAGTTCGACTAGATCTTGAGTGAAAAGTATAACTTTACCCAAATTCGGCATTAGAGCATAATAAAAAGTATTAAATCTAGGTTTACACCGCACTATTAGGAGTGGAGCCAAATCTATGAAAAAGTCTCTACCCTAACTAATATCGGCTATGAACCTACGATATACATGTAAAGTTCTTATCCTTGTCCGAAGTAAAATTATATAAATGCTTCGAGTAGAAATCTCCAAAACGAATCTTGCGGGGAGGTTTACCATTAAATAATTTAGAAATTCATCAACTAATTATCAATCAAAAAAACAAAAAATGGGTTCTGTTAGTCCTTCAAGAGCTTCTTGCAAAATCGCTATTGTAGGAGCTGGTCTAGCGGGGTCTTGCTACTGCAGTTAGCCTTCAGAGAGCAGGACATCAAGTCACTGTATTCGAGGTATACTCTGGATTAAAAGAGGTGCGCATTTTTACTCTTCCATTCTATGTATTACGAAATTCCCGCAAAACTGAAAAAAAAAAGAATAACTATGATTAGATTGGCGCAGGTGAGATATTCCATAGATCTTAAGCGTCCTCGCATCTCATATTAACCATCTATCGTAAACCAGGAATCAACGTAGCAACCAAAGCGACGATCCTATTCTAAGAATGGGGTATCCACCCAGAACTAGAAGAAGTTTCTATCGAACCCGAAATTGCGCGGATTTCTCCCACAAATCAGAGATTCTTTCTAATACGAATGTGAGTCCTGATCTTCAGGACCTTTACAAAAACGCCTTATTTTATCACTCATCGAGCAGAGTTACAAAATGTGCTTTTTCGCGAAGCGTTAAAATCAGGAGCTGTGGTGAATTTTGGGATTAGGATACAGAAAATCGGCTTTGAGAATTCGACGCTGGAACCTACGGATGGGACGACTACTGGTGCTTTTGATGTTATATTAGGAGCTGATGGAGAAAAATCTTTTTGTCGAGAATCATTGCTTGGACGAGATGATCCTCTTCTTGATAGAGGTTTTGATATTTACCCCGCTACGGTAAAGATTGATGGTGTGGCTAAGCAGCCTGAAATTGCTGGGTGGGTGAATGTTCATAGTATTAATATGTGGATTGGTCCGGAAGGTCATACGGTGACTTATCCAATCAAGAAAGGGAATTTACTCAACATCGTACTGACTCATGAACATGAGTCTGACTCTTCGACATCAGCTGGACCTGTACCAGTGGGCTCGGAAGTTGTTCATGAAGCCTTTGAACATTGGAGTCCGGAGTTTCACCAGCTGTTAAGTTTGCCAACTGCAGTGAGTCTATTTCTTCCAACATCTCACATTCCAATTCACAACCAACTGACTTTCGTTGCTCTAGTGGATGAAAAGAAGAATGATGTATTCTCCCGAATGTACATCTTGGCTACACCTCTCGGGTCATTTTGCTCTTCTCGGAGATTCAGCACATGGATCTCCACCATATCTGTAAGATGACTCGAATCGACTCTCCAGAAAACAAACTAACTACCGAGCGATCTATTACAGAGCACAAGGTGCGGCAATAGCTTTTGAAGATGCCGCCGTCCTTGGAGTTTTGTTTTCCAAGATTCAAAGCAAGAATGACATGCCTGGATTACTAACAATGTACGATAATCTTCGACGACCAAGAGCGTTGTTGTGCAAGGGCCGTAGCAGAGCTCTCTGTAACATTTTCGATGAAGAATGGCCCAGAGCAAGAAGAGAGAGACAGATTGTTGTTGCAAAAGTCATATTATGATGGCTCTCCAAATTCCCTTGAAGATCCTTTCTCGCGCACTTGGCTGTATGGACATAACGCCGTGGAGGCTGCGGAAGAAGCGTGGCGTGACCATATCAAGCAGAAAGAGGCGATTTGTACTAATTCAGCCTTGTATTGAGTTGTAATAAGACTACATAGCTTATGGAACTAAATCTAGCTATTGAAGCCCAAAAACACTCTAATCTGTACTTGTATTAGCAAATATTGAAAACCGCAATTATAATTCACCATACCCATTCGTCCTAAATACTCAATGCACAAACTGCCAATCAACACAGCTCCCGCCATGAGCGGATCATGACTAAACCACCAGCGGCACTGCTCAGCACTTCTAAAGTCGATTCCCGTGACCATCCTAAAGAGCATGACAATATTGAAAAATGGAGGACCAGAATAGTACAAACTACTAGCTTCCAGTACCTTCCCTAGACCAATAGCACTGCAACCTGCGCTATTCCAAGTACTCCCAATAACTCTCGTATGTGGAATTTATGACGGACCGCCATAGAATTAATTCCTGCCTTCGTGTCGTCGGGCAGATCCTGGAAAGCATACACCGTCTCGAAGATAACTGCCCATATCGTGTAATAAATGAAGAGTAATAGCGCCCCCTTGATAGTGGGGTCGGATTCTTCGCTAGAGAGCAACAACTGCACAAAATCAAGCCCCATCGCCGCAAATCCAACCAAAACCCCCCATGCGAAAGTAAGACCTAACCAGACTAGAATATAGGCCGTAAATCTCTTAGTAAATGGGTACACACCCGAAAAAACAATTAAAGCCACTCCATGAGTGAGGAACGACGAAACGAGACTTTTCATCAGAGCTATCCAGACAAAGCAGAGGAATCCTGTAAACAAAAAAGCATTTCTCACCGAGAGCTTGCCGCTGGCCATGGGTCTCCGCTTGCATCTTTCCACCAGCTTGTCGAGGTCTCGATCGACGATATCGTCCCACGCACATGCCCATGAACGCAGCAAGAATGTGCCACACAGCAAAAGAAAATTGATTCGCGCGACGTCTTGCAACGCTATCTTGGGCTGTGACAAACATGCTGCGTAGAGCGATCCGACGACGTAGGTAAAATGAATGATCACAATACAAACTAGTTTCTCAAGCCATATAAGTTGCGCATAAGGGGACCAACTACTCTTGGTGGCAGGCATCTGCGTTGCGCCCATGGTGGGTGTTGTGGTGTTGGCTATGAAAGCGACACAATACACAAAGCGTTACAAGTCAAATCGGGTAGTGGTAAAAGAGAACTGACATCAATCAACACGTCTTCCAACCTTAGAGGCACAATATAAGTCTTCTGACTCATTCTTGGCGTAACGTCTAAAATCATCTTCCGCCATACTAAAGCCTGGCTACATTGCTCGTGTCCACCAGTTTTTGATCTATTAACCAGAATGATCAGCTGAAAAATTCATCTTATCACCATTTATAATTGCTTTTAAGCATATCAAACACTACATGAAGGCATCGTGTAAATAGAAAATCCATGGCTCCAATAAACTCAAATTCTGAACCCAGACAGAAATAAATTCACAAAATAGTTCGAAAATAATATGGCCCGGTTCCCGATCGGCTTCCGAAATTTTCATTCGCAAATGCAAAATGGAACACCGCCGATCCCGACAAATAACCCTAATGCACAGCCAAGGACTTTTGAAATCGATCGAAGGAACCAGGAGGACGTGACTCATCATCTCACTATCGTGGACCTCCCTAACCAAGCATTTCCTCCGCTGGCGTGAAGTAATATCGACGACGCCCTATGAGTTATAAAAGTATAGCGTGAAACTATCGACACTTACACATGTTGGTGGTGCTCAATAGTGACTGAATCGATTGCAAGAAACTGAGAATTAACTGGTTTCAGGGGAGACTTCCTCCTACCTGGACTATCTGAGGAACGTCCAAAGATTGTTGTCATTCTTGGTCTATGCATAAATGACAGAATGACTTTGAACCGCCATCTTGGAGTTTAGATCAAATTACATTTCGATCGTCCTCCAAGACCATGTGATTCAAATTTAATTCCGGAGTGAAAAATCATGTGCATATATCTAAACCAGGTAAAAGATATCAATCCAACTATTTGCCCTGTAAGTACGCACTAGCGTAGACCTAAGAACAGGTATGCCTTTCCGAGTAGAAAGTATCAGTTACGAGAAATACAAATGCAATACAAATACAATAACGGGAATCCACCAAAACTTGGATGGATGGCAATATTTCTGTGAGCTGATTTCCATAAGAAAAACGAAATGCAGTAGCTTCCAGTTATCTGCATTAAGAATGGGATATGATATAATTGCCGATTATGGTATGCATCTCGGAGATCTGTTCAAGGATGTAGATGCATGTGTCTGAACAATTTTTTTAAGATTTCTCCAGATCACATCAAGGAGCCTACCAAATGTGGTAAGGAGGTATTTCATGGGGGAGAAAATCCCTATATGTGTTATTCTATGTAGAATTAGTCTGATCTATCTTGGTGTACACTCACCCCGCCTAGCCTTATCTACTTGCCCAGCGTAAAGTGCCACCCTCTTTTTTCACGGCTATGCCATCAGTTCCCGCACAAGAGCTGTTCTTTCATCCTCCGTAAAGCCGATCGTCGTCAGATAATTCTCAACAGTACCATATGAGTTTATCAGATACTCATAAGTCTTTTCAACAAAATCAACAGGACATCCAGCGAAATCGTCACTTAGACCAATCTCGTGGATTTCCTTCAAACGACTCTCCCTTTCGGGAAGCAATTTCTCCTCACTCATAAGATAGTCATGGGAGATGGCTTCTATGGGTATCTCGAGGATAAATAGGACTAAAGCGATAATGAGTCCGGTGCGATCTTTTCCTTGCGTACAATGGGCAAGAATTGGATAATCTGACGGAGAACAGTATGTCCTAAGAACCTAAGGAAAGTCAGACGGGATGATTATGGAGGGGTAATAATGATATACTGAGGCGAGTTCTGGACCACAATGATGAATCGTATCGAAACTCAATCCTATAAGTCCTCGGGGTTGCAAGACCTGTCGTCCTAGAATGCCGATGGCCTCCAACCGGTAACCCAAACCCATCAGGCCGATCAATTTCCTATATGCACTTGTCAGCTTCTATATTTAACAAGGGAGGTCGAAACTCACATAAGACTATAAGGTGATAATTGCCATACTAAACTTCTCTCAAACCCTTTACCATTCACATTGATCTCCATATACTCAATGCCCGGTATCTTCATTGGCTCCTTCAGCGCGCTGTTTAAATTTACAAGACGAGGATCACGAATATCTATTGCCCGCTTTTTTGCTTGCTTATCGTGTTCTGTTCTGTGATAATTAGTTTCTTAGGCTACCTAGGTACTCGATTTAGAGGAAAGTTGGCTTTCTTACAGTGTCCGCAGGTCCAGGATAGTTTTGATGCCATAATGGTCCTTTATCCGCTGCCTATCCGATATTGTGGCATCGTCTACCCGGGAATTTGTTAACACAATTTGATTTTTGCCAGACTCACCACCTTGAGCTGGCTGACGTCCTGAATGTGGCATGGATGGCTTCACGGCCTGATGAATACACACCTAGCCTTGCGGAGCGATATATTCGTCCTTCCTTAATGAGCCTTGAAAGTAAACATTAGACCTTATATCTCGACAATCTTTATGAGGCAGGTAGGATTACATACTTTTCTCCTAAGAAATCATTGATAGTTTTGCCAACGTCACGAAAATTCAGGATGTTGCTAAACTGTCCATCGTACATATCTTTTTGTTGCGAGCCCATTACCAACTTTGGCGGATGTTTTGAGTGTTGTACGGCACGTGAGATATTTATCCCAAGTGGTATTACCAGCGAGGGTAGGAAGCTAATGATAATTAAAGAAAAAAGGAAGATATCGCGGTTGATAGTGTGGAGTTGAAAAGTCGTTACTTTTGATTGCTTTGGCAAGTTTGAGGAAGGAAAGAGGTATGGCGAGATATCAACCTCGCACGATTAATCCTGCAGAAGCCTTATTTAGACTGCGACTGGAATTGCTCAATGAATGTTTGAATTTTCAAAGTGGTATAAAAAGAGACATTGAAGAGGTTATCATATCAACCGACGACGATGCATACCTGTAAAACCGGGAAAACACTGGTCGGGTCCTGTGCAATTTCAATCCCTGCTGGAGATCATGTAAGATGTAAGATGTAAGGTGGGTGGTGGGTGGTCCATTGGTCCGTTGATCCATTGATCCTCATATAAAAATTTGTGCCATTTATGGGGAAATCCAATGTACTCCGTATAATCAACCACAATCCCAGGTGTACATCCATATATGATGCTTCCCTCTGTAGGTAGTTGAAGTTCTCATCTTCGTAGCGACAGCAAATCTTTCATTCATCGGAAATGCCTTTCTCTCCAACAATGAAAATCATTGCGATGAACATCAACCACCAATTCAGGTGTTGGTGGTAGCACAGCAGCACACCACTCCTGTACGTACCCGGCACTTATCCTAATCTTGGTGTCGCCTGAATGCAAACTACGTCATCATTCAGCATTTCCCTTTGCCAGAAATTCACCAAGGGCTTGGTCAATCAGTCGTCAATCAAGCATTTCGATGGCTTAAAATCAACATTGTCAATGTGGCCATGTTGAGATCGAACTACGAATAACTAGGTAATATACTAACAAGAGAGAAGATGGAGAAACTAAACGATTCACAGTTAGAGGTGTCGTAGTATCATGGAAGGACATTGGTGAACTACAACAATACCAGGCTCATTCATCCGCGCATCCAAACTCAAATCTTCATCCAAGTTTATTATCACATTATTATTATTATTAGTCTACCGGCAAGGCAGGCTGCCCCTCCCGCATGTTATCACATACATTGTGTTCATAAGGTTACTCGGTGGAATCAGCTCAAACCACACCACACCACACCACATACCAAATATCCGGACTTACGAGAACATTTATTTTACAGCAAGCCTTTGAATCGGAACAACCTTTTTACTTCTTACTTCGCGACTCCGGATTCTTCCCTTCGTTTGGATACCACATTAAGAGACAAACGTCGGCTTGCATTCCGAGGAACATACCAGCATACCCGCAGAACAAAGAAGGATTATCGCGTAATCATGTCAACTACCAATATTCATCATGGTCTGCATAAATCATCCTTGAATTGCTTACACTGTTAGCTAATACGCTCTGCGGATGCAGAAATCAGATCCAATGGGATGCCAATGGAAGGCAGCAATCATAAACCACCGCATATGATACCTTTACCCGATGATAGTCCAACTCGCACAAGCTCCAATAAACTAGAAGATCAAGCTGCGACAGCCGCTCTATACATCACAAATCAAAACAATCGAAAGCCCAAACCGGGCTGTGAGTTTCTTGACAGCGACAACAAACTGTCATCTGCCGGTAAGTGTCGCTTTACAGTTTGCATACACAGTAATCGCATCACTAATAGCTTCGTCAAATAGGTGCAGCAGCATCCCTCAAATACGCGAAACCTCGAGATTTACCAAGTTACCCCTCTGCGGGCTTGAAAAAAGATCAATCGGCAGCCGGAACAGCAGCTTCTTTAGGTTGGCAGAACCAAAAAACTTTCAAACATTGGAAGCCGGACCCATCCGCATCAGCTTCTGCTGCTGCAATGTTAGCTAAAGATTACAAGATGAAGCCTCTTTGGCAACCAGAAGCAAGTGCGCACGGTGCAAAGGCAGCTCTATTGGCCCACAAAGCCAATAAAGGTGTCGATTTGTGGCAACCGGAGCCTACCGCATGGGGAAATTCTGCCGCGACTCTAGCTATGAAGAAGGGAAATACATTATCACCTCAATTGGATTATGGCCATACCGCGATTGGGCGGCAAGGTTCCCTCTTGGCAGCAACTGGTGCTATGTCTAGCAGTATGAAACGTGCAAAATCGACTCCGGTGAAGACCCCAAAGCCGGAAACTTATCCCGATGAAGCCAATGCTGCCAGTAATGCCCTGAGAGCCGCAAAGTCTGTTCACAAAACTCAGACTAATACTGAGAAAATTGCATATCCTGCTGAAACCACTACATCTAATAATGCTATGAAAGCAGCAGTTGCCGTTCATAAATCTAACACTGTTCGAAAACCAAATACATTCGAAAAGGGTGTTGGATCAGTACCATACACAGCAATGCCAAGAGAGATGTATACATCCAATCCGCCTGTCAAACAGCTTGAACAAGAGCTGAATAAAGACCAAAATCGAGAGGATGTCTTAAAAGCTTCGGCAATTGCTATGGCCAAGAGAATGTACAACCAACAGCAGAAACAGTTGGATGCTGCTTCTCATGCACAATCAGGTGCAGTTGCCGCTCACGGCCAGCGACGACTTTCCATAGACAGCGACGATGAACCTACACCAATGCGCTTTAATAACCTTCAAGAAAAGGCTCAACAGCTCGCCCATGAGCGGATATCAAGAATGACTACTGAGGATATTCAGAATCGTGAATACCGAGATTATTATGGAGGGACTCCAAGTTTATCATCGAAATTATCCATCCGAGGTCGGACAAGACGTCGAGCTTCCAGTTATGATGAGGACCGCCATCAGTCCGAAAAAATACGAGCTCAGATGAGTTTATTCTCATCTAATATCTCTCAAGTAGATGAGAAAAAGCGACAACGTGATCGTGAAGCTTTGCTTGCTGCAGCTCAGCGGAAAGTCAATGATCGGATTCACGAAATGGATGAAAAGGTATTTGCACAAACTGGCAAGGTTGCTCCATCTCTACTCAACGAATGGGAATTGAAAGCCCATGAAGCTGCTCAGGCAAAGAGTGAAGCTAGATTGGAGAACTATGGTAAAGTCGATATTGGAGGTGGTAAATTTGTCGACCAAAGTGTGATTGATGCTGCCGCTGCTAAGATCATTCAGCCAGTATTGGATGACATGAATAGCAAAGCCGATGCTAAAAGATTTCAAGATGCTGCGATGAAACTTGATGAAGAGCATCGAAGGAGAAAATCCCAAGAAGCTAAGATGAGGGAGAAAGAAGAAAAAGAAATTACCAAAAAATTGAAGCGTAAGTTGTCATTTATTCTCAGAGATTGGTTTACACAAATTAACATACAATGTAGAGCAAGAGAAAGATGAAGAAAAGGAGCGCAGAGCCGAGGAAAAGGCCGCTAAAAAGGAACATCGCAAATCCGCGCCCAAATCCGAACCAGACGCTTTAAAAGTCTTTCCTATACCTACAGCCAGCAAGTCTGAACGTCCCAGTACAGCACCAACTACAGAACGTATTCGTACATCTACGGAAGATCAAGCTCAAGTTAGTGCTCAGATGTCCGGAGCCACAAATGATGCCAACACAACCCAACAACCTACGTCTACTGCTACATCACCAACTTCTGAAAGTGGTTCCAAGGTGAAGAACTGGCTTAAGTCTAAAATGGGAAGGATATCTGGTCGTCACTCTAAATCCCTTTCAGAATCTAGCGCCAAGAAAGAAGCGGCGGGAAGTAAGAAAGGATTTGTGGGTGGCCACGCATACACAGGTGCGAGTGTTAATAATAGTACGGTATCTCTTGGTCAGCACAGCGTTATGGATGTTGCGAATGCCACCATTCTAGTTCCCGGATCTAATCCTGTTGCTGTTCCTACAAAACAACCTGAGGAATTTGAGAGAGCAAACGGAATCAAGGCTACAGCAGGAGATGATGTTAGTAGTGTTAGCGACCATAGCAGTGATAAGAAAAAGAATAAAGAGGAGGTCCTAAGTGGAGATGATGATGAGGAAGAATTTCAGGAGGCGAGAGATAACTTTGATGAGGAATTGGTGCCGCCGAGACCTTTTTCATCTCAGGGGACTACTAGTAGTAGTCCGGGTAGAGCTCCAAAGTTTCATGAAGAGATCTAAGGCGAGATGCGTGAATATATGGGTGTTTTGATTGGGCATGGTATTAGCTTGGAGCTCTTTGATATTGAGGGTTGGAACATGGGAAAGGCACTGTGATTTTTTTATTTTGTTTTACTTTCTATAGCACTATGGTATTTAAACAGAGATGATCTTATGATATTTTTTCTTCTTACGCGGGGGTATTGGAAGGAAGGAAGGAAAGAAGGGAGGGACGGAAGGAATGGGAGGAATTCAAAGTAATATGGCTTATATAACACCTTTTTCGTTTCTAGTTTGGCTTTTGGTTTCAACGTTGCTGTTTATGCGGATGTTACATATGTGGATGGAAGAATATGGATATTGGAGATGGTGATACGAAGGATAGGAATAAGGGAAGGAGGGGGGGTAAGGGAATAGAAAGTGAGCAAAGAAAGAGAACGAAAGGAAAGGGAAGTAAATGAAAGGAAACGAAGGTTAATCTGTAGTAAAATAGTGTAATGTTATCGTGGTGTAATTCAATATGATTAGTTTGCTATTACCGAATTGGGATTTTGTTTGATATAGTTGTATATGGATATATATATGTTCATAGGTATATAGATGGATTGGTGTGGATCGTAATGGGTTGATGGATGCTTGCATAATGATTTTGATAATTATTCAAAGAAAGGAATGATGAATGAATATTATATACTGATAGATATTAAAGAACTCAAGAAGAGTTAGAATATGATTGGTAGTGGTAAGGTTAAGGTTAATGTTAATGTTAGGATATTTGGGATGATGGGTATATAGTGTTAATCGGAGCTTGACTTATTTGAAGGTTGGTTAACTTATGGATGGGTATGGAGTATAGAGTATAGAGTATTTTCAAGTGTTTCAGCGGAAGATAATTAATTAATGGATCTATATTGTTAATAAGAGAGAGGGAGAGAATGGATGAAAGTTATGAGATACTGCCAAAGCACCATACCATCTATACTATATCCACGCTTTAACATGAAGTCTATTCTATTCTATTCCGTAACTCTACCCTATTGATTGATAATCTTAATCTTACAATTAATATAATTATTCCATCCGCTACAACACACGCTGAGGAAGCCCAAAAAAGTCCTTCCTATGCATTCATTCATTCATTCATTCATTCATGAACCAACCGCTAAAAGAAGGATATCCCAAGTTCCCAACTAAACAATAACATCCATCCATCTATTCATTCCCAAAATCGCTTTTGAGTTTAATTAAAGGTTCGTAACCTTATCACAGATTCTAGAACAATTAACCAAGTGGTACATACGTAGTACGTATCCTTGAAGTAAACAGAAGTGAACAGAACGGAACAGAACAGAACTGAACAGAACTAAACTCAACCCCAAGGACGCGCCCACATACTACTAGCTAATCCGGGTAAATCCGACAAATCATGCGCTGGAGTAGAATTTTCTCTACGTCTGGTCATGGGGTCCTCAGTTGTTCTGGTTTCCTCATTTGTTCTGATCATTTCCCGTGGTTCCTGATTGTTGATGCTGATATTCCTTATTGACTCACTTGGTGAATTATTTCGTCTTCTTCGGTGGTTCGAATTCCTCCATTCGGCTCGGGGCATTGCAAACACAGTTCCTACTCCCAGAGCTTGACTCATTGCGTTAATGATTGAGTAACTACTGCTCGATTCTCTTGTGAAGGGAACGCTAGGCTCTTCTCCCGCTGGTATTGTCCTCTCTCTTCCCCTTGGTATTGTTCGCTCGCCTCTAGGCATTCCAACTACAGTTCCTACGCCCATAGCTAAACCTACCACATCAGCTACCGAGTATGCGTTTCTCGTTCCTATTGTGATTGGTTCCAGGGGACGGCGATTATTGTTTAGGAAATCCAAATTGCGCCATCGAGTATTAATCGCTTCCCTAGTTCTGTCCGTAAGTTGAGTATTACTGTTTGCTTGATTTCTCAATTCATAACTCGTAATATTGACATTCTCATATGTGCGACGGGTATACTCTGGTGTACGTTCCACGGAAGTAGGAGTATCAGGGTGACCATGCGTAGTGGTAGTAGCAGGGGGAATATGGGCTTGAATAGTCCACCAATTTGACCTCGCCCTCGCAATATTTCTAGGATCTACATAAGCTAATCCTCCCATCCTGGTATTGAGTCTCTGTCGTTCAAATTCATCCATGCTTCTCCCATTACCTGAGGATGTCGAACGGGATAAAACCGTTTGGATATAATTCATATCTTGCACATCTGTCCCTGTTGTATAGCTAGGTTCTCGGAAGATATCTAGAGCTCCGAGGGAGTGGGCCCGCTGTATTGGTTGATCATAAATATGCATTGATGTCGTTTGATGAGACACGAGCTTTGTACGACAAAGAGGACAAGAATCGGAATGAAGAAGCCAACGTCCTAAACAGACACTACCAAATCTATGTTTGCAAGGTGTGATAACTGGCCATTCCGGCCAACAGAATTTCGAAGATGCAAGTTGAATCTCCATGTTAATTTTATCATCTTTTCCCGGTGCTGTCCCTGTAACTATTCGTTGTGTAAGTTTGAATTATGATTATATAGGGATAGATGATGTGTGATACGTACTGATGTCAAAACAAATGGGACAACTTTCTTTCCTGTCAGTAACTGCCGCTGGCCAACTTGTTATAGCTTGTGAGACAGTATCGTTGCGATTTTCCCCATTGCGCGTTCGAGATGAAGTACTTGCTGCGTCTTGCAGAGGAGGAACATATTCCGACATTGTATGTGCTGTGTGTCTATTGTTTAATGAGATAACCAAAAACGAATGTACTTAGTTTGTGTAATGCTGCTGTATAGATAGATATTGTAATGATGTTTTGAGGAGAGAGATGAAGTTTGAGGTCGAAAGTCAAGTAGCCTCCGAGGCATGGTTGTTGGCACCTTCCAATTGAAGATTGATGTATCCATCATGACTACCATTCACGAAATGCACGGAATAATTGCACACTAAAGTATGCTCCTTTTCAAACTCTAGATTTCTAAGCTGTGAGAGTACTTGGTTGTCGAATCTGAGTGGAAAAGCACCCAAGTCCCATAAGAACCATTAAATGTCAAACTACTAGAACGTTGAAAGCATTTGAGCTTGAATGACCATTCGATTATCAAACCTGGGGACAACAAGTGTTATGAGACAAAGGCATTTAGATACATAGTTGACACACAACTTTGATGTACAATATATTCCATCCATCGCGAGTCATTTAGCTTTTCCCGTGATGGTTTTTCTTTCAGCTTTTCCGTCTGCAGTCATATCTATTATCATTGCCTATCAAATCAAAACCAACGCAGCTGGTATAAAACTCCAAGAATATCCCGCTCCAGCAATCACGTTTTGCCCAATACGTATATATGCCAAATTTCTTCATGGGAGAACCACTCGAACCTCCTTTATTCCAGAATTTCCAAACCGCACATTGCAACGCAACGCAGCAAGGAAAGATTTTTCATTATCAATCTATCTCAGAGATTGAATTGACTTGGGATGATGGACCATTTTCAAAGTAAAGTAGATCGATCCACTTGGAATAGAAGAACGACTTGAACAAGCTCGAGCTCATACCGATCAAAGACTTTCATATCGCAAGCCGTTAAGATGTTAATCTTACATTCGCATTCGAAAAATATCGCTTATCAATTCTTCATACATGGCCCATCAGTGGTTTTGATGATAAGAAATATCTATGAAGAATTACGAGTATAGGTATTTGATAAATAACCAATTCAAGGAGGTAAGATCTTATATATGATATCAGCTTGGATATATTTATCTAATTACAACTTACTAATACTGGAATTACTAAGCGCCGATAAGTATAGATCGAATGTGATATGTACCACTCCCAAATTCGAGCTTAGCTATTATGTAGTTAAAGATGTATGATCTTGTATCTAGTTGTTTAATATAAAAAAAAGTGATAAAGAAAATAATATATAGTTCACAAATGTGCTCGTAGATATCGATATGTATGAGTACAGTATGAGAATTACACTATTACTCCCGAAGTAATCCCATCCAACTCCATTCCATCCCCAATACGACTGATTTCTAATACTCCCATCTCTGCCCCCCTTCCATTTCAAATCCCATCCATCCCCTTCAAACCGCCCGATGATCAATCACCAACAAACCCCGCTGAAGATAAACCTCCCCCTTCCCCCCCAAAAATCCCAAAAAATCCCCCAACCTATAAAACCTCACTACAGAACCCATCTCATAGACAAACAAGCGGGGTAAATCGCGTGCTGCAGGCAGAACCAACAACATACGACGGGGATTGGTGAGATGATGGTAGAATACCTAGGTATAGGTATGATGTGATTCCGATAACGGGTTGGAAATCCTTATCGTTTATTGTTTTTGTTGTTTGGTGATGAGACAATTGCTGGGTGGTGATGATGTTAGATAGGTACCTAGGTATATGTAGATAGATACTATAATCGGGCTTGGCTGATCACGAGGGAGGGGATGTGTTTGTGTATGTATATATATAGTATAGATACCTAGCATTCATGTAACCTTTATAAAGATTTTGTTTGTATTAACTTTTTTGATTGATACCTAGGTATTATATAAGCTTGTTTTTAATTCATCCTGGTGATTCTATTTATTTGAATACTAAATAACATCAATCAATCATGGCTCCATCAGCAAGTCAAAATCTCGCTATCCATCCTTCAACTAAGATCAAGGACCTCGCTTCCCCTTCTAAAGCTACTCTTCCTCTTCCTGAAAATGCACGGGCTCGATTGGAGAAAGCTGGTATTGATCTCTCGGATGGTTATCCTACACGTCCGGGTCGTCCTTTATATCGTATGTTATTTCCCATTATTCACCTTCATTCGTATGTGCAGGGTATTCAATAGTCCAGACTGCAGTCCAACGACGAGAGGCTTCTGAATTCCTGAATTTGGTTTGGATATTCAAATCATTTGAAGCATTGAATTATATCCAAACCTTTGAAGAATTTCAAATGTTGGAAGCTTAAATCCAGTCTGTCAGTCTGGAGTATTGGACACCCGAGATTCTGATTCACATTCCATACAATAATAAACCTAGCCAACTAACCTGTCTACCCTTAAAGTCCAAGATGTCTTCGCCATCCGCAATACTCCACGAGAACACCACGACGCAGGATCTCGAGCCGATAAAACAAAGAAAAACCTCTTTGATGCCATTCGCAAGAATGATGGCAAGATAATTGACCTAACTAAAAACATTGGAACGGAAATAAGTGGTATTCGTCTTGATGAATTGACGGATGAACAGAAAGATGAATTAGCGTTGTTGGTGGCAGAGAGAAGTGTGGTATTTTTGAGGGGACAGGATGGATTGAGTCCAAAGGTGCAAAGGGACTTGGGGGCTTGGTGGGGAGAGGTTGAGGTTCATGTATGTTTGTCCCGCGTTTTGTCTTTTGAGGGATGGATTTGTACTAATGATGTGCTGTATAGCCACAAGTACCGCATGTACCAGGACTACCTGGAGTAACCGTCATGTGGCCTGCATTGCAAGCTAGTGAGACATCGAGGAAGACGGATTTTAGAAATCCAGGTGGTGCAAGTCGATGGCACTCGTAAGTTTTTTTCTGTTCTTTTCTTCACTCAGTCGAGTTCGTCCCAGGAATATGTTACTAACATAAAAGCTTAAAGAGATTTGGTGCACGAACTCCACCCTGCAGGATTAACCCATCTACACAATGACACTGTCCCAGAAGTCGGAGGTGACACGCTGTGGGCATCCGGATATGCAGCTTACAGTAAGCTGTCCCCGGAATTTCGGAAATTCATCGATGGGAAACAGGCTATCTATGTTTCGGCGCATACATACCTCGATCGAGATGATCCAAGTGCCGGGCCTAAATACATAGAACGAGTACATCCTATTGTGCGTGTTCATCCTGTTACTGGATGGAAAACCTTGTGGGTGAATAGAGCGATGACAAAGTCGATTGTTGGATTGGATAAAGCAGAAAGTGATTTGATTTTGGGATATTTATATGATGTCTTCGAGAGTAATGTGGATATCCAGGTTAGATTTAGATGGACCGCTGGGTCGAGTGCTATTTGGGTGAGTTTTTCCTCGGGTTGGGACCAAGATTAAAAGTAAGACGGTAATAAACGAAGAGATGCTAATATGTGATAATTGAATAGGATAATAGAAGTACAATCCATAACGCCAGTTGGGACTATGAGGGAACAGAAGAGAGACATGGAACGAGAGTCACGAGTTTGGCGGAAAAACCTTACTACGAGGAAGGAGCAAAGTCGAGAAGGGAAGCCTTGGGGTTGGATGATAACTGATTGGAAAGTTGTTGGCATGGAATTATTTTTGAGGGGAAGTGTTTTAAGTGAACTTTCAATATCAACTTGCATCCCATTTCCACGATAAACGATTGCAGTGATTATTTTCAACGACATAGTGGAAGAACGGAGTCTTGTCAAGGAGATATCTTAAATCCACCGGACCATGGGGTCGTGAAGAGAACAGGTCCCGTCTCCGGATCACGTGGTAAGTTGATGCTTGACCTCTTTCTTGCCTCTTTTTTCTGCTGGACAGGTCATAGGATAGTGAGCCAAATCGAGGGAAACGGATCTGATTGTATTGAACATGCTTGGCGCCTGGGTGGGTTGCTGAGAGAAATGGTCAATACTAAGTCCCGATGCCCGAGATTTATAATCTGGGGGAAGGGTTGGTCCTGTGTGTTTGTTTAATTAGTAATCAGACGGTTCGTGAATCCTTGCCAGGGTGCGAGTACGAACGTGAGTCTTTCTTCTGAGTGGTCCGATATGCTCGGGGTGGGTCTAGATATCGGAGACTAACCCTGCACTATCTTTTGATCGTCGAATAGAGTTTTCGTCAAGGATATGCTGACAGAGTACTCATTACCTACCTACACTGACTGTGATGCACACACATACACACACACACGCACACGTACACACAAGTACGTGAAAAATTAAATAGGTAGGCTGGCGCACACCGCATTTGCTGATTATCAAGAAGATCCCATGGAAGAGAGATCCGATAAAAGAATCCACGATAGGGGCCCGATTAGACGTAACAGTTGAACAACATTCAGATTAGCTTTTCTGGGCTTAACAAGGCGACAAAAGATCTTTGATAGATCTAGAAGGCTTGTTTTGTGTGAAGTTTCCACTTACGCCATTTTTATACTTTTCAGTGTAGCTTAGACAGACAGACAGTACCTACGCCACGAGCAATCATTACTTGGCGTGCGGAAGAGGATGAAGTTTTGATATTTCGTTCCGTCACCGGTTGTCCAACTTCGGGACCGAAGTTTCCAAAATATTAGAATGGTAGAGTGAATGGTGTTGATTTTTGGATGACTGATAAGATCCGAAAAATTCTCCAATCAGTATGCATTCCCACTCGGCCTTCGAATATACCGATTGGCTTCCCCTTCCACACCTTCCACCCTTTGTCCCTTCCAACTTCTGCACACACCTGCCACCTGCAGTATTGGTAATCGCCATATGGGTCTCTGACGCTAACACCTCTGAGAAAACATTTTGCCCATGTCAATTTCCAACACTGATCTCCTATCAGGCTATCTTACCCTTGTCCGAGGTCCAATAGGGAAAGATGCATTGTTATCCTCTGACCGCGTTTGGAGGCAATGGCCGGATTATACATAAGACGCACTTCTTTCCCCTCTAGAATGTTTTGTGAAGCTTTTACCATTCGCAACTTCCCATCCACTATACCTCCCTGAAGCAGCCGATCTTTGATCAAAGAAGTTTCAGTATGGCAGGTCGGCCTGATCATGAGGAAGAATTCGCCACTCCGGATCCTGTTGCCGCATTGGAAGATACAACTCGTGAAGAACCACGAGATGAGGATGGGTCTGATAGAGAATATTTAGAAAGACATGGTGAACTATCAACTCATCAAAACTCACTCAATGCCGGAAACCGCGAGAAGGAATATATGGAAATTTCGAGCCCAGGTGGTGTGGATAGCCATTCGTCAGAGGGGGATTTCGACCATGAGAAACGACCGGAGATAAAGCGGATTCAAAGTTATGCCACATCTAATAGTGCTGTAACGAGAACAGATTCAAATGTAGATCATCCTGTTGTCACAAAAGCATGGTACAAAAAGATCAATCCATTGAAATGGGGATCTGTTCCTCCCGTTCCAGAAACCCGAACACCATCCAAAGAATACACAGCTTCTTTATTTTCTTTAATATACTTCCAATGGATGGCACCTATAATGGATGTGAGTCTTTGATCCAGGCTAGCTTCATGCGTCTCTTATGCTAATGATTCTAGGCTGGCTATCGACGACCACTCGAACATAATGATATATGGACGGTAAACCCCAATCGAAGTGTGGACCTATTAACGGACAAATTGCAAACATCTTTCAAACGAAGAGTAGCGGATGGGGACAAAAATCCACTGATAGGGGCCTTGCACGAAACATTCAAATTCGAGTTTTGGGTAGGAGGAGCTTGTCAAGCTATGTCCAATATCCTCCAAGTTATTTCACCTTTTACCCTACGATATCTGATTACATTCGCCTCGGACGCATATATAGCAGCACAAGAAGGACTTCCTGCGCCTAACATTGGAAAAGGATTAGGACTCGTGTTTGGTATCACTATAATGCAAATGTTGCAATCTCTGGGTACCAACCATTTCATATATCGTGGTATGATGGTTGGAGGCCAATCGAGAGCCGTGCTTATTTCGGCCATTTTCGAAAAGGCTATGAAAATCTCTGGGCGAGCCAAGGCTGGAGGCCGTTCGATCAAGAGCCAAGAAGATGAAAAGGCTGCTCAGCAAGCTCAAGATCTAGTCGAGCAAGCTAAGGGCAAGAAAGACAAGAAGAATTCGGGTCCCAAAGGAGCACCAGATGCTGGACGGGGAATAGCAGGTGACGGTACAGGATGGGCAACAGGAAAAATCCTGAATCTCATGGCCACGGACACCTACAGGGTGGATCAGGCAAGCGGCATGTTCCATTTGATCTGGACAGCACCCATTTCTTGCATTATCACTCTGATACTCCTTGTGATCAATTTGACCTACAGCGCTCTTGCAGGTTTTGGAGTGCTGGTCGTCGGTCTTCCCTTGTTGACCAAGGCTGTCAAGAGACTTTTCGCAAGACGGAGGGCTATCAACAAGATCACTGATCAAAGAGTCAGTCTCACACAGGAGATTCTTCAGTCAGTGCGATTTGTGAAGTTTTTCGGCTGGGAGACGGCCTTTCTAGACAGACTTTCTGCCATCAGGAATAAGGAGATTCGTTCTATTCAAATCTTATTGGCGATACGAAACGCCATAAACGCTGTCTCCATGACTATGCCTATCTTTGCTTCAATGATAGCTTTTATTACCTACAGCTTGACAGATCACGGGCTTAGTCCAGCACGAGTATTCTCATCTCTTGCTTTGTTCAACTCATTACGATTGCCGCTAAACCTACTGCCCATGGTCATTGGGCAGGTTATTGATGCTTGGTCGTCAATTCATCGAATTCAAGAGTATTTGCTCAGTGAGGAGCAAGAAGATGATGCGAAGCCAGATCATAAACTAGAAGGAGCAATAGTTTTACGAAGCGCCGACTTTACTTGGGAACGAACAGCTACCCAAGATTCGGAAAAAAGCGGACCACCTGGAAAAAAGCAAACAAAGGCCGAGGCTAAAGCCGAGAAAACCGCCATCACACCTCAGTCGAATTCCTCCAAAAACAATGACGATGCGAGCACTATTACTGAAGAGGGAGAACCTTTCCATTTACAAAATTTGAATTTCACTATTGGCAGGAACGAATTGGTAGCTGTGATAGGTGGAGTCGGAAGCGGGAAAAGCTCTTTGCTTGCTGCTCTCGCAGGTGATATGCGAAAAACAAGTGGAGAGATGATCATGGGTGCCGATCGAGCCTTTTGCCCACAATACGCTTGGATTCAGAATGCAACTGTCAAGGACAATATCTTGTTTGGGAAGGACATGAACAAATCATGGTATAACAAAGTAATTGATGCCTGTGCATTGAGACCTGATCTGGACATGCTACCAAATGGTGATCAAACCGAGATTGGTGAAAGGGGTATCACTGTGTCCGGAGGTCAGAAACAACGAATGAATATTGCACGGGCTATCTATTTTGATGCTGATTTGATTTTAATGGATGACCCCTTAAGCGCCGTCGATGCACATGTTGGTCGTCACATCTTCGACAATGCGATCATGGGCCTGTTGAAGGATAAAGCTAGAATTTTGGCCACGCATCAGCTATGGGTACTAAACCGTTGTGACAGGATTATATGGATGGAAGAAGGCAAGATCCAAGCGATTGACACATTTAGCAATCTCATGAACAATTATGCTAGTTTCCAACAGCTCATGGAGACAACAGCAGTCGAAGAACAACACGAGCCAGAAGCCGAAGAAGAAGATGTTGCAGAGGAGAAGAAGACTGAAAAGAAGAAGAAGCATAAAGCCCCAGGTTTGATGCAAGCCGAAGAGAAATCCGCCAAGAGTGTTTCATGGGCAGTCTACGCCGATTACGTCCGGGCTTCTGGTAGTCTTTTAAACGCACCGATCGTCTTATTACTACTTCTACTTTCGCAAGGTGCCAATATTGCCACTAGTTTGTGGCTATCGTGGTGGACAAGCAATAAATTCGGATACTCCACCGCGGTGTATATTGGAGTTTATGCTGCGCTCGGTGCTTGTCAAGCTTTGCTACTGTTCTTCTTTGCTTTGTAAGTGATTTACTTTTCTACCCATAGTGTCCAATAGTCCCTACTCCAGCCGGACAATGAGCTAGTTGCTTTGGGTTCTTGACTTCATTTCAAAAATTCAAATTGTTTGAGGACTTCAAAACGATTGAAATATTCGGATTATTTGAGGAATTTAAATAATCGGGTCCCTGAATGCAGTTCAAACATTCAAATCATTTGATTATCCTAATTGGATTCACTACTTCAAGTAATTTGAATGTTTGGAAAATACTCAAAGATTTAAACCTTTCCAAACATGGAAAGCTCAGATCTAGTCTGCCAATTCAACTTATTCGACACTCTGTTCCTAAACGCTAAATCGAGATGGTCAGTTTTGCTAACACACATCAGGTCTCTTACAATCCTAGGAACAATTGCAAGTAAGGTAATGCTCAGCAAAGCCATTACAAAAGCACTCCGGGCACCTATGTCTTTCTTTGACACAACTCCTTTGGGCCGTATCACGAACCGGTTCTCGAGAGATGTTGATGTCATGGATAATAATCTTACAGATGCCATCCGAATGTACTTTTTAACTATGGCCATGATTCTCTCGGTCTTTGCTTTAATCATTGCCTACTTCTATTATTTTGCTATTGCGCTTGCACCATTATTAGTGCTATTCATTTTCGCATCCGGATATTATCGAGCATCGGCACGAGAAATGAAGCGTTTCGAATCAGTCTTCCGATCAAATCTATTTGCCAAATTCAGTGAGGGGCTTTCTGGAACAGCTACTATTAAAGCATATGGGCTACAAGATCGATTCATCAATGATCTGAGGAAGGCTATTGATGAGATGAATTCTGCCTATTTTCTTACATTCTCCAACCAGCGCTGGCTGTCAACTCGGCTTGACGTTATCGGTAATTTACTCGTATTCGTGACTGGAATTCTAGTTATCACTTCTAGATTCTCCGTCGGGCCATCCACTGCAGGATTGGTATTGTCTTACATTCTGTCTATTGTTCAAATGATTCAATTTACCGTTCGCCAATTAGCGGAAGTGGAGAATGGAATGAATGCCACGGAGCGTCTCCATTATTATGGTACGTCTCTAGAAGAGGAGGCGCCACTTCATACGATAGAAGTTCGCCCATCATGGCCCGAAAGTGGCGAGATTGTTTTCAACAACGTTGAAATGAGATACAGGGAAAATCTTCCACTGGTTTTGTCCGGCCTCTCGATGCATATCAAAGGTGGCGAGCGTATTGGAGTGGTTGGTCGTACAGGTGCTGGAAAATCAAGTATCATGTCCACCCTCTTCCGCCTTGTTGAAATATCTAGTGGTTCAATCATTGTGGATGGTGTGGATATCAGCAAGATTGGCCTTCATGACCTTCGATCTCGTCTTGCTATCATCCCGCAAGATCCCACCCTGTTCAAGGGAACCATCAGAAGCAATCTTGATCCATTCAACGAACACACTGATTTGGAGCTTTGGTCCGCATTACGACAATCTGACCTTGTGGCATCAGACTCGAATCTCAACGATGAGGTCACAGGGCGTATACATCTCGATTCTATAGTCGAAGATGAAGGGTTAAATTACTCGTTAGGTCAAAGACAACTAATGGCTCTTGCTCGCGCTCTTGTCCGTGGCTCACAAATCATTGTTTGTGACGAAGCTACCAGCTCCGTTGATATGGAAACTGATGAGAAGATTCAAAGAACTATTCAAGAAGGGTTCAGAGGCAAGACACTTTTGTGTATTGCCCATAGGCTCAAGACTATTATTGGGTATGATCGCATTTGCGTCATGGATAAGGGTACAATCGCAGAATTAGATGAGCCTATCAGGTTATGGGAGCAGGGAGGGATTTTTAGAGCTATGTGTGATAGAAGTGGTATTCGAAGAGAGGACTTTGCTAGAGCAGCGGTTCCGACCGCGACGAAACAGGATTAAAGAATAATGGTTTTTCTAATTGATGGATCGGTTAAGGTTGTATATATGATGGATGAAAAATGAGATATGGGATATATGCGTTTCATGGGAATTGGCGTTTAGGAGAAAGATAATAGATGTTGAGCAAACGAAAGTTATGAGGTTGATACGTTTGCACGGATGTTTTCGCACGGAGTACGATGGCACAGCGAATATGCGAAATCACACACAAATTTAGTTCAAAGCATTCGAGTACAAAATCATTTCGTTTCCTCGTAACCATCGTGAGTGGATAGAGGGTGTAAAAACTAACCCCTGACTAAGTCTTGTTTCCCGTTTAATCTCGCAATGATGAAATTTCCAAAGAATCCATCTAGATCACCAACAGTTTGAAGGAGCTCAAAGATGGTAACAAAACCGGGTCTGGAAGGAAGTGGGCTACGTAAGATGACTAGGGTTTGCAGCAGAATGATCCTGGCTAGAACGGTCCGCGAGATATGTGGTTCTTCCTTTGTTCTTCTCTCTTTAGATTTAGAAGAAGAAAAGGAAAAAAAAATTGCTTATGAGGTGAGGTGAGGTGAGGAAAGGAAAGAAAAGTTGTTTTTTGGTAATTAATGGATTTTGGGTTTGTTTTGGTGGGATTAATTGAAGGAATTTAGTTCTGAAGGAATACTTATATGTTCTTTCGGAGTTTCTTTTTTGAGGGGATGAATTGAGGGAATTTAGTTTTGGGTTTATAATTTTTTATATTTTTTTGGTGTACTTTTCAGATATATGTTTCGTTTCTACGCCCTACAGAGTAGGTACATAAGGTCTCGCTAATCGTAACCTTACGGATAATTCAAAGAACTCCACCAAGGTTAATATCCCCATTACAACTTACATGACGGTTAAAGCGGCTTCTTGGCATTCTTCTCATCCATCCATTCATTCATTCATCTATCTGTCCATCCATCCATCCATCCACCCATCCACCCATTCAATCACACACACCCTCCCTCCCTCCCTCCCTCCCTCCCCCCTCCCAAGCAAGCCCCATCCCATCCCATCCCATCCCATCCAAAAATGCCCTGCACAGAACTCGCACTCCTCCCCCTCACCACCCCACTTTCCCCCCATCTCATCCCCAAACTTCAAATCGCCAAACACGTGCTCGAAACTGCTGCGGGATATCCTTGTTATTTCTATCAACAGGTGGAAAATCCTTCGTATATATATATTGTCGGTACGTGGGATAGTCCTCAGCACCATGAGAGGTTCATACCCAGTGTGCAAAATTTGGGCCTTTTTGATTTGTTGAAGGGGGAGGTGGTGGTGGGGGCCGGTGTGGGGGAGACGATTGAGGGAGGGGTATTAGGATGTGGCATTGTGAGTGTGGGGTTTTCTTTTTCTTTCTTTTTCTTTTTAGTTTGATATTGATGTTGATGTGATGGTTGGAGGCGGGTTGCATTAAAAGATGCATTTTGTGTGGCTTATGAGTGGGGATTTTTGCTTTGCTTTGCTTCATGCATGGAACTAAATTTAGGGTAAATACTAATTCTATTAACACCACAGTACAATGCGATGCACTTCTTTCTCTTCGTCTAGGAATAGACAAAGAACCCGAAGAAGCAGACTCGAAGAAAAAATCTCCCTTCTCCGCACCCATAATATCATGCACTCGATATTTCATCACATCCTCCAACAAAGAAGGATTTCGGGAGAAATTTGATTCGGTGAAACATGTATTGGCAGATGAGGTGAGAGAGTATGAGATTGAGGGAGGATGGAGAATAGAGAAGGAGGCGGAGGATAAAGAGGAGTGGGTTATGTTTTGTGGGTGGAAGAGTGTGGAGAGACATCTGGGGTTTGGTAAGAAGGAAGGGTTTAGGGAGTGGAGGGGCATCGTGGATTGGGTGGATGGGTTTGAGGTTAGACATTTGAGGAGGATTGAGGGGTTGTGATTTAATGGGAGGTAAGGAGTGGAAAAGAAAGAGGATAGAAGGTTGAGATTAAGTCTAAAGAAATTAATTTGTTGGAAAGAAGGAATGGTGGTTCATTCTAGAGGGAGCAACGGGTTCACTCTACACTCTACCTCGAGTTCATGATTTCATATATTTATAGTCTTGACATGATGTTCTCGTCTGATATATCCGTGACATGACAATCGGGATTTTCTCTGCCCACGATAGAAACATCTTCTTCAATTTCGTATATCTTGCTCTCAACACCTGGTTCCGTAATAGTGCCATCATAGTTTCACATATCTCTTCGCTCCACAGATACCTTCATAAGTTTTAAAGATAAAACCAACTCTAGCATTCAATCACCCTACACATCATTTATAAACACATTCCCTGTACCCCTCCACTCCAAACGTTCCCATCAACCCCAGCCTCCCTCCCATACCACCCTCAAAACCAACTCCACCTCCCCAAAATAATTTTCCCTCCCCCACCTTCACAAACCCTACACTCTCAAACAACCTAATACTCGAACATTCTTCCCCAATCTTAACCCTCAACTGCAACAATTTCATCTTCGCCTCCCCTTCCCCGAATTCCATCTCTATACTCCTCCATAATCCTCTCCAAATGCCTCCTCAAATATTCCAGAAAAGTAAGTACGGCCGATCTACCCAGTCCATTTCCTCTAGCCGATGATTCGGCTATCATGATCTCTATTTCTCCTATACATCCCTCTTCATCTTCATCTGCTTCTGTGAGGAATAAATTTATATCTCCAATCATTTTCCTAGGGGCATCGGATACGTCTTTTCTAATTACTTCTGATGCAGTATCAGTATCGTCGGTGGGTAGACAGATGATAAATGTTAATTTATCATGATCTGTTCTCCAGCTTTTTTGCATTGCGTATTCTTCGTCGAGACTTAAGGGCTCGGAGGCGGTTGCTTGCTGGATTTCCTAGTGGTCTGTTAGTCTCTTTTCATGTTCATTTTTCAAGATACTTCTCCGTATGTTGCAGAGCCTGAGCATAAATTCCTTCCGTGGAGTTATACTGTTGTTAAAAGGGATAGCCGTGCCTACCTCATCTTTCATCCACCCATGATACGTAATCACGTGTGATTCTTCATATGGTACCAAAAGAACTTTATTCGTATAAACAGCTTGCTATTTTAGTTTCTGACATGACAAGAGAATCTAGGATGGAAGATAAATTACCTGTATGTTCGTTGATTAACATTTTGATTTATAGATGGTTTAATTTATTTAAAGCTGGTTGAAATACAGTATTGAAATATACCAGAAACTCTATATCATGAATGAGATTCCTAGTATTATAAATAACAAATGAAATAATCTTAGAATTTTGTCTATTTGCTAAATTTGCTGTTCGTTGAGATTTATATTATTGAAGATTTTTTCAAGATGTTAAGTTAAAGAAAGTATAGGATTTATTATCATGAATGGCTGAAACTAGACCATTAAGCCACAGCCACGGCCACAAGCCCTAAAATATCGAAGCAATAAAGGTGCGAAGCGAGGGGGAAGGGGGGTGCGCGTAGCGTGCCCTTTCCCTATTCTTTAACGTTTCAGATTCTGTGGTATTCACCCACGAACATTACCTATGAAAGCATCAAGAGAAAATCTGGAATATGTTACATATTCTCAAAAAAAAAAGTCCAGCTTAAAATGACGATGAAAGCGGCACCTACTGTCCATGACATACGATAGTAGAATACTTATGATATCTTTGGGAAGAATTTAGGAAAGAATTTAAGCCCAGCTGATCCTTTGATGCGGATGAGGATCTCTCATACTTGGCCGCAGATGCGGTGCTCCTTACATCTTTTACAACTTTGGTGCGTTGACGGGGTCTTTGGGAAGAATTAACGTCTGTTGGGAAGATGGAGGAGATTTTCCATAATAATTCGGCATTTTCTGCGCCAAAGATTCAGCAGACAATGATTGCTGCTGGAGATGCTTTCGCACTTGCGGCTTTGTCTTCTCGATAGCGGAGTTAGATACTGTTATATTAAGGACATATTAGGAAATGAGTAGGCATGGAGATAAATGGCAGTTTGTGTAACCTTGAGGTCCTTGAGACAGGTGATATTACATATTTATTTCATGTCGACGAGTACTGCACAGCGCAAGCATTGTTATCTGAACAATGCATTTTCATCTAACCTCTCCACCGCCAAGAATATCTTTGATATTGATCTCTCCACTACCTCGAGGTAATGGTTGTGCCTGATTCGGTCCTTCCTTCCAACCAATCATATATATCATCCTGAATGTTGCAGGTATTGTCCCATCCTCGTTTCCATGTAATTCTCGATATATTCCCTCGTTTGCCAGAAGTACATCCCTCTTGATTGCACCTGCCTCTCTTCCTAGTATGGCATTGCTTTCGCCCATCCGCTGCAAATCTTGCATCAGGGCAAATGTATCGGGAAAGTCAATAATGATGTCATCAATATCCACGGTTAACATTTTGAACCCCGCTTTCTGCAGCAATCCTCCAATATCTCTTACATCTGCTAGAGGTGAAACATGTGGAGAGACTCCTCCCCTTCGTTCCGTATCTGCGAGCTGCAATGAAGTGCGCAACTCAAATAATGTATCGCCACCAAACATTGCTGCAATGAAAGGTGCATCTGGTTTCAATACGTGATTGATCTGCGCGAGTAGAGATGGAAGGTCGTTGATCCAATGCATACTCAAAGAGCTCAACACTGCATCAAATGTTCCTGCTTCATAAGGCAACCTTTCCTCATCGTCAAGCACTTCGCGTGTGAGGTTTATTTCCTTATTGAACGGTAAATCTTCGTCTCGATGTAACATATTTCGAGATGAGTCTGCGGCCGTGAGACGAGTAATGCGGGAGGAAAGTGGAGGAGACGTAGGCTTCGCGGGGTTGATGTCTGGACCGGGTAGAGTGAGAGCTCTTGCTATGTTACATGAGTTCGCTCCAAGGTCTAAGACATGATCAAAATGTCTGTTGATATCCTGTATTATCATGAGCTATTTGAACTCAATTGAACCAAAGAATCTCACCAATAACCTTTCCGCAAGTCGCATGGCCACCTCATCCTTCAGGTAATCCACTTGTCTACTTTTCTCCTTGTCTAGAGCTGCACGTTCTTTTTGTAGATATTTTGTATGTCTATCGAAAACTTGTAATGTGGGCGATCCTGGGGATTGTACAGCGTAATTTCGAAATATACATAATCTCCTTGCTAAAGAAGGTCTCGAAAGAAAAGGCCTTATATTTAAAGGCTTCATAATTGAGAGCGGATTGAAGAATTGAAGAATGTTAAGGACAAGTACAAAAACAATACAAGAACATACCTAATAGACTAATAGACTTTGATAACCATGAGAATCAATGAGGCTGCATTGAATTTATGATGTAAGGATATTTGGCAAGCGCAAGGCTAAGCTTAAGGTTCAACGTTTGGTTTAAAAACAAAAAAGCCTTACCTAAGGAATTAATCCCTGTTATTGCCTAGAAACGATGCATTGCTCCCTTATGCCGCGTACGGATCGGAATTTAGAAGTACAATTGTAACTATTCTAGATTCCGATATCACCAGATACCACCAACATCGTACCTCGCTCTCTGTGTTGTTTGATTATTGGAAGGAAAGGAGGCGAATACGCCCATTATAGTTTGCGGATGGCGGATCACGAGCAAGGCTAAATATCCGTAGCCACCAGCGCATTTCAAAGCCGAAAAGTACCAGTGAACTGTCCAACATAAATACTGGAGTCTGCGGAAAGAAGTCTTACGATCGGGAATCGACAAAGAATCCCACCAATTTGCAGTCGCGCACCGTTTATTGTTTCAATTAGTTTCCCGGATCAAAAGAGCAGATAATTCATCTTAGAAGGTCGGCGGGAAGACAGGAAGACCGCAACGATGGCTTCATCCGCTGGAAGCTTTCTGGGCCGCGGGAGCTCCAGCAATAACTCGAATATGCGGGGTCTCGTACAATTCATCGCGGATCTTAGGAATGCAAGAGCCAGAGAGCTTGAAGAAAAAAGAATCAATAAGGAACTGGCAAATATAAGGTCGGTCATCAATCCTCTGCAGGTCCCAGGGTTTCTTATGCAAGGCTGACTTTTGTTCCTCAATCAAGGCAAAAATTCAAAGGTCCGAAATCTTGCGTGGAATAAAGGGGCGTAGCTAATTGTGACGAATAGATGGAAATCTCAGTGGCTACCATAAGAAGAAATATGTTTGCAAGGTAATTTGTTCCACCGCCTCTCGTGCAATTCACCCCTAATGAGAATTTCTTTAGCTCTTATACATATACATCCTTGGGTGGAATGTCGACTTTGGCCATCTCGAAGCAGTTAATCTTATATCTGCGAATAAATACTCGGAAAAGCAGATCGGTTACCTGGCGATGACCCTGTTCCTTCATGAAGGACACGAATTGATACATTTGGTTGTGAACAGCATCAGGAAAGACTTGACGGATCACAATGAATTATTTAACTGCTTGGCATTGCATGCCATTGCCAATGTGGGTGGAAGAGAAATGGGAGAGGCGTTGAGCGGGGAGGTTCATAGGCTCTTAATATCACCGTGAGAAAGCTCATGTCATGTTCCGTTCTGTGTAACCTCTAATACTATAGCAGGACATCCAAACCGTTTGTCAAAAAGAAGGCAGCGTTGACTCTTCTACGGCTCTATCGAAAACACCCCGACATAGTGCAATCGCAATGGGCGGAACGAATTATATCCTTAATGGACGATGTTGACATTGGTGTTGCTCTCTCAGTCACCTCGCTTGTTATGGCTCTTGCTCAAGATAATCCTGAGCAATACAAAGGATGTTATGTTAAAGCTGCCGCAAGAATTAAGAGAATAGTCGTGGATGAAGAATTTAGCCAAGACTACCTTTATTACAAAGTGCCGTGCCCATGGCTACAGATGAAACTTTTAAGATTGTTACAATATTATCCCGCATCAGGTATGTTCTACTATTGCAGTAGTGTCTTTTGCTAACAATGCCTAGAGGACATACATGTGAGAGACTTGATCCGAAAATCCATACAAAGAATTTTAGATGACGCGTCCGATATGCCTAAGAATGTTCAGCAAAACAACGCACAAAATGCGGTTTTGTTTGAGGCCATCAATCTTGTTATTCACCTCGACACCGAAGTGGATCTGATGAGACAGATCTCAACAAGACTCGGAAAATTCATCCAATCACGGGAAACAAATGTTCGATATCTTGGCTTGGAAGCCATGACACATTTGGCTGCAAGGGCTGATGTCTTGGATCCAATTAAGCAGCACCAAGCGATTATTATTGGATCCTTAAAAGATAGAGATATTAGTGTGCGGAGGAAAGGTCTAGATTTACTATACAGTATGTGTGATCAAACCAACGCACAACCCATTGTTGGCGAGCTCTTGCAATATCTTCAAAATGCAGATTTTGCTATACGAGAAGAAATGGTCTTGAAAATTGCCATTTTGACCGAGAAATATGCTACTGATATTCAGTGGTATGTTGACATATCATTGCGACTTATTGCAATGGCCGGAGATCATGTTAGTGACGAAGTTTGGCACCGAGTCATTCAAATCGTCACAAATAACGAAGAGCTCCAAGTATATGCAGCGCAGAATATTTTACAGTATGTAAAAGCAGATCACTGTCACGAGACACTTGTGAAAATTGGAGGATACATACTTGGCGAATTCGGCCACTTGATTGCAGAGGATAAAGGTTGTAGCCCAATCGAGCAGTACCTCGCATTACAGGGCAAACTGCAGGGTTGCTCATCCAGTACAAGAGCAATCATCCTATCATCTTTTATCAAATTTGTCAATCTTTTCCCAGAGATTAAACCTAGACTTATGTATGTGTTCCAAGCATACAGTCATACCTTGGATTCCGAACTTCAGCAAAGAGCTTGCGAATATTTGGCGTTAGCAAGCCTACCGACTGATGATCTACTTCGAACGGTCTGTGATGAAATGCCACCCTTCCCAGAACGTCAGTCAGCATTACTTTCGCGGCTACATCAAAAGCATGCTGGTACCAGTGATAAGCGGACTTGGATTGTGGGAGGCAAAGATGCCAATGCCAATGAGAAAGATTTTGTGGTTGCCAAGAACCTAGGTCTAAAGCGTACTTTTAGCACAAATGGAGCAATAGCCAATGCCACTGGAGCTAATGGAGGTACCAATGGTACGAACGGAAACACCAATGACTCGGGCAACGACCTTGCCGGATTAAATCTCATGGATCAAGGTCCGTCGGAGCCAAAAACTCTCAAAGCGCCAAACCTCGCAAGCGCGGCCCATCTTTCACCAGATTGGGAACTTGGATATAATAAGCTGCTTCTGAAAGCGGAGGGTGTACTTTATGAAGATGGACAAATCCAAATTGGAGTGCGATCTGAATACCGTGGCCAGATGGCATGCGTCATTTTATACTTCTCCAACAAAGCCCCGTCCCCTGTCAGTTCGTTCACCACAACACTCGATCTCGAGCCGAGCGAGAAGGAGAACTTAAAATGGGAGATAAAAGGTTTACCAGAAAGCACAATTCATCAAGGTGCACAAAGTCAACAAATGATAATGTTTGAGTCGAAAAAGGTGTTTGAGAAAAGCCCAACGATTAGGATCAGTTATTTGGCAGGGGCTCTCCAAGCTTTAACACTAAAGCTCCCAATCACAATACACAAATTTATGGACCCAGCAGAATTATCAGCAGACGATTTCTTCAAACGTTGGAAGCAAATTGGAGGAGCGCCACGTGAAGCTCAACGCATATTTGGCGTTAAGGGTGGCAAGGGCGGAATTCGTGAATTCACTGATGGATTTGTTCGAAGGACCATAGATGGCTTTAGATGGGGTATTCTGGATGGGGTGGATCCTAACAAGAAGAACTTCGTTGGTGCCAGTGTGCTGCATACTGGCGAGGGAGGCAAATTTGGATGTTTGTTGAGATTGGAGCCTAATTATGGGACTCAGGTTTGTACTCTTATTCACCTTCATGGGATTTCAATGCTAATTATGATACGTAGATGGTTCGTCTCACCATTAGAGCAACTGATGAAAGTGTTCCGCCAGTCTTAATCAAGCTGATGGAGGAAAGACTTGCTGTCGGTGTTTCCACGCAGCCGGAGATGCAATTGCCACCTACACGGAGAGAAATATCAGATGCTTTTGGTAATATACTTGTTGAGTAAGCACGCGAAATGATCTACAACCAGAGTAAAGACTGAGGGGTAGGGGGGGGGATCTGTGAGAGGGAAATAAAGTAATGCGAGGAAGGATTTGAAAGATCGATCTGCCTTTGAAAGTAGGGGTTGGAATCATAGTGATAGTGATTGATAATTATAGTGGTAGCCATATGAAGGCAAAATTTTGAACGCAATCTTCCTTTTCCTGTTGTTGGCTGGGGGCCTTTGTCGGTGGAGTTTTGGTTAGTAAATAATACTTGGTAGTAAGTTTGGTAGCTGCACACTCGAGAGATGATTTTTATAGAGTTCTAATTCGGCGGCTACTTTCTTATGATTGTGGAAGGATTTCCAATTAAGTGATTTTTTGTTTTTGATGAGCTGTTACCACTATTTGACTTGAACCTACACATTGAGGTCTTACATTGACCTGGCTGGAGCGAGAGAGGGTCTTAATCCTTTCCAGATTAGATTAAGGAATCGCGCAGGGAGGAAAATGGCAATGCAAGAGTTGTTGAGTAGCCTTGTGAGGACGCTTTGGAGGAGAATGGATGTCAGGTTGTTAGAAGGAATGAAATGGGTCAGGACGGGAAAGGTTTTGGGTTGGGATGAGGATGAGGATGAGGAAGGAGGGACGATCTTGTTGAAAGATGCCTATGTTAGTTTGAAGGATGAATTGATAGTGCAGTCTAGAAGGAGAATTGTATGATTGTAGGAGAGGAGGTCGGTTGTGGATGTAGATGGTAGGCACGGGGATGACTTGGGCCATGATGATTGTGGTGTATGAAGATGCAACCACAAAGTAGTTTCCCTACCTTTCACATGAGAGTAAACTTACTCTTATAGACGTGAAAATGATGCTCGAGTAGTTTACCTAGTAGTTTTAATCATTTGCTTCTTGTCGCGACGTCCTCGCATGAAATCTGCGGCGGACATTTTTACCTTGAGCAGCGAACTTCAAAATATCTCGAAATCTCGAAGAACTTCATCACTACAATTTCAATTTTAGTTAGGAAAGGATTAAATTCATGACCTTCCTATCCTAAGAAAGTCTGAGGACCAGTGAGGAGAAGGAATGGAAATCACAACTTTAAGAAATAGATGTAAACTCAAGCTAGATTCCATCGGAGAAGCCAATGACATGTGTCCGAATTGCAATCCAGAAATCCCAGAAAGAACATTCTCATATTCATTGTAGTGGGGAAGAGTATAAAAATTCTAGAGCGTATAAGAACCAGCAGAATGAAACAAGCCTGACAACACAACAAATATGTTGGTTCGCTTGAGAACCCCTCCGTTTCAACCCGAAGACCAACAATTTAATTTACCAACATCATGCAACGTCGACTCGTACGACGTGGTATTTTGCCATCGTACGATTCGTTTACTTTCTTTCTAACGAATAGATGCCTTTTTTCACACCTTTTGTTGCATGTCTGGGTTTTACCCCGAGTTGAGAGTTCCGGCTTTGTCATCGCTTGTGCTTTTGTTGCATGTCTGAGTACGCGGGTTCGCTTCGTGTTGGGCGAGATGGTGTGGGGAATATGCGAGGTAGGAGTACGGTGTTTGCATCAGAGACTTTTGTATTGTATTTATAGCACTTTGTTGTAAAGTTAGTATTAGTTCTGACAGGTGAATATCTTTAGAACTTTATGGTTATATTTTTTTGGTTGGAACGTTTGTGTGTTGTTCTTTTTCGCTGAAGTATCGGTTCACAACATTTTGTTGCTGAAGCTCATGTTTTTTGGTCCTTGAATGTTGATTAAGCTCTCTCTTTACAACTTATTTCTCTTTGCTCCAGTATTATCACGTTCCTCTCATACTAGTATCATCCTCCATTTACACATTTCATGAATGTCTGGCCATGTAGTAGTTTTAACCAGCGGTTCGACTAAACGAGATGAAAGTTAAAGTTTCCATTGTCTTGTGAATACAATTGGAGATTCCCGACATTTCGTAAAAGGGCAGAGTTTGGAGTCTTTTTATCATAATGGTAGATCATCAAAAGGTTTTTTCATGCTTTCAATCTTATTCGGTTTTGGTCATAATACCTATCATGTAGACTTTGTGCTCAGTAGGTTCTTATGCAGAGATACGGAAGTTCTATTTTGCTAGAATTTCCATTTTACATCATTTCTCCCTTACCTACTTTTTTCCTATTCCAAATGACGTACGTTCAATTCTCTCTTGGCTGCTCATGGCCTCATCTTACTTATTCTCTTGAATGCGTTCAGAGGTTCGAGAAGGCAATTATCACCAACTGATCGACATCGAGCCTCCATGATTCATCTCGCCATCAGTCTCATGAACTTTTCCCAAATTTCAAAAACTAAGTATCGGCGTCATCCGGGTCCCAGGCGATACTTCTGGCGTGACTTCTGTGGTTCGGCGGAAGTCTAGCACGTTGTATAGAGCAGTAGGCTTCCAGCTCGAGACAATAATGTGAGATCTAACTTACCCTTCTGTACCTGAATTGTGTCGAGCACTACAGCAGAGATACAGCTTATATCTAAGTTTGATTAATGATTCTGAGGTCCTAGGTCCTGAAATTGTTTCCGAATGTACTGGTCTGGTCCGCTTGGCACATTGCTACTCTGTTAACAATAATGAATATCAGTTCCCAAATTCTCGCGATACTGCAGGCACAAATACGAATTCGTTTTGCATAGGAAATAGTCAGCGGGACAAGAAGGGATTACTTACAAGATTAACACAATTCTCGGTTCTCTATATTGCTGTCAGATTGAGGTGACTTTCGTTTCTTTTGGGGATTCGTTGCGTAAGGAACCTCTCAATTTGGATACAAGCAATAATAGCAATAATAGACCTTTGTGTATGGATTCAACTTGCCTAAAGAGTCACTATGAACAAGACAAAGGTAAACCTGGTCTAAGTTGTAGTGGCTACCTACCAGGTTTCACCTTTGGAGCTTGCGATCGTCACTGCTAGCACCAAATGATTAAAGAATTCAATACACATCATTTTAAATTGTCAATACCTAGTATCACCGCCATTTCCAATGATATATATAACTTCCAAACTCCATATGAGAGTCAGAGTACGAGTACGAAACCCTCATGTACATCTATCAAGGTTGCAGATCTAGACAGACCACGGAGAAAACCCACTTCATAGCAATACTGCTAATTTTTAGGATTATTTTTATTCTTTAAATTGTATGGATGGAGGGGGCTCCAGCATTTGATAGCTTCCCAACAATTCATCGTTATCATTTTTTCCAATTCCACAACTATAGATCTGAAGATATACAAATATCAGAATAATAAATTAATAATAATAATTCCAATACTATATTCAAAATTCCAATACCGGTGCGGCCAGAAAGTGCAGAGTATACGGACACCGACGCTAGATCAGTCTTAATTTGGCCAATGAAACCATTCCACCAATTGAAACTCCTCGGTTATCGTACCTAGTCCATATTTGAATGAATCTACAGTGTATACCGTTCAGAAGACCTCAAAACATTTCCCCGCACTATTTAATCCTATTTAGGAAGGAGATATGGTATCTGCATACGTTCTGTCTGCACGAGTTGTCCATTTTGGATTGTAAAATTATATATAAAACTGGCAATGCAATGTAATGAATTGCAGAGGGCCCATACCTATGATTAAACATTATAAAGGGGTAAAAAAAGAATTGGATCCTCGATTAGCTAGTTAAAGATCAACATACACCTAGTATCTACATGGCATCAGCCGCAGAAAGCACGTGGGAAGATGGGCCAACCTCATGTATTACAACCTCGCTTGACGTAAAAGCTTGACGGGAGAACACCCGAAGCTTGTGCGAAAGTGGCCTGTCAAGTAAAGTTCCTGCTCAACTCATAAGCTTTGCGGTTGTGGCGCGATATTATTGTATGAATGTGAATCCTAACGACATCATGTACATAAAGTGGAGGTGATAATTGGAACGAGGGAGCGTTCACCTGTCAACTTAAATGCACTGGCCATCGCAACGTCTAAACCTAATTAGACGATAACCTTACATCACCTGAATTCTACTGTTAAGGTGATTTATGCATAAGCCTACTAAACAACTTAATTAAATTAGTTAATTTAATTAGATTCCCGCCTTAACATGTCCAGGGCTTAATAACTTTATAGTCTATATCCGAATCCTGCTATGCAACTACCAGATTAAGCATTGTTCATATAATCCATACTTCCGTAAACGTTAAACTACCCCGACATGTGCCCGAATACGGTGTGACGATCATTCAAGCTTTCATTCAAGCTTTTTTCTGGAAATCATTTTTGAGTGGGACTAGTCAACCGTTTTGTGGGTCCGGGACTGAAGTCGACTCCAGACATTTGTGATTGATTGAGGGAATTGATTTATTCTTCCACTGAGGCTCAGGATTCAGATCGGATATGCTCTGGCTGGTTAATGGTTCAGACGTGGTACCTGATCCCCTTTCAGTAGGTCCCAAATTCGTTCTATAATGTTGTTTAATTCGACTTCGCGATGAGATTGATGCAGGATTGAATGCCGGTTACGAATGGTTGTCGGTGGGGCATACATGAGCATGTATTTTACGTAGTTGGGAAAGTACGGGGTAAGAATGCCGTCAAGCTACCAATAAGGTAAAAGTTCGGAGAGGGGGGAATCCTAGTCGGCAGCCCTGCGGTCTAATAACCGGTGATATGCAGGAACATTGATGACAGGATGGATTCTTCCCGTTTCGTGTATGAAGTAATAGATACACGTATCTCTGACGGCTCCATGCCGGACGGTGATGAGAATCCGAGTCTGCGAGGAAGTTTAAACAGACCGCCAACTCGAAAAAAAGGTATAAGAAGATGAATATCTCCCAGCTTGAAGATATATTCTCTATCAGACTCTCCAGTAACATCCAAAACATAATCAACACTTCCCAAACCAACCTCAATTATCTACCGCCAACATGGTCCGCATCGCCGCTATCGCTTTATTCTTCATCGCCAGCGCCCTTTCGGTGCAGGCTTGCACATACTGCCAGTGCGAATTCTCAAACGGTGGTCACTGCTGTGTCTACTCAGTAAGTTCCATTGCGTCTTTGGCTTGTATCCATGTATTTCATAGCTCGGAAACTAACCTTCTAAACAGGATGATGAGGTAGGCAACCTCGATTGCAAGAAGTACTGCGCCAATGCTCATCGCGCTGATGGTACCAATGGTGTCGGAGGTCCCGGAACTGCTTGCGCCGCTGGAGGAGCTTACAAGTGCGCCACCATCCCCGACTCTCTTGACCGCACTCCATGCTACAAGCAATAAGCGGATCGAAACGAAGAGGGAGCTGCGGAGGGTAATTAGCGGAGGGATTGCTAGGATGGGGATGGCACAGTTATGCACCAAGGCTCCGTCTGTCTTGTCATTATGGAAGAGAATCATGATAGCTGAATTGGAGAGTAATAGTAGTGGCTAGGCAGTAGCAGGTCACTGAGTTCAAAATCGGATTGAATTCATATTGATGACTTGAATAGTTTTTGCATCGTGAGATATCGCATCAGTGACAGTGAGGAATATATAAATAAATGCAACGAAAATACGGTGCTTTTTTGTCTGCCCAGAAATTATCTGAGATACACGAAGCAGCACAGACTCCATTTAAAATTATAGCAGCCATCCATGTAACTATTCCCTTAGGCTTGAATTTGGATTGCACTCCCACTTGCATAACCTGATGGAGTTGTTTTCGTCATTCATCGAGTGGAATTTCATTGAAGTACCGAGACAACTAGTCCCGAATCCAAAGGGCTGCCCCTGTATTGAATCTCCTCCTACGATTTTGCAAGTGTAGAAGTCATCTCGGTATCAAGAAAACTGTTGGATGAGGCCTGAACGACTTGCCAAATTAGACGTAAAGCAGAAGCAAAGATATCCGGGAATATTGTCACAAGTCCGAGCAAGGAATTCTGGATAGCGGTAGTTCAAGATACTCCCAGCTAGCAGAGCTAGGAATTGCATTCTCATCTCGCTGCGCACAGTATGGAGTCAAGAATGTTCTAGATATTTTGATACAGTTCTCTTCGAGATGATGCATTCTTTCCATCAGTATATTGATAGATGTCGACGTTTGATGTTGTTTGATGTTTGATAGTGATGTGAGCGGAGCGCGGATAAACCTAAACCCAAAGTGTAAGTCTTGACTTTGATTGACCGATTATATCCACCAATCGGAGCAAGACGGATGATTGCTAATGGGTTATCTTTTCTATCAACCTCATCATTTTCATGTCTAATACATTTAAACCTATACCACCAAACATTTTGCTTTAGTATCTGGATCAAGGTAATTCACATCAACCAGATAAAGATCTAGAATCTAACAAACTCGTTGGGCATATTACCACGCCGAGGAGTAATATACGCGTTATTTGACCGAATTAAAGTATTTTTCTCTCCTCTCGTGAGATGATTACAGCGAGTAGCCAAGTGGTGTTATATAAGAACGGGGTACTAAGATGTATCTTCGGGAATTGACAACCATCAAGTGATGAGGTATAATAGTACTGTGCACGTGGTGCTCTCATTATATCGTGGCCAAGTGTTTGATAAGCAAGCAAGCTTTTCACTATAGATGCTGAAATTAATCAAGTGTTTACTGTCACAAAATGCTGTTTTCGGATGTCGAACGTGTAGGATCTCTTCAAGGTTATGATTACCTTTAAAGTTTCTCTTCGAGTCAAGGAAAGCGCAGTGCGGTCCCACCTGCAAAAGGCAACAAACAGGTAATCACAGCAATGAGACTCTACGATAAACTCAACAAGAGTAGTCATGTATTATTCTTCCAAGCAGATACTACAAGCATTTTTGGGAACATATTAATGAGAAATGTCGCTTGAACCAGTTACCGATGATTATTATATGATTCTTGAAGTGGTGCAAACAGCTACGCTCGATCAGATCACGAAGTCTTACAAACAGCAAGCGCTAAAGCTTCACCCAGATAAAAATCCCAGGCACGATGCTACTGAAGCTTTTCAACTGGTACGTCCATTTTCAGGCCTAGGCTAATTCGACTTGTCAATTGTCGAGATTTATAAGCTGAGGTTGAATATTGAAGCTTGGAAAAGCCTACGAAACGCTGAGGGACGAAGCAAAACGCCAAGCCTATGACCTTATTTACCCTTACATACCAAAAGTTTGTTCTCCGCCTCAAGCTAGACAGAATCCTCCAGCCAAACAGACATCTCCAACTCAAAATTCAGAGGCCTCCTCCCCTCAAGCCGAACAAAAACCTCACACTCGAAAATCAGAGACACTGAGTGAGACGGCACAAATCGCTATTCTCCAAAAGTTTAAACGAGAACGTGAAGCAGAATGGCAGGCCTTGAAAGATTCCTATGACTCATCAATCTTGGAGCTGCAGACGGAAATCCAATGGCTGCAACAGGAAATCAAGAATCTGGATAACATTGAAGCATTCGAGGCGAGGAAAAAGGCACGAGAGAACAGCTGGGGAACATGGCTCGTGTCGCCCAAAGGCAAAAAGGCAGAGGACGTCGACAAGGAGGAGGAGAAAGAACACAAGGACATAGAGAGGCAAAAGAGAGGAATTGAGAGAGATTGGAAGAAGATGCGATTGGAATTGGCGAGGGCACTTTTGAAGGAATTGGAACGTCTAATCAAAAACGCTGAGAAGGAACATGATGCTGAGGATCTCGAAGATGATCTAAAAATGGGGAATCTATATAAGATTTGGTCTAGAGAAGCTGAGGAGAAACAAGAGAGAGAGAAAATGGAAAAGGGAAAAAATTCTGGAGAAATGCAAGGGAAGGAGAGAGTAGAGCTAGAGAGTACATCGAAAATTTGGAAACAGGAGCAGGAGAAGCAAAAGAAGGAAGAGGGGGAGTCGTTGAGGAAACAAGAGAAAGAGAACAAAAATTAGTAGAGACATATTGATAACACCAAAAGAATTCAGGAATAATACGCATTATACTTTTCCCCAAAGATTCCTCTAAGTCTGGTGGAACAAATAAAACTTGTCGCTACGGCAGTCCTTGGAAAAGTTACAAAATAAGGTAATACATCATTTCCAGGTGTGATGAAGTTTAGAGCTATCCGCCGCAGTGCCTGAATTGCAAGATGAAGGTATGTCGAACGTGTCAAAGCGGAATACGTCAATGATACCTCATCTACTGAGAGGACAAGTTGAAGAGTCCACCCAGAAACTCCAATATTTTAGCCCTATAATAACTGTCTTTCCCACTCCGCTTCGTTCCATTACAGCTACCCAACTCCCATTCAGACGAATCCTCAGGGAAATAATAGGAAGTTATCAAATTTCACATCTCAATTATCTTCATAACATCCCTCATATGAAATAACTTACCAAGGTTCACCAAGGTGAGATATTCCCACAAGTTAGAAAATTTACGGGTCATTTATCATTTCGCGGCATGGAATCTCGAAGATCTACAGTATCACCAGATTAGTATAATCTCTGACCAGGACCGGTGAAGCGATTTATACCCTCGCATTGTGTCATAACCACATTCTTGGGGGTAGTAGGACATCGTCTTTTGAGGAGGGAGGTCTTGAGGTTTTTCATTTTTGCTGTGACATCATTGGATTATAGCAAACTAGGTCTATGCTAGTAGCTACATGTAGCAGTTCATAGGTGCATGTATTTTCTGTGAGACCTCTGGGTCTAGAATAGTAGGCTTATTATCTCTAGTGGGATAACATCTTGTATACCGTCCAAATCGTGAGATAGGTAGTACCGGTATGTGGCGAATAACATCAAATTATGTTACATTTCAGTACGAAGTACTTGGAATTTTTATTTATTTTTCTTATCACCATCATCTACATACCTTAAAATCTTACTATCCATCACAGCGCTGAGAATTAGACCTAAAACAATAAAACCAAGAAATAATATCCATAGAATTTTATGTTTCTTTTACTTATAGTACCTATCTTTTATCCCTAATCTTGCTCCCTACCTCAAATCAACCCAACAATATTGAATTCATCCTATAATAAGAACCTCATATCCTGCATTCTATTCATTTCCACTCAATGCCTATATAGTAGTAAGGATCTGTCTAACCACAAACCCAGTACCCATATAAACCCGCAAATCCTTTCAATATATCCCAAATGCGCAGCAATCATCCATGGCGCCCCAAGCTCCCAATACCCAATTCCCAATCCATAGAAATGTCATAAAGCTAGTCCCTTAGGGAACGGAAACACTTGGGGCTAGTCTTCGGTGCGGATCCTCGATACCCGATGAATTCGAAGGTATTCTCGCAATTGTCTTCCTCATTTTCTTTTATCCAACCTCGGCTTGACCGTTGGTCAGAACTTCAATGTCACTGACACAAATCCGTCCTCCCTTTACATCAGGAAAGTTCTTCCTCGACTTGTTCCTAGAAGAAAATCGAGATTTGTCATCGGCATGTCACTTTCTATCACCAGAAGGCTCCTCCTCAGGAGAAGCAGCTCGCTTCCTAGGAGTAAGAGCAGGCTCGGAAGATATAGCTCCTTGTCTAGAAACACGAGCTCGTCGCGTTGCACTGGTGACGTTTTTAGTAGCAACAATGGCCTTTCTACTATGGTACACTGCGGCGTTGGTAAAGTAAGCTGAGGGTAACTCAGCAGGAACAACAAGCTTCTCAGTATTGATGTGAGGCTTTCTGACGACGACAGTTTGCTTGACGGCAGGCTCTTTAGTGGTAGTGGTCGCTGCTGTCTTGGCATTTTGCTGAGCAAGCTGATTTGTCAAGTTCTTAATCGCAGAAACTTGTCGTTTGCTCATTGCTGCTAATACATTTTGTTGCCCTGTGATCATATAAGCTGTTTCTGGAGCTGACATGGCAGGGATTGTAGGAACTTGAATAGGAACAGCTGATTCAACAGCATGAAGAGACTCAAAAACTGCAACAGATTCAGCAGCAGCAGCAGTAGGGGACTCAATAGCCTGAGGAATTTCAACCAGAGACCAAGACTCGGCAACATGAGACGAAGGGGTCGAGATAGCCAAGGGAAGATCTTCAGAAACTTGAATAGCATCATTATGTGCCGACGAAGCTTCAACTAAATGAGAAGAAGCCAGGGTAGCGCTAGTAGAAGAATCTACAATAGCAGGAGAAGAAGCGGTCCAACGAGGTGGATATAAAGACTTGCCAGCAGAAACAGCAGCTTGAGCAGTCCTCACAGCTTCTAGACCTGCAGCACCATACTCCAAAGAAGTAGTATGGAAAACTCCGAAGTTATGGTTTGTATTTGTAGGAGAAGAAGGATTACTAAAGCAGAACAAAGCGTGGAGTTCAGAGTCATGTGTCTTCGGAATTCCAGCAGCGGAGAAAAAGTCTTCGGATTTAGCTGCATTGTGCTGTGGGACGGGGCTTTGCTTTGGAATATCGGCGGTGGCAAAGGACTCGTTGAAGTTACCGGTGCTTTGTTGTGGGATTGTATTGCTGACTGTTGAAACGCCGTCAAAATTGTACTTGGGGTCGGCGATAAATGCATTAAAGTCGAAATCTTCGGAAATTCTACCAAGACCCATATCATTGAGTAATTGGTCTGGTTCCAAAGTGCGGGATGTATTGCGGTCGGAATGTTTAGTGATGTTCTGGTGCTCGCCACTGTAAGCTCCGAAGGTTTCGTTCAGGAGTCCAGAGACAAAAGAGTCCGTGAAATCAGTGTTTGGACCATGGTCAAACGTGCCAATTGTGCCTAATTGACACCAAGGATCCTGTTGAACAACCTCGTTTTTTGTAGGAACCTCTGATGGTTCAGAGAAGGAGAAGTCAAAGAAGGAAGCCTCAGAAGGAAGATGTTCCTTAGGAGGAGTCGACTCTGCATAGATAGATTTGTATGTATGAGATTTGTAAACAGCACCAGGAGCTTTTCCAAAGATAGCAGTTGGAACACCAAACTCATTGAGGGTTGGAGGAGGGTTAGCATAAGGTGTTGTGTTATCTTCCACATCAGCAATATTACTGAGGGAAAGAGATACTTGACGACGACGATCAACCTTCTTGGTACGTCTCACAGCCTTCTCAACATGAATATTTGGCATACCAGCAGCAGCGTAATTTGCGGCAGTAAGAGGAAGACCCATAGTGCTATTGCGAGGAGGGGACGAAGCCAATGGTAGTGGAATGTTGGATGCGCGTGGAAGACCACGAGCTTGCCTGTCAAGATACCGCTGAAGACCCACGTTACCCGCAGCTTGAACTCGAGCAAGACCATGAACAGAGACGGCGGACTCGAATGAGGGATTTTCACTTAAGCGTTGGCGGAGAGGATTCTTAGAAGAAGCAGCCTTCTTGCGGGATGGCTTGCTAGGTGACGAGGTAGCTTGAGGTATATCCATTGAATCCGTGCCGAAATGGAGATTAGTAGTAGATGGGTTGTTGATTGGTGATGCACCCACTTGGAATACACCCGCTTGATGCATGCCATAGTTAGCAGTGGATGTGTCACAGTAAGAGCCATCGCCAGTGTGAGGAGTAGCTTTAGTTGTGTCAACCTGAGATACCTCCATAGAATGCATGCTGAATTGGTTTTGAGCAACAAATTGATTATAAAAAGGGCCAGTGCCGGTTTGTAAAGAATTCAATGGTTCTGCAATATGTGCTGAATTCATTGGCTGTCTGAAAAGTTGATGTTGAGCAGTAGATAGGTTGGAGAGGGAGCCAATGTAAGCTTGTAGGGTAGTTGGTGCAGACTCAACATCACTCATCTCACTGCCTTCATCCCGGTTGCCACCAGGAGGAGCAAAACCTTTGATCCTATCTTTGGCATCTGTTTTACCGTCGAAATTGATCATGGTTTCCATGAGATCGAAAGCAGTTTCAACTACAGGTTTGGCCTTCTTAGGGTACTTGCGTTTTAGAACACCAGCTTTGTTGGCAATCGTCTTTTGGGAAGCAATGGTAGGAGGACCATGCATGACGCCATCGTTCAAACCAAGGCTACTTTGACCTCTAAACTGGGCCTCGTAGTACACAGAATGGTTGACTATAGTGATGGTTAGCCAAAAATGATAGTGAGAAGTGATTTAATTTGCATTACCATAGTTCTTCCACTCGTGTTCTCCAAGAGAAGCATAATGGCTACCAGCTGCATGACTCTTGAGCTCAGAAATGTCTAGAAGGCGCTCAATGGCACGGCTAGGATGTCCAAGAGGAAAGCAAAGAGCGCAGACCCATCCTTTGGTAGTTTGAACACACCTGATATCAGAACTTTTGTTGAGAGGAGAAGCTTGGGGACTGTTTGGTACATGTTTTGAAGACATTTTAACGTAAGTTCGTATTAAATTAAAGAAATGATGGTAGGATATGGGAAGGTTCGTAAGAGGCGTGGATGTTATCGAGAATATACCTGAAAATTGTCAGTAAACTGCAAAGGACGAGTGCGAAAGGGTTGCAAATTACGCTGATAATGAAGCACCCTCGTAAGAACTTTGCCGCAGGTAAATACTGAAAAGGCAACTCAGTTGAGTAGTCTGTATTCGAGATATCGAATATACTTAATCTTCATTAGCATCTTGCAAGGAATACGAAGGAATGGTTCAATTACAGTGCAAAGAGCCGGAAGTAGTTGGTAAATAGACAAAGTTCTCCTGAAACAGGGACTTCACCATAAACGGCGTAGAAGTAGTTCTCCCACGCACTGAATGTGTTGGTGACAAGAATTGAGGTCGAAAATAATTTCGTAAGTATTGTACAATGAAATAGATTCGAGGGAGTCCTTCCCATTCAGTTATTTAGTACGACGCAGTGGAATTGCTAAAATAAGGGTTAGTTTTCGACAAGTGAATTCTCTGCAATAGTAAAGGTTGAGGTACTCCTTCAATGTAAATTAAAGTAAAAGATGTGCGTATATTTGCTAATAGTCGCAATGTAAAATAAATTCGGAGGTGGTTGTAGATGTGAAGGAGGTAAAGAAGAAGGTTGAGCTGTAGGGAAAATGGTGGTTGTAAGGTAGATACAAGGAGTAAAATTGAATCAGATAATTGACTAGGTAGAAGGGATTTTCCCCAGGAAATATATTTTGACCGGATGAGTACGGAGAGATGAAAAAATTTGGCGAGATGGAGATGAATAAGGTAAAAGGGAAAATAATTGAAGGGTAATTGGACAGAGTATATCTCAAAAGAGCATTCAACTGGCAGAGAAGGCTCCAAAGGAGTATTGGATGGTACGCGCACAAGGAGTTGATTGTGGGACGGGTTGAAAAGTCGGAATGTTGCTTTGAGACGAAGATTGGATGTACAAGTAAGTTCAGCTAAAGTTGCACTTTACTATGCTTTCGCTGTTGATATATCGTGTTCCTGAGAAAAATAAAGCGGAAGAGAATTGAGATTTAAAAAGTATTTCAATTGTGCGTAAAAACTAAGCTAGAGAATTTCCATTCAATTCACTTGCTTTGAATATAGGCTGCATTGATGAGAGGGGGCTGGAAACAAAACGATTTAGTCGATATATCGTCGTTGATGTTCGAGAGTAAAGTAAAGTGAAGTGAAGTTTGTCGTTTGGCCAATCGCGAAGGACTTCGCGATATTCACTACATATCTCTTCTCAACCCATTCTCAAATTCATACCGTGTAGATCAGAATTAGGTGAATGGGTCTTGCTTTTATGAAGGAGGAGGAAGTATACGTATCTATATGGCCTAAGTATACTTCCTACTGCTTCTGCTCCCTTAAAGCCGCTCCGGCCCCCGCCACGAGCGTTGCTGACACAGATGACACAGATGACACACGTTTTTATCGTCTTTATGATCAGATTTAAACATTATTTTGACTGCAGAGGTCTTCAGAATTATGCAGTTAAAGTATATTAACTATACACCCCTCTCCCAGCCGTACAGCAAGGCCGTTCATCAAGGAGCTCCCCCACAACACGTGACAACTTCGCAGAGAAGCGAAGGGGTAATGCTTGGCATTATGAATACCTACCTAGGTATCCAAAAGCAAGAATCCCAACAAACATTAATAAATCTAAGTTTATATATACTGTAGCAATTGATTTATCAATTCAATTAACCGATCATCTTAAATTTCGCATTACCATTTTGACCATTTCACCTTGCACTATTCACATTCAACATCATCTTTCACTTTATGGCAGAGTTGAACATGTACATTCACTTTCTAACTGACTTTATTGCACTTCCTAGGTAGCTACTACAAATCTACAAATCGAACTTTAACTTGACTTGCAGGAAACAATTAAGGAGGCCGGGAAGGCTTTTGTACAATCCGTATGCAATACTCCACTGCAAAAGATTGAATATCTAGTAAACTTACTTATTAGATTGAAAAGTTGCCAGCCACATGAATCTTATTTCCAACTATCCCATACGATCTCATCCGACAAAATCATCAGACTAATTGATAGATGATTTATATGTCTGGACGGATAATAAATCTACGCTTCGGTTTTGATAGATGAAGGAATAATATATATAGTGATTAATGGATAATATGTGTATTCGCGGTAAAACAAAGGTGTAAATATATCTGATATATACATAGCACTTGCACACTCGAGTACACAAACAGTAAATAATAATAATAATAATAATGACAATGACAATACAACTGCTAATCAAGTAAAGATACACTCTTATCCATCTAATAGATAGATATTTATCATATACCTACTAGGTAGCAATAGCAATAACCCTCAGCACATATTAACCACCAACTACCCTAAGGATAATCACAAATCACAAATCACAAACTTCCAAACAAAGTTTGGCGAGAATTCTTATAAAACAACAGCCTGTATACGTATAACACAAATCCGGATATCAAATTACTAACTTCCAACCTCCAACTTCCAATTTTCAACTTTCGCCTTCAAGGTATTACGTTACATATATGCATCTCCTCAGACAACATCCCACCCAACCTAATGATGCCAAAAAAACACCATACCCATCTAAAACACACAAGAAGCCTCCATACCATCCCATCCTATCCTATCAAAAACAAAAACGCAAACGCAAACCGCCAAAAGTGTATGCAAAGGCATAGCTTATATTCATTGACAATGTACCGAGCGACTTAAATAGCACCACCATTCATGACTTGCCGACCTAAGACTCCCATCTCTCCGCTATCGGCTGTTCTTCTCCTTTCTAATACCCATCTCTCGCCTTGGACGGGATCGTCCTCTTTAGAGTAGCTTATAGACTCCGCGCTCGCGTTTGATTTGTGTTGTTTGGTATATGATGGTCTCCTAAACTTTTCGACATCTCCCTCGTGTTCATTTCCTGATGATAGATCTCTGGCTGGGACTTGCTTTTCTTCCAACTCCAGCGACGATTGATTCGTAATCAAATTTCCCGTATCCTCAATCTCTTTCTCCGCCTCTTCACTCACAAGATTAAACGCGCTACTCTTCCTGCGGTGTCCCCAAGGTGGCTGTACAAGTGGTCCTCCAGCCACAGGGCTACCACTTCCCTCGACACTCTTTGGGCTGCCATTTCCATTTCCATTACTGCCCAGACTCTTCACACTAGCCTGACTACCACCCCACGCCCGACTCCTCAACTTCAACAATGCTTCCAAGCTCATATCCGAAGCCCTCTGGTAATCTTCCGCAATCATCAATTGTGCTAAGCCTGGACTAATCATCGGAGAACCACCTGACGGGGCATGAAGATGCGAAATAGACATGAAGGAATTGCGATTGGAATATTCTGAGCGCTCAGTAATAGGCGTGAGATTCGGTTCTCGAGACGCGATTCTCCCGCTTTGACTTCGTATCATTCCATCCATTCCCCTTGGACCAAAATACCCACCATTTATATACTCTGCCGAGCTAGCCGCAGGATGTGAGTAAAACCCAAATTCTTGACCATAAAACCCATCTTGATCGTTAGCCAGCGCTTCTGCATTGGCAGCAGCGATGAATTCATCATCTTCTAGTGCATCATCGTAATCAAAATCATCATAAGATGAGGATAAATGCTCATATTGGGAAGAGGTATGACCAGAATCCGTAACTAAGCCAGGTTGATTTTCTTCGCGATCCGAGTCAATGTGAAATATACTCTGTGTGCTATCACGTCTGAATTTTCCACTGGCCGCTGCACTAAAAGCAGCTGCTGCAAGTGAAGCCTGATATTCAGCAAGCTTGTCTTGAGTTAAAGATTGGGTTATTGTTTGAGCTGGGGGTGCGTCCGAGGGTCTGTTTTCGGAAAAGGATGGTTGTGGTGCTAAACCTCCAACTGGACGATTGACCGTCGGAGACAATGGTGAGAGTGTGTCCTCTTTTATTTCCTCTAATATACCGGCAGCTTTGGTTGAAACAGCATTAGATGTTTGTCTAGCCATGAACTGGTCTTTTATGGGTCGTCCATATTGATCCGTGTCGTTGTTGTCAAATACAGATTCATCAAAAGCGCCCGCATTTCCACCTTGATCAGCTTCCCCCTCCAAACCAATCATTCCATCGTCAAAGTATAGATCATCATCATCTAGTCCTGAAATTGGAGGAAACGAGGTCGACTTAGAACTTTGCTGCTGTACGACTTCTTCCCGTGATTCATGTAAATTCTGGGTGAGTATACCAAGACCCTGATGATTCACTTCTGAGGTTGATTGCTCTCCAGTCAGTTGCTTATCTGGAGGGTAAATATTTCCATCTGGAGAAATTGGTGTGAAGACCGAATTGGGTGGTTCTGACGGAAGGAAGGGGGAGTATTTCGTCATAGAAAATCCAATAACTTGACCATCAGAGTCCCGAGGTGTTGTTGCTGCCCCAGGAGTATATGGGCTCATGGGACTAGAGACGTGTGGTTGAAATGTGAAGCCTGCAACATTCTTATCCAGCAGACCTGGTTGCGCTTCGTCTTCAACCGGCGTGGCTTGTTCCATATCTTGCTGTTCTTCTGTTTCTTGTATTTCCTCCAAGCTAATAGTGTTAATACCTGGTACATCTTCTTCATATCCACCGTCGAATCCTTCAAATGCATCATCTTCATCATAATCAGCGTTGACGCCGGGTATTCTCTCCTCCAATCCATCATCATCCATCATATCATCATAGTTAAAGTCATCGTCCTCGTCATAAATTTGTTGATCGTCATTATTGTCCGGGTCGTTCTTTTTCTCCATTGCTTTCTGGCGATGTCTATCTTCAAGTAGCCTTTCCTGTTCTGCAGCTCCTATCATATCAAAACTAAACCTCGAAGATGTACTCTTCATGTGTTTTAGGGCGTCTTTTGCTGAAGCGTCGGACACATTTCGTGCCCGTCCGCCCTTTCTCGACGATGGATGTGCTTTAGGTGGAGTTGATGCAGGACCAACAGATATTCGTTTTGACTCGATCTGAACAGGGGTTTCGTCTTTTAGTGGTACTCCGGATGCAACATCTGAAGTGGATTTTTGTGCACTCAACCTCTTCAGATCTCCAGTCTGTAACTCATCGGTGACTTTCGGAGCCGAGCCTTGATCGGCTTGTCTCTGAACTTCTCGCGCATACGCGGGCTTCGGAGCAGTGAGATCAGACAAGTCGTTAGTTTTCCGTACATGAGGCCCTGCGGCAGGATATTGCTCCTCCTCAAAGTTCTCGGTAAATACGGGTGTGTGATTTCCTGCTTTCTCACTCGTGGTCGAATCTGCATAAGGGCTTCTTTGAAATGACCTGGTCGCATCCGAAACGCTGGCATCATTGTGGGATGCGTTCCGTCGCGGTCCTCTTGGAGCACTGAAATCGTGCACAACCGTCCCTTTAATTCGAGGATCAAAACTCTCCTTTGAGCTAAAGCTTGTAATGAGTGATTCCGGAGTTAATTGGGTTATAGCCTGAGATGTTCTCCGTCGAGCCAGAAGAGCCATGGGGTTTAACATCTTCAGCCTTCCTTTAGATGATTGTGGAGGAGGCGCTTCGAGGGGTGGGGAAGGTATTCGAGCACCCGTAGGCCGTCTCCCAGTAGGCTTGATATCTAGATCTGGGGTGGTCGGCCCAACATGCTTCTTCGTACTTGCATCGTAGACGGCATTGGATTGTGACTTTGAATGGTCAAATCCAGTATTCCTCGTAGAAACTGGTCCTGCATTTCCCGCAGAATCAGGGCTCTGATTGCTCGTGTATAGTGGTGATTTCTGACTGGTTCCATTTTCCGAACTTCTCTTCCGCGCATTGTTAAGTTTCGTATCCACCCAGCTCTGCCTACTCGAATCATGACCATATGTAGTTATCTTCCCATTGAAACTCAAATTCTCTAATGTATTTCCATACCCCACGCTCGAAACTCGTGCGATGGGAGGTAGGTGAGGTGAGGGAGAGATTGGCGATGGTTCATCTTCGTACTTAACATCTTGGAGTCGTGGCGGATGGCCATGGTCCGCTGAACGTGCCGGAGGCTCGAAACTGGGCACCTCTGATTTGGGGGATGAAGGGGTCGATGTGCGCCGGTGAGGTCGCAGATAAGAGAACATCCTGCTGTGGGAGCCCGTACAAGGATTATCAATGTCCGAAAATCCTTTCTCGAGCAGATTCTCGACAATATCCGTATATTCAGTTATTCGATCTTTCCATGCACATTCATCGTTATTCGCATTGGCGTTGCAAGGCCGAGTTGTGTCACCGGTCTCAAATGATAAGAGTTTCCTTGATAAAAGTCGATTAGAGATTCACGTATATGTCGCGCAAGGCAGGTACAATAGAGGATCGAATTGAAAGGCAAGATATCGTGGTTGCGATTAAATGGTTTATGGTCCATAGACTTCGTGACGCATTTTTCTATATAGTTTTTGTTGAAGCTTATTTCATCAACCCTGTATTTGGGTTTAAAAGTTTGCTGTGCATTATTATGCCTGGTCTTTATTGCATGATATATTAGAAAAAGTAGGGACGGGATGGGATATATACGAGTACAAATGCGAAAAGAAATAAAATGGAAAAGGAGACTTTCTTGGTCGAAATTAACTCCTGAAATAATAATAAAAATCTATGATAGCAGCTCTAATCTTACGAACTTGGAATTGATAATGGATCCACTCTAAAAATAAACTACAACATTGTGTTAGTGTCTGTCAATGACACAATAAAAACAAACAAACAAACAAACAATAAACCCTTGAAGTTGTGCTCTGATATCGGTATCATGGGTATCATAACGTGCATGCTTTGTGACCATCGGAGGGAAAATGAATTGATAGAAAACTGAACAGTTATGCCATTTCAGTAAGGTAGGATTATCTACCATTACATACAACATCAAAGCTTGACATTCCCCCAAATTCTAGTAAAATCATGCGATTATGATTTTCATGACTAATGATATAACATACATAAATACCTGATCTTCCAAATCCCTCCATCTATCAAAGTAGGAGTCTCGACACATTTATAAAGTGATTTTCACTTCATATCTCAATGATGACGCCAGCCATAGTCTCCCACTCAAGAACGCCCCTTTCGACAAGCCTATCGAACTGTCCCCATGCCCTTTAAGATACCCTACCACTACCTATCAATACAAGAAATTCGGCTAGTCCACATCCATGCCCACGTCGCTGATATCTGCCTCCGTTTCGTCTCCAGCAATACCTAGTAAAGATTTCTCCATCATATCAAGATCATCTTCATCATCATCGTTATCAGTCACCAATCCTAAAAGCTCCTTGTCCATGTCGTCAAGATCCTCATCCCCTCCGTCCGGTACGCTCACATGTCCATTTGTCTGATGCTTTAGTTGATGAACAACCGGTTGATCTTGCTCGTCCTCGGTTTCATCGCTATCTCGTGCGCGGTGACCATTCATACCATTGTTCGTGGAAATGCGGTTGGTACCAATAACTCCAAGATTTAAGTCCTTTTGACCATCCCAACGATCGAGTCTTCTTCCGGCACGTCGGAAAGCAGCTGCATACGCTGACACCTCCTCTCCGAAATCATCCTCTTCAGCTTCTAGTTGAACAAGGCCACCAAATCCTCGTTCTTTGAAAGGGTAGGGATTTCTATGGTAGGTGTCATCCTCGCTGTCGCTAAAAGGATCTAACATTGCATTCGTTCTCTTGAAGGCGCGGATAAAAGCGCCTTCCTCCTTACGCGACTTTCTCGCCGAATGATGCGCCTTTCTAATGCCGCGACTGAGAATGTAGTCGACTCGCTGGTTCCTATTCCGCTCGACTGCAATCTGATGTGCGGTCAGCGGTCGATGTCGCCTCGCAAGAGTAGCTGGTATCTCTGGTGCTGGAGAAGATCCCTCACCATTCTTACCGCCTCGATGTCTGGAGCCTGCTTTAAGAACACTGTTAATACGCATGTTGCTGGAACTAAAAGCTCGAGGGGGCGGGGTGGAGCGTGTGCTGTCAAGATCGGACTCGTATCTGGGGCGAACCTTACTAATCAAACCACCAGGAGTTCCAACTACATCATCATAACGAGGTCGCATACGACTCATAATAGCAGATGAATTGGAACCTTCATCGGGGGGCAAGTTGAGCTTCGGCTTGGGACCACGTTTTGGCGGACCATTCTCTGCTTGAAAGGCGATTTGATCGGCTTCAATAATGCGTTTGCGCTCGCGCATCTTGCTTTGACCATATTCTAGCTCTTCTTCTGTATCGATGTTCTCCAACGCTTCTTGTTCTTCTGTCATATCTTGTAATCGTGGAACACCCTGATTCCTGACGTCAGTGTGGTAATCAACACCAGAACCAAATGGATTCTCATCCGCCCCCTCCTCTGTAAAGTCGGATTCAAGGTAGAACCACATCAACCATAAGAACGCCTTAGCTCTTGACTTGCTGGTGATTTGGGTGTTCATGATGAGGTCGAAAAATTCACGATTTGTAGGGAAATGTAATTCTGTGACCTTAGAGGCGTATGTAGCAAGAACAAAGATTAAATTGACTGGATTTGTGCGAGGTATCGGTGTTGTTTTAATCTTGTCCAAAGAAGCAGGTTCAGGCCGATCCTCAGATGCACCCTTCAGAATAGATTTAAGTCGAGGTGCGTCCTGAAGCTGTTTGTAGGAATTGGGATCTTGTCGAGCTTGTAAAGATGGAATGGCATGGTAGGTACGAAGCTGTGCTCGCATTTCTGGGAAGACTGAAGATTGTGAGTGTGTGAATTTTCGAGGGAAGATAATTACTCACAGTTCAAAGTGGTATTCATGCGACCGAGATTAACTAAAAGGCACACCATTGCCATGTTCTTTGCTGGCTCATGTTCGCTCAGCAATTTATCTCTCAAGATCTTACTTGTTTTGCTACTCCTAGCCATCGCATCGATATAGAGGTCTGCGAAAGTCTGCTTCGGCATGGAATCATCGTAACTATTGGTGAACACAGCATTGCCGTCCTCAAAAATAAGTTTCAGAAAGTCGTACTGAATATCCTTTCTCCAGAGTGGCTCTCCATCATCCTTTTTGAGATGACGAATCTTGTTGTTCTGTGGCCCAATACTTCCTTGCATAGTGATGGCTTGATCTTTGGCAGATTTATTTCGTGCACGCGACGATGTCCCAACAAGTGTACTTGTATTATTCTCGCGGGCGGGTGTTCTGCGTTCCTCGTCTTCAGTTGTTATGTCGTTGGTTGATTTTGTCGTTGTTGGTGGAGTGTTTTGAGAAGACTCGGTATTACTGGTAACATTTTTTGGAGGCGAGGCTTTGAAGTTTGCCTGAGTTGGTGATACATCTTCCTTGTCAGAAGCGACAGTGACGACTGAATCCAGCGAGTCTGCCATTTCTTTCCGTTGTTACTGCACAGAAGCGAATAGAAAAGGAAAAATAATGATTAATGAATAGGTGAAGTGATTCGTAGAAATTGAATTTAATCCATTTCAGAATCAATTGTTATTAAAGCTAATGGGAATTAAAATGAAATATGAGTGAGAATTGATACAATATTTAAAGATTGAATTGATAAAGAAATAATTGAAAAGGACAAATGGTTTTTTAAATTGAAGCTTCTCATTTCTATACTTTGTAAGGTTACTCTAATAATAAGTGAGATCTTACATTTTGGCCAAGGAAGCTTTAAGCTACTGCGGAGGATTGCATTATTGTTATCCGAATCATTGTTATGGTTGGTCTAGACAGATTGTGGTCTGTATAGGCCAACGTAGCTGGAGCTATGATGAATTTCTCCCCTTGATCAAACGGAAATGGCGAATACCATTTCTTCCGTGTCCTACAAAGGAATTGGACAAGTTGATATCGGTAGTTGGGTAGAGTACAATTCCCCAGCTCACTATGTCTGTGTATGTGTGTTGTTATTACATAAGTGCTCCATTGTGTTTTATCTTGCTTCGTTTAGACATTATTATAATGCCATCACGCCGTCGAAACATGAATCTCAGCTTACTATTTTCGCCGGATGGAGAAGACCATAATTAGCTAGGTACTACTACAGCCATTTTACCAAAACCCCCATCGCTACCAACAGGAAGGAAGAAACCAAGTCCGGCCCCGCCTGACACACTTAACCCATACGGTAGTGATCCTTTGCGGTGGGATTATGGAGCATTAGCTGAGCTTAGGTGCGGCAGATGATCTTGCATTTGATCATCCTATGCACCTACCACACTATGGCGTCCGGGACGCTTACACGCCTTACCATTTATCATGAACTAAAATGCCCCGTTTTTGGGTGTGCTAGTACACTACTAATAAACCATATCTATTCCTCTCATCAGCCATCCACAGGGAAAAAAGAAAACCCAAAACCCCCAAGAGTTAAACTTTCCTATTCCGCCACTCTGGATCTTCCTTCCGCCACATACTCCGTCTATCCTATCCTGTGAGACCCGCCACACGCGGATGATCCGCTCCATAAGAAAGGGATTCAACGCATCTCAATTCCCCACACGATCTATACGAGAACTGCCGTAAACTTTTCATCTCGTTTCCTTCTTATCTGGAACGCCTATCTAGGAAACAGATCTTGGGCTGAATGAGAGAGCAACGAAATATGTCATATACGGTAGTACTGTGCACACAGCCTCTGACGCTTAATCCCCCCACCAATCCTGATGGAAATGGCTTGACAGATTTTACCCACACCTTTTTTGTAATCTGTCGGGACCGTTACGGACTTCCTTCCCATTGCGCAGGATCCGAATATTCCGCAGGGTACGTACCTGTCGTTTCGTTCCAGCTTGCAAATGGAATTTACATCCATGAGACAGGCCATGCGGTGGCTTCTCCAGGGGTTAGCGAATGCAGTGTTACCAAACGCCTTAATCCCACAAGGTCATGTTTACTCGAAGGCTTACGATGACGTTTTTGCATGAAGGAGATTTTTTTAGAGTCTAAAAGTACATGCTGAGCTAAACCTCTGAATCTATCTATCTATCTATGTATAATGAAGCCGCGCGAAAGTAAGCAGCATACAGTATAAGAGATTTGATGTTGCATAAAACAGGCAGCACTAATTCTTGCTGGAAAGGAAAAGACTGAAACTGGAAAGAAAGGAAAAATAGTAAGGAATTGCGCAAGTATAATGAAACAGGGGCTTGGTATCGTTGGATCCTCCCAGAATCATGTCGAGGTCGTGAAAATATAATTAGGCCATTCCGTGTCAGCATTTCGTCGTGACTTTTGCCCAATGACCAGATCGAGTCACTGGTTTGATCAATAACCAGAAGTTCCACTACCACTGCCAGCTGCGCTTCCATAGTCATAGTAGGTGTGGTCGCCCTCATAGGAAGTAGCCTCTCCTCCATAATAGGCCTCCCCTCCGTAAGCCACATCGGCGTTTTGATAGTAGCTTGCCCCATCGCCTGTCCGAGGTTCATATCTGGATGCATCCTCACGAGCTCTACCCTTTGAAACGACGTGCTTCATAGAGAGAGAACCCCATGGTGAACCACTTGCGTCAGGATTGTCGTAGTAGACGTCATTTGCATCAGCTGTGTGATAAGAATGGCCGGCATGAGCACGATTCTCGCTGTCTCGATCCTGACGTTCTTGGTCCGCCTTGACCTTATCCCCTGCCAAATGTTAGCCGATTGATGAAGTCTGAGTGATATGGTGACTGCTTACGAAACTTTCTCTGTGCTAATCTGTTTTGCACTCTCCGTCGCTCTTCCGGATCTGTGATGCCAGACCAATCGTCTTCCTTAGGCTTTGACTTTCCGGAAGAAGAGCTCTTCCCCTTCCCAGATGAAGATCGATTGGAAGAAGACATTTCGGCTTTCGCTCGGAGTTTGACTCGAGATTTGGCTTCGATTTAACAGTTCGCCCCTTAGAAGCTCGCTCTTATTTCAAAGTATATGCGACGTGCTCGGACTCGTTGGCGTTGGGCCTTTCAATATTCAGATAATGACTTGACGCGTAAAGATTGGTGCGTTGAAATCTGCAGTGAAATCTAGCACTTTCGCTGAGATCCCCTCCGCTTTAGCGTTTAGGAGAATAAGAATAGAGTGACGATTGCACCCTTGATAATGGTCCTGCGAAAGTATGTAGTGTTTGAAACAAGATAAACTTGATAGCAACAAGTCGTAATGCAGATGAAGATGCTGAAGCCCTCTATAATATCAAAGGAGATGATTGATGGTGATGATGATTGAGTTTAATCATGGAAAACTTCCCTACTTTATAGAACTAGGCAGCGGCGCGGAGGGCAGATTCAATGATCGCTTTTGGATATCAGGAATAGATATATAAAGATATCCGTAAACATATTTGCAAGAGAAGCATGCAAACCAAGAGTGGATGGAACGTCAAATGGAAGCACTGCCTCCAGGCGGATCAGGTATATGACGGCCATGAAAACGTGACTGCTATAGGTCGATAGGAGGTAGGATATGACTGAATGGACAAATTGAGAGCGTCCGCTTTCTCTAAGGCAGCTTCACCTAAATTGGACTACAATTTGACCCAATGGTTGAACTAAGCATACATGTGACTTAGTATAAAGAAACTCATCCAAATATGGGAATGGAACGAAAAGGATGGTGAACCTTAGAAAGCTAGGATTATGATGATAGCAGAGCTCCAAATCAATGAGATATTGGCGTTGCCGTGTAATGACGATGCCATCCAACTCAGAGGAAGGTTGGGTGGGAGGGGATTGGCCGAAATCCTTCATCGCGTTATTACCGCTTTTGATTGGTTTTTCTTAATTAATCAAGACGTTCAACTGTTGAGTCCTAATGTATGAGAGTCTGCTCTCTATGTTGCTGTAATGCCAGAAACAGTAAATACTGTAAGCCAGTTGTAGAAATGGCAGCGAGTAGCCATTGTTTTCGAAGATGTTCATGCAGAGGTACATAGCTTCGGTTCCTGCAATAGGTTTGACAGGGGTCAATTTATGGGATTTCAGGCAGACGAAGGAGTCGCTGAAATCCATCACAAATGAATAATAGATTTATCAATACCTCCATATACTCGTACATACCTGGCTACGGTCAGTATATCAGGTACACCAGTTAGCTTCCTAAAGTCAGTACAGGGAAGGCCGATGTGTCCACGGATTAGCTCACCGGCTTCTCAATTTTTTCTATTTACGAACATACCGTTCACCAACCTCAGCTACATTCCTAGATGTTCTTTGATGCATTGCGCCGTGAGGACACTTACATATTTGATCACTTGTTATGGTATGATGCACACATCCATTGCCATATTGAGTCTTCAACTCCGGACCCATATGACAGCCATGAGATTTTCTTATAAGGATGCTTGTTGACATCAGTTGAGGTGCCGCTATCCATCCATTCAAAACATCGGACGAAAATATCCGAGAAGCCTTGCTGTGCCCGAAAAGCGCATATTGTCCATGTTCGCCTCAGCTCCTACTGGTGAAATTGACGATCTTGACAGCTGGATGGGTATGGGATTAAGCGGCCTGAAGTGCCTGAATATTGGCTTATCAAATGACCTTTTCGTTCGTCTTGCACTTCAAAAGTTCCCCAGTTCTGTAAACGACTGACTGGATTATGTGTTGGAAATTTTATGTTACCGTATTACAGTACCTAGGTACCTAATAGCTTATCAGAGCTTCTCGAAATAATAATCTGGAGGAAAGATCCTCCGGCCTTCCAGGAAGTTTCCAGCACAGTCCGCCCTGGCATCATCCATAATCAAGATATCAACCAATACGCCTCCATTATCGTACACTTAAGAATAATACTTTCGAAGACTTGAAGCAAATGGGCACCTTCCATCAAAAGGAGGTATCGGGTACATTCGCGCAACTGCTAGAACGAGAAAAGTATCAGGGAGTGAGCATGAACGAGCTTACCAGGGCTCTGGGGAATGGTGAAAGAAGGAACCATGTATCCCCGATCTTATACAGGAGTACCGGATTTTTGAGTGTTCCTAATATGGCTAGGCTAGTATGAGGAAACATATAGAAAGAAACAATGGCCTAGGTATTCAGCAAAAGAAGACGAAAATAGTGTTAAGTTGAACTCTGCGCCGCGAAGCTGCAATTTCACGTGGCCTTGGAGCCGACCCCCGCCTCATTTAGACTACAATCGCAATGTAGGTATCGAGTCAACATCCAACTTTAATATGTTATGAGTTGAACTGCAGCTTTGTATAGATATCTTCTAGGAGACTTGGACTTGTGGATAGATATCCCAGAATATCACAGCGAAGCCACCTCCTCCCTATGCATGCCATACACAGCCTCAAACATAATCTTACATCAATCAATAGCTTGCTCATCATGCCTTTCCTTATCTGGCTGCACGTTTCTCCTCTCCTCTCCTCTTTGCTCGAACTTCGGCTTGTCTCCTTTCGCCGCCATCAATCTTGTGACCTCTGCGATCTTCCCATAATCCTTCTTTGACAACAAATCTTGCAGCCTTTCCTCCTTTCAGAGGTTGCACATGGGGTCCGACAATGGTATGTGCTCCCTTAACATGCACACCTTCAGCAGGGACCATCTGCTCAGCCGATTTATTTTCCGCACTGCCTCCTATGGGCACATTGACCACTATCTTTCGTTTTCCCGGGGAGGATGTTGCGGTAGCTGCACTGTGTATCGGGCTTGAAGATGGCACTTCAACTACACGCAATTCTGCAACTCCATTTTCAATATGTTGAAAGTCCCCACCAATGCCGTACTGCCCTTTTCTAAATTTCTCGCGCCAGCGCAAGAGGTAGCGTCGACTCCGTGGAGGCTCAACACCCAATTCTCGTAACTGATCAGAGGTCAATGTAAATAATGCTTTCCAAGAAGGAATCTTCGATGCATGCTGGCTCAAGTTCCGTCCAATGAGTGTAAGAAATGTTTGAGCATCCGGCACAAAGGGTGTGGGACGTGGTACGGGCGGCGCCTTCATGCGATGATGCAAACTTCGTACTTGAGTGCAAGTGGTTGAATCCGTAAATGGAAGGAGAAATGAGGGAATCGGTCGTAGCTGGTAAGGCTTGAGGATCATCATGGGCAGATTCTAATGAGTAAGTCAATATGGCTCCATGCCACAGAACAGAGTCTCAATTGATCATCGCAGGATTGAAGATGAGGGCCAATTGTACGTACTGTAGAATGATGAATGATTAAATGGATGCCGGAGGTCAAGGTATTAATACCAAAGGCTGCATGGACTGTATGTCAACTGGGTGCTTTGATGTAAGTCAACTTGTCTCAAATTGTGTCAACCAGCAGAAGGCTGTACCTACTACCCTTTAGGATTTCTCTTGAACTGCCAGGTGCCTCACAATTCGATTTTAATCTTAGTGTCTGTTCGGAAAATCTTCGATCATGTGATGTGGGTTAATGGGAATAAAGTATATCCGACTTCCAGATGGGTGCGTGCTGACCTTCTTATCGGTTTACCAAAGTGCATATTAACCTGCTGAGAAATCCCGACTACTTTCCTTTTTATATTCAACATCGCCAGAGAACAACCACCAAAATCATGCACAACCATTTGCTGTTTGGGATTGTCTGCCGGACTGCCAGTCATCTTTCCTTATCTCATATTTATTAGAACAAGAAGATAGTCTCCTTTTCAATCTAATAATCCCTAGCCCCTCTCTTTATATTCATTAAACGAAGTAAACTTCCTGCACGTGGAGCCTTTGTTATGTTTCCAAGTTTACACGTCCTGGTGAAAAGATTTGGTTCCGAGAATTGATAAAATGGCTCCTATCAACCGGTCTCCTAAGCATAAAAGGCGTTTCGGAATCATTCCTGATGACTATGTCTTTGCACAGGAGTTAGAGGCACAAAGAAAAAATACCGAAGGTTATGGTAATGGTAATGATGAGGATAATGAAGCTCTCCCTAATGAGGGTCCGCTGACTTTTGCCAATATTATTACGGATGCATTAATTGGTTATCTTACCGCAAACCAGGTAACTATTATTATCAACCATACGTTGCTCTAGGGCCACATTCAATTGACCTCAAAAGTTTGATGGTTATCATTGATTTCTAGAAGCGCTAATTCGAGACTATAGAATGCATCAGAAGAACCTCTACAGAAGCGACAGAAAGTTGTAACAGGATCTGGGTTGCAATCATCGAACGATCATGTGTCGGGAGATTTCATCGTCGTCAAGGAATCTTCGTGGAAAATCAGATGTCTTCGATCAAAGTTATCTTCGGATAGCACAGCCTTGGGTAAGCAGAAAATCCGCTTTAATTGCCTCTGGGATCGGCAGAATGAGAAATCCTGGCCATCTCATATCGCAATTGAAGATGACGATGGTAATCCTTTGCTTATCATACCCTTGTCACTTGGGAATACATTGACGAGCATTCCCAATTCCTTAAATGACGTCCTTATTTGTCTAATGGTTGACCGGGACTCTAAAAAGCACGTTCGACAATCAAGTAAGTTATGGACAGAGGCTGGAATAAGTTTGCATAAAAGGGACGGCTCAGATTATATACAAATCCATTTTACTATCAAATGGGAGGTAGCAACTCACCCTGGGTCGATACAGCTCAAGAAAACAGATGCCATGTTAAAGGTTTTAAACACTTACTTCCCTGATCCAAATCGCACGAACTTGGATCCGCTCTCTGCGCAAGATTTCTATCAATCTGCACATTCGTCAGATCCCGATGATGAGATTCCTGCCTCCATCGAAACACCCCGCTTGAAATCAACCCTTTACCCATTTCAAAAGCGAGCTGTACAATGGCTGCTTCGCAGAGAAGGTGCTGAATGGTCTCGCGCGGCCGCAAATGTCAGGGAGGCACATTTCAGGGTGGCAGATCAATTGCCTGTCTCGTTCATTGCAGCAACAGATTTGAAAGGGCGCTCTTTTTATGTCAGTCATTTATATGGAATAGTTACCTTCGACCTTGCTCCTTTCTTCTCAGTGGAGCGAGAAATCAAGGGTGGTATTCTTGCAGAGGAGATGGGCTTGGGTAAGACTGTAGAAATGATTGCTCTGTTGACACTTCACACCCGTCCTAATCAAGGTCCATCGACTATCGATCCATTTTCTGGGGAGAATCTACAGACAACAAATGCGACCCTAATAATATCACCACCGTCTATATCAAGTGAGTGTTTAATCAAAATTGCGCGTCGATCATAGCATCTGTTGACAATATTCAGAGCAGTGGATCAGTGAGATCAAAACCCATGCGCCACATCTCAAGGTTACTTACTATGAAGGTATCAAAAGCCGGATACTTAACCATGAGGCAATAATGGACGACTTTGCCACCTCCGATATAGTCATTACGACGTATGCTATACTTGCATCAGAGATCCATTTCACCAGTCGGAATCCGGGGAGAACATTGCGCAAGGAGTCAAAATACCGAAGACCCAAATCGCCTTTAATGCAGTTCTCGTGGTGGCGCGTGTGCCTAGATGAAGCACAAATGATTGAGAGCAGTGTTAGTAATGCCGCAACTGTCGCAAGGATGATACCTCGAATCAATGCTTGGGTAATCACAGGCACTCCGGTATGTGTTTCCAGCTATTAATATCCTCTGCTCTTCCTCATTAGGGCTTCCAATTGTCCCTATTGCTGTCCAAGTTCGATACATTTAGAAGGTTTCCAATGTTCGAAAACCTGTGAAGCATTGAGTCAATTTAGTGTTTGCAGTGGGCTCATTCCTTATGGATTCATCACATCGATTGGTTGGATATATAAAAGATATTCAGCCATTAATGCTAACTCATTGTCGGCCTACAATACGGATCATTGGAGAACCTAAAACCACACCTTTTTATTCACCATATGAGATGAAATAAACTGATTGTAGCCTAGGTCAGAAAGAACATCAAAGACTTACTAGGACTCCTCATCTTCCTAAGATATGAGCCCATAGTTTCGCTCTGGCCATCATTCATATCCTCCAAGCAAGACTTCCACAAGTTGTTCGGATCCATCAGCTTACGTCACTCGAAAAAAAGTGTCCGTAAAGAGCTGAACTTACCCAAACAACGCCGCTTCGTAATAACTATGCCTTTTAATGCCATTGAAGAAGCATACTACCAAGAGTTATTTAGTCAAATGTGTTCAGAATCGGCATTAACCCCGGAGGGTAAGCCTCTTGTAAACGGCTGGGATCCGAAGGATTATGCCGAGGTGATGAGACGCTGGCTTGTACGGTTGAGACAGGTTACATTGCACGCGGAAGTTGGTGGACGCAATAAACGAACCATTAGGCAAAATGGAAGTGAAGATGGCTCGGAACCAGTTGTTCAAGCGGCAAGTAAGTCGGGAAACATAGTAATGATGTGCCTCAGAGTGAATACTAATAACATTATTAGGTAAGGTTCTCGAAGTTATGTTCTCACAAACAGATGTTGCGATTAGAACAAATCATCGGTCACTTCTTCTTTCTCGGCTAAAAAAAGGGCAATTGTATGAGGACTCACCTCGAGTTCAAGAGGCTTTGAAAATCTGGGAGGCAGTAATCTTAGAGTCCTCTGTTGGTCTAGGTGAAGCTAGAGATGAGTTAATCGGCGAAATATCGTCGGAGAAAGCGAAGCGCGCTTTTCGTCTAGAGAAAGGTTCGGATTTGTCAACAGCCGAAGCTGAAGAGACAATTGCCTCAAGCCAAGGTCAAAGCTCTGGAAGGATCAATGATGAAGACGTTGGAGTACAAGATGGGTGAGGACTTTTTGAATCGTCTTACGAACACTCTAACACATTTTCACTTAGATTGGATCCTGCCTCCCCGATAGGACTGAGTCGAGCACGGTTGAGGGCCGCTTTAGAACTCCATCACATGGCGGTGTTCTTCCGCGCAAATGCTCACTTCCAGATTAAGACAAACGAGGAAATGACAAAACCGAAATCTCCAGAGTTTAAAAACCTTGATATACTCGAAAGACAAGGTTACAAAGAAGCTAAGGACTTACGCCGCGAGATATTACAAGATGTAAGTTCTGTATTCCACTAGTGCATGTTTGCAATACTCTGAATTGAAGCTCCAATTTTTTTTCCCTGGCTTCCAAAATTCGTTACGAAGAGAGTACTCCCCAATTCAAATAGAAACTTCTAATCAAACAAGGCTAACCAGATCATAGGCCTTTAGCAAAGCAAACTCCATGATGATCACAATTAGAAACGATACAGAATCCCGTACACACCTCCAATTGCCCAAATACATTCCCAACACTCTCAGCGGGGGGCCCGAAAGTCGCCGTATCATGGAAGAGTAAGTTGCAAACATCTGCATTTCTAATCAAACCAATCATTCAGCTAGATTTCCCTAGAACATTATGCCCTATACATACTTACTAACTAACACTTGGGCAGCCTCGAAAGACTCGGGATTCATCTAGACAATCAAGCCCATCAGATTGATGAATGGCGAGATCATCTCAGACGGATTCTGTTGAGCCCATTGGTCGACAACGATGATGATGAAGTAGCTATTAGTGGAGATGAATATGAGAATTCCACAAAAGTACAAGAAGAAGTTGTAGTATACGTGCAAGCATTGCGGACAATGATTGCGGATAGACAAGCATCGTTGAGCGGAATACGGAATTATCTAACTGACGAAGAAGCTAAAAACGCTTTACGGGAAGCGAAAAAGGGCGAAGGACCTTACCCAGAACGACTGCTTGAACTGTTCAATATAAGACACCGCTTTGTCGATGAACGCAATAGTGTTAGGGGGGCTCTGTCAGCGCTCCGGACCCTCGTGTCTAAACTCAAGGCAAATAATGCACAAAATGAACTCTCGATTGTTGAATCTCAACTAAAAACGACTCACAAACAACTCATGGATCAAACGAAAGTGGCTGCAGCTCTAGAGAAGGAAGTAGGGCTGTTCACAAAGTGTATGAATTTTCGAGTGGAATATTATAAACAACTACAAGCAATTTCAAATCAGGTAGCTCCGTATGCAGGTCCAAACAATGACGATGTTGTTGTGAAGATGCTAGGAAATGAGCAGGTACTTATCCAGCGCTTGGCTGCCTTGAGAGCCAAGAAAAGATATCTGGTTCACCTAAAAGAGGAAGCAGAAACCCCTCAGGATACGCGAATGTGCATCATCTGCAGAGAAGGGTTCGAGCTTGGAGTTTTAACCGTCTGTGGTCATCAATTCTGTTCCATTTGTATCAAGCAATGGTGGAAATGTGAGAGCCCAATTACCTTGAATGCCGCATACATATTACTAACCTATTGAAGCACATCATAGTTGCCCTGTCTGTAAAAAGAAATTAATTCACGCGGATCTTCACGAAATTACTTACAAGCCACAAGAACCAACAGTGACCACCGAAACAGAGGAGGTTAGAGAGCCACTGAAGGAACGGTCGCTTAATTCCAACACCTTTCAAAAATCCGCAATCTACTCAGATGTCAGCCGAGCTACTCTTTCTGCCATCAAGAATGTCGAGCTTCCTGGTAATAACTCATTTGGTACCAAAATTGATACACTGGGTATGTAAATGTTGACTCCATTTCACAAAGCACCACTAACTACTTCCAAAAAAGCCCGCCACATTCTTTACCTTAGAGAATCAGATCCTGGCTCAAAGTCAATCGTTTTTTCCCAGTTTGCAGAATTTTTACCGATCTTGGCTCGCGCATTCCGTGTATTTCGCATCGGCTATGCATCCATTGATAAGCCTAATGGAATTGAGATATTTAAAAATGATCCCAACATAGAGGTTTTCCTGCTACACTCACGAGCGCATAGTGCTGGATTGACACTAGTCAATGCTAGTCATGTGTTCATCTGCGAACCTTTATTGAACACTGCCCTGGAAATTCAGGCCGTAGCACGCGTCGATAGGATTGGTCAACTTGTCGACACCAATGTTTACTTACATATTATTGGCAATAGTGTTGAACAATCAATCTATGAGTTATCTGTTAAGAGACGCCTAGAGCACCTGGGACATGCAGCCAAATCGAAAAAAGGGAAGGAGAAAGAGCTCTCGGATGAAGAACTGGTAGCGCATGGTCTGGAAGAGGCTGATAGTATAGAGATGCAGGAATCAATACTTGCGAATCTTATGGCCAAGGGCAAGAGTGGTGAAGTCGTTGCAGAGAACGATCTATGGACTTGCTTGTTTGGTGGGAGAACGAAGCGGGATACTGTGGATCTTACTGGTGATGCTACTGGGGAAGATTCAATAGCATAGTAGATCCTAGTGGCAGTGATGCAGCTCAAGATACTGAGGATTCGTTCTGCGCGGTAGATTAAAATGGTAGGGACAGATAAATCATTTGACTATAATCGACTGGGTAGCTGGAAGGCACATAGATTAAGGTGGGAGACACCGTATGGTTGGGGCTATTTGATGGGTATCTGAGTTATCACGGTGATGATATCATGCACGCGACGCTCATGGCCAAGTGTTGGGACATGGTTCGGGACACGGGGTATATTTACACAATCAGCCAAAATTGGCGACAAGCACATAGCCTTTAATTTGCGGAGTTTTTATGGCTTTAGAGCTCCTTTTATTGCAGAGCCTCAAATTTTCGTTCAATGTTGTTCAAGAAAGTGTGGTGTGACGATGCATCTGGATTTGAGACCTAATGCTCTTTGGTGGTTCTGGCAGCGTAATTGCGATCCTAAAATGTTCACCTGGATTATTTAGCACATTTGAGATGTTAAAATGGTTTGGGAGGCCGAAAGCAGCAGAATATTTGAGATATTGAGACCTTTTGGGAAATCTAACCCATTTAGAAGGCGTATACCTGTTTGAATATTTCATTTCCAGCTATTCAAACCACATAATTTCCTTCCGTCATCGCATCTAACATAGCTTGATACGTAAAAGAGTTTCCCATATTAATCTCCCGAGAATACTTGAAATTTTGATATATCTGGAATTTATAACCTATGCAATGTTTCCTCAAAAACGCCTCTAACCCAATATTGCATTATGATTTCGCCCTCGAACCTAGAATGAAAAAGAAAAACATGCTCAGAAGCTTTCAAACGCCAAACCTCTCTCTGTATTCCGCCAATGTCTTTAATGAAATATTACTTCCTCCACAAACCACTATCACTGCATTTTTTCTCTCGACATTTTCCCCATCTTCCTCTAATATTTCTTTCAACACACCATTAATAGCCACTGCGACGCTTACGCCGCATGCGCTTTCAACCAGCTGTATTTGGATTAGTAAACTGAGACCAAGAATTAAGTAAAGTGGAAGGATTAAACTCACAATTCTCTCCTCGTCTGCCATCCACACCATACCACTCACACTTTCCGCGTCACTTAAAACCACACTCCTCACATTCTTCTTATATTTCAATCCCCACTCTAGCGATTTCGCCGCTATTTGCGTAGCTCCCAACGACGTAGCAATACTATTGATACCATCCAACCTCACCAGTTCCCCTCTCTTCAACGCCTCATGAAAACTCGCCGTTCCCTGCGTCTCCACACCAAGAATCTTCGTGGGACTCTGAACGCCCAGCCTCGCCCTCCGCTCCAAACTCTTCATGATTCCATTAAACAGCCCGCCACCCCCCACACTACAAACCACCGCATCCAAACTCCCCCATCCCAATTCCCGCACTTCCTCTTCAATCTCCTCCATGACTCCACTATTTCCCTCCCAGATATCCGGGTGGTCAAATGGTGGCACGTACACACCATTCGTATCATGGGCGAGTAAATCCTCGCGGAGATAGCGGTCGGCTTCGCTCCAGTGTTTGCCGGTTTGTATGACTTCTGCGTTGAGGAGTCGGATCTTGGAGATCATGTTTGCGGGGGTGGTGATAGGGACTACGATGGTGCAGGGGCGTTGGAGGGAGAATGCGGCGTGCGCGCAGGCGAGGCCAGCGTTGCCGCCCGAGGAACAGTAGAAGTGTACTTGGGTGTGGGGATCCGCGGGCAGGGACCGGAGGAGTAGGTTTCCTATGCCTCGGGATTTGAAGGAGCCGGAGGGTTCTGGGGGTTGTTAGGTGGGTTTTATGATGGGTGGGGAGGAGGAGCGTGATGTTGGGTTGGAGTGGGAAATAGTTTGATAGGGGGAGTAGAGGGGAAGTATAGTGATAGAGCGGAAACGAAACCAGACGCAACGAGATGGTTGATCATGCACACGAGCGCAAAGCTGCAACAGCACGATATCATCCAACAATCAAAAAAAAGAAAACCCATCGAATACATACGCAAATTCTCAAGTTTAAGCCACACATTACTAGTATATCCCATTAGTCCCAGTCCTATACCACCAAGAAACAAAAAAGCACATTGGGAAAACTCACCAGCCGGCAACTCTGGACAATGCAGCTGATCTTACCAAGGGAGTTCTAATCCAAGGTTTTGATATCTCTCCCTCTGGTCTTTCGTTTGGAATTGGAGTTGTTGAACCCATTTCGTATGATATGTGAATGTGAATGTGTGTATATGTTTGTGTATTTGTATGTATGAGTACCTAGGTATGTATGATGTAAATATAAGAAATTATAAAGTGTGATAAAATATCCAATTCTCCTAATACGTATCGTACGCGGATGAAAGGAACTGAACAGTAGTAGATATGTGGCCAATCGAAGCAGGGATCCGTCAATATGATATAATATGCTACAATATCAAAAGCAAAAGTAATGTTAAAGGTTATCAGAAACGCAAACGTTAACAGCGCATCTGAGACTTTAAATACATATTTCCTACGAACGTCTGGCTGCTGATCATCATCATGATCATGACCATCTCGCTCTTCTTATTAGGTACAGTACTGTCTAGTAGGTAGGTAGGTAGGTAGGTATCTACAATCGAATGAATGATCCACGGGATTCCTAGAACTAACTTGGAAATATAATCCCCATCTCCTAGGTACTAGGTAGGTAAGGTTAAGATTCTTACATATTTCCCATCCATTTCCCATTTATATTGAAAAGAGTCTTAATCTTCGTATCAATATCGGCATCTAGCACATACATACATACCTACATAAACTACTCTGTAAGGTTACCAGACGCGCAAATACAAGCATGCAAGCACGGCACAAGAAGCTCCACAAGCACAAGCACTTGCGTTCTTCCCAATGCCAATGGACAATCGATTCGATAGGGGGACTAGTGCTCCACCCGACGATAAGCGGAAACTAAGCTAGTCGAGTTGGTTGTTCGCTAAGGAAAGTTATAGGGTAATGAATATTGTGGAAACTGGATGGTCAATTAACTGAATGGAGTACAGGGCGTGAAGAACTTTGTAACTTTCATCGGGAAAGACACACGTGGATACTTATAGGGTAATGGGGTGTTTGTTATAGGGTAATGTTGATACCAGGGGGGGAGATGCTATAGGGTAATCGGGTGCTTGTTATAGGGTAATGGATATGGTGGTGGAACTTGATAGGGATGATAAGTTTAAGTTATAGGGTAATATTAATGGGATTTGATTGATTGATAGACAGATAGGGGAGGGGTTTGTTTGAGTTTGAGTTTTGAGTTTGAGGTAATGATGTTGCTAATGCGGGGTCAGCTACTCGTGTATTTTGATCTGAGCTATCTAGTATTCATGATTTAGCTTGGGTGATTTAAGATGATGAGTACTATGAGAGGATTTTTATCCTCTTAGATACTCGGGCTAATCTTTGAAGAGGGCTGAGGGTTTAGTGAAACTTATTTTTATATCAAAAATTATTTATTTTAAAAAATTTTTATAAATTCAATGAATAAATATATATATTTCAAATTTAAAAATAATAATAAGATATTTATCAAAAATCTAATATTTTGATTTCAAATTTGTATATTAAGATATATTTTCGAAATATAAAATTTATTATTAATAAAAAATCTTATATTTTATAATTTTGATTTATTAATTAATAATAATAATAATAATAATAATAATAATAATAATAATAATAATAATAATAATAATAATAATAATAATAATAATAATAATAATAATAATAATAATAATAATAATAATAATAATAATAATAATAATAATAATAATAATAATAATATTTTAATATATAATTAATAAATAAATAGATAAATAGATAAATAAATAAATAAATAAATAAATAAATAAATAAATAAATAAATAATAATATGTATTTCAAATAACAAATTAAAATATTAAAAAATTGAATCAATAGATATTTTTCAAAAATTAATTTTTAATAAGAAGAATTATAAAAGCTTGGGCCCGGTCCTCTTCAAAAAACCCAGCCCGAGTACATGGAGAATAATCTTTACTTATTCATTCATTCATTCATTCATTCATTCATTCATCCATCCGTCCATCTCATAACAATACTAAAACAAAGTCAAGAACCCAAACTATAATATACATTCCCGAGGTCCTGTAGTCATTTTGAATTTCCAAAGTCATAGAAACACCACCATTGGTATCTATTCTTATCAGGAATTCGCAATTCGCACAAAACGCTCATGTGCATGTCGTGTGATGGATGGAATATTGAATATTGGCAGCATCACCCCAGGGCCCTGAGAAATCTATGTAGGTAGTAGGTTACTCGTATCCATCCATTCATTCATTCATTCACAAGAGCATTCCATTTCAAATGTCTGTCTGTGACTTTGTGACCGTGTGGCTCTGTGCAATTTACTTTCATTTCATTAAAGCACCCCCATACCTCCTCGCCTTCGTATAAGGTCATCCCATCCCAAGCAATTACAACAAGGGAATAGATAGATACCTAGATAGATACCTAGGTAGATAGATGCACGATCTTCAGGTCAACGCTACGCTACAACAACCAACTAGTCATTTTATATCATCTCATACCTATTCAACACTCGCTCCTAACTAACCCTTCATCTCCTTCAACGACACCCTCCTCCAATCCCAATAATTTTTTCGAATCTTGTCATACTTATCCCCCAGTAACTGAAGCGCTTTATCAGCTTTCTCCCAAGCCCCTTTCTCTGCCCAGATATCCGCCAAAAAGTCCAATGCATGACTACTCCTTACGTCCTCACCCTTTCCATGCTCATCCCCAAGCTTAACAAACTCCCCTGCAAACTCTTCTAAACTCTCCATCTTCACTCCCCCTTTCCTCACAACACCTTTAAGATAATTCCACGAACTCTGATTCTGTGGCGCCTTATATGTGGCTGCTTTCGCGTAGTCGATTTCCCTATCTACTATCACTTTCGGAATCTTCTCATCAAACTCATTTGCCCGCATTCCTTTTGTCGAGTATTTAGGATCCGAAAAGACGAGAAAAAATCGATATGACCATGCGCTATTATTCCGCACATCTTTCCTTATTAATTCCTCTATACTCTTCAATTCTGCCTCGTTAAACATATCCAATTTCACAACCAAATATTGTCTATAACTCCAAACATGGTAGTTCTTCGCATCTTCATCGAACATTTGTGTCAAAAAACTTCGTTCGGAATCTGCGAGCGCTTTGATTGACTCAGGTGAGGATGAAATTGAGGGGTAAAGATAATCGATGAGGAGTTGTCGATGATGCCATATCTGATAATTCTTCTGGTTTTCCAGGGCAATTTCATTTACAAAGGCAAGTTCTTCAGGAACAGAGGAGGAAAGTGCGAAGAGAGTGTTGGCGCGATATAGCCAGACGGTATAGTGGGCTGCGTTGAGTGTTATGATGTGTTCAGTGAGTTCGAGGACGCGGGGTGAGTATTCTTTGCTTGCCATTACGGCGCGAAGATATCCCATTGCTGGGAAAATGTTAGTCTTCCGAAATGAAGATGAGGGGTATTTAATCTCACCCTCTGCGTATTCATCTGTGTATGCGATTTGTGCTAAAGCACCCTCTCCATCATCTTGTGCTATTGGTATCACATCATTCCAGAGGGGATTCTTCTCGTATATGCCCATTATTTCTCTAGACTCGCGAGTCGATCACTGAGTCTCTTGCACGTATGCCTATATACCTTCGAGGTTCTATGGCTCGCCGAATGAGATGTCTCTCTCAGCAAAAGTGCTTCTTACACAGAACAACACTCGCGCAACCTTCCCAGTTCTTATTCTCGTCTCTCGACCCCCGATATCTTATACTTCTCCAGGCTCTACTTCCGAGCGGGTCTCTAGGAATGGTATTGACTTGGTGTTCGGCTTCAAGTATCTGAAAGAATCAATATAAGTTTAAACAACATCTGCAAACACAAAAACCAAAGATTAGCATTTCGAGGTTTTAGTAATTTTGGATCCGAAAAACTTACGATATGCTCTTTGTTATGGAGTCGAAAATGAAGACCTATGGGTCCATTGAGAGGCCTCAAAAGACGAGCTCGGCTAGCGTCAGCCTCGTGCCGGAAAAGCTGCCAGGCTGAAGAAAGAACTATTTGACAATGTGAAGAACAATGGAATGACAGTTCCAATACTTTAATAATAATATACATTTCCTTTTTAATTATTGTCCACATTGTCCGTCCCATTATAAAGTAACACATTAACATAATCTACAATGAAAAGAAGGAACTGCGCTGTCGCCAATGTGTCTAATCTTCCACCCTCCAAAACTTCCAGGCTTCCCTATCACCACTTTGTCCGTGAACTCCAACCAGTTCCTCAACTCCTTCTATGCCATCAGCATTGAGAAACTTTTCTTGGTCGATTTCATCTCCTCCGAAATCATCATCCTCCCCATTCCTAATTACAGCAGGCCATAGTACGCCAACGCCATCACAGCCCAGTGTAGTTTCGAATTTTTTGTAACCCTCGTTCTCTAATGTTGCCTCTAAGCGTGCCATTATCTCCGGTGTGGTGTCTGGCTTCAATAATGTAATAGAGCATCCTCCTCCTCCAGCACCAGTAAGCTTGGTCCAGCCGATTCCTTCATGATCTACTAGCTCCCGGATACGTTCCAGTCGAGGATGGGATACTCCTAGAGAAACAAGAAGCCCATGATTTATTGTCATTAATTTTCCCAGGCTCTCAACACACTCGACATTTTCGCTATCATAGTTTGGATCTGAAATCATAGCTGCCGCTGACTGACCAACCATATCAATGGCATCTAATATCGAATCTACGATAGCCGGATGCTTTTCCTTCAACAAAGCCACTTTAGCAACTTCATGTGCTGTAGATTTTGCTTGTTGTGTATCAACAAGAAGCAGAGGCAGTTCGGGGAAATCCCTCAATGGTTTCACGGTAGGCCCTTCGGGAAATTTCTGATAGATAACCGCCTTTCCTTGTGTCGAAACTGTATTGTCCACCCCGGAAGGATTTCCATGAATACACATTTCTCCCACAAATGCCCAACGATTAATTCTCTCGAGTTGTAAGCCTGCCTCGTTGGATGGTTGATCTGGATGCGGTCCGGATAATGTGCGAATTTGTAACAATAGTGCGGAAGAAAGACAGACAGATATTGAAGCACTGCTACCGAGGCCTGCGCCAATTGGAATTGTTGAGCGTAATGTATATAAGCATCCGGGGAACGATTGTGAGCCAAGAGATAGAAATATGTATAAGAATGAAGAAGCAGAGCTCTGGTGTATCTTTCGTATGGAAGGCGATACATCTGGGGAGATATTCTCCAAATGTGGTTTCATAGCTGCAACCAGTTCTGGATCTAAAGATGTGACCTGGTCGTAATAATACTTCTTCTTCGACGGATGTGAGAAGGTGCTCCATGGCAGATCATCGATATTCCATGTATGAGAGAGATTGATATCTGGAAAACGAAGGGAGATTGTTCGCTTCGATTTTGAAAGCGAAGTGACGAGGAGGTATGATCGGAGTGAAATCGCGGCGGCAATCGCAGGCTATCTTTATCATTAGAATCAAAATCGCACCTCTAGAGCAATGACACCCACCTTTCCATGCACAACCGCATGTTCTCCAAAGACAATAACCTTCCCTGGAGCTGATACCATAAACGGTGGCATCATAGGTGAAGACTGTTTCCTAACCATAGGGGTCCTCTTTTCCCCATTATTCGAGCCATTGATACTCGCCTTCTCCATATTCTCGCTGATTATAGTAACTCGATCGGCCTCCATCGAAGTGCTGTCGCGCGCAGGCATATGGGAAGTGGGTGAAGCCGAAGGACTGCGAGTACTTTCAGAACTTGAAGGTGTGATTATAAGAAGTGATTTTGTAGTTGTACTCGAGCTCGATCGTGAATGTTGTTTTGTTTCGAGGGGATCACCTAAGGACCTCTTTGTATTTGTCCCTGTCATTGCACAAAATCAGGTCCCACCACACAATCAGGTCCGGATGAAATGTGCCTTGTTCGATTCGGTCAAAAGGCAGACACGGCGCAACAATTCACTTAATAATGGGAAGCATCAAGATGTAAGACTTACATGTAATATACTAATAGTAATGATAATACAGTAAGAAGAATCGAATCGAGGGCCAGTCGCAGGAAGGTCCATTATCGGATGGGCCTACTCTGTACTTTTTGAAGGCTAATTTATTATTCCAGAAAGAATAGAAGCCATCAGCCATCTTTCATCTGGGGGGACGCGGAGACAAAGAGACAAGGGGGTTTTACTGTGTTTTACTAGGGCTTACTAGGCTTTACTAGGTAACTCGTGTCACTTAACAGCTCTAAAATGCTGTGATCCAATAGGACAAAGAGCCTGTAATTACAGAATGATGGCCCCTGAAAAGCTGGGATTTGGTGGATGGGAAAAGTACCTTAGCCCATGATATTTGATCAATTACTCATCAAAATTCCCCGATTTATCTCCTTTTATTGTTCCCATCCAAAGAGTCGAGTGCGACATTTATATCTTCATTATACCAAGTAGGTTTTATTATAATATCCAACTACTTTCTTTGAATGGAGTAACCCCGTGCTAGAAAGCTGTTGTCTAGCCCAGCTGCGTCCGTGTTGCCAATACATATATCATGCATCTCGGGATTGAACTCGTTATCGTGGCTACACACCATATCTTGGTGATGAAGTCCTTGTGTTGGCCAACTACTAGGCAGGTACTTTTGGTAGTTGATCTTTGGCAGCATTGTAGGTTCGCTGGCTGGGGTTTAAGATTTTGGTTTCCTTTCGTCTGTTCTTCTATGATTTATGTGCTATAATAGAATAATAGGTGGCAAACCTACTCAGGTCAAGTTGACCTTGAAGCTCAAAGCTCTCTCGCATATATTCAAGAAGTGGGTATTCACCTCCCTATTATATCGGAAAACATTATCTGTATACGGTATACATGAGATTCACAGGAGATGAAATTACAGATACCTTCAATTTCTCCATACCCTCGAGCAGGTTAGTCCGCAGTCCGCAAAAGGGTAAGGCAATGCCACTTTCTTCCTCAAATAGTATAGGGGGAATACTCGAAGCTTTATACGCGATGGCTCTATCGCGACTTCCATAAGATCGTGACCACTTTCGATAGCCAATGAGATCCTCTAGTAAGCTATGAGCTTCTCCTCTCGCAATTTTGGTAAATACTCTTCGACAACAATTTTGCTTTCATCTACAAGAAATATTCGCAGCCATCTTTCTCTCACAGACCTCTTACCAGACTGCTCTGAATAATATACTTCATGGGAAGGATTGACTTCACTTCTGTGCATATGACACGTATTTGAATGCTCATCGTCCACAGTCTCTTTTCACTTGCATTTCAGACGAAAGAATCATCCTAGCTTCCACATTTTCAACCCTATTGAGGACAACCTTTTTTCAGCTTCCAACCACTTTAGTTTCTCACCGTCATTGCCTATTGCTCTACTCTACTCGATAACTGGCAGCGGAATCAGAGGACCAGTTTAACGCTATCTCTTTCTGAATTTCTCTTCACACGAGCACTCTATTTCATTAGCAGTTACTAATTCACTTTGCAACGTCGAATCGTTTGACCTTCATCTCGTGGTTGTCGAAAAGTTCACTCAAAGAAATACTTCAGTATCTTTCTCAATTCATTATCTAGAATAACCTCGTACTTTTAAAGCAACGGGGAGCTTGACGGACCCGTCTACCATTACCATGCCATTATCAAATATGCCAAAACCCTCCACTAAGGGACCTAAGAGAAAAGCATCCAAGCCACGCAAAAGGCCCCTTCCCAACGATACTGACGTAAATGGTAACCTTGTTGGAAGTAAAACTTCTATTGCATCACGCAAACGTCGTTGCCCTCGGGTCACATTGGCATCTCTCCAAATCGACGACGAAGATGATGATCTGAGCAGAGTCACTACCAGCTTCGGCATTGATTCCCACTCGCATAATACATGGGGAATCCCCAGTTCTACAACCATTGTAGCCCCAAAGCGGAAGCAAAAAACATATACTTTCAAGCAACAATCAGGAGTCAGTCGTAATAATGCAGCACGTGGTGCAGGTCTTTTCAACCGTTTTCCGGGACTTCGCAATCTTGAAACCACGCCCGAGCCAGTAGAAATGAATTGTCCAAGTCGCTCTCCATTCCTCTGCTACCCTTTGGAAATCCGTGAGCATATATATGGATATTTTCTTCGATCCCGAAACTCGATCCTCATGAATTATGATTGGGAAGCTGTCGAGCGCTGCCCTGGCTTTGTTGTCAAAAAAGTATTGTTTATTTGTAAGCAAATCAGTGCCGAAGCTCTCTCGTTTCTATACAAAAACAACACTTTCCACGCGCTCCTTCGAGAAAACAAATCGGGGCTCCCTGCTTGGAGCATTTCGAGAATTCCAACTGTCTATTTGAATTTGGTAAGAAACGTGATCTTTGAGTGTCCGAAAGACAATTGGAATCTGGACTGGTATCACAAGGCGGCGAAAAGCATCAACACTTTGGCAATAGCCAAGCCAGTACTAGAGACATTTACTATCGTGTTGACACCGAAGCAGGTTGGATTTAGCTCGACAGCTCTGGGATTTGAAGATAATCCTATCACTTTTCCGGATTTTCTGTGGGAAGGTGGAGAAATTATGAGTGCTATTATGAAGCTGGCCTGCAGGAAGCTGAGGGTTGTGATGAAAAAAGATGGTGGGAGGAGAATTATTCTAGAGGTAGATGTTTTTGGAAGCATTTTTGCAACATCGGATGATCAGGAGGATTGGTTCAAAGAAGATAGGGCGCAGCAACTAGCAAGGGTTGCTTTGAAAGCTAAGGTGAGAAGCGAACTGGTTGTGATAAAACACAAAGTTGAGGAGATATTGCACAATGAGGAAAAAGCTATCGGGATGGGGTGGTGCAGGGTGATGGATTCGGATGAAAGGTTGGTCAATAATCACCGTCGGTAATCTAGAGGAGTAATGAGTGGTACATTGCCTCAGCGTCATGGTGGTTCCGAATGTTCCTCCTCGTCAGGGACAATTTGATCTCTCATTCTTCTACTTTGAAGCAATCACTCATTACTCGAATTTGCGGATGGTAGTGCTTGATCATTTTTTGAAGGGAGGTCAATATTATTTCGTCGTTTCAGTACAAGGTTAGCAATTCCTTCCCTGGTTTCATTTCATGACCTTCATCGTATATATCATCATCATATTTAGAAGCCGCCGCATGCAAACGAGCGATTCATCAGTACAACAGGACACCAGGCAGCCTCTCATGAAATCTCTTGGTCAAATATTTATCATCTATCATTTGCAGCTCTTGAAATTTCATATTATCAAATCCGTAGCATTAATTTAAGAGTTTAGCGATTACCTACTTAGAATTTACTTGCTAAATCCATTCCCAATATTATTCTTGCACAAAGTACTCTACTAAATTAAAGCTACATTAATTTTTTTTTCCTTGCCGCGCGCTGGCATAATATAGAAAAACTTAATTCTCGAGGTTAGCTAGTGGAAGAACTCGGTTAGTAGGAATTTAAGAAGATTTTGCTAACAATTCCTTTTCGGGATCATCTCCATTACTAGTTAAACTCAAGATTGTATATCGTATTCCTCTATCTAATGAATCGCTTTTTTCGGGAACTAAAATGCTAGAGTATATATATATATATATATATATCGCATTCCAGTACAACTTTATAACTTTACAAGCTTATAGATTTGTGAGCGCGATGTAGGATCTTAGTATATTCAATCTTATATAGATCTTGGGAATCGATATAGTGGAAGAGGAGAAGGGTATTGTGTATAGCTATACGTGGTAGTGGTTGGAGAAGTAGGTAGGGAGATAGGGAAGGTGGATGGGAAGATGGGTAGATAGAGGCATAGGGAGGAGCTTTATTGTCGTCTTGACATCATTCTTGTAAAATCGCGCTTTCTGGGTGCGAAAATGTAATAATTGGAAAATGGAAAATGGAAAATGGAAAATGGAAAATGGAAAATGGAAAATGGAAAATGGAAAATGGAAAATGGAAATGTTGGTTGGTTGAGGATATGGTACATTGGTATTGTACTTTTGGTATAGAATTTATAAGTTTATCAATTATATGTATTCTAGGACTATTGGACTGGGTTGTGGATAGTTATCTATTCGTTGCGTATGTTGTTGAGAGTATTTTCTTGCTTCTTGGGCTTTCTGCATCTACCTAGTAGTCTTCTCTGCTCAGTTGGAGTCGGGATGGGAATTTGAGATTTAGATCTGGGATTCAGATTTGACATTCATATCTAAAAGGTTTGTATATATGGAAGTGTAGCGATGTATATCAGAAAAAGAAAAAACAGAGGACCTGAAAAGCAAAAAATCACAGATTTCACATATCCATAAGAATGGATTATGGATGTGCGTCTGTCATCGACTTGCTAAATCATCGCCCAATGTACTGTCTTCCTGTATTGAAAAGGCTGAAGCTGGGATATATTGGCCTTGTGAGTGATTTCGAGTTTCCTTTCTTCCAGGAAGCGCTCCAATGGGCCATGATTTATTGATTTTGTTTTGTGGTGTATATGGATATACTGGGGAAATTATATGAGAAGCTAGAGGAGAAGTTCAAGTGGATGTTCATTGGTGGTCTTTGCACTCTTCAGGCTTTGGGAGAGCTAGTTGTTTGTTGTTGAGGTGGGATGATATGATGTGAGTGGAATGGCATAATGCGAATGGAATGATATAATGTAAGTGGAATACATTATGAATAGAATATAGTATGAGTGGAATACAGTATGAGTGAAGTAACACAATATGAATAGAAACTACTCATTTTTCCTCTCAACGCATTACAAATGCCCAATTATTTGTAGTTCAGAATATATTCTCTATAATAAACCCTATGAATATCTTTCCTTCATGCTCAAACCAGTAAATTTACCACTATGAATCATGTAGAAAACCAATCTTTCCATGTGTGTATTTGATGGATATCGCTACATTCCATCACTAACTAATAGCAATGAATCAACAGAACAAATTAAGATATGAAAAAAAAAAACTAATTCGCACTTCTTCTGTCTTCTAAGCTAGAACACTCTCATGATATTATGATACTTCAGATACTTAACTGATATATAACATGAATAGTTAAGCAGATGACAGAAGGGAAAAGCAGATGACATATTCAATTTAGTTCGAAAAATATCCAAACCTCAAAGCAATATTGATAATCAAACTATGGAAAGAGTAAAATTCATCAAAGCTATTAGAAGCAATCATAGGATCTTACCGAGACGGAAACTAGTAACCAAACGAGGAACATGTCAAAAAAAACGGATATCCAGATAAAAGAAAAAACATAAACCGTTCCAAAATCGGGGACCAACTTCATTCATATTCCACTCTCGGGGACCAAATTCCTTCCAAGAGTCCGATTTCTCGTTCTCTTTCCCCATAATAACGGATTTCCTTTGCTTTTTTCAAAAAGATAGGAGAGCAAAAAAAAAAGGAAACAAACCCAACAAGAAGCAAAGTATATTATTATGAGAAGAATAATAGTGGAGCGTGGGAATGTATGATGATAAAGCAAATATGCCTGCGTAAGAGATATATCATCGGTCTTCCAATCTAGAAGGAGCTTGTAAATATATTTCCGGATCAGAAAAATAGTAATAGGAGAATTTTGACATTCCACCAAGGGGAATATTACGTTGCATTAGTAGATCGTTTGTAAGGAAGTTCATCGAATACATCATACTATACCTAATATAACTCGTATGCTAACAAATTCTCCACGATACCTACCAACCTACAAGTGTATGCTCGACGATCCAATTACCCACTCCCACTTCCCACTCGGAGCGCGATCCCAAGTATCCAGGGCAGGTCCAGCCCATGATCTCGGATTTTCGGAAACCGAGTTCCCATTTCCCAACTGTTGGTGATGATGATTATACTCCGCATATACACGGAACATCTTAACACCACATCTCCAGAACACCAGTATCAATCAAAACCCGTAGACCCAGTCATCCACATTTTCGGGACCTCTTCCCGTCTCCGTGCTTAGAAATATACGGCGTGGATGAGATGAGATGAGGTGCAAATTTGTAACCTCTATCACGGGAAGATAGAACCAAAAACGAAAAACGAAAAACGAAAAACGAAATCAAGATTGGGAAAAAGGAAAGAGAGTAAAGCAGTCAGCATTTAGATTTAGGAAAAGAACGGAGAATATTCGCAAGGTTTCCTATTTTGGGGAGGTGTGGAATTTGTATACTATGTTGTCGAGTAAGCGTAACTTGCAAAACTAAGCTACTATTTCATGCAACAACTTTGTACAGAATAACATAGATCATGCTTCATCTCATCCGAAGCAGCACCTTTCCTCCTAGAGTTCATCAGTCCAAAAGCTCTCAGGGAAGTTTTTCTATACCAAACTACACCACACCCCAGCATCCCTCCCAGCTCTGCCGCGAGCCCGCAGAGGATGCACACGCATAAGCAACACAATAAATCACATATCAAATATCACATATCACAATCGACAGATATCAAGCCAACCAGCCAGGCTACCTATAAACCCGGAGAGAGATAAAAACAAAAATCTTTCCGCGATCCAGGACATTGTTACCATGGGATATAGATTGCAGCGGTTATCTCGGCGATTAGATATACGATTTAGGTGTAACATAGATTAACATAATAGATCTCTTTCTCTAGTTATTTGTGGAATAGTTTTTCAATTGTTGCTTTTTTTGAGACGTCAGATGCTTCCTTGACGTGACCGATTTCGGGGCTTGATATCTAACTATTTTGCGGAATTTTTGAAATTCGATTTTTTGATTAAGATAATATTTAATTGAATTGTTATATTTATTATTAATCATATATAAACAAATAAATAACAAACAAACAAGCAATACCTACAAAAATAAAAACATCTTGATTCTTTCACTCTATCTCAAGAACTTAACACTCTAACATCTCAGAATCCCAAATCCAATCAATAATACCAAAGAAACACATCCACATCCAAGCCAACCACTCAAAACCAACAACCGACATACTCGCGACACAAAAAGATGCAGCCGCAAAAATCCACGTTCGCAAAATCTCTAAGTCGTGGCGCCCATGGCTTCCTCGGCTGACGATATAAACTAAGTCTCAACAAGCAGCTAGGTTAGCTGAGCAAGGATATGCGGAGAAACACGAGCATGATTACTTTTTTTTTTGCATACGGGTTACACTACTGTACGTACAATTTTTGCTTGGGGTAAAAGGTACCGATACCGATGTTACCGATATTACCGATATTAATCATGGTATAAATTTAGATAATATAATATGTGCTGCTGGATCATTGTATTGTAACCACGACTTTGTTGCGAGCATATATATTGTGGTTTTTGGGGCTTTGGGGATATGGGGAACATGGTCGGTTTCCTTGGCTGTGATACCGGGGGAATGGGTATATTTCCTTTTTGTGATGTGATGTGATGTGCTGTGCTGTGCTGTGCTGTGCTGCGCTGGGCAATTTAATGAATGGGATTTATATTGGGTACACTGGAAGCCATTGAGATGTTATGTGAATGAATATGCGGCTGATTCTTGAATATGATATGATGGTTGATTCGAGTATCGAGCAGGATAAACAAACATTGTGTAACCTTTTAGGAGAACGTGTGACTAGAGCCTCGAATTTCACGCATTCGTACATAGGAGACTGCTAGAAAGTTGTTGGAATGTGATGACATCGTATTTACATTGGTTTAGCTTGTAATTTCCTGTTCCAGTGTAGGAATGATACAGAATGTCATCATCTCATTATTGAAATATAAAACTGATTACAATATACACAGATGATACATGAACCGCCCCATGCCATAAAACCCATCCTCGTGGGGCAACAACACCTGAATGCGACGTGAAAATACACCCGGTGTAGGGAAGAACAGTAGTATGCGTAAGAAGCAAT